AAAAGGGTTGAAAAATATCCACATGGCATGAATGCACTAGGGGGACCTTATTCCATATAACCAACCCAACGCGTGCTCTGAACGCCAACCCAGACCACCATATAAGTAAGTAATAATATGAACGCTAATATACAGAAAAGATACTTCAATTCCCTTCCTTACTTAGACGGGGAGGAAGGCAAGATGACATCACCCATCTCCCAGAATCTGGTGTCAGCATATGAAAGGCACAGTTCTCTCGCTGAATGGGCAGTGTTTAAATTCACAGCCTGATCCGAAAGGACATTCACAACCGTTCCGAATATGACCACATGGTCTCCAATCCGCGTGGTCTGTGGTAAGCACTTGCACTCGAATATAAATGGGAAATGACCATCTTCTCCTGCTTTCGCTCCATTTATCACCAAACGTGGCGGCTCACCGCTCTGGAGAGAAGGTGACGCTTCAACATCCCTGGGAGAAGTGAATCGAAAAAAGGAAGCTTGCTGCTCATCCTTATTTCTAGCTACGTTTTCATATCCTTTTGAGAACTCCAGAGCCAACCTTGCCATAGCCTCCGTAGGAGAGAGTAGATGGACGAGGAACCGGGACGAGAAACGGATGGCGTTGTACGTCTCTGATGGTAATTTGACGTTAAACGATATCACTGGCTTTGGGCTCAATGTTACTGTATTGAATGAAGACACCGTCATGCCCCTAAACGCAGCAGTGGACGGAGAATTAGGGTCAGTCGAAGTAACTATCGCAACGGGATGAGGTACTAGTCTCATCAACCGCCGGACTTCAGTCTGGATATCCATTTCAGCATCAAGTCCCCTCCCACTTTCTGTAGTTGAGACATCGTCCTCTAGCTCAATTGGCTTTGTCTTGTTGGTATTCGGTATATGTGAGCTGTTTGCTCTGTAGGTGCTCTCGGACTTTACGTGATCGGCTCGCTTTCGTAGGTTGGGTGGTAGGACTGGGCTGAGGGTATCGGAAATGCTCTCAACATGTTTTGACACAATTGCTCGTACTATGCCCCCGTAGTATCTGCGAGAGATGGCATGGAACGGTGGGATTGCGCTCGCTCTTATGGTGGTGTTATAGGTAGCTTGAAGTATCGAGAGTCCCTGGCCCCATGGCCGAGAGAAGGGGAGCATCTTCCCAATTGACTAGCTGTGAAATTCGTCTCCCGGTATCCGATTGCATCATTCAAATCGTCCAGCTACCCTCCCTCATGCTCCTCCGGGTATTAAAATGCTCATTTTCCTGGTTCCTGAAGAAATAAAAAACTGGCAAAGCTTTTGGTTAACTAGTTACTGAACACAAGGGAGAAAAAAAAAAAAAAAAAAACTTGCTGACGTAATCAAAATTTATCGTGAACAGCTTCAATCTTCGCGATCGAATCTTCAACAATCTTCAAATCTCGCAAACCCACCACCAAAAAGCCATAACCCGCGCAATTGGCAGGGCTCAGCCCCTCAATATTTACGAACAATCCTTATTAACGAGCAAAGCCATGTCTTTTCACGCCCCCGTTCTCCGAGCGGGTTCAAAAGCCGCCTCATCGTCAACCACATTCATTTGCACTCAATGCAGAAACGCAACACTCCTCCGCCGTCCTAAGAGACCTTATACATTCACACAACTCATCGCACTCTCTGACGGAAGCACATTTACCCACCGTACCACATCTCCTCAAGCCGTCTACCGATCTACACGCGACTCCCGCAATGCCCTGCTATGGAACCCCAGCAGTGAAAAACTGCTAAATCTTGAAGACGACGAGGCAGGTCGATTAGCTGCTTTTAGAAGCAGGTATGGACGAGGATGGGATTCTACTACGAAAATCTCTGCAGAGGATGCAGCCGCCGCCGAAGATCTTGCAGGTGCCGAAGTTGGGACTGCGTCTACGCCTCAACAGACGGCTAAGACACCTGAGAAGGAGAAGATTGTGGAATCTGAGTTTGAAGAAGAGGATGAGGATAGTTTGTTGGACTTGATTAGTTCATTTGGGCAAGAAAACCCTTCTTCTGGATCAAAGAAGAAGTAAATGGGATACGATGAGGCGGTGTTAGATTGGCGAGATGTTTATATGCTTTTTTGTATTTTACCTCCTATTGCTGGTATGGCATAAAGCAGGGCGAGAACAATATTGTACTATATTATTATATTATACACTTTGGGAGAGAACAACTATACGATGTTCTTGAGCCAACTGGTTCGTGGTTGCTTCAATTGCTATCGAGGTGCACTGATACTCGGGGACTTGAACTATAGAATTCACTGCTATTTAACCCGACTTCCCATCACTTGATACTCAGACAACAATAAATATCCGCAAGAAACTCCTCCTGTACGAGCCAAAAGGGAAAAGAAGGAAGCAAGCGGTAGCATAAGGCATAATTCATCTCCGGAGCTGGTTAAAACAAGGTAGGGTTCGTCATCAAAAGGAAAGATGATACGATATTAAAGGATCTGTGCAGAGATAGGCATCTTTTCTTATAAAAAAAATATATAGGAAAGTGGTATAATGTCGAGATCAGCACCCTAATTCAGATTTTGAGAAAGATATGCTAGTGGTCCAGTATATTTTAGGCCTCGTCTTGGTCTCTAGATGTACTGTTGCTTTCTGAGGGCTGGTGGCTTGGCCCATTGCCTTCAGAAGGGGGAGCAGCAACAGAACTATGAGCAGCAGCTGGATCTTCATCGGCATCAAGCTGGAGGAGGAATGTTTCCCATAGTTCGATGAGCTAAACGACCAAGTTAGCGTAATGTCTGAAAAAGGATGAAGGTAAATGTAAATGGTGATGAATATACGAACCTCCTTCTGAGCTTCAACGGCGCTCTCCAAAAATGTTTCCACTCCAGACTTAAAATCTTCGACCTTTTCCCTTTCAAATCTTTCCAGCTCATTCCGCATTACTCTCCCCAAATCTTCGAACAGTAATCTGGACTGATGAACTCTCTTCTCCGCATCCGCGACCTCCGCATGAGCTTGATTCAACCGATCTTGCTGCGACTTGCCCTGCCTAAGCAGTTTATCACGCGTGTTCTTCTTCTTCTGAAAGTCGGACTCGGCTGCATGCCATGAGTGGTACGATTTCTGACGTTGGGTAAATGCGGTCTTAACACTTCCAATGAGTCGGATGTATTCGTCCATAGTGATACCAAGTGTCAGGACGTCCTGTTGCGCCTGACGCTCGTAGAGTTCACGAATCCGAAGCTGAACTTCGGCAAGGCCATCAAGAGGGCCGGAGAGAGCAGGAGAGAGTTCAACGCTTGCAAGAGAGTGAAGAGATGTGGAAAAATCACTGGCAGCTTCAGCAAGATTTTTACGCTGGGCTACGACGGTATCAATGGCCTTTAATAGAGCTCTTAGCTGAGTCTCAAGAGCGTCCAAGTAGATTTTTCGATCATGGAACCACTAGTAGAAAGTAAGTATTAAAGCAAATAGGTAAACACAGATCGAGGGAAAACATACGTCGTCATGTTCTATAAACTTTCCACCGCCTCCAACGGATATTCCGAGAGAGCTGAACATGCCCTTACTCTGTCCGAGATCAGGTTCACGGTTTTCCTTATTCTTTACATCCATGGTAAATGACTCGCTCTCCAGGAATATCTTGAGATCCCCATCATGTTGTAATGTAGGATGGGCGGCAATTTTGTTGAGCATACGCTCCAATGCTGCTCGTCTGGACTCGACGAAGTTGGTATCGAATCTCCCGACTGCCTGCTTCTCCGGAGGAGGCGGCACAACGATTCCAGGGTTGTTGGAATGTAAAGAGTTGTACAGCCATAGAAAGTCTCGGTATCGTCTGGTGACCGTAAATTCAGGTCGTATATATGCCTTTGAAGTTGTCTACGTAGAACTGTCAGTTAGCTGCACGATGGATGAGCGTAATAAAGACAGAGACGTATCCTCACCTTCGTCCTAACTTGGTAGACTATATGACTGCTGGTGATATCTCCGACTTTATGTGGATCTCCAACGGTAATGTAGAACGATGGCTTCGCAGCCTGTTCAACGCTGATACTTTGATTTTGTCGTTTATCTGCGGTTGACGAAGCGGGTGCCGGCTGGACAGGCGGAGGCCCCTTTGCCCGCGCAGAAGGACCATCTTCATCAAGATCAACAGATTCCATCAGCGTTGTCACGCCTGCTGCGCTAGATGTTTGCGATGCTGATGAGGTAGGCCGAGCACTCCGAGATGTAAACGACTCCTTGCGCGGGGGCGCAGGTCGCTGGTCCTGTATCTGAGCATCTGCAGCTGAGAACGAGGATGTCTCGCCCAAAGGCCCGAGAGGATCAAGAGCATCTCCTGCAGGTTCTAGCTTGACTACCTGCGCGCTGACCTTACGGGGTGCTCGGGGACCTCGCGCGGCCGGTGGTGACTGAGGAACTGAGAGTGATGTCGACGACTGCTCGGCGGCTGGCTGGGTCTCTTTAGCTAGGTATAGTCAGCAAACGCAGATCAATTCAGGTTGACATCTGTCCGGATGCGATAAAACAAGGCCGTACCTGGCTCTTTTCCATCGTTGGCCTTGGAGTGGGAGGGAACATCTGTCAGTCAAAACTGTCAGCCCATGTCATTGCAACGTCGGCAAGTGGAGGTTTTGGAATGGTGTTCGAATATACCGCCCCATGGAGAGTCACTGCCCTCCAAATCCATGGCCAGCAGGCTAGTCTGAGGACTGCTTCTTAGTACTGGCGAAGGGGGGAGTTGTCTGGCTGTGATAACAAGCAAGGAGGGAGTCCGAGATGTTTCTGCGCTGGCTGGAAAGCTCTCTGGAAGTAAGAAAGCTGTTTGCCTAACCATGACGAAAGTGGTGTAAGTTTGGTAAAATTACAGGTAATATCGTTACCACATGGATATAAATTACGGTCCTTTTTTAACTATCAACGCCCAACTGTTTATTGCAAGAAATTAAGTACTGGCTCATTAGAAATATGTACTGGATAAACTATCAGACTATGTTCATGTCTAGCAACTCACGTCAACCGTCTATTTTACTACCTACGCTGATTCATTAACGACCCACGGCAGGCCGAGAGAATGCATCTGAACAGCCAGTTGGAAGAGATAATCTAGACTCTCGCACTGAGTCTTTGCCTTGGCAGGAGTATCGCCCCAGACGTATCTATGGAATTCAACTTAGTTTGACCTGGATTGTCACGAGCTATAGGGTGATGCCACTTACATTCCATGCCTCCGAACTAGAACGGCGTAGGTATCGGGATATTCCTCCATAGCCTTCTCCAAACTCTCGGTCAAGTCCTCTTCAAATGCGGTATTCTCGATAATCGGAATCTTAAGTGTGTCAAAGAAACCCAGCATGCCTTTACCTTTACCTCTGGGGATTCCCTTGATCTGCTCGATGTTGCTAATCTCAAAACAGCCGGACTTGCCCTTTTCTCGTTCAACAAGCAAGGTGACTAGCACAGCCCATTGCGAATGAGTGTGAATGCAGCAGCCGGCGCCGCGATCAAAGGCGGCGAGGAAGAGAGGTGTACAGGCAGATGGGTTCAAAGCAGAAGGTTTGCGGATATATTTACGGGCCGACGGAGGGTACTTGGGAGTCGGGTAGGAAAGGACGAAGATCTCATTGGGTTTGATGAGCTCCTTTTGTACGCCAGAGGGAGCAATGAAGATGTGTTCACCACGACGGATGGAGGTCTAGTACTCAGGGTTAGCTAGAAAACAGCTTGATGGGCAGTCTGTTTCAGTGAGCCGCATACTCCACCACCGGTACCAGTAACCCATCCTAGGCTGTAGAAGTTCTTGCACATCTCTGGGATCAAGTTTGCCGGATGCTGAGGGTCGTCCGACTGAACGAGATGGTCATTGTTTTCCCCCTTGAGGGACTGCTCTGGCTTGTTATCGGCCATTTTCGCTGGGTATCTTCAGAATCTCAAGTGTAGCCACGGGGAAACAGCTTCTCTGCGTCCAATTGAGTGATAATCTTCCTCCACAGTGTCCTGTGATCTTCCTACTCCGTCGTCTTCACCGTCTTCCTCCTCTTCTGCGGCCTTCAAGCGGGACAAAAAGTGAGTTTCAGGTGGGATGAATCTGATGACTAATATATTAGTAATATGCGGGTAAATATAGGACCGCGCGGTAACGGCCCGCTATGCGCACGCACAAGATACCTGGTCTACGCCCACGCACCGCTATAAATCACACCAAGATGCGTGGCAGTAAGCCGTTCTGTCGGCAAAAGTGAAAGAGGCCACCTTTCAAGCGGCACGGTTTGACTTTATATAACCTCCCCAGGTCAACCTCGTTTCGACCTTCGTGTCCTTTCTTCTCTTCTTCTTCTCTTGTCCGTCTCTCTCTCTCTTTGCTCGTTGACCTGCTGCTGTTGCCAGCCTGTTTCCATCCTCTTGACGCTCTTAATACAAGTTGACGGAGTTGTCTTGTTTTGTTTACTGAGAACATAGCTCTAAGGACCCGATCGCAATGCGTCTCAACGCCCAGCTCGCGTCCTTGCTCCTCTCGTCAATAGTGCTTGTGGGCTCTGCCCACGGCGCTGACGAGGAGCCAGTGGCAGAAAAGAAGGAGGCTTCTTCCATTGAGAGGCCTACCTTTGTTGTACGTTTTCACTCTTCGAAACACACTTTTGTTACTGTACAAGCATTCTAACTTAATGTGTAGCCTACCACTATCAAAGCTCCGTTCGTCGAACAATTCACCGACAAGTGGGATTCCCGATGGTCCGTCTCCCATGCCAAGAAGGAGGATGCGAAATCCGATGAAGAATGGGCCTACGTTGGTGAATGGTCGGTGGAGGAGCCAACCGTCTTCAAGGGTATCGAAGGCGATAAGGGTCTTGTTGTCAAGAACCCAGCTGCCCATCATGCTATATCTGCCAAGTTCCCTAAGAAGATTGACAACAAGGGCAAGACTCTCGTTGTCCAGTACGAGGTTAAGCTGCAGAGTATGTAATTTGCACATGAAACTATCTTAGTTGAGCTTGGAACTGACATATCCTAGACTCATTGAGCTGTGGTGGCGCATACATGAAGCTCCTACAAGAGAACAAGAAGCTTCATTCTGAGGAATTCTCCAATGCCTCCCCCTACGTCATTATGTTTGGTCCCGACCGATGTGGAGCTACCAACAAGGTATTTATTACCATTGAACCATACCTCCTGAAACATGGTACCTAATTCAATTTCCAGGTTCATTTCATCTTCAAGCACAAGAACCCCAAGACCGGCGAATATGAGGAGAAGCACCTCAAGGCCCCTCCAGCGATTAAGGTTACCAAGCTCACCAGCTTGTATACTCTCATCGTCAACCCAGATCAGACCTTCCAAATCCGCATTGACGGAGAACCCCTCAAGAACGGCACCCTTCTTGAGGACTTTACTCCTCCAGTTAACCCTCCAAAGGAAATTGATGACGAGAAGGACACCAAGCCTGCCGACTGGGTTGACGAAGAGAAGATCCCTGACCCAGAAGCTAAGAAGCCCGAGGATTGGGATGAAGATGCTCCCTTCGAGATTGTCGACACCGAGGCCACCAAGCCAGCTGACTGGTTGGATGACGAGCCAACTACCATTCCCGACCCTGAGGCTGTCAAACCAGAGGACTGGGACGACGAAGAAGACGGTGACTGGATCGCCCCAACCGTCCCCAACCCCAAGTGTGAGGAGGGCTCTGGATGCGGCAAGTGGGAGCCCCCAATGATCCGAAACCCAGCTTATAAGGGCAAGTGGTCTGCTCCTCTGATTGATAACCCTGCCTACAAGGGAGTCTGGGCTCCAAGAAAGATCCCCAACCCCAACTACTTCGAGGACAAGACTCCTTCCAACTTCGAGCCCATGGGCGCTGTAAGTTATAACTTGTTTAGCCGTTTCCCCCAATATTGTTCACAAAATTAACCATGTTGTAGATCGGCTTTGAGATCTGGACCATGCAAAACGACATCCTCTTCGACAACATCTACATTGGTCACTCTATCGAAGATGCGGAAAAATTCAAGGCCGAAACCTACGACATTAAGCGCCCCATCGAGGAGGCTGAGGAAGAAGCCAGCAAGCCCAAGCTTAGCCCTCAAATCGACGATGAGACCGACATCTCATTCACCCAAGACCCAATTGGTTATGTCCGCGCTAAGATTGACCGTTTCATCTCTCTCGCTCAGGATGACCCCATCGCCGCCCTCCAGGCTGTTCCTGAGGTCGGCGGCGCCATTGGTGCCATTCTCGCTTCCCTTCTTATAATCATTGGCATGTTCGGCCTCTCATCCCCTGCCCCACCAGCCAAGAGCACCGGAAAGACGGCCGAGAAGACCGAGAAGGAGAAGACCACGGAGGCCGTCACCGCCTCTGGCGCCGACAGCGGTCAGGGAGAGGCAAAGAAGCGCGCTGCAAAGTCAGGCTAGAAGAAGTCACTGACAAATAAATAAACATAAATATTAGCATACAACTGACCTCAGCACAGCAAGCAACGCCCGCCGGCTCACCCGCGATGCGACTCAGTGACATGACGCGCAAGAGAAAAAAGAACGAATTCCCTTTTACGCCTTTTTCCTTTCTTCTTTCCTTGTCTTTCTTATACTTTACCTCTTTTATACCGTTATTGCAGCTGGCGTCTTTGCATCCTTTACATTTGCCATATGGAGAAAAGGTGGAAGAAAGTATTTCTTATTGAACAAATCGGGGGCATCCGGGCTCCCTTTTTCTGCTGCAGCTAAAATCCCAAAGGATGTGGAAAGGGCAGGGCTGGATAGACGGGCTTCCGTTTCGCGTCATCTAGAAACATAATCCTTCTATGCACCAGGCCGCGAGTTGATGCTCTGTAAAGTATTATACCTATCTCTATATCTCTATATCTCTATTTCTCTATTATCTCCATAGCAAATACCAGATATGGGCTTCTTTTACATAAGCTTATATAATCCTCGTCCGGTCCTGTAGCGGCGTTGCTGATTGGTCCAATAAAGCCGGCACAAACCGCTTACCCGAGGAACTTGCTAGCGCCGGCGGCAACTCCAGAAAGCCTAAGTTGCTGGCGCCGCAACTAACGACTCCGACTTCCAACTGCTGCATCTTCGTCTCATCCCAGTCAACGCCTCCCCTCTCTCCCTGCTCAGCTCCAGCTCCGAGACGACGACGACGACGACGACGACAGAGATAGAAACATAGCCTGCAATCATGGCCTCCAGAGCTGCCACCCGTTTGACTGCGCTCCAGCGCTCCCTGGCTGCTGCTTCTCCCCGCAGCTCCCTTGCCCGCTCCCTCACCACAGCAGCCCGTACCGGCAGCACCACCAGCAGCACATCCATGATGGCCTCGTCCAGGAATAGCTCAGCTACAGCTATCCGCAGACTGCACGCCACGGCTCAGCAGCTCAAGCCCGCTGCCGCTGCAACTGCCTCAACCACCTCCGCAGCATCGACAGCTACCTCGTTCCCCCAATCCCACGAACGCATTGCCTCCCCCATCGACACCACCAACTTCATCGACAATGAATTCACTGCTTCTCGCGCAGAGACATGGATTGACCTGTTCGATCCTGCTACCAACAACCTGGTTACTCGTGTTCCCCAGAGTACTGAGGAAGAGATGAAAGCTGCCGTTGCCAGTGCCCAGGCTGCGTTCCCGGCTTGGAAGGCCACCAGCATCATGGCCAGGCAGCAGATCATGTTCAAGTTCGTCAACTTGATTCGTGCCAATTGGGACCGTCTTGCTGCCAGCATCACCCTTGAGCAGGGTAAGACCTTTGCCGATGCTAAGGGAGATGTTCTCCGTGGTCTGCAGGTAGCCGAGACCGCATGCGGTATCACCACCCAGATGACCGGTGAGGTGCTCGAGGTTGCCAAGGATATGGAGACTAGAAGCTACAGAGAGCCATTGGGAGTCGTCTCCGCCATTTGCCCATTCAGTAGGTGTCCCCATACATATGCTTGCCTCTCTCACTATGGGTCTGTTCAATAGTATAGTTGCTAACGCCAGATAGACTTTCCTGCTATGATTCCGCTATGGTGTATCCCAATTGCTACCATGACTGGTAACACTCTTGTTATGAAGCCATCTGAGCGTGACCCCGGTGCGGCTATGATCCTTGCCGAGCTTGCCAGGGAAGCAGGCTTCCCCAAGGGTGTCATCAACATCATCCACGGATCTGCCAAGACTGTCGACTTCATCCTTGATGCTCCTGAAATTAAGGCTATCAGCTTTGTTGGAAGCAACCGCGCTGGTGAATACATCTTCACCCGTGGCTCTGCCAACGGCAAGCGTGTTCAAGCCAACCTCGGTGCTAAGAACCACTGTGCCGTCCTTCCCGATGCCAACAAGAATCATGCCCTGAACGCCATTGCAGGTGCTGCTTTCGGTGCTGCTGGCCAGAGATGCATGGCCCTTAGCACCTTGGTCATGATCGGTGAGACCAAGGAATGGCTTCCTGAGATCGCTGAGCGTGCTCGCGCCCTCAAGGTCGACGGTGGATTCGAGGAGGGAGCTGATCTTGGTCCCGTCATCAGCCCCGAGAGCAAGAAGAGAATCGAGGATATCATTGCGACCGCTGAGAAGGAGGGCGCTACCATCCTCCTCGATGGCCGTGGCTACAAGCCCGAGAAGTACCCCAACGGTAACTGGGTTGGCCCAACCATCATCACTGGCGTCAAGCCACACATGACCTGCTACAAGGAGGAGATCTTCGGCCCGGTCCTTGTCTGTCTCGAAGTTGATACCCTCGACGAGGCTATCGAACTTATTAACGCTAACGAGTACGGCAACGGTGCTGCCGTTTTCACCCGCTCCGGCCCAACTGCCACCAAGTTCCAGCGCCAGATCGAGGCTGGCCAGCTTGGTATCAACGTGTAAGTGTTTTCCCGTTCAACAAAATTGCCAATCACATTAAGTACCCAACTAATATTCCTACTATAGCCCCATCCCTGTCCCACTCCCAATGTTCAGCTTCACTGGAAACAAGAAGAGTATCGCTGGTGGCGGAGCAAACACGTTCTACGGCAAGCCTGGTCTCCAGTTCTATACCCAGCAGAAGACCGTCACCAGCTTGTGGAGAAGCGAGGACGCAATCAGCAACAAGGCAAGCGTTGTCATGCCCACCCACAGTTAATTGATTTCCTTTCGTATAAAAAGACAAGAAAACGAGAAAGAAAAGACACATACGCCCAGTTCTAGCCCTGCCCTTTTACATGTTCGCGGATAACATAAACTTCTTCTTTTCGTCATAGATTGTCGCACATTTCTAGTTTAGACATCCTCGACCAGCGTACCAAATCGGCTCTCAGCCTCGTGGCTGGAATACGCAACGTTACCACGATATGATCCAGAAATTATATGTTTGGTAGTAGCTTGTGCCTTGATAATGTTTGGAGATAAAATGAGCGTTTGTTTGACACGATTAACTATCTTGTAAAGAATGTTGAATGCGATACCAAATTGTTCATCTCTTGTCTGTTGAAACAAGGGGAACCTTCAAAATTCAAAGAGAAAACAACCCGTCCTACGTTTATTAGGATTTCACCTAGTAGTCGTCTCCCCGAGAAATCACCTCCTTGCAGTTGGGCCTGAGTAGAACAGTCTATTCAAACAGTGGGTTAGCGTTCCAACCATGTAAGGAGTAAGTAGGTACACTTACATGTTCGAACTGCGCGACATATGACCCTGGAACATCAACGAGCGGTGCATAGCATTCTACGATATCATTTGAAATGAGCGACCTCATACCAAGATGATAGTTCTTCACCCCCATATGCTCAAGATATCGCCTAGAAAATACCAGCGTTCCGAAATTCTCACGAATGGTCTTCAACAGTGACTTGGCAGATGCATGATGAAGAGCAGCAGTGCTAGCATGTTCGTTGAGCCCGTAACCATATACCCCGACTTCATCCCGGGTATAGCCCATTCCAGTACTTCCAAAAGTCTCAATAGCAAAGACATCGCCTTCTTCCATGCGTTGGGTGGTCTTTGACTTGACAAATGGGACTTGCTTTTCGCCATGGATCTTGTAGCGCAGAATGTTATGACCAGTAAGACTGCGAAGAGCCTTCACAGGAATGACCTTCCCATTGATTTCAACTTCATAACTTTCCATCACTTCTTGGATCTCTCCACTAATATGATCAATTCGAGCGTCAATACCAGCTTCCTACATTATGGTTAGTACTATACAGGTCACAGAAGAGTATAAATAGGCCCTATAGAAGATACCTTGAGTCCGGTATTGGTGGCTGCTTTCACGGCTGTAAGTAGATTATCGTAAACAGGGTTAGAAGCCATAGTAAAGGCACTGTCTACAATTCTTCCATTGATGTGAACTCCAAAGTCTATTTTCAAGACATCATCATGCTGGAGGATAACCTCTTTGGCCCCAGGATTAGGGGTCCAGTGAGCAGCCACATTATTGAGGCAGAGCCCGGTCGGGAATGCTAGGCCAGCTTTTAGAGCATCGCCCGTTTCAATTCCTTCGTGACCAGTAAGTGCGCGAACACCAGTCTCAATCTCATATGCAAGCTCGCTCATTGAAACACCAGGCTTCGTGATTGACTGTACATACTGACGGACCTGACGATGAACTTCGGCAGCTTGGCGATAGTCAGTCAGAAACTCGTCATTCATGTTTTTGATAGCAGCCCGATGACGAAGTTCTTCTGCAGTTGTGCGTTGAAGATTGTCATTGCAAGCGGTATATTCGACAATCTCGCCCTCTGGGTATCGCTGATCATGAAAGATGCTGGGTAGCGGTACTCGTGGGGGAGTTGTCTGTTGCCCCTTTGACGTCTTCTTCTTTTTCTTCTTGTTATTCTTTCTTTTTCTCTTCTTGCCATCTAGTTATGGTAAAAAAATTTAGCAGTGTCTTAGATAGGTACAACAGTCTAGTTCATTTACCATTGTTCGGCTGGCCACCGGACTTCAGGTCAGTTCCGATCTTTTGATGGTCATCATTGTCCCCTTCCTCATCGTCATCATCTCCGTCAAGCACGCCTTGAATAAGTCCACTTGCGGCAGCTGGTTTGGGAGGGTTGATAATAGCAGCCATACTGCGAGTGGGCGGTTCTACTCCAACGTTAGTAACAGCGCGAGCACGGCAGCAGAGGTTTATTTTGGTTTACCATTTGGCCCCTGACGATGACCTTCTGGTGACTTGGACCCCATAATTTACACTGGCCTGTTCTCATGAAGAACGTCGTTGATATAGCCTGGTTGTACTCCGTAGTTGACTGCTAAAAACTTCAGCTGAGGTTGGCAACAGTTAACTATTGAGGTCGCATGCCCGTCTTGGCGCATCCTTCGCCGTGCGTTCTCCGTCCTTCTCATGCCTTCTCATGCCTTGTGATAGCCTGGCAAGTATAGAGTGAGATAGCCAGAAATAATACTAAAGAGATAATCTCCTACTTGTAACCAGAGAATCCAAAAGCTGAGTACATATTTGAGTATGGCATAAATTTAGGGGATATAAACTTGGTATTGGCATGAATTACATTCCAAACTAACTATTCAAAAAGAGAATTATCCGTAGACAATTCCTACTCAGAATCCAACCATTCCAAGGGCTGAAAGCAAAAGATAGTGATATCATGGATAAATGGACAGGTAGATAGCCAAGTCGCATCTAGTCTATGAGCGGGTATGCAGAAACTCTACAGGCTGCGCAGAGAGATGGGCTCTGAAATGCAAAGGCTTTCGACACATATAATCGGCCATAAATTACTCCTCTTGGCCGAGATAACCATAGACAAGTCTGACTTTGCTGCAGACACCGTTCTTGGCAACGACGATACGGCGAGTGTAGTATCGTGCGCCGTTGATCACTTCGAAACCCCAGACCTTATAAAACGTTAGCTGTGAAGAAATGAATATACTGAAGGAGGTGTCTTACCTGTTCGGCAGTCCAGCCGTTGTCAACACTCTCAACCCAGCTCTGCAAGAATGGCTCGCTGCCCTCACTCTCATCAACAACCCAGCCGTCAGACGCAGATCCGTCAGCTAGGACGTCTCCGTTGAAAAACTTGGCGACACCAGCGTCTTCCTCCTCCTTTCCAACCTTGGTCTGTATCTCAAGATCAGGAACAGTCTTGGAGCCATCTTTCTTAGAGCTAACGAAGCGAGTCTGGCCCTTGACGGAGCCGAAAATATGATCGGTGTGCTCCCTGACGTTCCAGCCGAGCTCACGCTTCTCGGTGGTGCCAGAGATTCCGCCAGTCAGGGTCTGCGCAATATCGATGTGGACAATATCCTCTTCAGTGTACTCCTTGATGTGTAAGGTGATAGTGGCTAGGCCGATGGCCTTGCGGGTGAACCATGAGATTCCTTGCTATAGCCTTGTAAATAAATGCCGCATATGTAATGTCTAGGGGGAAACATAAAACGTACAAGCTGTAGGGTTGGGTCGGTGCTGTCGGAGAGCGAACTATCCTAGTCGCCTGTTAGACCCCGCATATTGAATCAGAGGCGACAAAATAGAGATATCAGGCCCATATGCTGTCTCTTTTGTTTAAGCTGGCCATAAAGTCCAGTTCATCCAAAGGACCTTGGGCTCTGCAGAGGCTCCTTGACTTACCATAGTCCACCTTCCACTCAGGTTGTGAACATTAGCTTCCTTTGGAGCGGCCATTTTGATAATGTGATGTAATGGGCAAATATAAGTGCGGGGGGGTGAAGATAAATGTCGAGAGAGCAGTCTTGCGATCCAGATATGAGTAGCTGAAGAAGAAGAATATGCTGATGGTGAGAAGAGGAACCCCACGGCTGTTAAAGAAACACCTTTTTAAAAGAGTCGTTTGAATTAACTAGTTAGTTACTCCGTAAAATGTGATGGAGACGGTAAACCTCGGAATAGCTGGAAACTTCCGACTTGCGCACTATTTATCATGTGCAAGTGACGGCATTGAACGTGGGGAAGAACTGCGCCAAGGGTGCCGGCAAATCGTTTCTAAATCCAGGAACGAAAGTTGAATGCCACCACCCACAAATCGCTGAGCTTCGTTTGACGCCCTTCCACGAGTAAAACGGGGTCGGCTGGAACAAGCAGCACTCCGTTGTGGCAAGCACATGTAATCCCCCGTCCTCAGCCCCAGCGTTCTGATGTGCCCCGGAAACTTCCCGTCCACAGCATTAGTAGCAGTTCTATAGCCCCCGAGCTGTTTGTAGGCGCAATTATTAGCGCGGAAATAAGAGCCATGGGAACCTGCTGAACCCCTTTTGGAATCCCCCGAGAGTTTATGTTTGTTGTCTCGCATTTTCGGGGGTCTTCCCACGGCTTGTGAAGAGGGTAAGCCCTAACTGCAGATACCACCCTACTATTGGTTAGTGAACAAAGTCATCGAGGAGATGGGAGTAAGTCATCATTTGGCCTATCGAAACTGCATGTCTTAGCTCAATCCTGCTACCGTTGCCCTCTCCATCGTAGCTCGTGCAGGCATAGCGAGCTTGTGCAGCCGGGAATTCGCTGTGGGAAGTTGGAAACTTCCATCTCGACTTGGAACATTGAGGGAAGTCGATTTAAGGTGTGAGCCGTCACGTGATACAAACATGGCGCGCCGGTGGAGGGAGATTTGAAGATGAAGATGAAGAGAAGGATGGACAGAGTCAGCAGCATCGACAAGAAGCGAGACGGGGACTAAGACACAGCTGAAATGGCGTTTAATAAGAAATACGCTGGACTTCCTGACCTGGTATGTGCCTCTATGAGAAATACCGCCTAGGAGTGACTGCCGTTTGCTAACACCTGGTGATAAGGACCTTGCTCCTGATATCTATGAAACCCCCGAATTGACAGACGCTTCTACGCTGCCGGTAATGCCTACTCACTGCTAATGCGGACTCTGGAGATTTACATGCTGATGGAAGAATATATTAGGCCACAACGGTACGCTCCTCTTCGCCCTTCGATCCGGAACAGTCTTCAAACCCAGAGATCGATGGCCGTAGATTACGAGTTGATGAAGCTCGTTCACATTTCGAACCTGTTCGAGTCGATGCTAAAGACGTGGACTTCTCAGATAGCATTGCATCCAAGAAGAAATCCTACCGAACGATAAGGGGCCCGGGACGGCAGAATAGGGTAGAGTTGGTACTTGGAGACCTTAGTGACGAAGAGGACGAAACCCTTGAGAGAAAGCTCGCTCGACTTCGAAGGGAGACTGAAGAACTAAAAGAAGAGCTTGCCAGCAGGAAAGCCCAAAGGGATGGCGATGCAGAAACAGAGGAAGGCGAGGCACATGGTGACCATGATGAAGGAATCTTGGAGCTTAGCCAGACTTTGGATACCCTCTACACTTCTTCCAAAGGGACCGGTCACACGGCAGAGGCCGCATTATCCCATAAACTCTCTACAGACGTATACAACGGCCAACGCGTTTTAGGCCAGGGGCCTGTAGGTGCTGATGGGTCTTCCACTTCCCAGCCCAGCCCCAACGCCTCAATTCTATCGCAAGCGGCATCTTTCGACGCACGACTCGCGCTGCTAGAAGCTGCACTGGGGTTGAAGAACACACCCGTACCGGTATCACCAGACGACCCTTCAGACATGGACATCCAGCCTATTCTACCATCACTCAATCATCTTTCTTCCCAGCTCTCGACACTCAGCAGCACTCTTACTGCCAACCAATCGACACATACCGATCGGCCATCTGGGCCCTTATCGGTAACGACAACTCCACACATTGAAGCATTAAGCAGCAAAATCCGCAAACTCACTGCTGACGCGGAAGCACTTACCACTGCCAGGCAGAGAGCAACCGATGCAGCTCGTGCAGCGTTTTCTGCCCGTATTGCTGCTGCAACATCTGACGAACCGCAGCCTTTCATGGATCCTACACTTTCTACCTCCGCAGCAGTAGAATCAGATGCCGCTGCATCTGAACAAACTGCCAAGATACAAGCATTATACCAAACCCTGCCCACCATCACCTCCTTGCATCCCTTGCTTCCTACTGTATTAGAACGGTTACGTTCTTTACGTGCTATACATGCCGGGGCTGCAACGGCTAACCAGGACCTTGATGCGTTAGAACAACGTCAGGCTGATATGAAGAAAGAAATAGATCAATGGAGGGAGGGGCTCAAAGCCATGGAGGAGAAGGTCAAGGAAAGTGAAGAGACAATGAAAGGGAACATGGAAGTCATGGGCCCTTGGGTTAAAGATTTAGAGAAAAGGCTAGATGCCTTGAACCAACAGTCATGATTCCCTGTGCGCTGAGTTCGAATTTTCCTAACATACCCCCAAGTTGTTGTTCTCACTTGGTCTATATAATACAATAATCCGTCACCCTTTAATAACGATATCTCCATGAAGTGATACACCCGGTAGTACATATAGATATAAAGACTATTCTTCAGAATGGTGTTGAGAACATTCATCTGATATGTTTCATGATCCTGATCTTTGGGGCCAACCGAGCTTCAACCCACCAGCCACGTGTAATATGTTTCCTTGCACCCGCCTTGAACGATTCCCAATAATCAACTCCAGTATCCCCAAATAATGTCCGCAAGATCATAGTCTCGACACCACACGCGTAGCAGTCATCAGTACCCGGCCGAACAATGCGGGTCCCATCATATCCATAAGCGTTATCAATAAGCCTCCAGTTACCCATTCCGCGGAGAACCGACTCGTCTTCAACAAGGGCATAATCAATTCGACCCCAGAATTCAGAGTTTCTCTTTTCAATTTCGCTTTCTGTCTTGTCATATATCCATCTGGACTCTCCGGCCTTGAGCTCGGGAAAGCTACCATCGCTCGAGCCAGGGAGATAGATCATTGGGGACTTGGGAATTGGCATCTCCAAGAAATGCGTTGCTCCGGTTTGGCATGTTAATGTGTCCATGTGGACCGTAATGACCGGTTGAGTGTTATGGGCGAGAACATGCACTTGCTTCATGGCTGCTCCGCCTGGGTAGTTGGCCATGGAAATAGGTAGAAGGATGAAGAATGAGATCGCGAACGAAACCAAGGTTGTAAGTACAAGGGAGAGGGAAAGGAGGCAGTAAAGGATGGATTTCGCTCGACGAGTCCAGACATATGATGCTCCAAGGGAAGCAACGCCGGTCAACGGCGGTATTGTGTAGATGATAAAGCGCCATTCCTTATGTGGCTGAAGACTCATTACCGCAATAAAGCTAACGAGCGGAATGACGATGGACCGGGCAGCTTGACGGAGCGGATGCATCAGACAAGCAATAGGGATACACACAAGATATACCAACGGATTTAAAAGAAGACGAGGCAGGGCATTGATCAAGTAATGGTACCACGGGTCGGTACCCCAGTTTGAAGCCTTCCCCTGAAGAACATTATATGCAAAACCAGCCAATTCAGGCCAGAGGGGGAACTTCTGCCAAAAGAAAGAATCGATCAGTAGGGTGATGGTTAGACCAACCAAAACACCGCCAATGCCTGCTGGAATTATTTCTCGACGTAAGCCTATCCGCCCCTGAGCCCAGAGGTATATCGTTGTTGTGCCTAGTAAGACTGCGATTTCAGACCGGAAAATCACCCCTGCAATGGTGAGCAGGTAGAGCGATAATCGATAATTCCTGCTTATACGTTCGCTAGATGATGCGTGCAGACATGCCACGAGAAGGGTATAGGTAAAGGTAGCTATTGGTCATTGATAAATAGATAGACATAAAAAAAAGTTATAAGGTTAGAGCAGGACAAGGGTTGTGCATACTGATAGGTAACGCGAACATATTCGGAAGGGTCCTCGAAGCATAGTACATGATATGAAACTGACTACCTTGGAACAAGAGGTACCATATTCCAGTAGTCAATCCAAATGACCTGCTCAGCGCACGAGCAAACCCTCCCAAAGCGAGGAAATTAATGAACCATAGCACGCCGCGTACTAATAGGTATGTTAGCATAATATATGTTATATATGCAAAGGGTATTGAAACCAACCTATGGCTTGAGGATCAGCACCAGTAATACGTATCACCGGCTGAGCAACGCCAGCTAGAATGACAGCGCCAACGAACGTCCTGGGGACGGATCCAGGGAAACTAACATGATCATATTGGTTGAGGACGGGCAGCGGGTTACCGACTGAGGGCACTCCGTACTTTAATATGTCATGGGCTGCCTGGATATTAAAGGACTCCTCAACCTTGGTAAAAGGGGATAGCCAAAGGTAAGCGGTGCCAATGATGCAGCTGACTGCCAGCGTAAACGCGAATATCAGATTCTGCATATCATCTGGCACTAACAGAATAAACAATTTTTAAACACCGACCAATTCACATCAAAATTATTATGGGTATCAGGATGGAATTGTTAACTTGTCTAGTGTGTTGACATTGGGATCAGCATGTAGTTAGTTGCAGCCCTGGAAGGTGTTGCGAAAGCACAGTCACGTGAAAGCTCCAGCTTCCAACAACGTTCGGTCGAGGTTATCAATCAATCAATATCAACTTGCAAGGCCGCAACGAAGTCGACTCTTTGCGCTGCGCTCTCTACTCTCCGGAAACCAGGGCTCTGGACGTAAAGTGATTTCTCGCAATAAAATCTTCAAAATGTTCTTCTTTGGCCTCGGGAAACTATTTCAAGGTATGCGCTCTTTCTCTCCGCTGTCTGTCAAGTAGTACCCTATCTATCTATACCAATGCAACGCACACACCTCCAAGAAATCTGCATGAAACCAGGAGACTTACAAGCTTATCTGTCTAATCTATAGTGGTAATACTTATAATAAACGCCATTGCAATATTATCGGAAGATCGCTTCCTAGCACGAAGTAAATCGCCCCCGCCAGCCGCCATCGAATGCCCATACCCATACCCCCCTTGCCTTACCTCTTATCCTGCAGAAGTGACAATGCTAACTACTCTGATAAAAGTCGGCTGGAGTCGAACACAGTACGATGCAGGGTTCGGAGCAACACACGATAACACAAGCATAAAAGCGAAATCCGCCGATTTAATCGCTAGTGTTCGGACAGTTATGAGGAGTACGTCGTCTGCCACACATATATACATACATACCTTCGTGGGGGATCTGTTCTGACCATTCGCGATATAGTCCCGTTAATCGCTATAAATATGCTGGTTATATTCTACGAGTTGGTTCTGGGATGATTCTTGCTTATGGAGTTTTATAATGGATTTGCGAATTTGAATCGATGTTTGGCGTTTTTATATATGATACTTACCTTCTTTCCCGCCTGACGCCGCACCCACTTCCAGACACTGCGCACCGTCATGGCTGCTAGAAGGGCATCAGAGCAGTGTCCCAACCTCCGCCGAAGAAGGATAGCGTGGTGGCGCCCAGCTGGCACAGGGCCATTTCTCAATCAAAATATTAAATGATACGGAGGCAATGGTAGTGAAGCAAAGCGAAGCATAAGAGAAAGATAAATTGGAGAATAAACCTCCCCCAAGACCAGTGAATCTAATCAATCAATCAATCATATTAACATTTAACATTTCATTAGCGATGCATAGTTAGCCGTGTACCGGGCTACATTTAACATCAACATCAACATCAACACACACTTTTCTCTTGCAAGTAATCAGTTCTGTTCTTAATTTTTCCATCAGTCAAAATCTGGCATGCCATACTGTATATGTAGACGCGCAGGGCAAAAAAAAAGAAAGGCAGTGGAAACGAACGATCTGATGCCAGCAAGTGAAAAAATTGAACGGAAGAAGGACACCTGTCTTTCTTTGGACGGTGTATAGAATGGGAAATGGCATTTAAATCGTCTTTGGTTTGGTATCAGGCTGTAGATCGTGAGGTAGGAAGGGAATGATGGACGGGTTACATGGCACGTTAAAAGCGAGAGAAGTGTAGGGCTCTATATACAATCCAAAGAGGCGGAGAGGTATGGATAAACCACGGCAAATATATGCAGGGAAGAGAAAGATGGTCGGCTAGAAGGGGAAAAAAACGAGGTGATGTGATAACCAGCGACTCCGCGTAAATGAGTAGAAAAGATAGGAAAGATGAAGAAAAAGATGAGACGCCGATGAAAGCCAGCCAACCAGTGTATGTATGTGGGTATGTAGTATATGGCAAACTCAGATATGTGGTACAGATGCGAGATGATTTGACGATTCAAGCGAGAGGCAGACGGGTAAAGTAAAGAAGGGGACAGGAGCTAGGTGTGAAGTATCGAGTTATAGCACACTGAATGACTTTTTGCGGAGGCTGAACCTGCTTCGTCGGGGGGTGGGTTGTTTCGGCGGAGATGGAGTAGGGGGTGGTTGTGGGAGTGAAGTGATCTGCGACTGTTGCTGGTGCGAGGAGAAATCCTCCTGCTCAGCCTGTGCGAGTACTCTGGCTGCTAGATGGGGCTGCTCGCTCGTTCCGGACCCGGAAGCAGAGCCTGAAGCGGGAGGCTGGTTAGCTGCATCAGTGATTGCACTGGATGAGGTATCGAGATCCCGTCGTTGGAAGTTTTTGGGCGTGATAGTGATGTCTGAAGCAGTAGGGTTGCCGTTCATGGCAGAAGCAGAAGCAGTAGGTAGGGCTGGCACTTTGTCCTTGTTGTCCTTGTTATCCTTGTTGTCTTTGTTATTGTTGGAGGTGTTGTTGTCTTTGTGTTTTCTGCTGTAGCTGAGTGTTCGGCTGCCGAGTTTGAGTCTGCCCAGTCCGCCTGCGATTCCGTTGATGCCGTTCGTGAAACCATTGGCGATTCCATTGGTATTTCCATTCCCATTAGCATTGGTGCTGCCGTTACCATTGGCAGCGTCGGATGCACCCTCTGAGGACAACCGTTTCTTCTCAGAGGACAGTCTCTTTTTCTCTTCTTTAGCCGTAAGTTTACTTGCGTCGAGGGCAGATTTGATCTGCTGTTCTTCCTTCTTCGCTAGCTCTCTCAGACGGGCCTCTGCTTTCTCCTGTTCCTTGCGTTTCTGCTTCTGGATTTCTTTCTCCTGAGCCTTGCGGTCCTTTTCTTCACGAGCTCGTTCCTTTTTGGACTGAATTTCGGCGGTTCGGTCAGGAGTTCGAGACATCAGAGGGATACGAGGTAGAGAGATGGGCAGTTTGTTAGACGATGGCGTAGGTGCAGTGGCTGGTTGTGAATTGGCTGCCGTGGTAGGGAGGGCGGTTGGCGGGGCATCACCTATATTCGAGAGCTGCGGTGCGCTGGGTATCAGTTTGATGGGGTTGAATGAGCCAGCGGTTGAGCTGTCTGTTGTTGTAGGGAGCTGGGGTATGGCACTGCGAACCCGACTGATATCCTGCGGCGGTGTTGGGATTGGCTGATTTCCGGTAGTTTTCAAGTCCAGAGCCGCCAAGGGTGCCAGATCCGCATCCTGAGACTTTGAAGCGGCAGACATGCGCTCGTCACTCTGCAGCTCGCGCTGCATGGCCTCGAAGGTAGTTTCCTGGTAGAACAAGACATAGGCACAAGCCTGGCCCGGCTTGTCACCGAAGAAATTGCGCACATAGCTTTTGTCGACGGGTTCGACCATCTCGTCATCGAACAGCAGCCAGCCTCTGTCTTCGGTTTTTATGATAGCTACATAGTGGCCATGGTAGGGCCCGCCGCCGATATGCACGACCACGGCATAGAGCTCGTACAGGCGGTCCGGGTCCTCGGCATCGTCTGTGGTATTGAAGAGTCGTAGGTAGTAAGGATAGACGACACGATGGAACAGCTTCTGTAACCTTTGCTGGTCTTCGGTGTACTTGAAGCGTTTCAGGTGCAGGGCCAATATCCTGGGCAGACGCTTTATCTTCATTCTCTTTTCAGCTTCCTGCAGGCCGCCGCAGTTATCACAGTGGAACTTGTTGCGTTCGCAGAGCATCTCTTCCTGCGAGAATTTCCGCAGACATGAGGTTACGGAGGAGTGCTGTTCCAGGTCGACGGAGAGATCGAGGAATGCCTCGTCACGCTGGGATTTCTTTTCACAGGTAAGACACTCTGTTTCGGAGGTGAGCTTCCCCTCGAACAGCTCGTGGACCCAGCGAGTGCTGTAGGGGGACTTTGCGCTGCCGCCGACAGAGGTAGCCAGTGTAGTTGCGACGGAAGTGGAGGTTGCAGTGCTTGACTCTGAGTCGGCGTCTGCTTCGAGCATGGAGGTCCTGTTTGCCTCGGCCTCGACATTGTTGACGACTTCGTTGAGCAGCAGGTTCAGAAACTCGTGGGCGTCCTGGTGCATGGCCGTTCTGAACATCTCATTTTCCCGCCGTAGGACGTCGAGGAAGTGCTGTGGTCTGACGACACCGACGCGTTCCTCGCTGGCGGCTATGGACTCGAATATGTCCTTTAGCGAGGTAAAGAGGGACTCCTGCATGCCGTAGTTTTGAGAATTGTCGGTCGTCTCGAGGACGGGCAGGGTATGCATGGCGACTTTCTTCTTGTACTCTGGCGAGTCCTTGTCCTCTGCCTTTGGGATCTGGTTCTGCGGGTTGAGTGTTGGTCTGACTCCATTGCTGGTGGCGAGCTGCTGCTGCTTGAGCTTGGTCTGGAGCAGTGCTTCTTCGAGCGAGATGTCTGGGTCCGGGTACTTGAAGTTGGTGGAGAGTGCGTGTTTGAGCGACTCTGGCGGAGAGCGCTGGGGGTAGTTTATGACGGACTCTCTAAAGGGGGCGGAGTAATATAGACATTGGAGGATGGAATTGCAGTAGCTGTGAGAGGTAAGGCCTGTTAGGAAAGACATTATTATATCCAAAGAGAAGGAGATGTCCCTGACTAACCATGTGTTGGCGAATGGGGCCTAGAAGACAAGTCAGTACCACATCGCTAATAATATTAACAAAAGAAGTTATGAAGGGACTTACATTCTCCATGCCAAAGAACTTGTCACTGCCATCACTTTTGAGCGGTCCGGCGTCCGAGAGGAGTTTCTGGAGCGGCGTCTTGGGCAAGGGAGCCGAGTCCTTCTTCGAGGCTGCGGTACCGTTGGCGGAGGTGCTGTTGGCCTGGATAAAAGCAAAAGAAAGAAGAGAGAGAGTCGATAATCAGCAAAAAAATGATGTCACTTTTATTTTTTTTTTTAAATGCAAAAGCTGTGGTGTCCTCAAGAGAGCTCCGACGTACTCCATTGCCTCTGAACTTGCCAAAGAACGAGCTCATGGTGAACCGCGAGCTCGAAGGGTCTGGCTGTCACCGGCTCTCACGCAGCCAAGCCAGAGGAGGGCCGGCGCAGAGCAGCACAGGAATGAATATAATATATATATATAAATGTATATAAATAGCAGTTATATATGGGACGATCGGGTCAACAGACAGGCGGTTCGACGGAGGCGCGCTGGACCATCTGGACACAGAATAGGGCGTAGGAACAGGAGGAAGAAGGAAGACGGAAGAGGGAAGCGTCTTTGTAGCAACGGCGACGATCGTATTTCGGCGAGGGTCTTTTGTCGACGCAGCGCAGGGCTGGCTGCAGGCGAGGGAACTAAGAAAAGGCGACCAAGAGCGGATCTTGCCGTGGGTACAGTCGGGGTAAAAGGGCCGACGGGGACGGCGAGAGGGCCAGCGAGGCTCAAGCGAGGAAGAAGGAGAAGGAGAAGCAAGAGAAAGCCCTGCAGCTGTGAGGACGGTCGAGGGCGCAGGCGAGGGCGAGGGCGAGGGCGACGGAGGTGTTTCACGCAGGGAGGAGAGAGAGAGAGCGAGAGAGAGAGGAAGAGACGAGAAGGGCGTTCTGGTTAAGTAACTAGTCCTGGTTGGCGGGCTTAGGGCCTTGGGAGGAGCGGAAGGCTGCCAAGGGACGGCGACGGCAGAGAAGCAGGACAGAGAGTAGAAGTAGAAGAAGTAGAAGAAGTAGAAGTAGAAGAGAAGAAGAAGAGAAGAGTAAAGAAGAGCAAAGAAGAGTAAAAGAGTAAAGAAAGACGAGAGTCGCAGTGCAAAGTCGCAGCGAAGAGGCAGCATGCTGACTACTGACTACTGACTATGGCGCGGTACTTTGCGGCTGGGCGGGCGTCTGGTGCGGGCGCAGGTACCTCTGCATGGCAACTATGCGACAGCCAAAGAGACGGCCAGAGAGACCAAAGAGACAGCCAGCCAACGACGACGACGACGACCCCCGGCCTGCCATGCCTGTCGGCCTACACATGGCAAGGGAAAAGTCGCTTACTTGGGCCGTCTTAACTTCCGCTAGTTCTGCGTGTTTCTCGTACTTGCTTGCTGGGGGGGCCATATCTTCCGAGGGCGACACAGGCAGACACCCGAGCATCGCCATCGTCAGTTACTCTTGAAGTCATCCCACCAGACAGTGCTCTAGTTAACTGGTGAGTTACTGATTCTACGGGCAGTCAAGGAGTGACGGCATCGATGACAGGCGCCTGTGCGATCGTGACACCGTTCGCCGAATGACAGACGGCATCAGCAGGCAGACGAGGGAGGGGACTTGGGCTTTCTCCCCCTTTCCATCTGCCTGCCTCCCTCCCCCTTGTCGTCTTGTCACTGAGTAGCTGCCAGACAAGCTCCGGGCGAAGCCTCCCTCCTTCTTGGTCTCTTAGCTTCTCTTGACTTGACTTTCTAGTGCTGGTGGTGGTGGTGCAAGGCTTGCGGCCTCTCCCTCCCTGCCACCCCCTACACCCTCGCCCTCAGTCTATACTTACTTACATCTAACGAGTTATCCCACGCTGTCGTGTCTGTCTGTCTCCTCGTCCCTCCTCCGTTAACTCCAGAGTGGCTCCCTTCGACTCCTCTCTGCTCCTCCCTGGCGCGGGCGGCTTCCACCTGGGCTCACTCTCCATCCACCCATCCCTGTCGTGGCCGGCATGCCTCCCCCTCCCAGGCGATTGGCGAAGAGATCCCGCACCCACCAGCAGGCCAAACGCTCTCGGCCACGGCAGAAAGCGTATCTGTTCTACGGAGTATAACTAGCTATATACTTAAATATATCGCCAGGGAGAAAAGTTGCTTTCGATCGTCGGTGGAGGACAGAGTTCTTCTGGAAGCAGAGGCGAAGGGGGGAGCGTGGGAAAAGGAGCCAAAGCAGGCGACGATCCACGTGGGAAAGGAGGTCGGGCCCAGGGATCATGCCTGTCCCATAACACAGGGCGTTATTTGTGGGAGTCGAGGCAGGATGCAGCCAGCTGGGGGGCAGTCGGAGTTGCGTGGAACAGCGGGCGTCCAGTGCGAGGTGCAGCTCTACCGCTCATATTATGATAGATCTACTGGTAAGTTATACTTGGTACGTACCAAGATGGAGATGTACACTGTAGACTCTCGATACCTCCTCCGTTCAAAGCGCCGTTAATATTGGTGTTTATATGCTCCACATGTTCATTCTACTCCGCTACTTAAGTACTTACTCGATGCAGTTATTGCTCGTTATACAGCGAGGTTGCACATCCTCCTGGCCTGTCTCTCTAGATTCGGTGCCAGCAAAGTGATACAGCCGGCCCTCCCTCCCTCCCTCCCTATCCCCCGTTGGCCCATGGGATCTCAGAGCTTGGATCTCAGAAGGATGCCCTGTCCGACGTCGGTTAGATGATGTCATGTCCAGCCAGAGACCGTGGGCACACACCGTATCAAATTTCCAACCGAGTATTGTATAGATATCTCATAAACACTGGCATCTATACCAATCTACAATCTACTCAAAGTGAAAGACCCCTTACATCTCCTATATATTATATCTATCTCCACCACTCTCGTAGTCACAAAATAAGCCCAACGCCCTTCACCAGCTCGACCCATCCTATCGTGCCTCCTCCCTAACCGACCCTCGTACTCCCCTGATACGCCCCGTCATACCCTTCCACCGGCTCGCTCATCTGGTGGAACACAAACTGGCCCAGCCTCGCTTCCTTATACACCCGCAGACCCGCCGGGTTCACCACCTGTAACATCGCACCCACAGCTCCCGTATACCCGGCATCCATCACCCCAGCGCTCAGCAGCGCGCCAGACCTGAACAGCGAGCTGCGCACAAACAGCTGACCCATCACATCCAGCGGCACCGAGACCGTTTCGTTGAACTCGACCAGATACGAGCCAGGTGGCAGGTCTATCATCACTGCTTCATCGTGGTGGTCGTCGTCATGGTCGTCGTCGTGGTCATCGTCGTCGTCTTTTCCGCCACTACTACTACTGCTAGAGCTAGACTTGATCTTGGTAAAGGGTATTTCCTTCGTAGAGGCTGGTTGGCGGTGCGAGTTATCAAGGTCGACGGTGCCGGCAGAGGTCCAGGTAAGCACTCTCTTCAGGGTGAGGTCAACGCCGCCGGGCTGGACTTGGAGGGAAGGGGAGACCAGGTCGTTGATGATCTTGCGAGACACAAGAGCGTGTCCTGGTAGGATCATGTTTAATTATTCCTGCCCAAGAGCTCGCATGTAAGAAGATATATACTCCGTATGTATGTATATTCATTGCTGTGATGTTTGGTGGACGTTGGATTTGTTGAAGTATGGAGGGCATATAAAGAACTGGTGCTCAGGTCAGACAACAACCATCCTTAGTGGTGTAGAGGTAACATAACTCTCTTTCACAGAGTCGCCCGGGGTTCGATTCCCCGCTAGGGAGAAAATTCTTTTTTCATTTTTTAATTTTTTTTTTTCGTTTGGCTGCTGATTATGTAATTTTCATCTTTCACTCACAGTTCCTTCCCTGCTACAAATAAATAGAGCAACAAATAACACATACAGATAATATAGGGAGAATATAATACGTACGATATATAAAAGATCACTTAAAAACAATAGAGTACTTTATGCATGGTATTGTAGAAACGCCTGTATCCATCATGTGTCTATATATAGTCTTACAACTTGAAGACGTCGATTTTAAGTACATCACGTGGACAACATCTTCGGCAGGACTTGGTTATTTATATTGATGAGACAACCGCAATAAGGCCATCTTTGTACGGTGTACATCGAGAAAAAAGAGATGACAGTGGGATAGCGGATAAGGGCCTGCAGAAGGTAGATAGTGATGCAATACTCCGTACTCCGTACCAGTCTTGTTATGCGGGACCAAAAAAGAGAATTCCATGATCGATGTAGGTACATACTAACTGACGAGAGCATAAAAAAGATAAAAATCAAAGTTGAATGCGCTCCCTAGCGGGGAATCGAACCCCGGGCACGAGTGTGAGAGACTCGGATGTTACCTCTACACCACTAAGGATGGCTTGTTGTGGGAAACGCTCGCCAAAATGGCAGATGAGCAGAGTGGGTAGATTCAAAGGTCGGAAGTCAAAAAAAAAAAAAAAATGCATGCCAAGACATATTTTGTCTCCACTCTCGCGGTAAAATGGGCGGCCGGAGTCAAGCGACCAGTGGTGAGTGGACTTAGGAATGGATATATATATTATATAAAAAAATATTACTCCCTAGCGGGGAATCGAACCCCGGGCGACTCTGTGAAAGAGAGTTATGTTACCTCTACACCACTAAGGACTTTTCATTATGTAAGTGGCTTCTTCACGAACAATAAAAGGGTAATTTATGCAATAGGCTATTGCTCGTGTGAAGACATGTCTGATATCATGTATTTACGCTCTACTGCCCCTCCTTACATATTTTATATTCTACATCAAGTACATTCATAAATACTATTGCCTTATATCAAGGCAACGGTGACTTTCTTTTGTGGTTGAATAAATATGAGGGTACGCTACTAGCTGACCTTGCCAACATACGTTCGTGTAGTTATAGATATGGATACGAATTTTGTCTAACATGGGAAGCCAATCAACGAATTACTGGACAGAGAACTAGCGAATACCAAAGTAACTAACCGCAAGAATGTCATCTGTCTAGCTTCACCTCGGATTCATTTTCTCATTATTCTCATTTAGTAAAGCAGTAAGTTATGCCTTTTGATGGTAGATATACTCCACCAGAAGGTAATATGCGAGTAATAGATAATCTACTTCGCCATGCAACAGGTTCCTATGTTGTAACTCAACGTAGCTTTCTTCAGCATCCACTGATAGTTACCTTCTAAAATTAATATTAGAGGAACGTGACCGTGTCTCCGATCGTGAGGAGGAAATATTTCAATCGCCTTGAAGTTGTGTACCTATATGTCAGGTACCTACGATGTCGCCCAAGCTACAAATGCCACATATCCAAGAAGGAGTCCCAGCCATCTATCTATATTTCTCTTCCTCCGTGACTACTGAAATTAGCCTGATTGTTAACCATGAAACATAGCTTTTCCCTTTACCTTCTTCCATCCAGTAGGTGCGTCTAGATAGGGAGAAACACCAAGACCTGCCGTTGGTGGCTGCCCACCTCTATGAAGCAGCACAGCCTCGCTCTTCCATCCAGCCATCCTTAGTGGTGTAGAGGTAACATCCGAGTCTCTCACACTCGTGCCCGGGGTTCGATTCCCCGCTAGGGAGCGCATTTATATCTTTTTTTATTTCCATTTTTTTTTTTTTGGCAGAGATTTTGCTGGCGGAGATTCTATTCTCCGTGTATCGATGCAATGACTACATGAAAAGTATGAGTCAAAGGCAGTCTTGAAGTGTATAAAACAGTAATTAAGGCCCTCAATTCCTTCATTTTCCTTCCTTCTTTTTATCTGTTCTCCTTGACGATCGTTTTGGATGCTGTGCCAGCGGGTTCTGCGGGTTTTTGGCTGCCGTCGACTGTCCGTTCGAGCCCTCCCCTCCATCCCAACTCTAAACTCCGGTAGAGACCCCTCCATCTTCGCACAACACTGCTCGTCTTCTTCCTCTCGCCGATATCACGACCACTCGCACCCTCCAGACCAGCTAGACACCATGGCGCCCAAGGGAAAGAACTCGTTTACCCTCAAGACGCCCAAGGGGACCAAGGACTGGTCTGGCCCTGATGCCCTGCTGCGCGACAACATCTTCAGCACAATCACCAATGTCTTCAAGCGTCACGGTGGCATGGCGCTTGACACGCCTGTCTTTGAGCTGCGCGAGATCCTGGCGGGCAAGTACGGCGAGGATTCGAAGCTGATATACGACCTGCAGGACCAAGGCGGAGAGATATGCTCGTTGCGATATGACTTGACCGTCCCCTTTGCACGATGGCTGGCCATGAATCCGGATGTGCGCAACATAAAACGATACCACTTGGCCAAGGTGTACAGGCGAGATCAGCCAGCTATGACAAAGGGACGGATGAGAGAGTTCTACCAGTGCGACTTCGATATTGCCGGTGCACAGTTTGACCCCATGGTTGCGGACTCGGAGGTGCTTAAGATTGTCACCGAAGTGTTCGAGGACCTGGGCTGGAAGGGGAAATATACGATTAAAGTTAACCACCGAAAGATTTTGGATGGCCTGTTTGAGGTGTGTGGTGTGCCTCAGGATAAAATACGGACCATCTCCAGCGCGGTGGACAAGCTGGACAAACTACCATGGGAGGACGTCAGGAAGGAAATGGTGGATGAAAAGGGCCTCGACGGTGCCGTAGCTGATAGCATTCAGACATATGTTGTTCGAAAGGGCAGACGAGACCTCCTTGAATCATTGCTGACAGATGAGAAACTCACTGCCAACGCCTCTGCCAAAGCCGGCTTGGATGACATGGCCTTGTTGCTTGAATATCTTGAAGACTTTGGCGTGGTAGACAAGATCTCCTTCGATATGAGTCTTGCTCGTGGTCTTGATTATTACACCGGTCTTATCTACGAGGTCATCACTGAAGGCTCAGCGCCTGCAACTGCTACCTCTGCCCCCGAGGCCCAAGCCCTGCAACGCTCCTCGAAGAAGGACAAGAAAGTAGACCCTGATGAGGACAGATCTAATGATCCTTCTGTTGGCGTCGGCAGTGTTGCTGCTGGAGGTCGATACGATGACCTAGTCGGCATGTTCTCGCCAAAGGCCCAGATACCATGTGTCGGAGTATCGTTCGGTGTTGATCGAATCTTCTCCATCACCAAAGCTCGCATGCAGCGCGAGAGCAATGCAAATGCTCTACGAAGCAGTGAGGTGGATGTATACGTTATGGCGTTTGGCGGCAAGGGTTTCACAGGGTTACTAAAGGAGCGAATGCAGATCTGCAGGTCACTTTGGGAGGCCGGTATCAAGGTAAGCCTATATAAAAAACTTCTTTCTTTAACTTTCTGAATATATTCTAACGTCAAATGTCCAGGCTGAATTCTCATACAAAGTCAAACCAAAACTTCCCGCTCAATTCAAAGCTGCTGAAACCAACGGCATCCCCTTCGCCGTTATTCTAGGTGAAGATGAGCTTGCTGCTGGACAAGTCCGCGTCAAGGAGATGGGTCTTCCAGATGGCCACCCTGAGAAGGAAGGTGTGCTGGTTGACGTCGACTCTCTTACCACTGAAATCAAGCAAAGGCTGGAGAAGAAGGCGAGCGAGGCCGATGCACCTGCAGAAAAACCAGCAGATGAGCCAGCGGACCTAGCCCAGAAAGTAAAGGATCTGTTGTAGGTGGGGGGAAACGGAGGAAGATGATGAAATATTTTGAAATTATTCCTTTCGAGGGGTGAATGCATTTCTGGAATTTTTCAAGGGTGCATGGACGCAAGGATGTATTGTTTATTTATTGCTTTATCGGGATACCACCTTCTGCTTACTGCCTTCGCGGATAGACTAGAAGCTTTTACTTCTTGTTTTAAATATTTATAAAACCTGATAAATATCTGCAAAAACTCTGTGTTTGACAGCGTTTTGCCCAAGACAAATGGATATGGTGGGATTTAGAAACTGTAAATTGTAAATTGTAAAAATCATATATTGGTACAGTGTGCAAGGATATCTACCTTGAAATTTTAATTAGTACATGATAGAAAAGGTGTTCAAGCAGTTGAAGCTCGCTTCATGATAACCTCCTTCAACGCCGAAAGGCTATTCACAGCGCTTAGACCAACACCTCTTGCCCATGCAAACGGCCCATAGCCAGGAACATTATAGGCCTTATGCAGAAGATCACAGGCTCCTCCAATCCCAGCGTTAGTTATCCATCTATCAGCTGCATATTGTTCCAAGCTAAGCAAAGAGCCAATATCCATTCCGTGCTGCACAGCATATTCAATCGCGCGATGGAGAGAAATTACATCGCCGACCCCAAGGTTCAACCCTAGTCCTCCAAGAGGGTGTATGACGTGAGCCGCATCCCCGACTAGTGCCACTCGAGGTGAGATGTAAGTTGATGCATGGCGGAAGCGTAATGGGAAGCCAGCAACTGTGTTCGAGTGAACCGTTTCAACCTCTGGTGGCACATACGATGGGACAGGGGTATGCTGGAGCCGCCAGGATAACTCGTCTGCGTGGTCATAGCTTGTCTCAGAGGATGTTTGGTTTGGGCTAGACGGTAAGGAGAACATGTATTTCAGGTCTGTTATGGATAGGCGGAAAGCAGCATTTACCATTGCTGTAAATGCTTCTGGAGATAGTGACTTGAGATATGCAGCATTCTGCACGGTGGTTGACCAGACAAGTGTAGCAAAGTTGTTAGGTAGAGGAAGCATGGCAACCGGACCACCAATTCCTGGAAGGAACCGCTGATATGCAGTTACCGGTCTGGATGAAGAGGCTGCCGAGTGGGAGAGCTTCAGGGTAGCAACGACACCATGTCGGTCATAATCCCATCCATCCGTCGAGATACCGGCAAATGATCGAACAGGACTGTTAATTCCATCTGCTCCAACTAAAAGACGAGCGGCAATGGTAGGGAGCTTGGAATTGGTTTCCGTCGAAGATGAAGGAGATAAGGTGAGAACCGGCCAGGCCGAAAGATCGGGTCCATCGGGAATATCAGTGCCGTTATTGATAGATGTGACCTTTGTCGAAGAGAAAATAGAGACATCTTCACCAAGGGACTCAATTCGTGACAGTAGACCTCGTATTAGATTCGCGTTCTCGGTCATGGTCGCAATTGTCTTTGAAGAAGCATCGTGATCGATCAGGCCGGGGGGCCAGTTGAATGAAATATTCGACCCCGTCACTCCATCCCACACTTCCATTTCCTCATATGGTTGCACTCGAGAGGAGTCAATGTGTTGCCAGGCGCCGATACTTTTCAGGAATGCCACAGATGATGGTGTGAGACTGCTAACACGGTTGGAAAAGTTCTCAGAGTCGAGGTTCCAGCTTTTGGCCTTGGTGATATCCTGGCTTTCGACGAGGGCGACTTTGAGCTTGGAGGTAATTGGAGAGGATCCTAAGTATCACATATTAGTTAACTGGAAGATTTGAAGCTGTAACCTGAGGTGCCATTGGTACAGGTGAACGTACTTAATGCTGTTAACAGAGCTAACCCTGCCGGACCCCCTCCAACACAGACAATGTCATAGATGTCAGGCTGTTGCGAAAGACTGGAGGCGAATCTCTTCCGCTGTGCCTGAATCCCACGTTTACACGACGTGCATATATATGGGCGCAATGCGCCACCTAGTAACGAGCGCATCGCGATAGCAGATTATCACAGTGTGCTATTGATATTTGATAGGTATGCGAAATGAAGCTACGGAAGTTCCTCGTTGGATCAAGGTTCAGGTCCAGGCTCTTAGTCAGCTCTTAGTCATGACATCACGCAACAGACGACCAAAATAAAAAATAAAAAAAAGGAAAGTGACAAGGGTGGGATTCGAACCCACGCCCTCAAGGAGGACCAGAATATCTTGGGTGGTGATCACCGCTGATTATTACTGATTAAGGTTAGCCTTAATCTGGCGCCTTAGACCGCTCGGCCACCTTGCCTGTTCATGTCTATCACGTGGAGTCATCGACTCCTTGAACCTCATGCATATCTCTAAGACATCACCAACAGCCTTTTACTAGTGAAACAACTACAGACACATTAGAATAACATGATGATTCATTGAAACTGATATATTAAGCAGCAACTGAAAACTTTTCTAGCCATGATATGGTTTGCACAGGCCCTATTCAATTGCTGAACATCCTAATTTCCATCGCTCCATTGAGAGGATACCATTTCAAGGTGCCATACGAGGATGCCAGCGTTCTAGTAACAGTGGCAGATACTAGAAGGATATATCAGTAACGAAGCTGCATTTAATAACCTGGAATGATTGATGTTCTTACTTTGATCTGCCAGGGCTGGGGCATCTGGCTCGTCCTCTGAAGCCCATGCTCGCACACTACGGGTTATGAGTTAGCCTTCCGGTAACAGCTATGGTGATGATGAGAGTGAATGTCATCTTACGCCTGGGGTGCAATCGGAATCCCGATAACAGATACCGCTAACAGGAATAATTGCTATGGGTAAATCAGCCTGACCCTCAGCTGCAGCCTCGGCCCTGGCAGCAATCGGTACACTAGCAACGGCAGCAATAGCAGTCTGGCCCAGGATGGCGAGAGCTGCGAGAAGGGAGCAGGAGAGCTTCATGTTGGAATAGTCGGTAGCTCGATTGCAACGAGGTAAAGATTCTAAGTCTCAGAGGATTGATTGAATTAAATTGGAAGAGATGGTTCTTGGAAATCAAAGGCCATCACGATGGATACATGCTGATATTTATACCCGGTAGAAGACCAGCAGTCATTAAAACAGGCTAGCAAGCAAGCAAGCAGTCAGCAACTACTGTTTCTGCTCTTTGTCTATGTGTGCAGTCGTATCTTCTGGCTAATGTATCTTTCGTTGCACTACGTCTCCTGTGGAGGTTGAGAGTGTGCCACACAAGTATCTGTCCTCTGAATTGCGTCTTCACCACCAAATGCGGTCCTTCGGTAGGACTTTGACCGAATAATATGGCATAAAGATACACCGTTAGCATATTCTGCTTTACGCAACCGTCGCGGCATTGCTATCCGGATTACCACCGAGCCTTTGCCATATTCTATATACAGAAATGGCAGATATTGTTACATGCCAATTGGCGATCGGATGAATGTGAACACAGTGTGGTGAGATCAATTGAGTCTTCAAAAGGGCTAAAACTAGGAAGGATAAATAATGTATAGATAGCAGTCAAAACAATGTGCTAGATCTAGCGGCTGGATATCTTCCTGTAGGCCACTACGAAAGTGTGGTGGGCTACTTTTCTACAACACAATTTGTTAACAGACTAACCGGCGGCCGTTAACAAGATACAATCACACACTAGGAGCAGTTTCTGTGGGATGTTTCGATCGATGTGTGGCACGTAATGCAGGATGCGGTTAAGTTACTCAATGGACAAGACAAAGAAAAAAAAGCATCTCGACGGGATAGAATCGTGTGAAAGAACACGCCGATCAAATCCAATTGTGGAATACACTCTGGGAATTTAGGAATCGTTGAAAAGGAATAATGCAGCTATTAATTCATATTCTCTGGCTCAAATGCCATCCAAAAAGAACATATAACGCCAGTCATGACTGAGAACCAAGTAGGCATGCAAAAAGAAGAGCCTTGGAGCTCTAGTGCCAAATTTCATCTATACACAAACTAAAAAAAGAGAGAAGAGAGAAACGGCGAACCAATTCATGCAGGTCGAACTTGAGGCTTCTTCGCTTTCAAATCATGCTTGCCACCGACATCATCTCCATCGGCTTCCATCTCCACAATGAAGCGCTCCCAAGTTGCCAGAACACCTTGGTAGAAGTCGACGTGTTTCTGTGTCATTGCGCCCAGGGTATCGCGGAACTCGATTGCTTTAATACGCTCAAAGTCGGAAACCTCGCGGACAACTTCTTCATCAAACATCTCGGAAGTTGTTTTGGCGCTTTCAACTTCACGGGTCAATTCATCAATTCGAACCTCCAGTTTTCGGACTTTCTCTCGGCGCGATTGTTCGTGATCAACGCCTCTGATATCCTCCATCTTTGACCTGATGAAAGAAGCAGGGCTGCTTGTTAGTGGGTTTGTGGCGTAGTATGAGGAAGGGTTGTTGGTCAGATTTTCGCGCTCCGCCACGGCTTTGTTGAGGTAGTCAACCAGCGCCTCGTGGTCTAGCTGCTTCTGCTCCCTTGTTTTGAGCAGGGTTTTGAGAGATAAGATGTAAGCCTCCATATCACGAAGACTGCCTAGGTAGTTTTGATCTGTATGTTCCTTCAGGTTTTGAATACCATAGGATGTTTCCTCAACGCAACCGGCAAAGATCTGTAGAGGTACCTCTAGCTCAGGTTCTAGAGGGACAAGTTTGCGGAACTGGACGGCAAGGTCAGCGTAGTCAGCCTCCAGGTCACTTTCGCGCCTCGCAACCCGCGCAACAATCTTCTCAACGTGGCCAAGATCTTCGTCCAACTTGTCGGCCTTTTCTCTCACTTCCGTGAAGCGTTTATCTGGCTTGTGGACCTTGGTGAATGCATTCACGAAGGTATCTGCAAAATTGTCGAAGATGTTACTCCCGCCGTCAGACGCATTAGTGGCGCTGCGGGTCGGGCGCATCCTCATGTGTTGATTCCATTCTCCGGATTCAAGGAATGTTACCAAGATTGGAGCTCGGCGTAGAACAGGGTGGAGTGTAATTCTCTTGATAAACCGGTGAAGAGACCAGGCACGACGCTGGGTGAACTCGGGACCGAACCGATCCCCGCGTACATATTCCATCTTGTGTTTATCCGGTAGTGGAGGGATGGCGCAAGCAGGATACTCCCGGAACAGCGTATTGTAAAGAAAGTAAAAGTCCGTAAAGCGCCGTCGAACGCTGAAGTCAGTCTTTTGAAAGGATTTGAAATTGGTCTATTGAATCTGTAAGTATAGTTGCCGGAAGATATGGCGAGAACACTGACATGAGTTGACACCAGGTAGGAAACATAGACATCCTTTGTACCCTCATTCTCCTTCAGAGGCGTGTCTACTGTGCATTCAAGCATACCGTTATCCAACGCAGCCGCAAATGCGCCGTCTTGCACGGGCGAGAGCACCTCATCTCCCGTCGAGCTTATTCGACGTTTCCCATTAGGATCATCTCGCGAACTGGAAGCGTTATCGATATCTGTGTACGAAGTAGCTGGCCGCGATGGATCGCTATCTCCGTCATTCCTCCAAGAGACGCTGTCGAAATCATTGTGGTCCATGGCTGATGGGGGATGTATGTATGTATATATGCGGGGAGCTTGATGGCTGATTGTAGGAGCTTGATGGCTGATTGTAGGAGCCTGAGTCGGCCAGGCTTGGTCTCTTCCGACGAGGTTCACGGCGCGTCTCAGAGCAAGATATCTAGTGACATAGCAAGTCTGCCTAGCAGTGCGGATACGTGGCGTCCCAATTCAACAGACAAACAAGCGAGTCCCGTCTCTTCTTCCTCAGCAAGTGCGCATGAAGCGGACGCTGCCAGCTCTTCTTTTCGCTGCGCTGTTCACGGCGAAGGAGCCAGCGGACAGTCACGTGATATGAATGATGTCAGGACTCTCCATTTCGGGACTAGCGCCTGCCCCGAGCTTTCTTCACCTCTTTTCAACTTCGGCTTTTTATTTTGATGGCTGTTCGAGATGTCTTTAACGGCGTTTGATATTGGGCCAGGGTAGAGCAGCCTGGCTGATGCTCCGACATGAATAATGACTAGAAAACGAAGCTTAGACCTTTTCCTTATGGGAGATGCAAAGCTTTTTTCCATGTCAACATGGGGCCTCCATGGTGACTGACTACTTCGTCTATCAGACATAGACTACCACAGGAGTAAAACAAATATCTCTACGGGCCTCTAAGCGCCTTCGATGGATGATAATTGCAAGGTTGCATGAAATCCCATGCAGGGTCTGCCAGCTAAGGGCCAGCTTCTTGCTGAATTGATGAGGTTCTGTCACGACGTGCATCTCCGGGCTGCAGGCCTGATCCTGGGGCGGGATGTAGTAAGACGGTCAAACGGACCCCCCTTGGCTCGAGACACGCTCCCACCACACATTTTTCCTTGAACCGAGGGGCCATGGGCTATCAGCATCCTCGTTAGTGGGGAACTTGTGCACTGAAACGACGAATTGATGTCTGTGCTGATATTTATAGCTTTTGCTTATGTATGTGAGATGTAACGACTATCACGACATAGCAGCAAGCCTTTCCCATTAAACCCCGGAGATATCGAAGCCCTCGTCGGGTTGAATCAGCCCAACCAGAAGACCAGGTCTCTTGCTCTCACTGGCTCTGTATGCATCGATGAATGCCGATATCCCTTGTGCCGGTGTATGTGAAGTGTGTTACGCCAGGCCAGCGATATATCCATTCGTTATTATACTGATCGGCCACAGGAGGGTCACTCGATCAGCCAGGATGGAGAGCAGTTTTTACGGGCGATGGATCAGAGTATCAAACTCTCGCCCGGCAAGCTAGTTGAGCCTAAGCACCAACTCCCGTGCGACCAAAACTCTGCCTTCTCTCACACGCAGCCCGTGATAGGCTGGCCGGCGGAGTTTCAGTTAGCGCTGAGAGGAAGTCAAAAAGGGCTGCTGGAGCCCGGAACGAGCAGCATCAGAGGCACCGCTCGAGGATCTGCTCTCAAAGTGTGCTCTTAAGGCGTGCTGTATGTGTTATGTACGGCGTCTGTATCGCAGCCGTATCGCGGAAAGGGCGATTGTGACACTAGCGCCACCTTCTCATGCAGGTTGCTATTGTTCTCTGCAGCGAACAATAGCTTATTAATACGAAGCGCCCTGGCGTTCCCCACAAGCTAAATAGAAAACCGCTCTGTCGGTAACGAACTGGCCATTGTGATATCGGGAATATATTACGCTCTTCACGCAGCAACAACGCAAAAACGACACATTTCGCAGCAAGAGAGACAAAGCAGGCAGGCAGGCAGCAGGCAGGGCGGCCCATGGGAGGCCGCGGAGGCAGGGCAGCTGGTCGAGCATCTGCTTTGGGGCCGCCCATGATCCATGATGCGACCCTCTCTGTCGGTGTGTCTTCGCTGGCCCTGCGCTGCTCGCTGCCTCTGCTGGCCTGTCTCTGTTTCTCCGGAACGATCCCTAACCCCCCCTTCCCTTCGCTCCGGATACACAGCAGCCGCCGCCCCCTTTTAGTCAAGGGCTGTGGCCGATATACCAGACATATATAACCCATACTCGGTCCCAATGTGTGTCCCCGGATCCTGAGAGATTTCTCCCTCCTGATTCCGTCTTTTTTTATGTCTACTCCCGTTCTTCCTTTTCTCCCGTTTGGCCATTGAAGCATGCTGTTTTGAGTTTTGAGCTGATCCCTCCCCCCGTCCTCGCTCCTACAGCCCTCCATATAATATAACAACATTTTAGTTTTGAACGTTTGCCTTTTCATATGTATAGAGTTATCTTTTCTCGCTATTTGGATGGGTTTATTCAAATGTGCGACTCGATGCCGGTTGACAAAGCCTTCATTCTGAGCCAGCGGCCGTTCGGTTTTCTCGCCTTCTTCAGCCGATGGCTGCGGGCGTTCACAGCCAGGCTCTCGGGGAGGCAGAACTATCGACCCCTAGCGGAACCGGAATCCACGCAGGAACACCCAATTTCAGTGGTCTGCATATCCGACACACATAACTGGCAACCAGAACTGCCAGATGGTGACATCCTCCTGCACGCCGGTGATTTGACCGTCAACGGCACATTCGAAGAGCTCCAGGCTCAGCTTACATGGCTATCCGCTCAACCACACACATATAAAATTCTCGTCGCTGGGGAACACGATGTCCTTTTGGACCCTCCCTTTGCTCAGCGCAATCCGGACAGGTATCCTTCCGTGCCAGGACGAACCGTCTGTGACCTGAACTTCGGCAGCGTCATCTACCTCCGAGACTCTTCCGTCACACTACAGTTTCCAGAGCACGGAAACGGACGCGAAGTCGCAATCCATGGCTCACCATCTATATCGTCCAGCTCGCGTGTAGGAGCATTCCATGTTCCCCGGGGCACGGATGTATGGACAAGAGCAGTACCAGAAGGAACCGACGTCTTGTTGACCCACGAACCGCCATCGAAACACCTGGACGGCGATCTCCAGAGCGGCTGTGCTTTCTTAGGCCAGGAGATAGAACGAGTAAAACCTCGTCTTGTGGTATTTGGCCACGTTCATGACGGATATGGTGTGAAAACCACCAACTTCGATGAGAAAGTCGTCCCAGTCGAGGAAGAGGCGACTAACCGCCAGCGAAAGGGGTGGGGACCACTTCTCAGGGCCACATGGGAACAGGCTGGCCATCTATTTGAATATATCTTCCCGGCAGTAGCTTCTTCACCCACTCCAGAAGTCGAAAAGCCCAAGCCTGCCGTTACCACCTTCGTCAACGCCTGTCTTATAGGCGATCTCCTTGACGGGAACGATAACATTAACGAACCTATAGTGACCCATATATAACCTTTGTTTTCCTCATTTATACGATAGATACACCTCTTTTATTTCCTATTTTTACCTGTTCTGGAGTCTAGGAGCCCGGTGTCGGCAATAGGGACGAACAATGGCGTTTGATGATATATTCCCTATCTTTACTATTTTTATTTTTATTTTTTTTATTTTTATTTTTATTTTTATTTTTATTTTTTTTTTTTTTTTGGCGACACTTTGATGTTCCCCATAACTACTACTATCTCGGTCGTGCATAGCCTTTTCTCTGTTGTACATTTAGCGCCCAAAAAGATACCTCTTGACGAGTTGAGCTGGAACAGAGCATCTTTATTTTCAAAGTTCCTCTTTTCTTTCTTTTTTTCTGCTACTAAAGGGGCTGGGCTGTCTTTCTTACAGAGTCGATATTTGAAGGTATTGCCCGCTGCGGCTCTTGCATTCATATGGAGAAGCCATGTTCATGACTACAATCGTAGTTCTAGCTTTGTGGTTTAAAGCCAGGGTTTGAATGTCTCTTGCCTAGGGGAGCTAGAATCAGAGCAAGGTCTTGTTATAATTCCCTCTACTTAAAGTGGCCATGAAGACGCAACAACCTCGGTATTTGGTTCTAACTCTGCCCGGTAGAAAAATTGCCATCTAATAAGTAACGGCCAACCCCTAACTCAGCTAGATAGATGTTTTGCCAGCATAGCTCATCCCGATTTATATTTGGTTCTCAGAGTCCACCCTATGGAGATATGAGGCTTCGTATCAATACAGCAAGGGGAAATGCATGCCCATAAAATGTCAACAACATGAGAAAAAAGAGTATACCAAAAAAACAAGCCTGGTAAAAAGAGCATGAAGAATCAATCAAGCATGTATAAGAAGAAACCAACGCCATTGAGACACAATTATGGTGTTTACATGTATAATATATCCACGAAAAAAAAAAAGAAAGAAGAAGAAAGAAAAAGCAGCTAGATAAAGCGGAAAGAGGAGAGAAGAGAGAGAAGAGGACTTGGATGGAGAAGACAACAGAAGGGGAATCACTCATGTAGTCAAAACAATACAAGCCGTGCTGAGGCGAACCGGTGGAAGAAATGAAATGCATGTCTAATAATGATGAAGAATGGGAGGAAAATGAAATGTCTGGTTGTCATCATGACTTAGTGGTAGACTCTGGAGGAGTGACTTCTGGTCCTTCATCATGGTAAGAGTCGTCATCTTCAGCTGCATCGGCATATTCGTTCGAATCATCCTCCTCGCTGCTGAACAGAGGGTCTTCATCATCACTATCGCCAGCGAATGCATCGTACAGCTCTCCTCCGCGACGAGTGCTCTTTTTGCCTCTAGCACCAGCACCGCTGAGTGGGAAGCCTTCATCTTCTTCTGCTACCATTTCGAATTCATATTCATTGCGGTCGTTGCGTAGGCGTTTGCGACGCTGAATCCAGAAGTATACGCCTAGTGCAGTGCAGAAGACGATTATCAGGGCAATAGAGCCGTAGATCCAGATCTGGGTGTACTTTGATACACCGAAGGTTGGGAAAGGAGAAGGAAGGAAGTTTTCTCCTGATGCTCCGGTCGAAGGTGCGGATGCGGCAGTGGCAGTGGAAGTGGTAGTGGCAGTGGTAGTGGTAGTAGGAGTTGGTTTCTTGGAGCTTGTTGGTTTTGGCCGAGCTGGTCGGTCGATGTGGTCGGTAGGGCGGAAGGGAGGGCTGGTCTTAGTCGGTCCTGGCTGGACGGAGGCTGTGCCGACGTGCGGCGCTGGAATGGCGGTATCATGGTCATGGTCATGAGCGTCTGGCAGAGGGTGTAGTTTTTGAATTTTGGGATCGATAGACTCTCCCCATAGTGTAAGTCGCCAGTCAAGGAATGTTCCGTTGTGATCATTAACAACGGTATCCTTGACAATGACGGTCCAGACTCCTGTTCCTTTTTCACCCCTACATGGAAAGGATTAGTGATAAAGCTTGACAAGCACGGTGCGGACCCGGAGATGACTTACCAATGAGCAACAGACATGAAGGTCCAGTCGACATATCCGGCTCTTTCAGAATCTTGAGCTCGAGCGGTACTAAGGTAGCTGATTACACCACTTGGGCTGCGAAGCTCGACGCTGAGATCACCGCGGCGTGTATGGTTGACGTTCATCGTGACGGTAACATGCTCAACTCTCTCCAAGTTATGTGCCTTGAGCATCTCGGGAGATATATCAAAAGCAGTAGACACTCCCTTTTCGCCCTGAGGAATGTTGTGGTAGACCTTCAACCATGGCGAGTGGAACCAAGCTTGGGGCTTGACGAGTTTCCACGTTTTGGCCAGGTGAACGGTGGAATATGCATCAACCTTGCCATAACCGAAATCGTGGCTGAACTTCCTTCCAATGCTCGTAGTTTGCCATCCATCGGAGGTCTCGTTTATAGGAACGGCAGTTTCAACAAGGATGTACTGTAGGTCACGCCAGGTCAATTCTGGGCGAACCTGGAGAGCAAGGGCCATGACACCAACAACCAAGGGACCAGCTGCGGACGTTCCTCCATGGGAGCCTGAACAAGTATCGGCTCCCACATCGGTAGTATGGATATAACCACCGCTTCCACTGCTGTACGTCACAACCAGCTGCGCGGAGCATGATTCGGAATAGTAGGGGTGCTCATTGTTCCAGTCAACAGAACCCACGGTAATGCTGAAGATACTGTTAGTGTAACCGTCAAAGTTGCAGTTGTCATCGTGGCCTGCTCCATTTCCGGCAGCAAAGACAAAAACGGAGCCCTTGCCGCCACGGCCCTTTTGAACACCATTGGCAATCGCTCGACGGACCAAGAGACCCGGTGCATCCATGGTCATGCCATCGTCAATTGGGCCCCATGAGCAAGAATAGATCTGGTTGTCCTGGAATCCATAGTTAACGGCTTCGGCTTCATCTGCATCATTGATATACTTCGACAGGATGCGAATTCCAGCAACTTTGCTATCGTATGCAACACCCACGCCGCAGGCATTATTGTGAACTGCTGCAACCTCGCCGGCACATCTAGTGCCATGTTTATCGTCATCGAGCATAGGTCGAGGTTCCGCTTTCATCTCGTTAAAGTCATAGGAGCCTTTCGCAAAGTAGTTATCCTTGAGATCATTGCTGTACATATCCAAGCCATCGTCAACAATGGCTGAAATCGACCCTTTCCCAGTAATACCTTCCAGCCACAAACCCGTTACATTGAGATCGTTTCCGGGCGTAAACGCGTTAAACAGATGCCATTGCTCCTTGAACAAGGGGTCTCGTATGGCTAGGGCGTTTGCAATCTCACCCTGCCTCGACTGGGCTGCAGGATCTGGAGCCTTTTCAGGTATACGTTGACTGAGCTCAAGCGGCGGCGGAGGCACTCGTTTATGGAGTCGTTTCCTCGGGACCAGCTTTTCTGACCATAGTATCCCGTCCAGTCCATCTGTCCCGGCAGGCTCGCCACGGGCTTCCAACGATCTCCGCCGCAGAGACCTTCTCTTGAGGTCTTCGAGTATCCCATCCAGGTCTACACCTCTGTCCTTTTTTATGGAAAACGTGTGATGCCCATCCAGCTCTCCTATCTGGCCTTCATGTCTAGCTCCTAGTAACTCTTCTACCTGGGCTGGCGAGACGGAGGAGTGTAGATGGACCGCAAAGTAGTCGAGGGCGTCGTAATCTCGGCGGTATAACGCAGCGTCGACGGCACCAGCGCCGACCAGCAAGGCCATGAGGCGGAATATGTTTCGGAGCTTCATGTTCAGCGTCTCTTTCTGTCTCCTGGGAACACCGCGAAGAACCGGGGGGTGGATTTCAATCCGGCGGAATTTATCGATTGGCGTTCATTCGACTCGGCCCCGGTTAGAGAGCAGACTCGCGCCTATATTTTCCTGAACTCGAAGGACAAAAAGAAGAACAGGTAAGCCTGCGAGGTTATCTAGGAGTACAAGAGAGGGAGAAGGGAGGTTGGTAGAAGTAGGTTGCTGGTCCAGGGAGCGCCGGTCGAGGGTTGTAGGTGTTTGAACTTCTCGGAGCTGGGAGACACGTTGATCATAACGCAGGTCAAGCGCAAGACAGGGCGGACTCTCGTGTCTTTTTCCACCAACAAAAGCAATGCTTGGTTGCTTATTACTTAGGTTCCGCTGCTTCAGAGACACTGGACTCCCTGCTTAATCTTATATTGCGCCTCTGCCGTTCTTCGCGTTGCTTTCGAACTTGTATCTACAGAGAGCAATTGGCAGGCCCCTTGCTGGGTTGACCGCTACGATTACGATACTCGGCTCCTTTGTCTGTCTTCCAACACTGTCCTTCAACACGCTCCAAGCCAGCCTTCTACCATCCTCTGCTGTCTATCCCCTAACTACTCCGTACTTGACCCCCACCGAGCCTCGTTTGTCCTGCTCCTCCCCGTCGCCTCCTTTTCTCCATTCCGCCTTTTGCCCCTTTTTTCTCCTTGTGAATTTTTGCTGTTTTTCTTCTTCTTTTCTCCATAAAAAAAAACTGAAGGGAGAAAATAGAGTCACGTGAAAGCGTTATTGACGGATTATAGTTATTCCAATTGAGAATTTCCTTGATTTGTGATAGGTTGATTATTTTGTTAAAAGACAAATTTTCATTGGAGGTTCTCTGGATCAATGGAATAAACGAGGCAATGCGTATATTCCATAGGCATCCTAAACTATGAGAATTGCTATCATTTTCAAACAACTGCTGGATAGATATCCAGATGGAGTTGCCAGGGTGACGGTAATGTTTTCTCGCAACATAAGTTCTGATATTGCCAACCAGTCGCCGCGGGAAATCTGCTGCACAATGACCAGGGTGCCACCGTTACCCAGTGTTTTGACTATCTGCACAATTAACATGTCGAATCCTGGAAAGTTGATGTAAAACAATCTCTTTGGTTAATAAAAACCTCCTAGACTTTGCGGCGGCATAATTTATGTAACCCCTTTGCTGGAGCGAGATACCTTTCGGCGTTACTATTGACCTGCCTGCAAATAGCAGGAATGTAGTTTCATACCTAAGCGACATATTAAACGATTTTATCGGACTTGAGAGCCTCGGAGACATCTAGAATTCCCATACCAGGGGACTCAAAAGGCCTCTGCGCTCTCTACAGCCGGGGAATGAAAGTAAAGGAAGATCTTGGGCCTACAAGCGGCCAGAATAGCAACCTGTCTAGTGGAAGACAGGTTAGTATCGGCAGAGACATAGACGTATCCTATGCCTAGTATGGTCAATATGTAGGTGACTGTATATATATACACCTCCTACTTCCATAAATTTCGAGTCGTTTCCAAGTTGGTTCGTTGGATATCTTGCAGCTTCCTTGTTCTCTTTGGAATCTCATGGAAGTCATCAAACTACCCAGTCAGTAGAACCTGCCTGTGTTGTTCCTTTGTGGGGTGTGTTGCTGGTTCCCATTTTAGAAGTAAAACGCGTCTGTCCCGCGCCAGCACAACAATCCCTTCTTCTTCTTCGTCTTCTTCTTCTACTTCTTCCTCGCCTTCGACTTCGACTTCGACTTCGACTTCGACAAGCTCATCTTCATCAAGTTCATTTTTATCACGTTCTTCTTCTTCTTCGACTTCTTCCTCGACTTCAACTTCTACTTTGACTTCGACTTCACACTCACCATCTTGGCCCTGTCGTGACGACAGGCCGGCCTTCCTCCCCCGATAACCGCTTTCTTCTCTGCGTCTGCTGGGGTATTGGACTTCGTTGTACACAGAGTCGACTTCCTCCTCCTCTGCCTTCTCCCTCCTGACCATCGTTAATACCAGGTGAGGCAAATTGATATTGTGATTTGACGTTCAAGTCTCTGATTTTTACAATAATTAACTTAGTTAGTAAGCATGAAACGATCGTGCCCCCAGGACGAGAATGCACACGCAAGAAAACGTCATCGACCAGGAGGGCAGGAGGCGGCTGACCCGCTAGTAGAAATAGAGGCAAGTTCAAAGATAGTTAACTTCCCACTCAGCGAACACCAGCATCTAACACTATCGAACAGGGCCAAAATTGGCAGGGTATCATATCTAAAGAGCTGAAAATTATGCCTGGAGACACAGAAGAAAGTGTTGCCCGAAGCCTTCAAACGACAGATTTTGTCTTTGACCGAAGCCAGCGCGTCTGTGGAAACCAGGATGGTGTTGGCCTACTCCAAGAACTCCGAGGCTTGCGTAAAAGGGTTGAAGAGTCAGAAAAAGCGTTGGAGGAGACGAATAGCAACTTCAGAAAAGCGTTAGAGGAGACGAAGAGCGAGTCTCAGAGAGCATACGACGCCTCAATCATGACCATGATGGAGCTTCGAGCGCCGATTTATCAACTACATTCAGGTCACAAGGTAGGCCCAAGTTATCGAGCAAAAAGAAATGCAGTCGCTCACGGCGGCTCCATACTGATGGACATTACGATCTTGCGCCATCTACTCAGCAGCCGTGGCCGCACTACCGTTTTTACCAAATGGGCCACCGGGTTTGAAGATATCTACGGGATACCCTTCCGCTATGTCGAAACTCTTTCTCAAGACTCTAAAATGGTGTCCGTCCTGAACATTTACGCCGATACACTACTTCTCCACATGTATGCTTCCTATGATGAGAGCGAAACTATCCAAAAAATGTGCAAGGTAATTTTGAGACAATGGAAAGTTGCCGTGGATAGCGAACGGGATCCAGAATGTATCTTTGATGGGGAAGCTCTTTTGACGATGTATAATAAGATTGTGGAGTTACATAGTGCAGCCGAGCCATAGAAGGCGAAAAATTATTACTTTTATGCTGCGTGCGGGATGGTGATGCAGCACGACCACTTATCTACCAAGTCATGGATTATATACGTGACATCCCCAACCTTCCGCCTCTGCCGGAGACTGTGGTAGACGAGTTTGAGTCATGAACACAGCATGTACAGCCAACGTTAAACCATCTCAAAGTTCCAATCTTTCTCGGCCATGGCGCTGCGGATCCTAAGGTCTTTGTCCACCACGGAGAAAGGGACGTCTAATTTGCTGTCAGAGTAGCTCAAAATGAATGTTACATGGAAAATGGTATCCCGAGTTTGGAAATTGGCACAAGATTCCAGACGAAATCGATGACATTGTTCTGTTTTTGGAAGAGAAGGTTGACGATTCCCTGGTCATTACCAAGGCTATATAAAGGGACGTATTGTCTCTATGTCCTTTGTCTTCATAGAAGCTCAAACCACGTAGTCTCCCGGTTACTCCGTATATGCTGGTGGAAAATACCGGAATAAATATCATATCTTTCAGGTTGTCTGGAGAAGAGAGGAGCAAAGAAGACGACTTGTAGTGGGACGTATCATTGACTGGAGGCTGTTCTAGAGCAAGGCAGTTCTTTGTTCTTTTCGATCGAAGAGAAAGAGGCCCAAGGATTAACAAAATGCCTTTATTGCAGCATCACTGGCACAGATATCATGCAGCAATTCCGCGCATCACAGTTCGCTTGTATCTTCGCTGTGCAACATTCACGCTAATCAACGCCACTCTACGTTCTTTCAGTTCTCTGAGCAAACGAACATACCTGGTCATTCAAGTCTGGCCCGCCTGGGGTTTGTTAGGCTTAGGGCCGGGAAGTTTGATCAATCTGGGGATTTGAGTGGGCTGAGATGGCTCCTCGTGTTTTGCCTGCATGGCAGGCACATTTTCTCTTCCATTGAGACGGATTACTCCTGGCTGCAGATGTTCATGTAGTTCGTGATTCAAGCGAGACCTCGAGTCAATCCTTGAAGTCAGCTGGGTTGCGACGGGGTTTATATGCAAACTTCTAGAGCTAAGATCCAACCATCCGAGTCAAAACCAGACCGTGTCACTGTCATGACAATGCTAACCAGGCCTGCTCTCGTTAAGCATGTCCAATTCACGGCTAGGCAGTTGATGTACAGGGGTACATCAAGCAGCTCTCTGCAAGTCCACCATTTCTTTGAGCATTGTGAATACATGGCTGAAAGAGGGTATATATTGGTGGAGGTTATCAGGCCATATATAACGCGCCTGAGGGTACGTCCATCCCAGTTATCATCTTTCTTCCCCTTTTCCTTGACTTGGTTTGCTTGGCAGTTGAGAGCCAACCTATATAATCGCTATCCAATCCAGGCCCGTCTCAGATCTGATAGTCTCGAGGACGTTCGTTTACATACAGATTACACCCCTAGAAATGGAGGAGATAAAGAATTTATTTTACCCCTTGAACCCGCCATGCCGTGTTCGCACACGGCCGATGGAAGTGCTATGTGTTGGGCCTTCTCGGAGTGGCACCTGGTCCCTTCGGACAGCATTAATACACCTTGGCTATGTGCATACCTACCATGGATATGGCGTTGTTATGAATCCCCCAGACGATAAAGCATGGTACCTCCTTCATCGTCAGAGACTGAAGCACAATGCAAGCCATCCTAATTCGGCACAGCTCTCTATTACCGCTGCAGATTTTGACAGAGTGGTGGGCCATTGTGCCGCCATGACGGACCATGCTGCCGCGGTCTTCGCTGCTGAGCTTATAGCAGCATACCCCAAGGCAAAAGTTATTCTGAACACAAGACGCGATGTCAGAGCATGGCATAGGAGCGTGAAGAACACAATTATCGTGCACTCAAAGGACTGGATGTTTTGGCTGAAAAGTTTCTTCCATGCTGAGCTCTTCTGGGCCCAGCAAGGTTATTATCGAGGTACCCTGAACTGGTTTTACCGAGGCGATTTTCAAAAAAATTCCATCAACGTTTTGATGGAGCACTGCGAGCGGGTACGGAGTCTCGTACCCAAGGATCAGCTGCTGGAATGGGATGTTGAGGACGGATGGGAGCCACTGTGCAAGTTTCTCGGCAAGGAAATCCCAGACATTCCCTTTCCCAGGACCAACGACTCCATATCGTTCTTCAAGAGGTGTGAAGAGTGCTATAACGCACAGGTGCAGAAGGCGACTAGAAATATGTACGTCTTCTTTACCTTGCTGCTCTGCATGCTCACCCTCTATGCCGTCATCTCATGGCGATAGTGACCGAAGTTCGTCATACCCTCTGACCCGACATTCTTTTGCCAGTTCAATGTATCAATGGCGTTCAGATCTAGGAAGCTGTCCACGTAAATGACGTGCGCGACTTTTTTTTATACGACGGACTCTTTTCGCTTAATAACATGGTTCCCGAGCGGCAAGAAGCTTAAAATAGCCGCCTATAAATATCTGTCTAGTTGACGCTTTGCGGGCCAAAACTAAACACTTCTTTGCCTTCTTAGTTGGCATCTCGATTCTTCGGCAGGCGAGCGCATAGTTGGTTGTTTTTCCGGAAATGTTGATCATGTTCATACTGGCGAAAAGGAGTCTACGGCCTGCGTGTTTGTAACGCCGTTCCAAATGCTACAAACTTTTTTTTTTTCCTCGTTTCTGCCCTGATGCCCAAACCCACGAAGTCACGACGTTTCCTTTTATTTGATTTATTTTTTGTTTCTGGGTGTCTCCATTTGTTCCTATAAGCTTATAATAATATGTTTACGGCTGCTATAACGATAGTTGTGGGGTGGCTGCTGTGGTTCCTCCCGGCCAGCTTCATCCAGCGTGCCCCTCAAGACTGGCTCATCAGTATTTCGCACCGCCTGAAGCATAGCCGAAAAATCAATGATTCAAATTGGGGCGACCCTGTTGTCCGGATCACTCGTAATATCGTCGTCAAGTACGGCCCCGGTGTCTCTCCCGGCGAAGCGGCGACTCAAGAATATGCCTATCAACACCTCGATCCCAAGATCGTTCAGGTCCCGAGAGTGTATCGCTATTTCCAGCACCGTGAATCTCTGGATGCCAAGTTGAACGGCTACCTCTTCATGGAATATATACCCGGCCAAAATCTGAAAACTCGGAACAACATTGGCTCAGACAGTGAGATCACAAGGAAACTGATCAAGATAATTGCCCACCTAGGGCAGATAGCCGGGGGAAGTGTGCCTGGCCCTGTTGGCGGCGGCATACCCCGAGGGACTCTGTGGGGGGATGGTGGCGCCAAAAGGGAGTTCCGGTCCCTAGAAGACGTGAATGACTGGGTCAACAAGCGGATTGAGCCAATTGACGAGACCGTTGACCTGACGCCCTACCCGCTTGTTCTTTGCCATATGGATCTATGCCGTCGGAACATGGTACTGAAAAAAGACGAGTCGATATGTCTGCTTGACTGGGGCTATGCTGGATTCTATCCGCGGTTCTATGAAATGGCAGCCATAAGGTGCGGCAATGATCATTATAACACTCCCCTATTTGAAGCTACTTCCAAGGCAATCCCTTTGACAGAGGAAGAGCTTCGGTGCATGGATTTGGTTATCAGGGCCCCCGATGCCAGCTTCCAATGGACCTTGTAAGTTAGTCCGAAGCAGGCTTTCTGTCCTATTAGTCTAACTATGATGTAGTGATCGGCATCTGTATTGCAAATCTTCTTCGCCCTATGCCAACTATAGGTGAACCATAGGGTACCTGCTAAGTCTGTTATACCCACGATGGTTATCTCCACCAAAGCCGTGTCTCAAACCACCGTTAGCTATAGAACCACCAGGTAGAAGGTACTGTTCATTATGCATGACTTTTATTTTTTGCTTTCGGCACATATTAACTCTATGGTTGATTATTTCGTCTTTCTTCTAGGGAGCATTCGAGTTTCAAAGACCCTTTCTGAACCTGCTATGCGATTCAATGTACATTCAACTCGACTCGATACATATAACCTAGCTTACTCGACCAATAATAGTGCTTTAATCGACAACAAAAGGCTTGTTGCTGCATGACGTTTATCATGTAGTTATCGCATGCAAAGTATGAAACAAGGCGGCTCGCATTGGCCCGTTTAGCCTCCAACCTGCTGCATCAGCTGGCCAAGGTGACTGTTGAAGACACTCGATATCGTCCTACAGCACTCAGCTGCTCGACAACCGCGTAGTCCTGGGTCGCTGCAGCGTAGTCCTGTAGATATAGAAGCCTGCTAAGTGGCAAAACGACCAGCGACCAAGCTTTGAAAAGCCGGCAAAGCCGTTGTTCAACCGTGGATCTCGCCTTCAACGCCCGCGCAGGCACGATTTCTCCGACTATACAACGGCAATGACAACCGCCCGCCTGGAGTGTTAACATGCGAACTGCACCATCATTTGCGCACTGCCAGCCATCCCTGGCCGGCGGATGCTGTGTATGCAGGGAGTCGAGGCCGGGCGCCCAATGACGTGGAAGCGCAGCCAGCCACCGCAAGGCCTGTCGCACCGCCGACGTCGTGGCCACCACCCTTCGCATCGCCTTTTTCTCTCGATTGACGAGGCAACTCAGCTGTCACCATCCTGCTGTTCGCCGTTGTGCTGTTGAATCGTCCGTCTGCCCATTGGAGTCCTTAGCTGGCGTCTCCTTCACCACAGGTACGTCCCCGGCCTGCCGTCACCAAGGTTAGCTCGGTAACTAACGAGTTAGTTGACTGCTAACTGCTAGTTTTCTGGCAGATCTAACAAACAACCGCTCCCGTTTGTCACTCTGGAGGAGCACAACTGCTGCAAAACACGCCAGAGCTGCTTCTCAGGACGCTGGCAGGCTAGCGATATCATACTGCGGGATAAGGTGAGCCTCTGACTTTCTCACTGATAAATATTGCCTTCGAAAGAGTGTCTATCAGCTAGTTAACCTGCATGGACTATCAGTTGCCCGTTCCGCCAGACCGACCTTTCTCTCCTCCCCCCTCGCAACGCCCAAGGCGTGGTTAATGTTGAAGATACTATGTTGCTGGAGGCATTGAACTGAAACCTTTCACCGAAGAGCAACATCTCACAGCACTCACCGCACAATGCCTTCCAGAAGAGCATCAAGACCGTATGATGAATCCCAGAACTACAGCCCAACCCAGAGGAGAAACGGGACAATGCATCAGAGTGGCTATCCAGACCAGCCGCAGACCCAAGATGATTATGATACACCAGTAAACTCTCGAGGCCAACCTTCCCAATCTATGTCATTTGCACACCGAGCCAAAGAGCGTGGGCAAGATGAATTACCGTACGAGTCAGTCTCGCCCAACGGAGCACAGAGCCCCCTTATGAACACACCTATGAGCCCTATTAGCACATACCAGAAAGCAAACTCGCAATCACCGTCGATACAACAAAATCCGGCATCACCAGATATAAACTCACCGCCACATTCACAAGCCAGTGTCGAAGCCTCACCTGTGATACGCCAAAACTCGCAGATGGCCCCGAGACAGAAGAAGACAGCAAAGGAATGGGCACCAGCACGCTCGCCGTTGAAAAAACTTGAGCTCACGCTAAATGATATAAGCAAGGAAGAAAAGCGCGCAAGAGTCGAGGAGGCTGAGATGCTACTGAGAGAAGCTCGGGCAGGTCTCCAAGGCAAGACCATCAGCCGTGATGCAGGCGGTAAACCCCATCTTGCTCCAGAGAGTGCTAGGAATAAGGAGAATGCGTTCAAACCTTCAAATATTGAGGAAGCTGGCTTACTGAGGAGTCTAAGCACCAAGCAAAAGGACAAGATCCGTGAAAGCGCCCAGATGGAACTGAAAAAGCCAGACCCAGACCAGGTCTCCGATGCTCAAGCGGGTGGATTCGAGTATGAGAGAACTCATCCTCCGCCGGGTTATGATTCACCCACTTCTTTGAATCAGCCCGCAAAAATCCCGGATAATCATCATGGCCAGCTTCCAGGAGCTCCACTGCCGAAGGACAACCAAATACAGCAAACACGAGAACTGTTTGAACCGCCCGCTGGAGAAACTTGCTCAGGAGCAATCGATTCAGAAGCTTCTCAGGCTGAAGATACGAAGAATGGCCCGAGCAAGCAGAAGCACGCTTCTGTTTCCTTTGCGGTTCCTCCGCCGACACCCCCGCCAGTATCTGAATGGATGCATGCAGTAGTTGGACGGTTATGTTTGACCGATTTTGACCTCCGGGTACCGGATATGGACAGGGATTGGAGAGGACGGGGGACCAGGGGAACTAGAAATGCCCACAGAGGAGTCGAGAGCGGTTTACCTAGAGTCACACTCAAGAGTATGTTTTCAGGATGCGGGTGATTCCATCTTTTCGTTCTTTTTATGAGTGCTAACTTGTGCGGCCCAGAAAACACGCCATTTAACCCGCCTCTATATCTAAAGTGTGGGCCTCTCCTTCGATTCACAGGCACAACCAAGGAATTAGTAGATCTGCCAAATGGCCCCTGTGAGCGAGAGATTTGGCGAGGATCTATCATGATCGTTACCCAGGACTCTGCATCATTCTATGACACCCCGCCGACATTGAGGATATTCTCTCAACCGAAGGAGCTGATACCACCACCCCCGTCCAGTGATCCAAGCGACCACGATTCACCTCTAGCACCAGAATATGTTGACCCCATAGCCGGCCTAGGAAAAATAGGTAGAAACGGTAACTTGCTTTATGTCAAGCCTGTGGATCATATAGAAGAAGGCCTGGATCTTTGCTATGACGAAACCGAGGAAGGCCTATTTGAACGGTCTCCTAGCCAAATTGACTATGCCGCTAGTCGTCGTGTATCAATCCCACCTGATACCAGGATCCAAGGGATTGACGGAGAAATGGTTGGGAAATACAAGGTGGTCAAGGCTAGCCGGGTATACATAGACCCTGGTAGGGATACCACGTTCTGGCGATTCAACCTAGAAATCGAACTTGGAGACAAGGAGGAACATGTTGCATACCGTATCAATAATGGCTCCGTGGTAGGTTTCTGGGTGCCTGCCAGAGGCCAGGCAATGAACATTTTATACCACACCGGAAATGGATTTGGTATGTCCGTTGATACCGACAAGTACAGTGGCCCCGACCCTATGTGGCGGGATGCTCTGAACGCACACCAGTCGCGTCCATTCCACGTCATGATTGGCGGAGGATCACAAATCAACAATAACGCCATTACTGTGGAAGCTGACCATTTCCGAAAATGGATCGAAATAAAAGGGAAGAACGAAAAGCATGAATATCCCCTGAACCTGGACATTAAGGGAGAACTGGAAGAATTCTACCTTGAGAATTATGCAGCTTGGTTTTCGCAGGGCCTGTTTGGCATGGCATGCTCTCAAATTCCAATGGTTAATATGTGGGATGATAACGACATTATTAGCGGCTACGGCTCGTTTACGGATGAATTGATGAAATCCCCTGTTTTCTCGGGGCTAGGAAATGTTGCATTCAAGTATTACTTGCTCTTCCAGCATCAGACTGCAATTGAGGAGACGGAGGAGCACGAACCAAGCTGGCTTCTTGGATCGGCCGAAGGACCATATATCCGGCAAAAGAGCAGAAATCTGCTCATGAACTTGGGTGAAAGAATAGGTCTTTTGGCAATTGATTGCCGCACTGAACGATCGGTAAGAGAAGATGCCCGTTGTCTCGAATTACCAGCAGTATCAATACTAATTTCATGACACAGAAAATGGATATTATGATTGATGAGAGTTATGACCTTATCTGGGATCGATGTCACCAACAGATTGTGAAGGGAGAAATGAAACATTTACTGGTACTGGTTGGAGTTCCGGTTGCTTTCCCGAGACTTGTAAGGACCACATTAAATTCTCGCCTGGCTGAATAATTCTAACAGTTGAAATAGTCGTTGATTGAGGGAGTTCTCAAAGGCCCTGCAAAGGCTCTTGGGAGGAACGGTGTCTTCCGCAACGCAAGCACTAAGATTGAAAACACTTCAGAGAAGATGGACGATCAGTGGACTTCAAAACAACACAAACTTGAACGGAAATGGTTGATAGAAGATTTGCAAGAACTTGCGGCTGAGAAATCGATGAGAGTGATAATATTAGGGTATGCGTCACTTATCCCTTGTTCGTCATGTTATGAGAAACTGTCTATACTAATTTTTCTTTTCGTTCCAGGGGCGGAGCCAACCTTGCGGCTGTTGGACAGTTCTACTCAGACCCCAGCCTACAGATACCCAAGGACAAGGACTACAGATACATGCCAAATGTAATATCTTCCCCAATAGTGGACGCTCCCCTCTCAGAAATCATGACCGATACCCTCAACAAGCGCAACAAGGTACATACCTTGGACCTCAAAACAGTTGAGGATATGCGAGCAATGTTTTGGCATGATGTTGAAGGACGGCCGCGAAATAACAAACGACTGCTACCCCGAAGAAACTGGTGCTCTATCAGAGAATACACTCCAGGTATGTTGTTATTCGCTGGTCGCTATAGACCCTTATAAAAAGATAAAAATAAGCACCTCTAGTTACTAACGGGCCGTCGGTAGGATGCACTCCTCCCGCTACACCCCCGCCAGAACCCACTTCCCCGGCTTCTCCGGCATCTTCTGCCGATATGCGTCCCGGAAGGCTAGGGAGAACACTTTCTATGTCTCGCGGTGACAGACCTGCTAATGGCCTTATGCGGCGGCTGTCCCTTAAAGCTCAGCGTCCGCAGATAAGTCATCCCATCCCGAAGGATCAGTTTACCCAGCGTATGAGCTATGATGAGCCACGATTGCGAAGGGACAGTGTAAACCAGTTACCAGAGCAGACATACAGTGACGCCCAGTTACCACAAAACCCGAGCTACGCCGACGCAGACGGCGACAGTTCTTCATTACCAAACAAATTTGTGCGACGCCGCACTGATCTCAGTATTCGAGAGATCAAACAGGCAGCCAAGGGCGGTCCAGACCAGCACCACTTTATTAATATTGAAGGCGGGTTACATATCACGTTCAACTGCGAGGTCAAGCCCCAAGATCCGGCCGGGATTACAACGCCTTACCATGTTCTTATCCCGGCGTTATCGTTTGATGGGGAGTTTGAACCCAGCGTTGAAGTTGAGAAAAAGCAATGGTGGAAACTGGGGCACCGCAAAAATAACAGCAGTGTTGCACAAATCGACGGTGCTGAGCCAGTAGCAGGAGCAGCAAAGGCGGCGAATGACGAGCAGCAGCAGCAGCAGCAGCAGCAACAGCCTCAGCACCTGCAGCAGGTCGAGAACGATGCATACCACAACTACGGCCGTCCCATTACTCGGGAATCTAGGCAAGGATACTATGAGGACGAATATGATGACGATATCAATGTCCGGGGCTCTCCACGCCACGCGCAATATGCGGTCCAAGGTCGGCCGGGCGAGCTATCGTCCCCCAGAATGCTTCCCCAGCCGCCGCCACAGCAGACTCAGGGCAAACAACATCATTATTTCAATGCTGCTGCCATGAACCCGGCTAATGGCGGTGAGCATGGATACGAGGGGATAGAAGCATACCGTCCAAGGAAGAAAAAATGGCTGGGTATTCTTTGAAATCCAGCGAGATCATCTGCCGTTCTAGACAACAAGACAAGATCGCAGCCACTTACTCAGCAGTGGATCTCGCCCGCCGGGTAGTCAGGTTAGCAAAGATAAGGAATCATGGGGAGGAAACGAGGGGCAGGAGTCTGTCTATGTATCTGTAGCATGTTTCATCCATGTTTTAGTTTTTCTGGATCTGTCATTAGAGGCGTTCATCGAATTTATGCATCTCTCCAGCCATACAGAATACTCACAGCAATTTTGGCAGGCCCCGATTGGCACCTCGCCTCGGCCCGCCGCAGTCTTTCTCGCACTCCCGAGGCCCCTATTGGCCTGTAGCCTGCCAATCACATTGCCATCGCCGTCGCTCCCTCCCTCGCTGGTCTCAGATAATCATGTTTCCCCCTATCGCCCCCTACTCGCCCCATCTGCAAGGGGCTGAAACCCATATCACGTGACCTGCGAGAATATCCGGCGTTTCTTTTTCGCTTGATTGGTAATTTCGAACGTTCGAATTTCTAAGACCGCGAGCTCCAGCAGACTCAAGACCGTCAACAGCATCGATTGCGCTCGCCGGCCGCTGGTTACGGAAGCGCAAATGTCAGCCTGCCCGGCTAGCGTCTGCCCCGGTCTTCTTCGCCAGCGTCCAGATTGCCTCTCGCCGTCTCCACCGCGCAAACCCTGCGGCCACCGCTTCGTCTTCTCGCTGCTCGCAGAGCCTTTAAAAGCACCACCGCCACCCTGTTTCCCTCATTCTTTCGCAGATTCCCCTTCACTTCAGTCCAATCTAGCGTTGGACTCTCTTTGGCCGCCGTAACCTCCGTCCAGCAGCGAACATCCGCCTCCCACCCTTCCTCCGCGTTTAAAACTCCAATATCAAGCAGAATGGCTCACTCCAAGGTCGTCAGTAAGTGGGCTCGGAGACAACCCCCCGCCTCTTCCCAGCTTATAGAAATTTAATCGGGATGGGACTAATGAACGAACAACAGTCATCGGCTCCGGCCCTGCCGCCCACACCGCCGCCATCTACCTCTCCAGAGCTGAGTTGAAGCCGGTTATGTACGAGGGTATGCTTGCTGGTGGCACCGCTGCCGGCGGTCAGCTCACCACCACCACCGAGGTCGAGAACTTCCCGGGTTTCCCCGAGGGCATCACCGGCCCAGAGCTCATGGACAACATGCGCAAGCAGTCTGCCCGATTCGGCACTGAGATTATCACCGAGACCATCTCCAGAGTTGACCTCTCGTCTCGCCCATTCAAGATCTGGAAGGAGTACGCTGACGGCCCTGATGCCCCTCCTACCCGCACTGCCGATGCCATCATCATGGCTACCGGTGCCAACGCTAAGCGTCTGAACCTGGCCGGTGAGGAGAAGTACTGGCAAAACGGTGTCAGTGCCTGTGCTGTCTGCGATGGTGCCGTCCCAATCTTCCGTAACAAGCCACTCTTCGTCATTGGTGGTGGTGACTCTGCCGCCGAGGAGGCCATGTTCTTGACCAAGTACGGCAGCAGCGTCACCGTCCTCGTCCGCAAGGATCATCTCAGAGCCTCCAAGACCATGGCTACTCGTCTCCTCAACCACGCTAAGGTCGAGGTCAAGTTTAACACTGTTGCCACCGAGATTACCGGTGAAGCCGCTGATGGCGGTCTGATGACCCACTTGAAGATCAAGAACGTCGTTACTGGCGCCGAGGAGGTTGTTCCTGCTAACGGCCTCTTCTACGCTGTCGGCCACGAGCCCGCCACCAAGATCGTCAAGGACCAGGTTGAGTGTGATTCTGAGGGATACATTGCTACCAAGCCCGGAACCAGCTTCACCAGCGTACCCGGTGTCTTTGCTGCCGGTGACGTCCAGGACAAGCGATACCGACAGGCCATTACCAGTGCAGGTACGCATTCTCACTTGTTCAGCAACTAATTTTTATCATTATAAAAAAGAACCATTGCTAACATGTAATCTTTTTAGGTTCTGGTTGTATTGCCGCTCTTGAGGCTGAGAAGTACATCTCCGAACTCGAGAGTGAAGCAGAGCCTGCTGCTGCCCATGAAGCTGCTATCAAAGAAGATACCAACCCCCAGCTTTAAATGTGCTTTTCTGCGTTGAAGCGCTCATGACATGATTGCATTGATACATTTCCTTTAGATTTCACACTTATGTAGATATCCCTGTTCTTTATAGACAGATGCTTGTGTTATTCAAAATTTTGCATTTTCCATCCCACCAATGAGCCTTTTGCATCGGTAAAAAATACCTGGACTCTTCAATACAGCACGTAGTATCTGTGTTACTGTCCATCCTCCCAACGAATTCATAATTATATCAATGGTAATGCTCCGTATTATTTGATTAATACTTGGAGAATAAATAAACAGATAATGTACACTTGGTCAAAGAAATCAAACGCTCCGCCGCCCAGTTTCCATCCGTGCATGTTCCCCCATGTCCAGGCTCGTAACTCCTATATGTTTTCCCCACGGTATAAAAACTCCCATAATGCTGACTAGCTGAAAAGGCCGGAAATGTATGTACAGCAAGAGAAGGAATGCTGCATCTATTCATCACAACCTCCTCGCCTTCTGCCTGCCATCCTGTATGCCATTAGCAGGGAAGTTATCCCGCATATTTTGTGCAAAAATCTCAAACGGATTCTCAGCACACCATTTATCCTTGATCTCATATGTTCGTCGTTCCCATTCGACTATCCTATCTTTCCACTTTGCAAAGTCCTCTTCATTCGTTTTTCGATGTACCTCCATCTGATCTAGATAGGGCTTCTTGATCTCATCGCTTGCATCACGCCACATTTGGCCAAGCGCTTGTCGGATTTCATCCCGGGGAGCCTTTGCGTTTTCTTTTCCTGTAGCTTTGATCTTGGCATTGTCGCATTCGGTCTTGCAAATATACCAGTAGTCTTTCTGGTATAGGAGGAAAGGGTTCAGCGCAAGTTTGCGAGGCCGAGGTTCTGCAGGGCCTAACTCAGAAATTATAGCTGCCCACATAGCTTCATCGTATGCTTTTCGTAATACATCTTCAGATGCATGTGCAAGAGGCGCAGAGGGTGATTCGTCGGATGGTCCGTTAGGATCAGACACGATCTTTCGTTTCTTCTGCGGAGAAGCAGAGGTTGGTGTCGTTGGCATGGATGCATTATTTGAAGCTCTGTTCTTTGCTGGTACAAGCGGGGATGGAATGTCAATCGGGCCAAGGAACGAGTCAATAACTTCGCTGGCTGCCCGAAGGCCGGAGAGATACGCCCCATGGACAGTTGCTGGGTGAGTTCCACAAGTAGCTTCACCGGCGAAGTATAGATTACCAATTGACTTGGCCATTGCATCGTAGTCGCCGGGTAATGCCTCAGCCGCTACATATGAGTAGCTTCCTTGCGCAAACCTGTCCTGCCCCCATCTCGTGACGATAGTCTCGAGGGGGTCGGGAACCGTCTTGTCTTTGAAGATATTCCTCAACTGTGAGGTGACACCCTTTATGATTTCCTGATCGGATAGATTTTCAGCCTCGTGGGCTGATTCTCCTGCCATAAGGGCAATGAGCATGGGCAATCCACAAGTCGCCATGCAGTTCCAGAAAAGATAGAATTGCCCCCGATTAGCACGGTAGTCATCTTGAGACATGCTGTTTTCAACCGTTGGCTCCCTTAGCAGGCCAAACATGTCTCTTTGCATATCCCAGAAAGGCTCTTTAAAGACAAGAATAACTTTGTTTAGCAAGCCGAAACCAAGGCGTTTAATTGCATTGGTTTTCCATTCTGGAAGTGGCGGGTTGAAAGCCACGGACGACCTCTTCAATACACCAAGAGGAGCCGTAAATACCACCCTGTCAGCATAAATAGATTCTCCATCTTCACACTCAACTCGAGTTTTCTCGTTCGATGTCGAATCAGCGTTGTACCATATTTTGGACACAATCTTTTTCGTACGAACATCTAGCTTTGACGGGAGAGACCATAGTCCTCGTGGTAACTGTTGGTACCCACCGACAACCTGGGCATGTTCTCCTTCAAACTCATTCCCCATGTCTTGATCCCAGCCGGAGAGACTGAGCTTCCCAACACTGGCAGCATTGGCGTATTCGAGATTAGCAAAATGCCAGTTGAGTAACCTCATATCTTGGGGAGTAAGGTCGAGAAGCCTCTGGTACTGGTTGATTGCGTCATCCATCACTGCGCCTAAATTCTGTGTGCTGGATGCATTGGCAATTTCATCGAGAGATAAAGAATCGGCAGGGGAAACATCGTGGCGTAACTTCCAGCCCATAGCTTGACAGGTCGTAGCGGCAGAATGCTCTTTTGTAGGCTGAAGCTCGGAAAGAGCTGGTCCAGCTGCTGGTTTGATATCGGTCGTCTTGTGCCCAACACCTCGTCGTAGTCTTGCGGCTGGTAACAGTGTCCCCGTGATCCCGGAAGCTGCTGCATCCTCATACTCTCTTATTGTTACCCCATCATCAGCAGATGTGTCTCTACCAGAGTCAATTAGCTCTCTATCTCCTTCGGCTGTAGGTGTGACGACCGATTTATGACGATATGTCCCTGATCTATCCAATATATCATTATACAGCTTTTCGGTCATTGAATCTCTCATTTCATCGACTGGGAGCCCATTTGTGTCATAGATTGTTGAAATATCACGGAGCAGATGGTAGCGCAGCGCAAGCTGGGCGCGTATGATTGGATCTAACGGGTTACCATGGTCAAACCCAACGATAATATGTGCTCCCATTTCTGCGGTAGGGCGAAGTCCCTGGGGCAATTCATTCGCCTCTAAGCTCTGTAGAGGATGAGAGTATATTCTGCCGCCTATTCGTTTCCGGCCTTCAAGTAGGATTATCTTGGGAGCTACCGAGTCGCCATAGTAATGTTGAAAAAGCCCCTGTAGCTGCCTGGCGCACCCCAACCCAGCCATACCGGCTCCTACTATCACAATTGTAGGACCGTCTTTCCGGCGCCCACGTTTCTGAACAGATGGGCATTTAGGTATATCGATACATCCGAAATTTATATACCCGTTTCGGACAAGCCAGTTATACGCAACTGACGCGAGAGGCATCCATCGAGAATCCTTTGCACATCCTAGCGCCTCGTCTTCGGTGACGCTGAGCATCGGGTTGCGTGACCATAGACGTAATATACCGTTCCGAATATTGAGGTATGCGGTGACATGTAGATGGCACAAGTGGTCCTGCAGCAGCTCCTGCTCGCCCTTGTGAAGAGAATATGGATTTAACCTAGAGATATACGCCGACTCCACACATTGCTGCCCATACACGGCTGATGGGATGCGTGTAGGTATGGAAGACCTCGGCTTGACCCTGTGTAATAGAGCAGCATAGTCCGTCGCCTCCCTCTCAAGGGGTGATGAAGAGGCTAGCGCAGCTTGTTTTAACTGCGCATCTGGTGCTGGAGAACAAGCAGAAGGTAATTGCGATGATACTGATGTTGAGGGTGTCGATCCACTGGGAGGCGCATCATGGCCGTCTCCTTCACCTCCCCCGAGCCCGGTTTCCTTCGATAGCTCACTGAGGCCGGTAGAACTAGATAATGATGGAGGAATCGAAGATGACAGCGACGAAGTCTTGCTGTCTGATGCATTCGAGTCCTGGCTCCCTTCTTTTCCCCTTGGTGCGATATCTGCGCCGGCTGCCATGTCCTCCCCTGATGCGAGTGGCAATGCGGCCACGGATGCTGTTTCCATGCTCTCTGCAGGTTCAGCCGGCACATCCTTATCCTGCCCATCTGCATCAGTATCCTGAACATGCAGAGCGTCGTCCATGGTGCGGTGCCAGGGGCATAGAGCGGCTTTGGTGTTGCGATGTAGCGGTTCGTGGATTTGCGGCGAGAAAAAAGGTCGACGTCGTCCATGGTGGAGAAACCTTAATTCTAACCTCTTTATCAATGTCACTTTTTCTATGCGATCATGAAGACATCAACGGCGCCGTGAAGACAGACATCGACAGAATGGCACCGATGGGATCAGTGACCCTGGTGGAGGTTGATTTACATGCAAAGATTTATTACCCCCAATCCACCCGGCTATAAGTTAAGTATCCAACTCTACCTAGTAACTCCTGTCGAATCTATACACCAGTAGCCAAACCACCATAGAAATATTCAAGGCATATACAAGTTAACGATATCATTTCATGAGAAGCAACAAGAGGCCATCGGTTTCTATCTCGGGTCCACATGGCGGTGCAGCTTATACGTCTCGTCTTTATCATCCCCGTCTCCATCAGCAAAGATATCCGACTCGTTGTCCGTAAAGTCGTGATAACTTGGATCGAGTGCAACATTATCATCATCAATGTCGATGGCTACAGCATCGTCGAAACCAACTGCCTCTTCTTCATCTCTTGCGAGGGAGCTAGAATTTGGATCATCGGCAAACCCACCTGGCGAAGCAGTCGTTGGTCGATTATTGGGGGTTGGACCACGGAGGTTGGCGCGCTCCTCAGCCTCAAGCTGTTTAGCACGGGCAAGAGTGCTAATAACCGCGGAATTATTAGCAATAGTTGGATTTGCTGAAGAGAACAAAAATATGAAACACATACCGTTTGTAGATGTACCAGCCTGTGAAGACACCGGCTGCAACGCTCACAAGAATACTAATAATGTTGACTGCCTTGGAGCCGGCACTCATTTCTCCCCCATCCTCGGACAATATTCTGAGCCTGCTTCCGATAAAGGTCGGGACAAGAAACTTTGGTGAGATGATGGCCGTTGCAAGGCCGTACATGAGCGGACTCACGGTTGGGAAAGTCGAGACTGCACCGTTGCATAGTGAGTACGGCAAGGGACATAAACGAATCATGCATAATAGCTTTAAGCCATCATACTTAAGGGTCAACGACAAAGCAGCGAATCGTTTGTCATGCTTCATAAGTCTTTGTACAAACTTGGACAAGACGGTACGCGAGACATAAAACGAGCATGTTGACCCAATAACGGTGGCAGATGCATATATCGCCCATCTATTAAGTAATAACAATAACAGTGTTAGATCAACGAACTGTCCTCGGAAAATAGCAGTAAAACGAGCATATACGTACCCCTTCCATACACCGAATATGAAGCCGGACACTGTTCCAACCGTCGACCACCCCACCATTGGAGGAAAGGACATCAAGAATGTACAAAGCCACAATATAAAGTAGGCCAGGGGTGCATTCTCCCAATCTTTCGCAACAGGGCCCAACCATGCGAATATCTGACCCGTAACGGCCATGAATCCTAACCCAAGGGCAATCACACCAAGGCCAGCAAATACAGTCCCTATCTTCTGTAGTATGGTCATCTTTCCAAATGTTTCCGATACCCGCTGGTATGATCGTCCAATCCGGTCGATCGCCCTATCACGGAAGCCTGTTGGATCTGACGTAGCGGAAGGCATGCCAAATAGAGAGCTCCGTCTCCTGTCTCTGCCTAAACCGGTATGCGGTCGACTCCACGGCGGGTGAACCGAACCCAACGAGGGAGAAGGCGAAGGCGAAGGAGAAGGAGAAGACCGTTCGCCTGCCATGAGGGGTGCCGTGAGGGTCTCCGGCGTCGAGTTATGTGCTGCAGCCATGTTTCTGGGAATTGAGCCGGCTGCTTCGGGAGAGCGAGCGAGGCAGGAGATCCGGTAGGGAGGAGAAGGAGATAAATAATCTCGCTTCAGCGCATCATTCCCAGCGTGACGCGTACTTCTATATCTCCAGTTCGTCGCAGGAGTCGCCAGCGTTCAGGTCTTTTGTCTATTCGTAGTACGAATTCAAGATTCAGCTTCGGGACTTTTGTCGCTGCCTGGTCCGGTTGTTAGGGAGGCGGTTGGTATGTAGTCATATAACGAGTCAGAGCGAAGATGCCAACTCCGACACAACGAATGGAATAGTCCGCAGCCTTTGCTCTCTGTATCGCGCCCACTCACACACTGATGGCTTCGTGGTGTTTTCTTTTCTGCTCTTTTCCTGGTTTCAAGCGCCCAAACGATCGCCAGCCAAAGGCCCTGCGAGGCTTGGAGATCCTTCGGGCGCTCGAGGCTTCGCGCTTGATCGGTCTTGGCGCGCTATAAATAAAATTAAGCTTGAATAACACTCGAGAAGAGACTCTGACCATGTCGACGACGTCGATGTTGATGTCAATTGTTGATGTCGATGTTGCTGATTCAGACCCGAAGACGGCTGGAATTAAGATGGCCGGCAGAAGGATAACTACTGGGCAATTTCGTCCAGGTGCCCTCCGGCATAGTGGGTGATCTCATCCTGGCAATGGGCACTGGCACTGGCACTGGCACATCGGCGGATCCCTATTATAACACAGCAGCAGGCATTGAAGCCACTCAGGAAAGCCCATTTCGTTGTTTTATACTGACAATGAATTTGCTGTAGGAGGACTGCTGCGTCTTATAAACATGGATAATTTTTATTTTTATTTTATTTTTTGGACCGCAGCATGATGGAATCAATCGACGGCTGAAGCCCCATCAGGCGACATGCTCCGGGTCTCTCTGACGATAACATCACTCAAAACATATTCATAATACGCCTTCATCGTAAGGTTGTATGCTTTCTGTATACTAGGTCGAGTGATAATCCTATGAAGGGCCAAACCTCCTGACCCTGGGTAAATAACACAGGAGGTTAAGATGCAGTGAAAACAGCCCAAGTCGTCCCGAGACCCTACTTAGCCCGAGGAACAATACACGATATCATTTTGAAAATGAAGATAGTACCCATATAACTGGCGTACACTCGGTGTTAGAAATTATGGAAAATTTGCACCACCATTTATCGACCAGGAAGCACAGATTAGCTGAACCGTGCCAGCCAGAGTTTACAGGCTGATTGGCCATGTGAGATGGGAAATCTTGTACCTCTCGCTTCGCGGATTCGCTTAAGTATACAGCTGCATCCCTTCCGATATTCCCGGCAGCGGCAGATTGACACTGCACGCATGAATGGCTCACATTCGGGGAGTTCGGGATCCAACCTAAGCCTAACGCATTGCCCTTGGTTTGGTTTATGCAATCGACATATAAAGTCGCTAACTACGCGGATGATCGCCGGCGCAGGCCACACTTGGGCATACCCTCATTTGAAAGACTCGCAGATAACCACAGTCTTGTTGTTTACTTTCCCACGGCAACACCAGACTCATCAACCATGATGCGACGTGAGCTAAGAGCCATTGGGTGCATGCAGGCCGAGCAAACCCTCCGAGTACTTCCATCTCTTCGCTTCCAGGGACTGTGAAGGTGATGTGACTTCAGCTGACGGTCCAAGGTCCCACAGCAGCTGATATATCCTGTGTTTTGATTCTGGGCGGTATTGTGATGCTGTGACTCCTTTAGAGAGGGTGCAAGTACAAATAGTTACATCAAAGGAGGGGTTGAAAGAGTATAATTGAGTTCAGCCCTGGCTTATAAGGAGACTGTATGCTCGGTACCCCCTGTAATAATGGATGAGTTACGATGATATTATGCTTTCCAGGTCCTGGGAAATATATGCACTACTTTCAATTAGACTCGGCCTTCGAGTCCAGGGAATCAAATTACCTTTTACTTTATGTCATTCTCACTCTAAATAACATGCTCCCATCCATCCATTCTCCAGCCTGTAGCCAGGGACGGGGGTGGAAAGGCATCTCTGATTTGATGTGTTTCGCTAAAGAGTTGAATAATCACATTCAGTTGGCCGTTATTCAAATAGCGGGGAAATAAAAAGAACGGGTGAACGGGGTACTTCCACGGTACGACCAGCTTATCGTTGGCATTTGGTAATATGTGAGCGTAGCAGCTGCAGCTTGGGCGAACATGGTGTCTGTAGATCATGGCATGGTGGCCATCACCCCTTTCTTTGTTACCAATAACCCAGCGGGTAAGGGCTACCCGAAGTTGAACATGTTTTACTCGTACTTAGTGCTGAGTGTCTTGGTGTCAGGCTGGAGCTCAAGCTGGGTTTCTTGTTGTTATACCAGTTTTATAACCGCAGGGTAAAATAGTTATTTGAGGTAGTGGTAAGATTGTGGGTCACATAACTTGTTAGAATTCCCCGCGGAAACCTGCCTTCATTTTGGAAATACTGCTCCAATTGAAAACATATACTTTTCTAAAGAACACCTAGTGAGCAATTTACTCACTAGAAAATAGCCTCTCCATGCAGCAGGGTGGCATGAGTTTTGTGATACCCGGAGAAGATAGATTTGCCGACAGGAGACAGGAGGGCCTAGGCGGATTTCAAAAATCTAGATGATGACAATATCATATGGACTTGTAATGCATATATACCCTCACATTGCGCTATATATGCATCGGCTATACCGTTCAGTTTGACTTCAGGCACGTTGCGCCAGCAGCAATCACTCGTTTAGGGGATAATAAGCGATAAATCCCAAGCCAGATAGGAATGAACTGCAAGAAGACGGCTAGAGACATGAACCTATCGTCTTAGACCCCGGATCCAAAGGCTCCTCAGGCATCTGTCGGGCAGCACAGGGAGTATCCCTGGCGTAGTCTCACCTTGGGAAAGATGGCTGAAAAGTTGAAAAGTAACCCTGAGATTACCAACCTGGCCAGTCCTCCTTGTAACGAGGGAGCACAGCGGGGCTTAAATACTGCAATCGCTGCCCGCAACTGAGGTTATCCCTTTCCTAGGCTTCAAGCTCCTGAGGGGAGACTGCATTACCTTTATACACCTGCCAGCAAGTTCATCCCCTACCCTAATACTACCTTAATGAGCTAGTGTCCTTGGAGTGAGCTCTGACATTATCTTAGATAACTACCAACTATCCAGAAAGGGTATACGAGTCATAGCAAAGAGCCATCAAGATGCGTCTTGGAAAGGCTGCGGAGAACGCTCTCCCACTACTGAACCAGATTGCTGCTTCAGCCATCTCTTGGTCGTCAGGAAGAATTGATGTCTTCGGCCTTGGGACGAACAATGGTTTATATCATAAATGGTGGAACGGCGCCTGGGGTCCATCTACCACTGGATGGGAATATTTAGGCGGTGTTTTCTCTGCCGAGCCAACTTCCGTCTCCTGGGGTGAGAATAGAATTGACATATTCGGACTCGGAACCGATAACCAAATGTACCATAAATACTGGGACGGACAAGCCTGGGGCCCTTCACAGACTGGATATGAAGCCCTTGGTGGAGTATTCAGCAGTGAGCCAACTGCCATTTCATGGGGAGAAAACCGCCTTGACATCTTTGGACTTGGAACAGACAATGCTTGCTATCATAAATCGTGGAACGGACGAGCCTGGGGGCCTTCTCAGACCGGTTGGGAAAACCTCGGGGGTGTGTTCGTCAGCAAGCCTGCGGCTGTCTCTTGGGGAGCTAACCGAATTGACCTATTTGGAATCGGAACTGACAACCAAATGTATCACAAATGGTGGGATGGATCCAGATGGGGTCCTTCAGCTTCTGGCTGGGAGGCACTTGGCGGAGTATTCAACAGCTATCCTGTTGTGGTCTCTTGGTCTGAGAACCGTCTCGACATATTCGGTATCGGAACAAACAACGGACTTTTCCATAAGTGGTGGGACGGACAAGCCTGGGGCCCATCTCAGCTAGGATGGGAGGATCTTGGAGGTGTTTTGAGTAGCCCTCCATCTGCCGTTGCTTGGGGTGCAAACCGTCTAGATATTTTCGGCACAGGGACTGATAATCAGATGTATCACAAATGGTGGGATGGCTCACGATGGGGTGGATGGGAAGCCCTTGGCGGTGTTTTCAGCAGTGGCCCATCAACCTGCTCCTGGGCAAGTGGCCGTTTGGATATCTTCGGGCTTGGGACCAACAATGCAATGTACCACAAATCCTGGAGTGGGCGATGGGGGCCATCACAAACAGGCTGGGAGAACCTTGGAGGCGTTTTCAACCATTAGTGACGTCGATAGTATGCCACCTGGTATATCTTATTTCCTGTCACCAGACATGCCACGGACAAGTGCCCATGCTGGTGATAAATATGGCCACACTCCTTCCCACTCAAGGTTTTCAGATGTTTTCTCCTCACCGATACTCTCGTTTAAATTGTTCAGCACCAATGATATATAATAAGCAGTAGCCTAATAATAAGCTTGCTTCACACCCTGCTATAAGTACAGTACAAGCAATCCATAACAGCATTGCTATATTTGCGATAACTCCAAGTGGGATGTTGTTATTGACATTGTGTGTGGGGCTCCGAGCCACCAATCGGAGGAGCGACTACGCGCCAAGATATTCAAATTGCGAGTTGTTTAAACCTAAAATAAACTTAGAACTTCGCGGAATAAGCGCGCATATTAGCGGGGTCGTCGACATCTCGTCAGATCATCCCATCCCAGGGTTTTTTTCTCTCTTCCTCTCTTCTTCTGTTCCAGTCAATTGAAAGGCCATCTTCGCGTCCTTCGTTACAATGGCAGAGCAAAAGTCAGGTAAGTCCTCTTCCCCGTTACGACAAGGCGAGGAGACAGATCGGGTTTGCACATGTAGCTAATTAAGAGTCACAACTTTGGCTCCACGCATAGCTATTCTATCTGTATACGACAAGACGGGTCTGCTGGACCTGGCCAAGGGCCTTGTCGAGCAGAATGTCCGTATTGTAGCTTCTGGAGGCACAGCTAAGATGATCAGAGATGCTGGCATTGCCGTTGAGTGAGTCTAAATCTGGTGAAAATGGAAGGTGAAAAAAAAGCCTTATCTGACACTGGGGCTGTTGGCAGTGACGTTTCGTCGATAACGAAAGCCCCAGAGATGCTGGGTGGCCGTGTGAAGACCCTCCACCCAGCTGTTCATGGTGGTATCCTGGCACGCGACATCGAATCCGACAAGCAAGACCTTGCCAACCAGAAGATTGCGAAGGTGGACTTCGTCGTGTGCAACCTGTACCCTTTCAAGGACACTGTCGCAAAGCCTGATGTGACCGTTGAAGGTGCAGTGGAGGAGATTGACATTGGAGGAGTGACTCTGTTGCGTGCAGCAGCAAAGAACCATGCTCGCGTGACTATTCTAAGCGATCCTTCGGACTATACCAACTTTTTGAAGGAGCTGGCCAGCGGCGGCGTGACCGAGGAAACTCGAAAGTTGTATGCTCTGAAGGCATTCGAGCATACGGCTGACTACGACGAGGCCATCTCTGGGTTTTTCAGGAAGAAGTATGCTGGTGAGGGGTCACAGTATATCCAGCTGCGTTACGGAGCCAACCCCCACCAGGCCCCTGCATCTGCCTTTATGAGGAATGGCAAACTCCCGTTTAAGGTATTGAACGGAGCACCCGGATACATCAACTTGCTTGACTGCTTGAATGCCTGGCCACTGGTCAAGGAGTTGAAGCAGGCCCTTGGATACCCTGCTGCAGCTAGCTTTAAACACGTCTCGCCTGCGGGAGCTGCCATTGGAGTACCCCTGAATGAGAAGGAGAAACAGGCATACATGGTCGATGACATCCAGGGGATTAATGAATCAGGTCTGGCACAGGCATATGCTCGTGCACGAGGTGCTGACCGGATGTCCAGCTTCGGAGATGTCATTGCCCTGTCGGATGTGGTTGACGTTCCTACCGCAAAGATCATCTCTCGTGAGGTATCAGACGGCGTGATTGCCGCCGGATACTCCCCCGAGGCCCTTGAGATTCTGTCCAAGAAGAAGGGCGGCAAATACCTTGTCCTGCAGATGGACGAGAACTACACTCCCCCCGACGAAGAGACCCGATCTGTCTACGGTGTACAGCTCTCCCAGCGCCGAAATGATGCCAACATCTCCCCAAAGACCACATTCAACAAGATCGTTACGCCCAAGGACATGAGCTCACTACCCGAGGGAGCACTAAGAGACCTGACCGTTGCAACAATTGCGTTGAAATACACGCAGTCCAACTCCGTCTGCTATGCCGTCAATGGACAAGTAGTTGGTCTAGGCGCGGGCCAGCAGAGCCGAATTCACTGCACCCGTCTGGCGGGCGACAAGACGGATAACTGGTGGATGAGATTCCACGAGCGAACCCTTGGTATCAAATGGAAGGCTGGCGTCAAGCGGGCAGACAAGAGCAATGCAATTGATATGCTGTGCTCCGGCCAGATACCACGCTCCGACGTCGAGAAGGCGGATTATGAGCGTGTGTTTGAGGAGGTTCCCGCTCCTTTTACCTCGGAGGAGCGCGAGGCATGGCTGCAGAAGCTTACTGAAGTCGCCATCTCTTCTGACGCTTTCGTATGCCCCTCTTTCCTTTCTGCGTGTTTTGAACCAAAAGCTAACGAGTATAACTGTAGTTCCCATTCATTGACAATGTTTTCCGCGCCGCCCGATCCGGCGTCAAGTACATGGCCGCACCGAGCGGCAGCCAGAACGACGGCCCAGTGTTCGAAACTGCTGAGAAGCTTGGAATTGTCTTTGTTGAGCAGCGCATCCGCTTGTTCCACCACTAGGTCTGGCGCGCCTCCTTAACTAGTTATCCATAGTTACCCTTACCAACAGGGGAAAAAAAAAAATAAATCATAAAAATAAACGAAATCACACCAAATGAAAAATGGTGCCTGAAATCGACTTTGCTCTAAACCTCTATTTTGGCCTGTAATTCAAACAAAACTCCTCCCTCCTCCGTGCCTAGTCCTGATTAACGGGGCAGGGTGCTGAGCATGGTTCCAGGGTATAAATGCTGCCCTAAATGCGAAAAATGTTAAGACAAAACCAACCACCTCCCGTCTAGATGCATACTGCTACCGTCTCTAATATCGGATTTCTATCGGTGAGCCCAGCCGTTGGCTACAAGAACTTGCATTTCATTAATAAGGCAGAAGGAGCCAGCCTCCGTGTCTCCAGGGCCTTCTCTTTGGTACTGGGATAGTCGTTTCCGAACTGTATACTCTGTGAACCATGGAGTCGTGAACCATCGCAAGATCCGGTTTTTCCATAGACCGCTAAGAATAGAAGAGGTCGAAAGCCATGACATTTTCTCTGGGTTAACTGCAGTATACGCAGGGATATTGTATCCCACCCGCACGTTTGGGTTTAGCCATACACCCTTGTTGTCTGACAAGGGGTTATCTGCGTGAATCAAACAGCATTCCGATCCTTCAAGGTGTGACTTTGCAAGGCCATCGGAGATACCTCTGAATTTCAATGGAGGATCCTGGTAAAATGGAGAAGAGTCCATCGCCACTGAATAATGCAGTGTTAGCTTGGATTTCACACAAGACACTGTTACATTGGGTGATAAAATCACTAACCTGCTCCATTCCAGCAACTCTTTACAGGGATAGGTTCGCTATACTTGATCGCCCGTCGGGATACCCGGGATCTAAAGTAAGGCCATGTTTGCATGAGCTGGTCGTGGCCTTCAGAATCCCGAAGAGCAAATGTGTCGTAGAATTTTGGAGGTTTTGAGAAGTCAAGAGAACATGCTGCTGCAAATCTACCTCCTCTAGTTGATAGCAGTCTGCGGATATCCAAAGTCTATAGGTACGTTAGTAGGTAAGAAACGGATATATGAGGAGAGATCCTCACATTAAACACCACATCATTCAAGAATAGAACTTTGTCAAAAACAATGCCAGCCTCCTTCAATTCATACAGCGGTTCCATGACTGAGTTGCGCAAGTTGGCGAGGTATGGTATCCGACGCAGCTCGGTCTGGCCAGTCGGAGTTTCAATCCAGCCCGAGCTAGCAGGGGGCTTGCTAATTTCATCGAGATGCGTTGTATCATTGAGCAGTATTCTTCTCGGGATATTATTTTGAGCAAGCACTGCGTCCAGATAACGTAGCTGGCCCTTTGAGTCGTCCCAGCTACCGCTTTCATGAAGACTGACAAAGACGTTATCTCGACCGATGGCCTGGACCAATTCAACAAGGGCAGGTATCCATGCTTCCCGCAGTATTTTTTCGTTGTTCCAATGTATCCCAGTGATGTATATCTTCTCGTCTCCCAGCGAACTAGGCTCAGACTGGAGCTGGTAGACGAGAGCCTGCTCGACCCAGAGAACTTCAGCAAAGCTCCATAGAATGGCCACTAAGGCCATGGCGACCGGGAGCCGGCGCAGCCTCCTGTAGAAGTACCGGGGCAGCCTCATGGTGGTCGCGTGAGCCGCATCGATCGTGATGGCGAAGCCCGCCTTGTGCAAGGTACAGGATAGACTCGGCGAGATCGAAACCGGGGCTGAGTATCACACCTCGCCGTTATCCAAACATGCAATTCACTGGCCGGCGATGTCACGATGTCTCTTTGCCCTGAAGGACTTGTTAGCTAACTATTATAACTAGTTAGGGGGGATATGCAACACGTGACATGGTTTCCAAGAGCCGTAGGTGCGACGGAGATCGCAGAACAGCAAAAACACCGTCAACCAACTCATGAAGAGGATACTGACATGTTTCGAATAACTATCCCGATGTTAATCACAAGGCCAGTGGCTGCTAGCTAGCTACTAATGGACTACATCTGCTACGTGCGTCCCCAACAGCGCTTCCTGAAAACTCGGAACCCCAAGTCGTTCGCTCCATGTTTCCGTTTCCACGCCAGTGAGTTCTAGGGGATTAACTGCCCTGCTAGTTTCCAGGGCAGCTCAGGGGCTTCCGCTAGTAATTCGTGTGACCACCTGCCTACGAGAAGTCAGGCCAACTAGCTGATTCTCAAGAATCAGTAGTCAAGCCAGAATAAAGCCATACTGGCGGTTACTCGGATGATTTTAACGTTGATATTGATAGCTATGTCATTATACCTTCTCAATAGTTATATTGCCAAAACCGAGAAACTATATAATAATACCTCACTTGCACAGAAGTTGGATGTTATGCAGGTCCTGAGAGCATGGTTATCCTATGTCGAGCAACAAGCCTAGAATCCAAACAGATTCTCATCCTCTTTATACCCCCATTTCGTCAAAGCAGGCAACACAGCTTTCTGTATCATTGCAGGCGGCCCGCAGAGCAGAACGACGTTCTTCTTACCTGGTTCAAAAGAATGCTTCCTGATGATGTCGTCGTTGACATGACCTTTTAGCCCCTTCCAGTCGCTGCTGGGATTAGAAAGGACGTGCACGATTTCAAATTGATCTCCATGTTTCTGAGAGAACTCATCTAGATCTTGTCGTAGCAGGATATCATTTTCCGTCTTATTTCCATCTATGACTCTAATCTTCGTCTTGTCATTGCCGTTTCTCAGGATTTTTGTGATCACCTGGTAGCCAGGAGTGACCCCAGATCCGCCCAGTATGAGGGAGACGTTGTCGAAATTATACTCTTTGCCATCGACACTGAAACAGCCGTTACCGTGATACCTTATTTCGCCTGACGGGCCCTTAACTTCAACTTCTTCACCGTCGCGGAGACAGTCAAGGATGTTGCTCATTGTACCACCTGGCTGGTCTTTATTTGGGAAGTACGTCTTTACAACCAGGTCAAATGTCCCATCATACTCCTCATTTAAGATAGGATGGACAGGGGTATAGGGGCGAACAACAAGGCTATCCTTGAAATGGAACCCAACTTGGACGTGCTGACCAGTTTCTAGACCAAGCTCTGTAGCTTGAGATGGAAGCTTAAACGTATACCTCCTAGTATCTGCAGAGAGGGCCTTTTTCGAGACAAGCCTGGCTTGAACCCACCTAAAGGTTGACTATTAATATAAATGGTCCCGACGTAGGTGTGTGATGGGTCATACCTATGATTATCTAAGGCAACCTTAGAGTCTCTATCTCTCAACTTCAGCCGTTCATTTTTCTTCTGTTCCGTGTCTTTCATCATATGATCCATTGCTTTCTGCGTGACCTTCCCTAGAATGCATTCTATATGCCATTAGAAGCGAGTCCTAGGAATACACACCTCGATCTTTGGGAGGGGAAATACCCTTGAGCTTATCTTGGGCATAATTGTCATGTATGCTGCCGAATTCCTCCGTCGTATCCCAATGCACAATCCCAGCATGAGCCATGATTGCTCCTTTACCACCTGGGTGCCAGCTGAGGACTTTCGTGGCATCATACACATTACCATTTACAACGATCCAACAGTCAGTCTCCGTATGATGTTTTTCAATCTCTTGTCGAGTAAATTGTTTCTCAGGCGAACTCGCATTGCGTTTAATCTCTTCCATCTGCTCCTCTGTGGACGGTTTTCTCCAGCCACTCGTCCCACTCCCTGCGTCAACAGGGTGCCGGAAGAGAAGATAAGTTTCTTCATTTTCTGGGTTATCAAATATCTCCGGCTTCACTTCATACCAACAATTGTTCATCATTCTGTCAAGCTGTCAATATATATGACAATAAACGAAGCAAAGTCTTCTGAAGGGACATTTGCTTTGCTCACCCTGCGATATTCCACACTGGCTCTCGAGGTTGCGTGTTCTTGTGTGAATCAAATGCTCGAACTAGGATGCTTTGAGCACGGATAAGCTTAGTTATGTCTAAGTCGATATGCCAGTGCAACCAGGTCCAGAACTTTTTGCCATGTCGAATTGGCTTATCCGGGTACTATTTGATTATGAATATTAGCTGTTGATATCTATAAAAGAAGAGGGAACGGGGCTCACTTTGCGAGAACAGTACAGCCAAGTCTCTCCACCGTTTAGACTAATCTCTACCTTATCAATCTCGTCTCCGCTTCCACTGTAGGCAAACCCCATGACCCTATACATCGTTCCCTTTTTGACGTCAACTAGGTCAATTTGTTCACCCTGAGCTGGTTTCACGATGATAGAATTCAGCATCTGCTCGTTACATATAGTGCTAGGATGATGGTACATCAATTGTGCTATCTCAGATTCCGTGTTCGTTATAAAACTTGGAAGCTGCCTATTGTCGTAGATATGATAATGGCTATCATTCTCATTTTCAGTTATCCATACTTTGGCCAGCCACTTGATAGATCGTGCTCCCACCCAACCAGGGAGTATTAATCGCAGAGGGTAACCATGATCCGGTGGAATGGGATGATCATTCATTTCGTACGCAAGCATCACATCATTGATAGGATCCATGACGTATTCAAGTGGGACACAGGTGGCATACTTGCCTTCACTAAGTTCGTCTGCTCCCTCATAGTTTACCCATAGCCTTTCGTTGGGTTTCTTCTTCATAAGATTTTCAACCCCTGCGTCCAATAGAACATCGCGAAGGAGAACTCCCTTCCAGTACGAACAACTCGCAGAGGCACCGGTGAAATTGAACGCTCGAGTTCTTTTGATCATATTCAGTTCTTTTCTGCGACTCCCGTCACAGGCCAGGAAGACGGGTATATTAACACTTTCGAAGGACAGCTTAAGGTTATCCATCGAATAAATCACATGTTTGTCAGTAGTAACCTCTAGTTCATGGTTCTCCCATAGTAGATGTGGAACGGCTCCGTGGTTGCGGACATAATGAATGGGGGAAGGAGTAATAATTCCAGCCTCAAAAAGAGTAGTGAGGTCGGGTTCCGCATTCATCGGATGCTTGCCTGTCAGGCGTATCAATTTGTCACTACGAGGAATCCAATTGTCTGGAGAAAACTGATCCGCTTCATCGATTTTCTCAGGAGTCTCATCACGAATTGGACAGCTCCCCTTCCCATCATTAACCTGCATAGACGAACGGTGCTGTTGTTCATGCCGTAAGAACTCTAAGAGAGCCTCTTCTTCCGATGTGGGTTTTGACTTCTCTTTCTCTGGCTCTCTTTTGCCTGCCTCAGTCACCTTTCCCTTTTCCTCGGACTCCGTCTTCCGGTTTATAGGCCATGGTTGGCCATACTTAATGAAGCTCTCTGTGGTATGGAGAACATATCGCCAGTAGTCAGGGTGCACCTCAGGCCGTTCCAAATGGAAATCCTGCCTATAATTAGCCCCAATTAAATGCCAACAAGGTTAACCCGGTGCTAGCATGACATAAAGCTGAGTGTGGTTATAAAACCTTTTGGTCGATCATAATGTCACGAACGGTGACCAGTTCTCCCCTGGCTACTTTCTCACGTAGCTCTTGGATTTTTTCATCTACTTCCTCAAGCTCATCATGATACTCATCCCCTCTGTGGGTTACGCCCATGAACCGAGCATCACGACCTCGAGTCCCAACACGGTGACTATGTGTTCGCGTCCAGTCGGGCTCGTTGAGTATTTCGAGGTCAGAAGCCCCTGGATGTTTGGTTGACGGCATTGTGTCTCTCAGGTAGCATAAAGCTCTGTAGGAGATCCTTATAACCGATAGCTTCCCGTCCTTCCCACTTCGAGTGATTTCACTGCTCTGGCTTTGGGGGCACTCGGCTTGATATTTATATAAACAGGTCTACGTCATAGATGGCACAGCAACCTTTTGTTGACGGCAAGTTCACGCTCATTGGCTGAAATAGGGAGTAAATAAGGTTAAGAATAGCTTGTTTGTAGGGTTGCTAAAATTAGCTAATTAACAGCCTCTCATTGGCTGCTATCCCTTGGATCCAGGATCCAGCTAATAAAAAGTTAATAATTCAGCCAATCATGGCCTTTTTCAATTTCAACCTCATAACTCCCCCAGTTTGATTTTTGAACAGAAACCATCCAATATTTTGTACTTCGACTGCAAAGATCAACTATCATACCCTTTCAAGGAAGATACACTAGAGCTATGACTATAAATCCATCGATATAAACCCTTTTCTGTGTACCAGGTATTTCTTATTGCCCTGTGCCCTTTCTTTAAGTCCCAGGACAAGGCTCTCTGCCTCAATGCCGCGGTTAAGCAACGTACGTTCTGAAACCCAGATCGACTAGTTATTGAACCAAGCCAAAGATTCTTTGTGCTCGGAGACTTTCCCTCGATGGCCAATAAGCAATGACATTTAGCGAGTATTGTGTTGATAAATTATTTGATATGTGAGCACATTGTATAGGCTTGCAGACTTGATAGTATAACGGAACGCTGGATGTCAAAACGTTGGTAGCCTGCACAGTGGGGTAACAAGCTCATAAAAGTGTTATTTAGAATTAGGTATCTAAAAACCGAATTTTGACCCGATGGTCCATTTTAGGTAGTCCGCCGTACTCGATATGGCCGGGCCGGGCCGCGTCCTGATGCGGTTACCTAGGTAGTGAGTACCTCTCTTGAGCTCTTGCTCTGGTCCTTGCGCAGGCCTCTAAGAGGTGTTCCTTCGTGACCTCTGTTGGTTTGATGTCATCAATTTTGTTAATGATGTCGTTGGCACAGAGAGGCATCTCGTCCCTGATAGCGTAGAAGAGGCGGTAGACGGCCTCAATTGGTGGGGCTGGATATCCCGTGTCTGTCAGGTTCTCATAGGACTTTAGTAGTCCGTCAATGTATTGCGGAATGGTTGCAAAGTTCGCTCTTTCTAGTGTAACCCACGTCTTCCAGCGCCTCCTTATCTCGGCTGGTGACGTCTTCAGCATTGTCTGTCTAATGGAGTTGTATAGGTTCTGCGCCGTGTCTATCGGTAGATTGGTGTTCTTTACCCGTTTATAGAGTTTGTAAGATATCTGTTTCGTCATCCACTGAGTAACGTAGGCATCTGCTAATTTATATCGTTCAAGATGTGCCTCGTTATCTGGCGGCGTTGTAATTGAGCCGTCGATTAAGTAGCCTAGGCATTGGGTCCGTAGCATTCTTATAACGTGCGTCATCCAGCGTTTGATATCTTTCTTATCCGTCAATATTGGAACGCCTCCCAGTGGCTGCAACCTGGAGGTATCTGGGAGCTTTGTCCAATGAAATTGATACAATTGAATTTCACCATTACCAGGCCTATTAGAAGACTTCGTTTCTGGTATTCCTACCATTTCGGCGTGCGTAAGGGGGTCGTTTGAGCGTTGGTATTAGTGTTAACTAGATATCGAACAAGGGCGTCATAACCTCTCAGAAGCTCTTAAGACACAACGGAGCAGCAAAACGAATGCCTCAACGTCTAGCTGGGCACTAGAAAAGCAGATAAATAGGCGTAGGAATGATGAATAATGATGGCCTGCAAGACAGCAGGCAATACTATGGCTATTTATCTGTATATGCTGGTCACCGATCGGCCGTCTGGTGCCTAAGTGAAATGGCGCAGGGGGTGGCGGCGACGGCCCATCACATATCTGAGACGCTGACCAAACACTGGCTCTAACACTATTTAAGCTAGCTATCAAAGCTGTCAGAGCAGGCGGTAAGGTAGTTGATGTCAAGCACTTCGTAGCATCCAGGATGCTGCCTCGTATCTCCCTTGGTCAGCTCCTAAAGGGTCAAAGGGGAACCTATACCATTGTCAAACAGCTTCAAGAAACAGTTTGGCTCGCCACGTAATTAAATTCCAGCTCACCAGTTTTTGTTGAATACGAGCTGATCCATCCAGGAACCAAGACAAGCACTGTGATTGTTAAAAGGCGTCCATCACTTTCGCCTCGATAAAGTAGTTTATAACTTCTTCCTGCATATAAAAGTATCCATTTCTAAGGCCAGTATCAGCAAAGTACTCAAAATTAACAATTAACATCAAAATGCGCTTAAGATGCCTGTCTTTCAGGATCCTGTAGCCTTGCCAACTCCAAAAGTAATCGGTATATATAAATAGTCATATCCACCCCCCTAAACGCCCGTGAAAACCATTCCCGGCCCTGGTCAGCAACCTCCTTTGCACGCCGACGTCCAGACTCGGTTGAAGTAAGATAAGAAACCAGCTCGGGTAGTTCCTCCATGCTCTGGCTAACGGGTATATAATGCACCCATGGAACTAGACGGTCGTCATGCCACTCCCGCAATAATGTCTGTTTCAAGGGCGTTGATTTTGAGGCCAGTAGCTTGTAATAGCGTCCACTGATGGCATTACCATCGATATCAAAGACTAGCCGAGAACGGAATGCTTTGTCCTTGTCTGCCCATGGCTTGGAAGGGAAGAAAGTCCTTTGCTCTCTGCAGTATGTAGTCTTGCACTGGAATATTTTGGTGAAGGCAACGTCGTATAGCCTGGTGTTGAGGAAGTATGACTTGACGCTGCTGATCACGCCGTTAGTCTCGCGGATACACTTGTGTTTGCGTGTTTCCAGATTCTGTGCGAGAGTAACGAATCTTTGGCGGTGGAAGTGTTTCCAGGAGCCTGTCTGTGCAAATGCACCGGTTGTGGAGCCCGCCCAGTAGAGGTTGTTGCGTTTCTTGTGCCATTCAACGTCATTTTTGCCGTCGTACTGAAATTCGGATTCAATGTAGGCGGGACTAGGGAATAAGATGTCACCCATGGTGAGTGGGGAGCCTGTTGATAAGATGGGTACCAGCCCCTCGAACAGACGGAGAGAGGTTGGACTCATAAAGAGACCGTTCATAGTAGCGTATTCAGGATGGGTACATGGGTTCATGTCCTCTGTTCGGTTTGTGACGAAAGGAAGACCGTATGTTTCCACTCTGTTGCCTGAATGGCTGTCCTCAGAGTGACAATTCTTGGTGATAGGCTCCCAAGCTGGCTGTCTCGACAGATTGGTCAATTTGAACTGAGTGCCGTCAACCTCCTTTTTGCCCGGAGGGACAATAACTCTCGGTTCGTCCAAGTGGTTGACGAGGAACTTGACATCTGGGAGGGCGCCCGGTACATCTTTCAGCAGGGTATCAAACAGCAGCTGTATGTGTCTGTCAAAGGAGCGGCTTGGATGGTGACACTGAGTCTTAGCTCTAGTGCCGTGAAAAGTGCAGCGCCAAAGTTCGCTGTCAGCAGTGCTCTGGGCGCGGTCCATGGTTTCAAGTACTTGTTTGCCGCTCAGTCTTCGAAATGGAGATACGGCAGTGTGTATCATATCAAAGTCATCGATGATGGGGGATTGGTGAGATCTGGCAAAGTTGTACCATGCCTCGAACCCTGGAGGTGGCTCAATGCCGTATCGCCGCTGATATTCGGCATGAGCAGCAGTATAATTTTGAGACTGTCTGCCGAGAAGCTCTTCAAAGTCTTTCGTACCCCTGTGGATGAGTGTCTCGACGGGATGCTTGCTGTAGGTAGCAAGCTGTGAGGAGTATGCGGACTTGATGGCGATGATATTGGCCATGAACGGACCCAAAGAGACCAGGGAGAAGATCCAGAGAGCCGACTTGTTTGAGACGTGCCTTGGGAGCGTGTGGATGGTCTGGCCCAAGGCAAAGAGGGATGCTATTACATGGGACAGAGCCTTGGTATCAGAGGACTGCATAAAGGGGCTAAGGGTTGACAAGATGCCAAAGGTGCCTGTTGCAGCAGCCGTGCACCAGGAGGAATATCTAGCCTGGGGTGTATTGTAAGCATAAACATGACCAATTAAGAAAGGAAGAGGAGCAGCAGCCGTGAACATACTGCTTTGATGATTGAATACCATGATAGAGACTTTGCAAAGCCGAGTATCAGAGTGGCGAGGACACCCCCTGACGGCCAGCCGAAGAGCACAACCTCCACGCCGAGGGAGACGAGCAGCAGCGGGACAACTCGCAGCGAGACAGGAAGAACGGCATCCTCAGCGTTGACGTCTGGCAGCAGAGAAGCCTTCTTTTTCCTGTCCGACTTTGGCATGAAAGTAAGGTAGGCTCCAAACAGGGCGAGGACAGGGAGAGCCGAGAGGGCATGGCCCCTGAAGTCCCAGTCTGACAGGGTGATGATGAACAAGACAGCCACCAGCAAAGTGCCCCATAGTGTATTTGCCAGGGGGTAAAACAGCCAGGAAGAAGAAGCAGCAGCAGAAGCAGAAGAAGAAGAAGAAGAGGAAGCAAAAGAAGTGGAAGAGCCAAAGTGTCGCTGAGCGAGCAGAAGCAAGGGAGTCAACGCCGGCTGCTCCTGTCAGTCTTCCCTTGAACGTAACAGCATAGAGATAGGATATAGAGGCAGACACAGGGTATTAGAGATGCATTCAGGGACTCACGAAGAACGCTAGCAGACGGATCTCAGCTCTGAAGAGACAGGAGAGGACTATGCAAAGGGCGGCCGTCCAGACAGAGAGGGACGAAGAGGAGCGCTGGGGCGAGTATCGCAGGCTCAGGGGGCCAGTCCCAGCCCTCGAGGAGCGAGCCCGCGAGCCCAGGGACCGTCCTGCAGCCCTGAAGAGCGCCGGCAGGGCCAGCCAGCAGAGGATCTCGGAGCAGAGCTCGACGGGGCCGGCCGCGAGACGGTGGACGAGGACGCTGCAGAGAAGCGCTGCGGCCGTCCAGCTGGTGACGGGGGCTCCATGGCTGCTCATCCCATCCCACGTAGCACTACAGATACAGATACAGATACAAGCAATGTATAGATGGATAGAGGGTAATAATATAGACAGATATAGACGGATAGATACATATCAGATGGCTGCAGAAGTGCATCTGCGAGCTTTTTCACAAGATTCCTATGCCTGCACAGCCACAAAGGGGGCTCCATCTGGCCTAGACCTTTAAGGGGTTCATTTGATAGACAGCAACGAAGGCCATGATAGTGATAGTTATAAGAGAGAGGGGGAGAGAGAGAGAGAGAGAGAGTCCGGATCTCAGTATTTTATCACTATAGACACTGAATAGACAGAATGAATAACACTGTCCATCCTCTGCGGCGCTGGTGCAGGCTCAAGAAGTAGCAACGCCTGGCCGGTCAGCAGCTGTAGATCTAGATAGCAGCAGGAGAGCAGAGATAGACAGAAAAGACAAACAGCCAGGAGGAGCCAGGAGGACAGGCTCACTTCTGGTGTGCTGCTTCTCTCACTCTGTCCTGTGTTGCTGCTGGCTGGCCTCCTTATATTTAGCTAGTTAGCTCGCTGCCTCCCTCGCCAGCCGCATCTTCACCTTACAACTTCTTCAACTTCAACTTCAACTTCTTCAACTTCTCGACTTCAGCTTCTCGACTCCAGCTTCCACCACCAGCCCGCGCGGCCGTCACAGTGTCTCCTGCGCGTCTGCTCCTCGTCCAGCTGCCGTCCAGCTCCTGGTAGGTCCCCAGCAATGCTTGCCAGTCGCCCCAGCTGCCAGGATCCTCTGCTCACTCTCGTTTCAGCCCCCGTGTGAAGAGCCCCTTTGCTCCCTCGATCCAGCAGCCTCTCTCTCTCTCGCGTCCAGTCCAGCTCATGATGGTCCTGCTGCACTGCTCGTGATAGCCCTGCAGTCCGCCGCCTGTCTCTGCTGCCGGCTGCTTCTTGTCCTGCTGCCATCTTCGTTCCCGCGAGCTCTATAGAAACTCTTCTTGAAACACCCCGCCCTTTTCCTCCTTTCATTGCAAACGGCCGGCCGACGGCGACGAGACCCTCGCCATGGTGTCTGAAGAAACGTACAAGCTGTGCCTGCACATCCTGAACAATGAGGACGACAACGAGGAGGAAAAGGCCGAGAAGCTGGAGGCCTTCCTGCGCGACCAGTCGTCCCTGGCCGGCTCCGCCCTCGAGAACGCGGTGCTCGACGTCCTCTGGCGGCACCGCAGCTCCTCCATGGCCGATGCCTCGCAGCCCCCCGTCCGGCACACGGTCATTCGCCGCTCCTCGCCCGCGCCGTGGCAGATGGCTCGCTCAGCGACGCCGCTCTCCTCCCCTTCGCACACCGGGTCCAGCCCCGTTGCCCAGTCTGGCTTCCCCGTACCCCGTGGGGGATTCCCTCGCGCGCCCAGGTCCCTGACGGCGTCTCCCTTCACCTCGCCTCGCCCGTCTCCGCGCCTGGGAAAGGTGCTGCCCATCCCGCACAGCCCCAATCTCAATACTTATTCCTTCTCAGAGCGTGGTCCTGCCCCCGAGATATACGGTGATCTCGGCAGTGACAACGTCGATTGGCTGGTCAACGAAGATGCAAAAAGCACCGCTTCCTCCACGGGCCTCAGTGCCGCTGCTCCAGAATGGGTTGCGCCGCCGGACATGAGCCCCTACGATATCCTCAGATCGGTGCTGGGCGAGCGCAAGACGAACGAGGAGATCGAGCATGCCCTCGAGGCCAACGGATATGACCTGGGAGCCACAATTGCATCCCTGACTGAACAGGACCACCACAGCCACCATAGTAGTAGTAACCACGGCCATGGTCAGCACCACCTGGAGACCCCGTCTCTCTCTTCCAGCAATGAAGGCCGCGTCCTGATAGGCAAGTCTACAGCCATGGACCCTGCACGGCCAGTTACTCCGTCTACCTCTGCGCGCACTCCTGTGGTCTGCAAATATTGGTTATCTACCGGCCAGTGTCTGCGTATGGACTGTCGGTTTAGCCATGACCTCACCAGCCATGTTTGCAAGTATGTCTTGTTCTTTATCTATTTATTGTCTATTTATTGTCTATTATTGTCTGTTGCTGTCTGTTGCTGTCTATTGTTAAGAGTCCATGCTAATTCATGCATTAGATACTGGCTGATGGGCAACTGTCTTGCAGGAGACTCATGCCCCTTTTCCCATGATCCATCCTCTTTGATAGGCAGCATGAGCCTTGGAAGTGACAACCTGAGCGTTGCTGGTTACTCTGCGAACAATGCCGCCGCCGCTGCTGCCCAGCATCAGCATCAGCATCAACAGCAGCATCAACAGCAGCAACAGACCAGCCTCTACCCGCTGCAGGACAACTACGAGGCCTTTCCTCCGCTCCAGCCTCCGTCTACATCTTCATCCGCAGCCACGACTTCCAACAGCATCACCGCCGACCAGTGGCATCACCGCAGCCAGATGCAGTTCATGGCCGGCAGCCCTCAGATGCGGCCCGGCTCATCGAGCAGTATCAAGAACAAGAACATGCTGAACCCGTCGGCTACGCGCTCTCACTCGCGGCCTGGGAGTAAACACCAGAGCCGCGAGCAGCCAGCCACCTCTGCTCCCGCAGTGGACGACCCTGAGGCGTTTCCGACGCTTCAGGCTCTCAACAGTCGTCCCGGCAAGAAACACCACGGCAAACGTGGTACGCAGCATCGAGAGGTCACCAAGGCCAGAGACGCGTCCGGCACATCATTAGCCGATGCGGTTCGCATGTCTCCTTCCGCGAAGAAGGGAGCTCAGAAGGGTGCTAGATCCTCTGCCAGTGGCACCACCAGAGAGATCAGCGCGGAGGCCCAGGCCATCCCGTCGCCCAAGCACATCCCCTGGCTCGAAACCGGCGTCGAGTGGACGCAGCCTTACTTGAAGTACCGTGTGGATGCCATCACCCACGGGAACGTGAGGAACAAGTTCCTCCAAAGGTAGCCCTCTCCTCTCTCACTTCTATCTGAACGTATACTGACCTCCTTATAGTGCTGCGCAGGCCTGGAACCGTAATGATGCGCGGGCCGCTAAGGCTCTGTCGCTCCGGGGCCAGGCCGAAAACGACGCTATGCGTCGTTGCCACCGAGAGGCTGCCCGGCTGCTCTTCGAAGAGGGCCGTAAGCGCATTGCCGACAACGACGACGAGTTCTACGTTGACTTGCACGGTCTAGTCCCGACCGAGGCGATCGCGTACCTCGACAACATCCTCAAGGAGAGCTCCCAGCTGCGGGAGCATTTTCTCTACGTCATCACCGGAAGTGGCCATCACAGCAAGAATGGCAAGGACAAGGTCGGCAAAGCCGTCAAGGGCTGGCTGACGGAGCACAGCTATGTGTTCCGCGACTTCAGCGTGCCCGGCGAACGTGGTGGTTTCGTTGCCTTTGTGATCGGAATCAACCCTACGGCTACCGCCAACAGTGGTCGAGACTCGCCTTCTCCCACTTCCCCTGCCATCTCAAAGGCCCAGTCTCAGACCCAGAGCCAGAGTCAGAGCACCGACAAACCCACCGGAGAGATCAGCAAGGCCGTTGCTGCCGCCGCCGCCGCTGCTGCTGCCGCAGCTAGCGCGGCTACTACTGATGCAACCCCTGCCAGAGATGACACCGGCGACGAGGACGGAAGCGTAACTGCAGCAGAGGCATCCTCTTCGTCTCCTGAGCCTGGTCCCGTCCTCAAGATGGGCAAGATTCAGCTGCTGAAGCGAGACGGCGCTGCAACCAAGGCATGATGACCGCGATGACCATCAGCCTGACAACCATGAGAGGCAGCCGCTCAGTTTCACGTTGATGCCTTACGCCATTATCTTTTTCTTACCTCCTTTCTTCTTTTCAACAAGTAGCCAGGCCGACGCTACCTACATTTTTAACGAACGAGATGTTTTTTAACGAAAGACGCAAGCATGCCCGTACATGAATGACCATTTTTGCACAGCAGACAGAGAAACAGGGGATGTTACCTTCCACCACGCAGACCGACTACTCGTGTACATTCCAACACTACAACTACTACTTCTTTTAATCGATGGTCCGTCTACCCGACACTTTTGCTGTCCGGTTTCCCCCCCAGGATTTAGACGGAGTTTCTCTGATCTTTCTTTCTGTGCCCTCCTTTTTTTTCCTTTTCTGTCTCCATGATAAGACGACATAACTTCGCTCTCGAGCTGTTTTCCTTTGAATCATCGAGCTCAACTTTTCCAGTTTAGAGAGAGCCTTAGATCATGCAAGTGAATTGACTTTGATTTCAATATCCATCTACGTTTAGTAGTTTCTTTACCGTATCTACCATAAAAAGAAGAACGTCACATCGTAGACATCGTTAAACATATATATAACCCTACATACATCTATTCGGGCTCCTGATGCTTCCACCGGCCCTTGACACTCTCGACATCAATCCCACAGGCCTCAGCCTTCCTCACAATCGCCCTCGCCTTCTCTGCAACAGGGACATCAATCATCTTCCCGTCCAACGTCCAGGCTCCCCTCCCTTGCCTCGCAGCCTTCTCGTCCGCAATAACAACCCTCACAGCCCACTCGACTTCCTTCTCCTCCGGTCCAAAAATCCCCTGCACCCTCTCAACCTGCGTAGGGTGGATGCACTGCTTCCCATTGAAGCCCAGCCTCTTGCCGGATCGACTCTCCTCTTCTAACACCGACATACCGTCAATGCCACCGTCTTGCTTGTACGATGTGCAGACCAGGTCAATTGCGGAGGGTAGCTCGTGGGCTCTGGCAGCCGTAACGATGGCGCTTCTTGCATAGAGGAATTCACTCAGCGACGGGGTACGGGTTATGCTCAGGTCGAGCGCGAAGTCTTCGGCGGCGAAGATCAGGCCGGACAGGAGGGGCGTAGCGGTGCATATTTGCGAGAGATTGGTTATTGCCTTTGCGCTTTCCACCAGAGCCAGTATTGATATCTGCTTTGTGGAGGAGGACGTATGGGATATCACGTCCGATATGAAGGTGAGGTCTGAAGCAGAGTCGACTTTGGGGACTACCAGCGTCGAGAGGTTGGGAGATTTGAGCTGAGACGCCGTTAGCTACCAGCTGCGAGATGACTATGGATTGGTTGAAGGTGAAGCTGAAGGCGTAGGTGCAGGCGTAGGTGGATGGCTCACCACTTCGGTCAGGTCGGCCAGGGCCAGCCCGCTGCCGACAGAGTTGATGCGTACGGCCCGCTCCCTGACGCCGGCGGGCGAGGGCAGGTCGAGAGCGGCGCGCACCAGGCGGCGGGCTTCTGCTTTCTTCGAGGGGGTGACGCTGTCCTCGAGGTCGTAGGCGATGCAGTCGACGGAGAGCATTCGGGACTTGTCGAGCATGCGCTGCGAGGAGCCGGGGACTGGTTACGGACAGCCGGCGGTTAGTTCTTCTGTTCTGAATTCTGGCTGGCTGGCTGATCTGGCGGATGCTGGCTGCGACTTACCGTAGAGCAAGGCCCGTCTGAGGACGCTCCTGGTGGCCATCGTGACGGCCTGGACTGCTCAGTGCAATTGACGGCTGGTTCAATGTCGCTGTAGCTAAGTAGTTGACTGATGCTCCTAATAATAGCGAACTAATAGTTAACTAGTGAACTAGCTAGGTTATAGAAAAGAAGCAAATCTTATTTCAACGGACGCATAAGACTATCATACATGTCCGCAACAGCTGGAATCCTGAAAATCCCTTCGGGATCGTACTCGCTGTCGATGGCAGTCTTCCAGAACTTGATAATGGCGTTGCACTTTCGCAGGTCTTCGGTATTCTTACTGTCGAGTAGTGTGAGGTCGGCGCGGGCGTTCACCAGTCGCACCACCTTTGACCGGCGAGAGATGAGCTTGCCATGGCCGTACGGTATGCCGTATATCAGCTCGAACACGCCAGCCCATATAGCAAACTGAAAGGCATCATTATTTGCAAGGAATCGCAGAATGTCGAGATCTACGAGGACCGCCGGGGGCCATCGCGTTGCACCTACCGCGAGACTTATAGATGGGCCCCCGAAGCAACATCCAGGTTCTGATATGGTGTTCATAAGTGACTCCATGGTCCTGCCTGGCCTCTTTATGGAACTGCCTGGCCTCTTCGCGGAACTGCCTGGCCCCTTCGCGGTATTGCTTGGCCTCTTCGCGGTATTGCTTGGCCTCTTCGCGGAACTGCCTGGTCTCTTCGCGGAGCTGCTTGAGCTCCTGCTCGATGGAGGTCAAACGCTGCTGCATGGACTCCAGGGTTTGGAGAATCCCCAACCCTGCCCTGTTACCCACGAGCCGTTTTGTCTCGTCGACAGCCATGATGTCTGCTGCGGGCACCATTCCTGAAAGCTCCTCTCTGGTTCCTTCTTGCAGGATGCAGCCTTTCCAATTCTACAGTGAGAGTTAGCAAATTCCATGGCTAACAGAGGACGTCTTTATAAACTTGCCTTGTCTTCGCCCAGCGGCGTTGGTGGCGGACAGGATGACGTTGAACTCCCTATGACTATCTAGATAGTTAACTGCTGGGCCTCGGCATCCCAATACAATTTAATTTTTAGACAGGTAGGTAGATGTACTTACTGAAGTATCTCGCTCGTACGTCCTGTTTATTGCTTGTTGGACAGATATGTGTATATATTCTTTACCGGAAGACAGCCAAATAGTTAGCAGCAACTAATCGACAGCTCCGTCTGTTAGTCCATCTCGTAACGAGCCCTTGACTAGAAAGCACTCTGGAAGAGCAGAGGCGTCATTCAAGGTCCCACTCGTCCTTCAATCTATACTCCAGACTCCGTAATGCTGCATCGACCTAGCCTGACAGCAAGATAATGAGATCAATCAGAGACATCCCCCGGATCAGCATAGGGATGTCCTCGATAGTCTCTCCTGACCACGCGACTGCGCGGTGCAGTACGGAGTACACTAGTGTTATCAACCGACGCAGGAACCCCCATGGGCCTGAGAGTATCAAAGACTATCTCTGACCCTGCATATAGTTGCCCAGTCAATGCAATGATAGAGAGATAGGACAGCAGCAGTCCGGCTTATCCTCGGCCTGCCATTATTGACAGCAAGCATCTCGCCATGAGAAGCATCTCGTCAGACGTAAACGCATACCAGGCCAGGATCTCACTCCCACGCCTTGCATCTTGCATCGACCAGCAGCCTCACCTGCCCACTCCTGCATCCGGGATGTATCCATTTAATAATACTTAAGAACGGCCCGCTGCCGATCAGACGGGAACTGAAAGAAGGGAGGGCTGTCTTGGGGTGGCCAGATGGCAGTCTTTTTCTTCCTCCTCGTTCGTTTGCCATCTCAGGCCGCTGTTCGTCGCAGTCTCCTTGATATCTGTAGCTCTTCGTATCCGTAGGTCTTGCCGATGCAATACGAGTCCCCCTGAGAGATCGAGAGGAGGAGGAGGTCGAGATTATAATCTGGTCGGCGATATTATAGCTCAGCTGAGAGACATATAACTATCAGGATGAGCCCCTGATCCCTGGACGAGCCCAAGGACGAACTGCGTCTTCCCTGCAGCTGCAACGGTCGTCTTTCACATGCTCACGTCTTTGTCGAAGGAGAGGCCGAGCTGTTGCTGTTGTTTTGCTGTTGGCTGTTGGCTGTTGGCTGTGAGATTGCAGTCTTAGCTGGCCCCCCGGCGCGGTGATAGACGCCCTGGGATCTCGATGCTCACGAACTAGTTGCCGAGTTAGCAGCTGCTCGGGAAGAATCAAATACGAAGCAAGCGTCAAGCCATCGCCAGGGAGGTCTTTGGTCGTTCTATGGCTATATATAAGTAGCCACGACCGCCTGCTGTGAACCCGTTAGTTATTAGTTAATTAACCATCCATATAACTACGTAGCATGTCGGGCTGCCTCGCCGTCTCCACAGCCAGATAACTAGCATCACCGCCGCCGCACAGCTTGACCACCATCCTGCGTCGGTCGAGGAGCTGGACAGCCTGCCAGGACCGTCAGGATGGTGTCTCTTGATACCCAGCCGCCGCCGCTGAGCTGCGTGACGCTCACCTTCCCGGCGCCCTACGTGCTGCTGGCGACCATCAACCGCCCGGCGCAGATGAACTCGCTCTCCTTCGAGGCCGCGTGGGAGATGGACCGGCTCTGGGACTGGATGGACGAGGAACCGCAGATGTGAGAGCTTTCCTACCCGCGGCCATGGCCATGAGACGGCAGCTCCTCTAACCGCTCTATCAGACGAGTCGGCATCATCACCGGTGCTGGCAAGAAGGCCTTTTGCTCCGGCATGGACATCAAGGGTTCGCACCCCTTACCCCCTATATCTATATTATATCTACAGACACACACACACACATATATATATACTGACATCTAATGTATACCCTTAGATCGCCTGGAGATAGAGAAACTCGATGAACTCGCCCTCGCAAAGGCAGTCAACTATCCTCCCACCGGCTTTGCGGGACTCACTCGCCGCTCCGGCAAGAAACCCATAATAGCAGCCATCAACGGCCACGCACACGGCGGCGGCTTCGAGATCGTGCTCAACAGCGACCTCGTCATTGCTGCCGAACACGCCGACTTCAAGCTGCCCGACTCTGCTCGCGGCACAGGGGCCCTCTGCGGCGGCCTGCCCAGGCTGGCCCGCATCCTCACCCTGCAGCGAGCAATGCTGCTGGCGCTGCTGACCTACACCCTGTCCGCGCAGGAGGCCAAGGAATGGGGTATTGTGCAGAAGGTGGTGCCGGCAGACGACCTGGTCAAGGAGGCCGTCAAGATGGCCAGCGGGATAGCTGCCATGAGCCCCGACAGCATCATCGTCAACCGCGCCGGCGTCAGGCAGGGCTGGGAGACAGCGAGCGTGGAGCATGCCTCGACGCTGATATGGGACACCTATGCAAAGAAGCTGATGCTGGGGGAGAATGCCATTGAGGGCATGCAGGCGTTCAAGGAGAAGCGGCGGCCAGTGTGGAAGCCGTCGAAGCTGTGAGTATTGACAGACTGCAGTGGTTATAACAGTAAGGGGTCTACGAGGTAGCTATAGTTAACTGTCATCTGCTTCTCTTGTGCAGTATAATAATTATCAATAATATCAAATTTTTAATATGTAGACTCCACCATCCATAGACAGTTGGCTCCTTAACACTTCTTTGCCGGACAAATAACTGACTGACAAGCAAGACCATGACATAAAACTAGCACAAGGGGCGGCTATCTTTATTTCCCTCCTTACCGTTGAGCCAGGTTCGAGACTCTTTTATCTAGTTGTTTGTTGCTCTAAGTAGGTTGTTTGATACGAGAATCCTCGAAGAATGCGGAGGTATACGAAAGCCGAGGGTCAAGATGGTGAAACGGCTGCTACCTGGTCAACCTGCATGATCTATAACTAGTTAACTAAATATCCAGCGACTAGATAGTTAGCTGGCTGTCACATACTTCCAGCACTGGACGAGCAACATGGCTGCTCCCTTTGGCTCTCCCGTCCCCTACGCTGAGCCGCAGTGGTATTCCCGCGACTGCTCGCCTTACCACGATGAGTCTCACAGGAAGCTGCGCGCGTTTGTCCGAGACTATGTCGAGATGGAGCTGATGCCCTATGCCCACGAGTGGGAAGAGCAGGGCTTCGTTCCAGATGAAGTTCGTCCTCGTCGGCCGCCTTATATATATATATATACCCTTTTATAAGCATGTCTAACGGGGAAACACACTCATTCTAGACCGTCAGGAGGTTTGCGAAGAATGGCTTCTGCATCATAGACAGATCCAAGCCCGAGTACATGGGTGGCATCAGCCTGCCAGCCGGCATTGCACCGGGAGAATGGGACATCTTCCACACCCTCATCGTGGCGGATGAGCTGAACAGGTAACTAACCAGTTAATCACCAGAGTATCCTTGGATTTGTATAAATACTAATGCAGGTCGAACTGCCAGAGTCGGATACAGCGGGCCTGTCTGGGGTCTAAACGGGGGCAATAGCATCGGCTGCCCCCCTATCATGAACTTTGGAACCGAGCAGCAGAAGCTGGAGTATCTTCCTAGAGTTGCTCGTGGGGAGATACGATTCTGTCTAGGAGTCACCGAGCCAGACGGTACGCTATATGAACTACATATGCCATAAGTTATATAGAGCGATTACTGAAATAAACGCCCTCCAGCCGGTTCTGATGTCTCTGGGATCAAGACCGTGGCAAAGAAGGTCGGCAGCCACTACATTGTCAACGGAGCAAAGAAATGGATCACCAACGGGATCTGGGCGGACTACTGCACTGCAGCCGTCAGGACCGGCGGGCCAGGCCATGGCGGTATATCCTTTCTCATCATCCCCTTGACCGCAGAGGGGGTCACCAGACGGCGGATGTTCAACTCCGGCGTCCACGCAAGTGGCTCTACTTTCCTGGAATTCGACGACGTAGAAGTACCCGTCGAGAATCTAATCGGCAAGGAAAACGAAGGATTCAAATATATCATGTCAAGTAAGGACTCTCTTCGTACCCATGCACTTCTTTTATGAACAAACGGACGGACCCCTTGTCAGGGCTAACATGTAGACTACATAGACTTCAACCCAGAGCGGCTCAGCCTGGCCAGTGCCTGCATCAGGCTCTCTCGCGTATGCGTAGAAGATGCCTTCAGATACTCTACGGTCCGAGAGACGTTCGGCAAACCCCTACTGGCTAACCAGGTCATCAGGGCAAAAATCAGCAAGATGGGCCAGCTCATCGAGCCCTGCCAGGCATTCATGGACCAGCTAGCATATACCATCAAGACCTCTGAGCAGACTGGGCGGAAAATCGATATTGGAGGAATGACTGCCCTGCTCAAGGTGATGAGCACACGCTGCTTGGAGAAGGTGTGTAGGGAAGCCCAGCAGATCATGGGCGGAGCAGGGTATAACAAGGCTGGCAAGGGATCAAGAATCGAAGCCATCAGTCGTGATGTTCGGGTATATGTCGTTGGTGGAGGAAGTGAGGAGATACTGCGGGATCTTTCTGTGCGCGAGGAGCTGAAACACATGCGTAAGGTCATGGAGGCGCAGAAGAGAGCTAAGTTGTGATACTTTGCTTATATCGGGTTAGTGTAATTTGCTTGGTTATAATTGTCTTCTCAGAGATTATCTTTGTATCAACCGGTTTGAAAATCAGTCCCATTGAAATGGTATACGTATGATACAGGGGAACAAGAAAACAATCGAGTACTGCAGTGCAGATATGACAACACCAAACTCCGAGCCTTAGAAAAGAAAATCATTCCCATGTGCTAATGAGCGGTATCTGATCGCCCATCCAGAAATTCTTGCAATAAGCTGTATGAAGATAAAGATAGATACGGGTATATGAGTGGGATATTAGCTGTCTGGAATTATCTAAAAATTCTTCCAAACATCCCTGTTGCAAAGTTCCCGGCAATCCCGCCAGAAAGGGCATTCGAGGCAAACGAAGAAGCCTGGCTGAACCTGTCACATCTTGAGAATGCCAGAGTGTTGGTAATGGTGAGAATAAGAGCAATTGCGACAAGACTGAGCCAGATCACACTCCGCAGCCGGATAATGGCTAGAACAGCCAGTCCAATCCACAATGCCGGAGTGCTGTAGAGCCCCAGCCAGAAGAACCGCTTGTCCGTAGCGCTGATGACACGGGTATTGGGGTCTGAGCTCTCAAACACCCAGTGCGATTCACCGGTCTGCACGTTGACTTCATTCCACCACCGTAGCCCCACTAGTCGACGGCCAGCAATGTTCTTCAGGTAATAGAAATCGGCAGAGAGCAGGAGGAGGGTGATGATAAAGACGAGGATGAAGTTTTTGATGAAGAGGACTCCGAATAAGTACATGAGCAAGCTACCTATTCTGAATCCGAGAAAGAAGAGCAAAGTGAGCGGGTGAGCACTCAGGCGCCAGTTAAGGTCGCCTGGCATCGGCTGAGCTTGTGCCTGGGCCTGTTCCATGTTTCGATCGCCGTCTCCGGGTCTCCTGTCCGTCTGTCTGTTCGGTTCTTCTTCAGCTGCTCCAGCTCGTCCGTCAAGCAAAAGTCGCGAAAGTGTCCAAGTTGGCGCTTCGTCAGATTGCTGATGTAAGATATATCTTGGCGTTGGGCTCGTTTCTTCTTTCCGAACGTCAAGTCGACTTTTTGCGGGTTTCTTCGATATTATTGAAGTCTCGAAGTCTCGATGGACTGGCGGAGTGATAGACGGTGGTGAGCTGGATGTTGGGGATATACCTGGTTAGCAGCCAGCGATGCTTTATGATGGCCCCATGGTGGGCAGATACTGCAGCTACCGGATGATATCAATGGCACCTCAATTGATATCAAAGTTGATACAAATATACCTAGCCTGAATCGAGTATCCTATATACTGAGCTTTTCAAAGCGGTATATACCGTTCTATTCCAGTAGAAGATGTCATAATTCTACTGCAAATGTCATAGTAGATACCTCTAAACCTACTTAGATCTAGAAAAATATGGCTATGTGGTCTATATAATGGACAGAGCCATATATATAGGCAGCCAATGGATTTCTATATGATTCTGCAAGGGGTTTCTGCATTCCTGCCTTTGTCTCTCTCCTTGATATCCTGCAGCTAGCCGGCGTTTGTCATGGACTGGCAAACCAAGGAGGCCTCATCAGACGGATACACCTTTCTTCACTCTCTATCAAGCAGCCTATACTGTCCTGCAGTAAATCATGCAAATAAATGTCCTCTCTAAAAGTGCCAGTAAAATACCTAGTAGTAAGAGCCAGCTGTCCTGTGGTTGTCCTGGAAATCCATCCTCCTGCTCTTTTTCCCTTTCATCGCGTCTCTGCAGTTTTCGTCTGACAATAACAACAACAGCAGCTTTGCTAGCTGTCCTTCTATACACTGAAGACTGCCCTCTCAGTGCTCTGCTGCTTGATTAGAGCCAGTCCTCCTCTTCTCTGTGAGCTCTCTCCACGCCGAGATATCTGTCTTCACTCACCTGAGCGTGTCAGCGGCTGTGCTGCTAGCTTGTCCTATTTTATTTATTTTTTTTCCTTTCCTTTTCAACCCACATTTTCCTTCTACCAAAAACTTTTCCTCCTTCTTCTCACCCAAGAACTTTGGGAACTGATAATTGCTGCAGACTAGAGAACTTGTCAAGGCTGCCCATCATGAGTGACTGGCAGCAGGAAGCTGGTAAGTCTTTTGTTTACCCTTTCCCGATGTCCTCGAGGTCGAGGCCGTCGTCGCGGGGCTGGCTATCTTTCGTTGGTGATATCTCACATCAGGGAGCACCACAGCCATGACGAGGGGTATCGTATCCAGCTTGAATACGTCTGGCTAACTCGTTCCTGATGCTAGCCAATGCCACCTGGAACGACGGCGGTGACGCGGGAGGTGATAAGTGGAACGATGGAGGCGATGGCTTCGGTGCTGGTGCCACCAACGACATGGCCGTTGTCGCAGCTGATGACAACGCGAATGGGGATACCTGCCGCAAGTAAGTGTGATATCAAACGACTGCCATAATTCAGCCCAGGTATCTAATGACATCCTTCCTTTACAGCTGCGGACAGGCCGGCCACTTCGCTCGTGAATGTCCGGAACCGAGAAAGCCCTCTGGGGCATGTTTCAACTGTGGCCAGGAAGGGTATGACACGCTCCCATTTGACATCAAGACTTTTTCTCTTTTGGCTGACACCCTGAAAACAGTCACAACAAGAGCGACTGCCCAAACCCTCGTGTTTTCACCGGCACCTGTCGTATCTGTGAAAAAGAAGGACATCCAGCTGCTGAATGTCCTGACCGTCCCCCAGATATCTGCAAGAACTGCAAGGGAGAAGGTATAGTTTTGAATTTATTGCTACATGCCCAATCATACGCTTCATCTAACAGACGATTCAGGCCACAAAACCATGGAATGCACTGAAAACCGTAAGCTTGAGCAGCATAATGTCCCTGATAAGCTCCCAGAAGAGGCTTTGGAGATCTTGAAGAAGGCTAGCAAGGAGAGAGACCTCGAAGATTTCCGTGATGTAAGTGGTCCCCATTGGTTGTCATACGAAATCATGTTGGCTAAACTCGAGGGTATAGGGCTTGAAGATCTACAGCAAGGCGGTTCCCCTTGCTACCTATGTTGATATTGAGAAGCTTTTGCGCCAGGAGAAGCTCAATGTCTACTTGATTGCGCTTGTAAGTAGTCACGAACTCCTGGCTGGCTGATGAATATTAATGAAACCTGTCAGGAACGTGAAATTGGCGATTGCCACACTGTTGTCAATCTCCAGGGGAAGCTCAACTGCAAGTATGTTGTGGGTCTCTACTTCAGTGACAAGCCCCAGCGTATCAACCTCAAGGAACGCTGGCCTGCCACCCCGGAGGAGAACCTCGAACGTCTTGCTGAGGCTGGTTTCCCTCTTGACCGTCAGATCCCCAAATGCTCCAACTGCGGAAGTAAGACAAGACTACCATCCTCAGATTCAAATAGTTATTTCACTGCTAACTATTTGTCCTCAAGAGATGGGTCATATCATGAAGAGCTGCAAGGAGGAACTTTCTGTTGTCGAGCGTGTGGAAGTCAAGTGTGTTAACTGCAAACAGCCAGGTCACCGTGCCCGTGACTGCAAGGAAGCCCGTGTCGATAGGTTTGCTTGCCGTAACTGCGGGTACGTGGCTTTTGCATTGAAGACCTACTTTTTGACCGCATATAATTGCTAACTCTCGGTACAGAAAGGGCGGTCATCGTTCCAATGAATGTACTGAGCCTCGCTCTGCTGAAGGGGTTGAATGCAAACGCTGCAACGAAGGTATCATCATGAACGCCAACCAACCCAATCCTTGCAACAAAAGGAAGAAGCTAACGCCTAGGTCTTCATAGTCGGCCACTTTGCCAAGGACTGCCCTCAGGGAGGTGGTTCTCGTGCTTGCCGCAACTGCGGGTTAGTTTGCCATTTATATATTTTAAACACCCAGGTTTTATCACAGCTGCTAATAATGTTGCTGGCTATAGGAGCGAGGATCATATAGCCAGAGACTGTGACCAACCTCGCAACATGGCGAATGTTACTTGCCGCAACTGTGAAGAGAGTGAGTTCCTATCCAAGACCTATAATTATCCAACACATCTAACAGACGTTGTTAGTGGGTCATTTCAGTCGCGACTGCACCAAGAAGAAGGACTGGAGTAAGGTTAAATGCAGCTGCTGTGGAGAGAGTATGCTGTCTCCCTCCCCCCCCCCCCCCCCCCCTTACCCTGAATTTGTGCATTTATTTGTTTTCATGACATATGTATTCCCGTATATATGCTGACCACAGCAAAACCATAGTGGGCCACACCATTCGACGCTGCCCCCAGGCCCCTGCTGATGAAAACGGCGGCAATGGTGGAGGTTTTTATAACAATGAGACACCAGACTCAGCTGCTATCCAAGCCGGCGGGAGCAACGTCATGGAGCCCGAAGCCACTTGGGGTGGTGGAGACACTGCTGGTTGGTAAAAACCCGTGACATCCATTATTCTGTTGACAGTCCATCCAACAACGACATGTGAGGATTGCATCAAACGGGTGAAAAATGGCCGAACCCAAGCAACACGAGGATTGACTTGAGACAAATGCGCGAATAAAAAAAAAAAAAACAATAATAAATGATGGGAGGCAACAAAAAATACATTTAAAGGGTTAAAAAAATAAGGAAAATTACAAAGGACAAAAAAAAAGGGGAGCAGGATACGAGATCAGGAGAATGAATTTGTACAACAGCAGGTTGCCAGCAGAGTGTAGTAATTCAGATAGCCACCCAAACGAAGACAATTTGACGCGCAAAGTACTCCGTACCCGGGCTCGTACTCTGTTGTTACCCAGCAACACTTATGCAAGATGTCGAGAAAGGCGCTCAGCTCTGTACATCTCCTGCAAGGGTGGTTGTAATGTTGGCTGTTGTGTTGTTGGACTGCCATGGGATCTGCTCTCTGGCTGGCGCTTTGGATCCTTTGATGTCCAAAAAAACAATAAGAAAAAAAAGAAAAACAAGGTTCACGACCGGCTTACCCAAAGGGGAATCCCGGCTGCACGCAAAAACGGGAAGGTCCAAGCCCGGATAAAGGTATCTCCGGCGGCCGCTCAGCCGAGGCCCGAAACCGCCAGCCGCTCCGGCGTTTCTTTTTCCGCCGGCGGTGCCTGACCCGTTCGCTCCCTCTTGAGGCCATCGCGACGACGTTGGCGGTTGGCCGGAGTCTGTGTGGCTTTGTTTTTGGCCAGCAACACGGTGGGCGATGCAACGGGAGCATCGACAGCACCTCTAACGTCATGGCTCCCTCCACATGTGGGTTCGTGGGTGCAGGGAAACGCTCCATGTCAAGGGGGTGCCAGTCGTGGTGGCCCTCTCTCTCTCGTCTGCACCCTGTGGGCAGGCATCCAACCCGCGCACCCACCGTTAGTTACACGCATAGCGTGTCGGAAAAGAAAAGGGCGCCACAAGAACTGAATCGCAGCCCCAGGCGAAAAGGCGCAGAGTGAACAATACAACAATCTGCTGCCCGTTGGCTCTCCAGCCCATCCGATCAATCCTACGGAGCTTCGAGCGCGGATAAACGGGACAAGAGCGAGAGGTCGGCCAACTGGGATGAGACGGGGATGGAGCCGGGTTACCCAAAAGTGGCAACCGGACAGTTCGGCGGCGGCTTCAAAGAAACAAAAAATCAATTCAAAAAGAGCGCGAGAAGAAGAGCGAGAAGGGGAGACGGTCATATAAGCATTTCTTGGCTGAGGGAGGAAGCGCCGAAAAAGCGACATCGAGAGCGGCTTTTTTACAGCGACAGGGCCTTTGACTCGACTGGCCAAGCGCAAGCGAGCTGGTTCCTCTGGTTTTAGACGAGCTTCCTCGATCGAAAGATGTGACTCCTAGAGTTGCCGGTCCCACCTGGAACTTTACGGATAACCATATACTTCTACAGTAAAAGTACGGAGTACTCCGTACGGATACAAGAGAGGTAGCCAGAGAAAGGAAGGGGTATACTCCGTATGTTTCTGGAAGAAATACGGGCACCCCTGGCCAGAGGTACTTTACGGCTCTTCTTCCCTCTGGAAATATGAATACAACCCCGAGCACAGGTACTACGGTGGAGTATGGGACGACCGCTGGAACCGAATCAGCGTGGACGGAGCAAAGAGTTTGCCTTGCGATATGCTGTGTGTGGATGGTACATTGCTCCATCGAAACGAAGGCAAACTGCATGACATATACGGAGTACTTGGTAATTAGTCCTTCAGCTAACCCCCATACTTACTCCGTTCCCTTCCCCCTTCTTTTTTCTTTTCTTTCTTCTGCAGCTGGCTCCTCCACGAGCCAGGAAAATTTCCCGTCACTAGTGGATGCTGGGGATTCCCGAAGGCAAGAATAATAGATGGGATCAACTCCCGATGCCCAATGAGACCGCCAACATTCCATGGAATCCATGGAACCCCATGCCATGGCCGCCGTCCGCTCGTGTGTGACAAGAACTCTCCCATTCATCGAATATCATTCGATCCATGCTTCAAAGGAAGCAGAGTATCAAAAAGAAACGGAGCAGAAGAAAGGGAACAAGAAAGAGAAAAAGCAATAACCCGACACACCCTTGAGGGTTTCCGAGAGTTTAGTTGACTTAGTTAGTTATGCTAAGATGAAATATGGAGACGCCTTTTCTTATCCAGCGACGTCAGAGCCAGGGATCCTGCGCGGTCCATGCTGTAACCGCATCTCGCTGGCGGCTTCTCGTGCGTGGATCGCCATGCTGTGTCACGCCCGAGAAGCAAGAGGAAGAAGCTGGGCGAGGGCAGCGCGGCGAACGGATGGGATGATACAGTTGTTATAAAAGGGACCTCCACAGCCCCCCCCCCCCCTCCACCGCGCAGCTTTTTATAGCTCTGCGTCTTCCTCTTCCTTTTTCTGTAATTGTTTCCTTTTCTTTCTTCCATCCGTTGTTGTTTGTTATCCCGCTGGTCTGGGGTAGTTGCTGTACGGACTGGTTGATAGTTTGACACTGCGACAGGTAGCGTTGTCGTATCTTCGTCCTGCTATCAACGACATCGACTCTGTTGACGCACCACACCAACAGCTGCCAGGCAGCGCCAGAACAGAAGAGACCGTCAAACCATGGGCGTGGGGAGTCGGTACTTCGGCCTTCGAGGCACGAAGCTCAACATTGCCATTGGCATCATTGCCGGCCTGGATTTCTTGTAAGTTACGTCCCCGGGCTTTTAGGGCGCGCGAAGGCGGGTGCCGGTACTATTATGACGACGTGATATATGCTGACTCGAGGGGACCCAGGCTCTTCGGCTATGACCAGTATGAACCACCCCAGTTACACCTATAGCCCCGGTTTTTTTCCCTTTCCTTTCGGGGGGATGAATAGAAGACATATCTAACTCGGGTTCAGAGGCGTCATGGGCGGACTGTTGACGCTCCATTCTTTCGAAAAGGTCTTCCCTGAAATCGCTACCAGCAACGCAGCGGTTGCAGGCTTGACCCGGGCCGAAAAAAACCACCGATCTACCATTCAAGGTGCGTGTTATTCGTTTTTGTACATGTGCCGTATCTCAATCTGATCCGTTAATGCAGGTATCTCGGTCGCATCATATAACCTCGGATGTTTCGTTGGCGCAATTGCTTGTATCTGGGTCGGTGACAGACTCGGCCGTCGAAAGACCATCTGGCTGGGCTCTGTTATCATGGTCGTTGGTGCTACTCTGCAGGCCTCTGCCTTTGGTCTCCCACACTTCATCGTCGGTCGTCTTGTAACTGGTGTCGGCAACGGCCTGAACACCTCCACCGTACCAACATGGCAGTCCGAATGCTCCAAATCCCACAGACGAGGACAGCTCGTCATGGTCGAAGGTGCTCTGATCACAGGAGGTATCTGTCTCAGTTACTGGCTGGACTTTGGATTCTCCTTCCTCGAACCCAGCTCGGTCTCATGGCGGTTCCCGATTGCATTCCAGATCGTTTTTGCCCTTATCATCATGTTCGTAGTCATGGGTCTGCCAGAGTCTCCTCGATGGCTCGTTCTCAAGGGCCAGGAGGATGAAGCTATGAACGTTTTGGCTGCACTTAGCGATTTGGACAGGGAGGACAGATTTGTCCACTCGGAATTCTCTGCTATCAAGGATACGGTCATTGAGATGCAGAAGGGCAGCTTCAAGGACCTGTTCACCATGGACAAGGACCGCCACTTGCACCGTGTCATTCTCGCATACGTCAACCAGATGTTCCAGCAGATTTCCGGTATCAATCTCATCACATACTATGCCGCCACCATTTACGAAGGAAGCATCGGTCTCAGTCCATTCCTTTCGCGAATTCTGGCAGCTTGCAACGGTACCGAGTACTTTATTGCATCCTGGATTGCCGTTTTCGTCGTTGAAAGAATTGGCCGTCGTATGCTCATGTTGTTCGGTGCTGTGGGCATGTCCCTCTCAATGGCTGTCCTTGCCGTTGCTACCAGCTTCAAGCATCAAACAGACGCCGGTATTGTCGCAGCCGTCTTCCTCTTCGTTTTCAACACTTTCTTCGCCATCGGCTGGCTCGGTATGACATGGTTGTACCCTGCAGAGATTGTTAGTTTGCCTATTCCGCCCCCAAGTTAAGTAAGCATAGAACGAACACCTGCTAATCGCCCATATTTACCAGGTCCCTCTGCGAATCCGTGCTCCAGCCAACGCCTTGGCCACTTCAGGAAACTGGATCTTCAACTTCATGGTTGTCATGATCACACCCGTTTCTTTCTCCTCGATCGAATACAAAACATACATCATTTTTGCAGCTATGTAAGTTTCATCTGATCAAAAGTAAGTTTTGAGCCAGCTACTAACCATCTAACTCGCAGTAACGCTTTCATCGTTCCAGTGGTCTACTTCTTCTACCCAGAGACGGCCTACCGCTCCCTCGAAGAAATGGACTCTATCTTCAGAAAGACCAAGTCAATCTTTACTGTGGTAAAGGTAGCTCGCGAGACTCCAAGACGATATGGCAAGAACGGTGAAGTTCTCATCAACTATGATGAGACAGACGAGCACAGGACTCGTGCCGGGGTCACCCAGGAGGAGACGACGGCATCATTCCCCGAGAAGAGCAATGCAAACCCAGACCATGATGCTGAAACTGGTAACTCGAATAGCCCGAGCAACCAGAGCACAGCATAGGGTTGTTTTCAAGATGGGAATGATTTTTATACTTTGTTTTATTAAACTGCAAACTTTTCCTTGAAGTTAACCCCTCTAGCCATCCATTTTCTTAACGAGCATGTATGTATATGTTATTTGCAAGATAAGAAATATATACCCCTGGTAGTATTATGATTATATACACTAGAACTACATATCTGTTTATAATGCCGGTGTTTGGTATTGGGCTGCATTAATTATCGCTATCATAACTGCTTGTATTATTTTAGCCGTGCCTGATAAGTTTGCAGCTGGCCTCCTATTAGGATTCTTCAGAAGCCGACTTGCATCATAGTAACACAGTCATCCTACAAGAATTAGAATAGAAGCGAGGCCCAATATGAATAGAGGCCACACTCATTTATTTACAGTGATCCTACAAAGTCCTAAATGTAGTGATAAAATACATAGTAATATTATTGATTATACTATATAGGCTATCTGGCTAGCAGGCATATTGGTGGTGCAGCATAGCTCCCACGGCATTGTGTGACAATGCACGTAATTAAACCGTCCATAACATAGGGCCCTTGTCTTATCCGCAGCGGAGAGGAGCGTCTTTGCAGTCCTGGAAGCAATAGTCCACAGAATGCACCCTGGAATAAGAATTGCAGTAGTAAGCCAGATTGGGATCTGGAACACTCCCTTGCCCGTCTAGACTCGACGTTAGAAGCCAGGTTCAACTCTAGCTATTCCTAGAATGAAAAAGACGGTGGAATGAGAGTTGATACTAAACGGCTACTTACAAAAACGACCAGTCAAGTACCAGCCACGATCGTGGTATCCAACACTGCAGGAGATGAGATAATTAAAAGCAGTGGAAGGGACAAGAGCCAAGGAACGTAAAAAGTTTATGTTGACTGTTCGTTGGTTGAGTATGACTGTATTGTGAAATTGACACGTTGGAGTTCGATAACGCAGGAGGATCCTTGTAGACTTTGAATAACTCGTAGTAGGCACTTATATATGTCCTGTGAATTCTCTCCTGTGAGCAGTCAATCATAAGTGGAAAAATTCCATCTGTTGAAGTCGCGGCTGCTTTGCCCTCTAGACGTCCACTACTATATCCAGGCCTTTTGTATATATGCAGATTGTTCCCATCTTTCGGTGTGTCTAGTCGATGACGTAGATTTCCAGAAATATCATTTAAAACTAAAACCACAAAGGGTCGCTAGTTCTAAACCCTCTAATGTAGGGCCATGGGAAGATGAAGGGGACAGTGATATCTGTTTAAGCGAAGCTTGACCTTGTACAAGCACATTGTACAGGGATGGATGCCTTAGCTGAGAGTTGGATATAGTGATAAATATAGATATTATGCATATAATGTTGAAAGCGCATGCACCAGATGCATTCTGGTGACAGGGATAAAGGCTGCAAAGTATTTCTCTCTAGAATATCTTCTGTAGCACAAGACTTCGAAAAGATGAACGCATCCTTTGACCTCTCCATCGAGTTGTCCGTCATCGTGATATTTTTTTATCTAGATGCTGACCTTCAGGTTCAGTCGCTGAAAAGCAGATATGTATCACGTGAGAATGAAGCGACCTCGGTAAAACTGGCCAATGGTCTTCTTTGCGCTTGCTAGCTGCGCCTAGTTAAGCGCCCCGACTTCCTGCCATCAAGTAACAGCGACTGCTGCCAATTGATCAAGCTGCCAGGCGTATTGTCCCAGATTGTAGTAAGATAAAGAACATTCATTCAACTGTATCGAGTATATCCAAAACCGAACAAGACGCCAGGCTCGGCACAAGGCACAAGGAACGAAGAACAAACATTAAGGCGCTCAGATGAAAGCAGCATAAGAGATTCATAAGGACATTCACACGTAGCACTCGATATTAATATGTGGAACGAAATTGGAAATGCAGGATACAAGAGTAACGCTGGAAGACAGGAGTCGGGAGGGGCATTGTGTAAATATAAATATATCGACGTAAAAGCAAGGCCGGCTCAAACACATTACGTTGTACTAGATGTCAGTTATTAATAGTCATTAATACCAAGGAAGATCGGCTTCCTCGATTTTGGTACAAGTCAGATAAGTCACTATTGGCCAAGAAGACGATGTATCGCTCTCGCCGTTAGCGCTCTTCAAGTCCAGCTCGAGAAAGTTGCGCATTAGCGGCTTCACGATTTCCTTCGCTAGGCGCTTTAGCTCGTTTATTTTGCTCTCCAGTCTCTTGAGGTTTTCACGAGAGTAGGACGTTGGGTGGAGTTTGAGGAAGCGTTTGATTTCGTCATGATTCAAATACGCCTGAGGGTTGGAAGATCCGATGAGTCTGAAAGTTCGGCCAATACAGAAGGGGGCTTGTGGTTTGGTATCGGCATCGACCTTGTTGGCTGCTGAATATCCAGTAGAAGGACGGGCGCTGGCGGTGGAAGGGCGAGCGGTTGAAGGACGCGCAGCGACCGTTTGATTAGTTACTCGGCGCGAGGCAGTTGAGTTCGAAGGATTAAGCTGTCGACTGCCACTGCCACTGCTGCTTCCACCGCTGTGGGATAAGTTGCGTGTAGATGTCGAGGGATTGGCGCTTCTACCATCCCGTTGTGTAGATGTGGGAGGCGCTGGGAATTTTAATATCGTAGGTGGAGGCGGAGTGGTATTTTCAACCAACCATTGTCGGAATAGAGAGACGGCGAGCCAGTCCAAATAGTTGTTGAAGGGAGTAATACGCTCACCGCGTGAGGTGGTCAAAGTCAGGCGGAAAAGCTTCGACTCTACCCTTCTAATCTCGTCCTTGAGGTCTTCAACTTTGTCTTCTATCAAGTCTAGTACTGCTTCAGGAAGCGGTGATTTGTGTTCCCTTCCAACTAACGGCTGGGAAACGGGCCAGTCGCCGACGATATGAATAAGAGCCTCTGTAAAAATAACACGGCTGCGAGCCTGATAGCCAAGTTTGATATAACTTGCGGGAAATTTTGCAATATGTTTGTAAAGGGAAGAAGAGAAGCGCAGTAAGTGATAGTCCACTCGGGGGCCGGTAACAGTCAGGGCATCGTACATATCAGCGAGCGCAATCAGCGATTTACACTGGGAGTACGCTATGGTGATATTATGTGGGTTTAACTGCGGCGCGTAGTTGTAGAATATTCGGAAGAGGTTGTCATAATCACGAATTGTAGGATCGACGGGTATATTTTCCTCAGATTGGGTTGCCAGAGGCAGGTGAAGAGCAGACTGGATTCCTGTCAGATTGGCCATGGATCGAAAGAAGCCCTGCTGGGGAGGCACAGGCTTGTTTCGAGTTGGTAACGGCGGATGAGTCTGCTGCGCTGTTGACCCAAACATTGACTTGCTCTTACTTGGTGGCTGTGTGGCGTGTTAGCTGCGTTATAGTACATTGTCGGGGGTCAAAGGCAGTGTAGGGCATACTTTCTGCACGAGAATTGGTACTTCATCCCCTTCCCTATTCTCCCAATCCAGCTCGTACCTCCATCTGGTCTTTACCGGCGAAATGCCATTTCGAAGCGTCAATGGCCGCGGAGTCTCGTTATCGTCTTCCTCGTCGCGCTTCTCACCACGCTCCGGCGCGACCTCGTGTCCCGGCAGGTCGGGTATGTCTCCTCCAGGCCGAACCGACGTACTGGCCGAGATGGCCGCAGTGATCTCCCGCTGTGCCTGGACGCTCGACCACTCGTCACTCGTCGAAGCTTCGAAAAAGCCCGAGTTCTGCGCCAATATCAGACGATGCAATAGGTACCGACGTTCCTGATCTGCAGCGCGAATCACAATCTCCACATCGCCGGTGGTCGAGAAGACGGGGAACTCGTTAAGCGGCTGGTGAGACGAACCGCCAGCGTGAGAGCGGCTGGGAAACCGAGGATGGCGTCTCGAGCGGCGCGATGAAGTCACTGAGGAAGCACCGCGGGATGTAGCCGTGGACGGTTCCATGGCTGTTGGTTGCGAAACCATGGGTAAAAGTGAAGCTCGTCCCTTTTTAATTTATTCTTCCTCGTCTCTAGATATATTATTTCAAGCCAACAGACGGCCGTGCTGGCGATCAAGGGGGTGAGAGAGAAGGAGGCTCGTCTCAGTGGGCGAAATCGAGCATGATCTGAGCAGAGCCGCGGGCGTAAATATAGCAGAGGGCGGCCGAGAGCAGCTTTTTATGTTGTCTCTCCCCAGGCTCACCGCATAGACGGTATTTCCTGCTCTTCTTCGTCAAGAAGGCGGGATATCCCCTATGTAAGGGCTGACTTTGGCGCCGGCCAGTCTGTCTGTCTGCTGCTGTTGTTGTGGGAGCAGGAGGAGGTCGAGATAACTTGAAACCAACGACTGAGACGGCGAAACGGAGTCGCGTAACTGGGATTGCCTCCGGGGCTGCCAGGGGGGGTCTCGACCATACAGAATAAGAGCAATGGTCAAGGGGAAAACAGGGCGAGAGACCTGCCCATCGCTGGTCTGTCACGGCGCTTGACGTCGATGTTTTGGATGAGGCTGTGCAGCGTCTGAGGTCGCCGGCCCTCGCAAAATGCTGGCGAAAATGCGTCCTGGCGACCAGAGAGCCATTATATAGTTACATGGTTAGTTACAGCAACGCAGCCAAACTCATATGATCAGACAGAAAGCCGCACGGTCGAGGCATGACTGCGAGAGGAGAGGCACAGCTGAAGAGCTCCTCGAGGCTGCGGCGCAGCGTCGAATCGCAGTGGTGAATCCAGTCTTTGCAGGGGAAGCCGCTCCACAGGGAGGCAAAGACGGCCTATAAAAACCGGCAGTGGCTGCATCTCAGGGCGTTTCCTTGCCTTAGTGTCATGCAGTCTCAGCAGGCATCGTCTGGGTAGTCGAGGTAGTTATTCACATGAACGAGGGTTTGATACATCTCTGCAGGAGTGAAGCAAGGTGCGCTTGCTGGCGATGTGATATCAGATAACCACCGTTTTACACACGGGAAGAACCCAAGAGGAGAGAGATGGATATTATTTCTGCGAGATAGGTATAGTTATATATTTACTAGGGGGGCCGAGGGGGAAATATAGCGACAGTGAGCATCGAGAGTGTACATGTCTTCATCAAAAGTAAAAAGTCGTTGAACGAAGCTCGAGAGCGATGTTAAATAAGAATAAGCAAAGAAGGTTGAGGCGAAAGAGGGAGCCGTTGGATAGCCGGCGAGAAAAAGGAATAAAAAGTGGGAAAGAGGCCGATGGAGGAGGAAGGAGAAGACGACTTCCTTATGCTTAACATCTCCTCCAGTCGAGGGAGATAACCTGCTTGACCGTTCCGTCAGCGCCGTCCTCCCGGCTCATCTCACCGGTGGCATTGTCGTTGTCACTGTCCATGCGAACGTCGGTGTTGATGTTGAAGGGATAGCTCTCTCCGCATGGGGACCAGATTCTCTTGTTTGCATCGTCATCGAGACGGTAGTTACCACGGCGAGGGCCAGAGATGCCGGTAGCAGTGAATGCCTAAAGCTGCTGTTAGCTGCTGTTACGATAATAATAAGACGAGATAGAAAATGACATACCTGGTCTGGGCTTCCGGAGAAGTAGTAGATGCTTCCGTGTCTGCCGGTCACACCAGCATCCAAACGAGCAGAGCCATAGTACGTAGCACTGGCAACGGAGAACTGGTAGTTGTTACGGCCAGCGACTTGGAGGTTCACCTGACAGTTGGTGCGTTCATCGGCAGGGGTAGTTTTGGAATTGATCCGGGCAGTGAGATTTTCGTACTGGATGACGATGGATCGGCGATCATTGGCAACATTGTATCTGACAGTTTGGGTGTTAGATGGACAGCCACTTCCGCCATGGTGTCTCTCAGTCAAGGTAAGGACATCCGGTACATCAGTCTCCGGCGTAGCGTCTGGAATAGCGAGGCCAACTGCCTGGGAGGCAGCAAGGCCAAGGAGAGCAAGAGAAAGCTTCATGGTATATAACTGGGTATGTGTGTAGATATGAGTAAGGATATTACTCCAGCTTGGAGAGACTATGCTGAGTTGAGGCCTGGATGAGATGCTGTGGAGAAGGAATCTGCAAGATCTCAGAAGGAAATGTGGGGAGTTTATATCTCAGTCACCATATGGGCAGGTTGAGTAGGACTCGGACATGGAGACTGCATTACTTCTGCAGTCTTCAGTCTCTCCACCCCAACATCACAAGGATATCCACGGCTGGTTTGGTGAATCTTCACTGGCAGCTGGTACCATGCGCTATAGCAGCGACAACCTTCCCTCCACTCCAGCCATACATGTGCGTGGAGGCCAGAATTCAGCAGGTCGAAGCGCATGAACCGGGTGGATGCGCTTCTTGTCTAGGCCTTGGGCGGGAATCAACCCAAAGGCAAACAAACAGCTAGAAGAAAGAAAGAAATATAGAACATTCTTCTCCTCGGAATGACACCCTGTACCATCGTAAAAGCCAAATAGATTGCTTCGGGCATAGAAAGGCACATTTGGAACATATCAAAGTATCCTCCGGATGCAACGATATAAGATTATTTGGGACGTGGGGACATGGAATGCGAGGCTTTTGCCCCAAGTTTATATATCCACTTCCCTGGCGATATCAAACGCTAACGGCGTATGGAGCAAGGCCATACATATTTCCAGTCTAGCGGTGATTTCCGCAGGGATTTATTGTACCACGTTAGCGACGCCAATTTCAAGGGTATCTAGTCTTGCATGCATGCATCGAAGAAGCGGGATAGCAGTAGACCCCCCGCGCCTAGAGATCTAAGCTGCCGGATAGCAAACTGGAGACATCATGCCAATATCCAGTACCTGGATAATCCCTTTACTTGCTGTCATCATTGCTGGTATCAAAACCAGATGTCTGGAATCAATCAGTTCATGGTGGGAATAGTGACTTTTTGAGCTCGGCTAGCAGAGCCAAGATAACAGGCAGATGCCTGCACGGAAAGGCCATGTGTATAGGGATTATATTGAAACAGGCCAGGGGTCTAGGAGAACCGACACGGTTCAAGATATGTCATTCACTATCTTCATCACAGGCCGAACGCTGTTCTCTCGTGTTCATTAGTTATTAAGCTTCTTCTTTGCAGAACAGGAACAGGGGGGTTTCCAGATACGAGCAGAGCAGATGGCCTGGCCGTCCATCTGATTGGGGGCATCATGCTAGGAGATATGGGCGGGATGAAGGCCTTGGAATCAGCCTGCTCAGTTGAATAGATCAATATCACCAGTGCTGGTATGTCAGTATCAACATTAACGGCGTCGTCGTTGGAGGTTGGATGAGTCAGCAAGATCTCAACCAGCCGCCCGGAAGAAAGCTGGGATGGACGTTGCAAGCACCGTTGTTGATATCAAATTACGAACAAGACAGCAGGCATGGTTGGGCATGAAGAAAGTCCCCGGTCGAGGTTATTTTTAACAGTGACGATCGCGTACGTGCGTGTGGAGAGCCATGGAGACGGTGACGGAGGCGTAGGGATGGCATCTCTGTTGATTATACCCCCTAACCACTTGGCCGTTCGACAGGCACAAGAATACCAAGCAGCTACGCAATAATGAACACGGTCAAAGGCAGACACGGAGATGCTTCTTTGCCTAACTAGTGTGGGCTAGGGCCGGTTCAGTTGCCCTCTTCCATTCTGTTCTCCTTCTCAAACACACTTATATCGCACTAACAAGACAAGACTTGGAGCTAACTAGTTGACCATGGAATGATCTAAACGAGCATCAACTCTATTCACACCGCAAGGACGGGAATACCACCAAGTCGTTTTCAAACTATCCAATCCTGTGGTTCGAACAGGGAGTATCTCCCGTCAGGGCAGGGCAGGGCAGGGACGGAGTGCCACCCCATTATAAGAGAGCCATTTTATCTCATCCTATTAATTGACAGAGGGCATGGGACCCTGCCAATGTCGTGGATCAGTTATTATGACCGGGCTCAGGGGTTCCCCTCATTCCCCAGACGCACCGATTATGCACCAGGACGGCTTGCGCTTTTCCTTGGGTGGCGCTTTCTTTTTCATTTACTCATGTGCAGATACTCAGGGAAACGAGTATGCCACGTCTGGCAAACCCTTGCTCGAAGATATCTTATCACATGCTTTAATGGTGCCTCTTCGGTCAGGATGAGGGAACAGTGCCTTCAATTCAGAAATTCAGAAGAGGAAAAAGCGTGCCTGGTGTGAAATCCCATTATTTTCAGCCAAAATAGCTGTTAGTGTTTACAAGGACTGGCTTGACAGGGTCAGGCATAAGCCAGCATCGTTCGCGGAATCGGCATCAAGAACTGAAGGGATAGGAGAGAAAAAGCGTCCGGTCAGGTCGGGATAGGCTAGGCTATGCAAAGCAAGAATGGCATGGCAAGGAGAAATAACATAACAAGATGGTCATCTGCTTTCCCAACTAGACGTACTCCCCTGCTTAGCCTCTATGCACAACAAGGAAGAAGAAATAAGAAATAAAAGGCGAAAGGAAATATAATCTCAGATATGAGCGACTCAATAAACGCCAAAGCTCAGGACGAAGCTAGAGAAGAAAAGAAGAGAGTAAAATGAAACCTGCAGACTTGGAAATGTTTTTAATACAAACGGAAAAAAAAAAAGGAAAGGAAAGGAAAGAAACTGGATGTGGTAGGAATAAAACCGGCCTCGGGTAGAGCCAGAAAACACATGGGACGCTGATGAAGGTCACAATAAGTATAATATAGTAACAGGACCGCATATAGGATGGGCAATTGAAAAGGTGAGAAGTTTGGGGGGTGAAGAAAATTGATTAATAGTAAATAAGGGGGAGGAAATGAAAACGAAGAGTACAGTTATTATTTAGACAAAAGAAAAACATCGAATGCTGAGAAACCATTGAAACGCTACCTCTAGTGGACGGATGAGTCGCAGCCAGAACGCTTGGTAACAGTAAAATGGTATCAAAAAGTCATCAATCGTAGCCTGGGTGGCAATTATTGTATGCTAGAAAAGAGAAAGGAGACGGAAAAGGTTATTTGGAAGCACAAAATAATTGGCCACATGAATTAAAACTCGCATAGAGGAAAGAGGAGAAGAAAAGATGCGAGCTAGGGAAATGATGGGAGGGTTTATGGAATGGGGGATGGAGGGTGTGGATAGGTAGGCGGTAATTGCCTATGGTGTGGTGTGATTGGTGTTGAAGGTGGAAGATGGAAATTATCGACAAAACATAGGAAAAGATGCGTGCATGCAGGAAAGAAAAAGAGAGTGAGAAGTAAGATCAGAAGACGGCGGAGAGGCCGTTCCTGGAGTGTCTTCTGCTGAATCGTTTCTTTGATTTGGAGTCACCCTCTGGCGATGGCTTGGATAGAGCATTTCTCCCACTTGATTGTGGATATTGGCTCGTAGGAGAATCATCAGCATGGTTTAGGGTGTTGGCGTGGCTCGATACGCCAGAAGACAAGTCTCGAAACCCGTCGTCACCCGTGTAAGAATTGGGGGTGGAGTAAACGGAAGCCAACTCCTTTGCACGGTCCAGTACTTCCAGCCATTCTTGCGTGGCGAGTTTTGAGGCAGCCGCGTCACTGCTTGGTTTAGTCTCTTCAAAGACATGATGCTTCTCGCGCTGGGAGGAGCCAAAGAAAGCAAAGTCAGTAAAGGCTTTCTTACAAACGGTTGCTGCTTTTGTTGGTTTCTGGCTACTAACCGTATCTATTGCCCAGGATGTATAACCCTTCGAATCAGTTACGCTGCGATACTGGGTGTCTGGATTTAGAAGCATGATGTCCATTTTTGGCCGTTTATCCTCGCCACCCGCCGGAACGATGATTACCCTGCCAGCGGAGGTGACTAGGACCAATCGTTGCCGCTTCTTGGTGGCAGACCCGCCAAAGAAACGGGATAACTTTTTCGGCGTATCGCCATCCCCATTACCGTTTTTATTTTGAGAACGGGGAGCCGAGGAAGTGGATACCGTTAAGTTTCCCAGCTTTAATATACGCTCGTTAGTTCGGGTCAGGACAGGGGACCATTCAATATCAAGCTGCGAAGGCGGAGGAAGCTCAGTAATCACGGGAGGATATGATCTATTCTGCGAGGTTGTAGAGGAGGGCGGCAATCCCGCAGAAGGTTTCATGTTGATATTAGGAGGAAAACTGTCGTCATCATCTGGACCGTTAAGTTTGATGGGCTCCGTCGGTGGTGAGTATGACTTTAGTCTAGGCGGCTTTTGCTTCCAAAGCTCGCGACCCCAGGTAATTCCGTTAAAGAACTCATGGTTTTTGATATGCTCGATCTGTAGTCGAGTGTTTGGGTCATGAACGAGCAGTCTTTCTACCAGGTCCCGAGCGGCAGGTGGGAATCCCTTTGGAAACTCGTATTCTAGGGCGACAATCTTTTGAAAGGTGAGGTACTCATTCGCAGCCTTAAAGGGCGGTCGACCTGCAAGAAGTTGGAATATGATGCAGCCAAACGCCCATAGGTCACTGGCCTTGCATGCACTCTTGTTAGTGAGAAGTTCTGGACTGACATACTCTGCAGTTCCGACAAAAGACCTCGCCCTCTCATCCTCCGGCATATCCATTGACGGAATTCCGTTATCATTTCCCCCTTCTTTGGGGGAAGGCATACTGAGGATCTTTGCTGTTCCAAAGTCGGTGATCTTTACGTGCATTTGGTTGTCCAAAAGAACATTTTCTGGCTTAAGATCTCTGTGGATAACTCCACGCCGGTGCATGTATCCAATGGTATCCAAAATCTGAGCTCCGTAAAATCTCGTGCATTCTTCATCAAAGGTGCCCATCCGTTTGAGAACACCAAGGAGTTCACCACTTCCTGCAAGATCGAGCACGAAGTACAACGATCGCTCGTCCTGGAAGGTGTAGTATAGCCGGACAACACCAGGGTGATCAGTCAGGCGATTCAGCGTATCCTTCTCGATGTTTACATATTTGACCTTCTTCTCCTTTATTATGTGGCGTTTATCAAGGATCTTGATAGCATATTCCTTGAGGGTCTGGCGGTCCGTGGCGGCAACAACCTGACTGTAAGAGCCCTCACCGAGGGTGCGGCCAAACACAAAGTCTCTGACTCCCTTTTTCACATATCTCGCAACTGGCTTTCCATTTGCATCGATCTCCTGCTGCACACCTACTGCCGCTCCACGCTCCTGCCATTCCTCAGAGCTATGAAGGGGAGCATTTTCGTTGCCATAAGAGGCTGAGACAGCAGGTATAGATGTGCTCGGAGCTCTGCGGGAGCTCTGTCTAGGCGGTAAGGGAGCACCGCCACGGAAGACCTTTGTTGGTGCATAAGATCTATCAGTGTGTCCTTCGTCTCGAGGAAGGACACCGGCCTGGAGAGCTGTAGAACCACCACGAGAGTCGATCCTGGACGGGTATTCCGTAGCAGACACAGATGAATCCGTTCGAAGGCGGTAGGGTTCACCACGCGGAGAGGGTTGGTGGTTGGGAGGAAGACAGACTGATTGACGGCTGGGATGATGAGACATGTTGAGTTGTACGTTGGAGGGGAGATGCGACGGCGAATTTCTCGAGTAATCATGGAGATTTACATTCGAAGCTGATGCTTGCTGCGCAGGACTTGGGCCGATCTCTACTGATCGATTGCCAGGCTGGGAGTGTTCGGGGGCAGCTAGAGCTTCAGGAGCATCTTGGCCCATGGAAGACAATTTCAGGGAGGAGATCGAGGGGCCCTCTGAGGTATTTGTAGAGGCATTGTCGGGATTGGCGATGCGTAGCCCACCGAGGGACTGAGAAAGACTCAGATCTCCGTCCATATTCACGGGACCGCAACGTAAGAGGGGGGGATAGTCAGAGCGAGCGTGGGTGGAATGCGGGAAGCCTGATGACGGCCCAAGAGCGAAAGACAAGAAGTAAAAGCAAAGGTGACTGATTGTTGGCAGCTGTCAGGCGTATGTAAGTGTGTATGTATGTATGCGAGTGAACAAGTGAGCAAGCAAGCAAGCGCAGAGAGCAAGGTAACCAGGCAAGCTGTCTCACAGAATCGAGACTATGCCGGTTACTGGCGAGGTTGACAAGTGCATGGCAGGGCGAGGTGAATGGAGGAGGACTGGGTTCTTCGATCCGTCTTCCTCTGTCCGGGAGAGGTCAGTTTTCTTTATATGCCCAGCCGAAACGAACGCGAGGCTGGAGAGGAGCTGGAGAAGGCTACCTGAGGGCGCGCAAACCAAGGTGTCTTGTCCCCGGGCGATGCTTCTTGCGAGCGAGCGAGCTGCAGGTCGGTGGTGGATGTCGTTTTTCGGCGAGCAGGACTGGTGGCGAGAGGACAAGCAGCGAGAGACGGTCGGGGGGAAGGTCTGGGCAGGCAGAGGAGGCTCTCAGCGTCTCCGTGATGCGGCCACTGCTTCTCTGGCACTTGTATCTGCGGCTCCTACTTGTCTTCTCGAGGTCAAACGAGCGTCTTCTGCGGTGTCTTTTCTTCTTCCTCCTCCTCGTCGTCTTTCTTTGATGCTCAAGGAGGCTTTAGAAGTTCTGGAAAGGTCGGCTTAGGTAATCACGTAGCTCAACATTAAAGAGACGAAGAAGACGATGATGGATGGATCAGACGGAGAGGCTAAGAGACGACGGGACGAAGAGAAAGACATGAAGACATGAGAAGGCTTGGAGAAGCCAACGGCCAACAAGGAGCTCTCTCTCTCTCCGCAATTGGACGCGTCTCGAGAGTGGCCGGGCCATGTACTCCGATGGCTTGCTCCCTAGTCAGCGATCAAGGAGGCGCTGCATCGCCGGAACAGCCAGCAGCTTCGTAAGACGGAGCAGAGCTATTTAAAGCCAGCATGTCTCAGGACGAAGAGCCGACTACTTGACTGGCGCGCCCGTTGCCAGTCGTCAGATAAGACATACGTCTGGGAGAGAAAGTCGAGCAGCGAGCAGGCAGACAAGCGAGCAGGCGACTCTCTGGCTTTCATCCATCGGTGGCTGAGTACCACAGATGACGATGTCTCTGCTGCATGGAAACCGGGAAAGCAGGGTCTGTCAGAAGCATCTGCAGCATGACATGATGCAGGCTCAGTGACCACAGCGGTGGATAACTAGATATGCTATCATCCTCTGCGTTATCTGGCCGGTTGGTATCAAAACTTGGATATGATGCGTGCTGTTTGCTCGGCGCCTTCATGACGGGCTTCAGTTTTGATACTCTGGCCATCCCCGTGTCGAGGCTATCGGCGAGCCTGGAGATACCTATAATAGCTTCTCTTTCCAGGAGAGAGCTATCAGGATTGATTTTATTTTATTTTTATTTCCCCCCCCCCCCCCCCCCCCCCTCCCCTACCCGGCTGTCAGCTTGCTCCTGGTTGCATGTGAAGGGATGCCATTTTGATACCTCACATAGACATCCACACATTCTCTATCAATAAGGACTTATCCTCTGCATTCCTTCATCTTTATACCATGGCCATGAAAGAGGCACCCTAAACAGCAATCATGTTAGCCCATCATCTTCTATATCTGGGGATAAGGATGGCTTCACCAGTCAGGCCTTCATAGCAACAAGAGTAACCATGGCCAGGCTGCAATACAGGGACCTTGATACCAGCCATGTCTATAGAACCTCTTAAACACTAGGCCGACCATCCAAGCCAGGTTGAGCAAGTAGCTTCCATTATGCTATCTAAGTAGATGATAGTTCCATGAAGAAGAGAAGAGAAGAGAAGAAGAGAAGAAGCCCAAGTTTCTCTGGGTAGAAATATCACAGGGCCCCGACGACTAAGCGATGTCTTCCTTATCACCTTTATGCCCCTTAACTTCATCTTCTAATCACTGTCTCTGCTCAGTCCGGATGGGCCCTTTTTTTGATATCAGGATGGGGGCTGTCACTACTTGCTTCTCCCTTCTTGTTCTTCTTATTCTTCTTCTTCTTCTTCTTCTTCTTCTTCTTCTCCATCTTTTGCATCTATATAACTTCTCAGCAACGCCAACCATTTGCTATATCCTTCCTTTTACTATTCTACAACACCTCCTTTCAAATACCAAGCAGACCCTCATTTCTACAATTCTCTTTGAACATGGACCCTGATTTCGTTCATAGACAGTTCCCAACTTCCTATCTGAGGACAAAGTTGGGCTCAGAAGTCCAGTTTTCGGTCGAGACTCGCATCGAGGATACAGCGCTGCATACCGCAGTAGAAGACCATATCACTAACCAGCTTACCGAGAGACAGCAGCAGCAGCAGCAGCAGCAGCTTCTAACCTGGCAGCCTGTAGATGGCCGTCGAGAACTCCAGCACTGGCTGAGAGTGCCGCCATCACTCACGCCCGGCCCCTTGTCTACTCCATCTGCCTCCTCGGCAGAGCGACAAGGCTCGCCAAAGCCAGCAGACGATAGTCAGACTCTCTGCTCATCTGCTCCTCCATCAACTCTCACTCCGAGTGAGATCAACCGCAGAGGCCAGCAGATTATCATGCAGATCCTGCAGACACCCGTCTCGCAGGAGGAGGCCGATTATCTCCGTTCCTTGCCTCTATTTACTCCTCCTCGCTCATCCTCAGGGGACCAAGATTTCACCTTATTCCCACCTGCTCCAGCAGAAGGAGAAGAGGAAGAAGAAGAACTACCAGCGAAAGAAGCGATATCAACGAACTCTCCTCTTGTAAGCAAGTATACGCTGTATTCTTCCCCTTTGCTGTTTACGTCTATGCATGGCTGCTCAACCAGTCTCCCTTACATTGTCTTTTTAGGATGATACTCGCCAGCCGCCTTCAACAAGCCCTGTCAGTCGCTCAGTATCACCAAACACTCTCACTCTTAAACCTCTTCAGTTCGATACGGCAACAAACAGCTGGCCGCTGCCGCCTATTGAGTCAGTTACTCGCTCGTTCTGGGACCCTATTCGTGATGCGCTTCGAGAGCAAGTGCAGGTAGAAAAGATGGTGTGTCAGGAGAATATATATATAAATGGATGTATTTGGGTCGAGAATGCTAACTTATTCCCTGGGCTATATAGGAGGATACGGAAAGCTGGTTGAGGGGCCTACCAAGTGTCGATGAGATGCTGGAGCCAGAGTGTTGATCGACATCCACTATTCACTCCTCCAAACGTCATACACATACCAAGAGTAGGGATTCAATCTTTCCAACGTCTACACTATTTTTCAGGACTTTTTAAGGCTTATACCCACGGGTTAATTATATAATTTAAGCGACATCTACTGGTCAAGCTACCTAAGTTCTGGGACGGAAAGCGAGTGGGAGGTAGTTAATAGATCAAGTAGAACGAGTGTGTCTTAATTTATTCCTTCGAAATCTATATGGCTGTTTTCAGCATCGTCTTTCCACTTTCTATTCGGGTATTCATCCATCTTTTATGTATTAGCTGGCCCCTTCTTTCTCTCATTCTTTCAGCCATGTAAAAAGTCATTAAAAAAAGTAAACAGATAAAAAAGCAGTCCTTTTCCCTCCACGTCTCTATCATTTCCGAATAGAGCTAAAGTACTCAGAAAGCTTCTAAGATTAGCTAGCTGTGTATCAGGTAGCTTAATTCTTGGCTCGGAGAGCAAAAACCTGGGCACCGTCAACAAGTCTGCGCTCATTGTTTTGGCGGCCGTTGACGAAATCAGGATAGTTCAGGGTCATCTCCACAGCACCGTTGATGATGTTATCCACGGCTTCGACACCAAGCATGAACGAATGATCCTGGTTACCGACCTCGTACCTCCAGCTACCAAAGCGGCCGCGGGAGTAGATACCCTGTTCCAGGAGTTTGGGCAGGAGTTGGGTGAGGACGCCTTCTCTCTCAAGGGTAGGGGTTGGGTAACCGTGGTCAAAGCGGCGGTGGTAAGTAGAGACAATTTCGTCAGTGGGCTTCAGCATAGATGTGTTCACGAGACCCTGGATACATTCTGCGAGCAATTTCTCGTTGTCTACGGGTTTCATTGAAGACTCGGAGACCTCAAGCATGATGGACCAGTAGGGACCAGGCTTGGAGGAGGAGTCGGTGGGCTTGGAACCATCGGCAAGCTGCTGGGTTGGGAGAGAGGTGGAAGTCTCAGGGCAGTTGTAGGGGGAGTAGTTGGAGAAGATGGTGGCTCTGTAGAAGGGGCAGTTGTCCTCAGGGAAGTACAGCTATCACATAAAAGTTAGCACTATGTAGCACAAGATAATGAGGCAGAAGAAACTTACCCAGCACTTGTCTCCAATTCTCTCTGGGCGTTCGCCTCTGATACCAACACCGATGACGTGGGTGGAGGAGTAGAAGAGTCCCTTGCTGAGGCTAATCAACTCCTTGTCGCCCATGGACTCAGCCAAAGCATCGACAGCCATGGTGGAAACAAGCTTCTGGTATTTGATAACGGATCCATCAGCTAGAGTGACGGACTTGTTGGAAGCGTCAACCTTGGTAACAGCCGCATCCTTTCCGAAGCGCTTCTTCTCCTTCGGGAGAGTGTCGGCCACAGCAATCCAGATGCCGCCTGTACCACCACGGGCCGGGAAACGGAAGGTAGCATTGGGCCCCCAGTTTCCGGCAGTCTTCTGCAGAATGACGTTGGTTGTGACAGCTTTGAGGTTTGGTGCAGCAACACGTTCACCGAGCCAAGCGCATTGCATCTAAAAAAACGGTTAATACTATATCTAGGCTCAAAAGATAGCAAAAACAGGTTTTTTTCTTTCTTTCCTTCTCACCTTTGTAGTAGGAACAGCCCAGACTTTGAAGTTGTATGGTCTCATGAATAAATCAGCAATTCCAACTCCCATCATGCGAACGATCCATTCGTCAAAGTCCTTTGGTTTAGTGTTTGCCACGCGAGCCTCCATAGCGGCGTCAATCATGCCATCAATACATTTTACTTGCTCCTCCTTTGGAAGCATGGAGATGTTGTTTTGGAAGGGGTATGGCACCCAAGCCTCCTTGCAACGAACATAGGAGATACGCTGGTGGGTGTACCAGTCATCAGGCTTAGGGAGGGCCTCATCGATGCAGTCATCGAAATATTTGTAGTGGGAGAAGATGACATGGCCACCGACATCATACAACTGAAAGCGCGAGGTAAGTTAGCTTCTGGTTGGTAAGACGGTGTTAAACAGGGAGCGGCGTACGAAGCCTTCAGGGGTAACATCGGTCGAAGCTAGACCGCCAGGAACCTCGTTCGAGTCAACTATCATCCAGGATGGGCCATTCTAGCAGATAATAAGAGTGTTAGCAATTAAATTCAGTTAAAGCTTCCCAGTCTTTGTTATATGGTGCTAAAACCCACGATCTGGTTCAATCTCTTTGCGGCACCTAAACCAGTAGGGCCAGCACCAATGACAAGGATGTCAACGTTACTACCAGCCACAAAGTACCAGTCAGAACAGCTCAATTAAAGAGTATCAAGACCGCACAGGCAGGATTTCAACTTACGCGTCCGCTCGAGGCATGGCTGTAGCTGGAGTCGAAGGTGTAAGCTACTCGAGCTCTATCTCTTGATAGCGGGGGTGCAGAGGAAGCTCAACGGTCTCCACTGGAGGGAAGCAATCCGGCGTAAGACAAAGGGACAAATGCACAGAGGAGCAATGCAAGCTAGAGCACGACGAAGCAGTTAAAGGGGAAAAAAACAGAACAAGAGGCGAAATAGCAAGCAGAAGAGGCCGAAGACGAAGAGGTTCAGAGCCTGCTCGCCGTTCGTCCAAAAACTCCCCCTGAAAGCCTCGAAAAGCGCGGAGACCTACCCACATTACGTCAGCATAGATTACGTAGCAGTGCTTATGTCAGACACTCAAACTCAAAAAAGAAATAAGTAAGAGCTTAGTCATGCACAGCGCCCCTAGTTACCCTCAACCAAGAAGTTACACCCCCTGAATCTCCTATGGACATCCAGCTGCGTCTTTGAGCTCCTTGTGCCCGGCGGGAGTAGACATTGAATGACCATCCGTCGTCTGCTTGGTCTTATGCTGCGTTTTGTTAGATATCCTTGCCTCCTTGTTTCCCCTGCATAGTACAATTCAAATGGGAGCATCCTTCACCGCGTTTCGATGAAGTCCACACTATTATTGTTGAATTCCATGTCCATCATCCAACCAATAAGCTTAGGACCTTGCAACCCGACAACCCGTCCTCCAGCCCCTGGAGATCCCTATTATACCCTACATTATGCTGGTTCCTGAGTGAAGTTGCCCTCGAGACTCGTGTTTCCGCGGAATTGGATGCTTCCGAGATAATCCTTTCGAAATATATCATAACAATATTGATGTCAGCAAGCTGGAAGTTGACGGGGGCGAATGGGTTTTATCAATTTGCGGGTACCCGAGGCGTTGTGATCACTGTAGCAAACCCCCTTCATATAAAGACTGCATCGTCATCGCTGTTGATGGGGCGTGTTCTAACAATGGGACACCTTATGCCCAAGCTGTTGGACATCTACTTTTGTTCTAAGCCTTGCGTTTGATATGATGAGCCCACAAACCAGAAGGTGGAGCTAATGGCTACCATCAAAGCACTTCAAATGGCAAGAGACATATGTTCTAATGGAAGCTATGGCAATCCCATTGCCAATGTGACTATAAGTCAGACTCGGAATACTCGGTAAGGGAGGCAACAGAGTGGATGCCGAAATGGAAAACAACTGGATAAACCAATGCCAAAGGAAAGCCCGTGGTTAATGGAAAATTTTTCAAGTGGCTTGATGAATGTATCCTTGATCTCAACAGAGGGTGTGGCTGTCCACTTCTGGCACGTGGAGTGAGCCTACAACTGTCACGCAGACCGCTTCGCCAAACAAGCTGTGCTTCAATGGAAAAAAAAAAAAAAAGATTAACTCAGATTAGATTGAAAGGTGCAAAAAAAAAAAAAAATGATCGCGTAAGGAGTACACCAGAACTGTTCAACTGCCCTTTGGTCATGATCTGTTTCGCAAGTCGGCTTCCTCAACTTAACCATTTCACCGTTCAGTTCTTTATACCACCCTATTCCCAAGCCTTTCTTATACTTGACTTTGGTCTCTGAAAGTACTTCTGAATAGCTTTCAATACTTTGCGGAAGCAGTATGTCTTCTTCTTCTTCTTCTTCTTCTTCTTCTTTGCATTCTTATGAGCGGAATACTTGTCTGCAAAGGCGGCATATAATAGCATCAAACCCTCGTGCTGGCTTCTACTGGCTTCTGCTATTCTTTATTTCCACTTAGCGCACACATGTCTTTATCCCTCGTATTACTCCACCTCGTGTCTATCAGCTCATATTAATAAAAATGAGATTTGATGCCTCTTGAGACCCGTCACATCTACTTTCACGTGATCTAACATCAGGTGTCAGTCCCCATTTCCATTTTGGGAAGACAGGTTTTTGGAGATTCGAGGACCTGAGAGTCGCTGGAAGTGACAACCTCAGCCCAGCTTCAACCCAGCGCCAACAGCCCATCCACGACGTCTCCTTTCGTTGTCTCTCTGCTCACATCGGCGTACGGAGTCCATAGTTTGTTTCTTAGTCACCACCATCAAGACAAGATGGCCAATGTGCATCGAGGCGGTGCTAGGAGCGCTAGACGCACATCACTCCCATGCTGGAAATTCGAGCCTCAGAGAATGTACGGACAAGATGTCCAACCGTCCCTGATAGAGTTCCCAGTCGAAGACTTGGTCTTCACCACCCGTGCGACTTCACTGTCCCGACGTTACTCGAACCTGGAGCCTAATCTAAGATCGATTATCATCGCAGTTGACGGAGCATGTAGGGAGAATGGAGCGGCCGCTCCCCGAGCTGCCATTGGGGTCTATGTGGGCAATAAATCTGACTACAACGCTTCTATGCAGCTTGATTCATCATGGGCAACGAACCAAAAGGCGGAATTGGCGGCAGGCATTTACGGACTCGATGCCGCCAGGGAGATCAATGACTATGGTGTCGATGGGGAATCACTGACCGAAGTCATCATCAAAACGGACTCTGCATACATGGTCAACGGGCTGACCCAGTGGGTTGACAGGTGGGAAGCGAACGGCTACATCAACGCGGACGGCCAGCAGGTTACCAACCATTACCTGTTCAAGGAACTTTCCTGGCGCGTTCGTGATCTTGCCGAATCCCATGTCAAGGTGTACTTCTGGCACGTCCGCAGAGAACACAATCGGGAAGCAGACCAGCTGGCCAGGGATGCTTTGGCACGCTAAATCTCGTTGAGCAGCAAGTCATCGACGCAACCCATGCACATGCATGCGACCTTCAAACGACCGACTAATGATATCATGACTTAACTTGTTATCATAACCCCAGCAGCTTTATATTTTCTCCTTGTTTCTCGGTTTGACATCGAGAAGGGTTTTCTCCAAATACAGCACTCGACACTCGGACACCCTTGTCCGAGTTTGCTCTGTATTAGGTGTCATTCAACTAACCATATCTATTAACTACTACGCCGTTAACTAACTAACGATGCTAAACGAGTTTTCCCCCTTGTTTTTACTTCTTTTTTACTGTCAGTTATCATTTAACAAAGTAACTAGCCAGCCATCGCTGAACTTTTATGTCTGAATATGAAATGGATTATCTCTTTAAACAGTGCCGTTGCAATGTCGTATAAGGGGTATTATGCGTTTTATCCTGCGCTCGTTAACGAAGTCGCATAGAGTCCGTATTTCGTTGATTTCCAAGCTTGCCAGGTATTCCATTCCATTTACTGTTATATCCTTGTATGCGATGAAAAAACAATTTTTGGTATCATAGCCTGATGCTCTGATACCAAGTCCCGGGGCCGCCACCTTCCTTTGGGCGCGATGGGGGTGTCCTTTTGGGAAATGGCTGTTGTTGATAACCAAACAACAACATTTCAACCCCAAGCTTGAACTTCACCCTATCCCAGGCCATCAAGTACGTTTCTCACTGTACCTCGCCGCTACGAAAACGACAAGAGGCCCATTGCAGGATGACTCTTGACAACTCACCCTACTACGGACTGGATGGTCGTCCCCAGGGTCAACGTCACGGTAACACGCAGCCACTTGTTATATCTGTCGATGGAGCATGCAGGGGAAACGGACGAGAACACCGTGATGCTTCTGCAGGTGTATTTGTTGACCAGGGATCGAGATTTAACGAAAGCATTCCCCTGAACCTGGATAATCCCAGCAACCAAAAAGCGGAGATACTCGCCGGTATCCATGGCCTTAACAAGGCACGAGAAATGGACGGTGGCCCTTCTCGCCATGTAACCATCCGATCTGACTCTGAGTACATGGTCAAAGGCGTCAATGAATGGAGCCGTAGGTGGGAGTCAAATGGATACCGGGCTGCCAATGGCCAGCCAGTGGTTAATAGAGAGCTCTTCCAACAGCTTAATTCAGCAAGAGACTCCCTAGAACGATCTGGTATAAAGGTCGATTTTCAGCATGTCCCGAGAGAGGAAAACCGCGATGCTGATCACTGGGCCAGCCAGGCGTTTGATAACTATCACAACAAGAGTCAGGATTGTGGTAACTATGAATTTGAAGAAGATTGGTGAGTTCTACAAGTCCAATACTTGATGAAGAATATGTACACGGGGGATTTTCTCTATCACTAGGGTAAAGAGCAGATTTATACTGGGTCCATTTGGTTCTAGAATTGATTTATTCGTCTTGTTATTGTGCTAATCATTCTTGTGGGTTGTTAGCAACAGTGGGCCCCTAGGGTATCAACCTGAAGCTTATACCAACGACGAGGAAGACTTTGAAGGCCCCCACACTTCCCCAGAAGCTTTTATTGAGCCGATGGGCGCTCAAGGATTCCATGAAACCACGGGTGATTTCTACTGTGCTTCCTACGAAGGTTCCTACGGAGATTCGCTTGATGATTGCTATGATGATGATTACTACAATGATGCCTACGATGATTAGTTACTAGCATTGATGGTTCAGAGTACGGAGTATGCAAACCCCAAAAAGGTCATCTTATAGCATTACCTCCATAAATCCATACCTTACATTTTAAAGCATAATTGCATACAAACATTTGCGTTCGAACAATTGCTCGTAAAGGTCATCATACCCCCACAAGTTTCAACAACTTGGGTTCTGGTAACTATTTCTTCCGAAATCGTGGCAAAAGACAACAAACATTGACACCAAAAGCGAAACGCAATTGACAGTACATAAAAGCAATGACGTCAAGATAACTTCATGGCAGATGGGCCATTTTAATTAAGTATCTGCAGTCTTACTCCTGCTAGGCAGTAATCTCTATCTCAAGGATGATCAATTGCAATCATTTTATCACAAATTTGTGCCAGTTCATTCCACAGATCAAGTGCCACACAAAATGAAGACCCTCAGATTTCAACTATATCGCGTTTGGGTATTCTTCGGCCGCTTAGCTGATAAAGCAAAAGGGAAAGAGACAGAGCAAAACGAACAACTCTCGCAAGCGTCAGATCGTGACTCAGAAGGGGATACCATCAACGGGCCTAAAGCTGAAGACTCCCTTTCATCTGAGGACAGACACCGGCCAGAAGGACGGTTGAAACCAGCTCTTCACCGGCTAAACGATGATATTCTTTACTATCTTGCCAATTCTATCCTGCCTCTTGACGATGCAGCTGCCTTTGCACTTACCTGTAGAGCAGCCTATAAAGCCATCAGTGGGAGAAGAGTTCTACAAAGGCTCAACAAGGAGCCTGCCTTGTACCGTGCCAGATTTCTCGAGCGCCTGGAACTGGACTTCCCGAAACACGTCCTTTGCTATGAATGCGGTAAATTTCATACGTGGTTGGAAGAGAATGTTCTCGGCCTATCGCCCTGTGACCTTAACGGCATTCAACTGGACTATACCACGGGTTTTCCACGTCTGTTTTATAGGCATGCAAAAGAGATTGCTAATCACTATAGATTAGGCCCTCGCTACGGACGAAATGAGCTTTATCTAGTACCCCAGGCGCCCTATTTTAGGAGGGACACAGAAAGAAATATCGCACATGCTGTATATATCAGCCCAAAGGCGGTCAATAACGCAGGGAACTTCGAATTGATCTTAAGGAGAACCTCGTATGTGGAATACAAATATACTAGCAGGAAGTCGAGGGAGGAGGCAATATACGCTACCCGTTGTAGAAGCCACCATCTTTGGCCCGGCTTCAATGAAAAGAAGCTAGCACGGGAAATGCTTCCGCTATGCTATCGATGTGAGATGTGTGGTGCTGAGCGGCAATTCACTATTACCTACTTAGCATCAAAGCCTGGGTATGCGGTTATTCGAAGTACGATGTGGGAAAGCGTAGGACATTGCGAGAACTCTGGCTACGGGCGATGGCAGCACATCTGCTCCAGCGGAAGTCCAGCAACCATTCACCAGTTTCTCAGCATTAACCAGTCAGAGTTGATTCTCCAGCGTGCCTTTATTGAGGAGATGCCCGGTAATTTTACGCAGGGGTTCAATGATGAAGTTGTCCAGAAACTGACTTATTGAGATTGCGGGAGTCCTTGCAAGGAAGAAATTTCTCTTGTCTTATAGCCAGCAACCCGGGTATAAGGAAATGAACACACTCGAGTAACTTTGATAGCATAGCTGCTGGTAGCAGAGCTCCCTCACAATCCTCTACTCGCTTAAGGATATCTCCTCTTGGAGAACCTGCTTTAGCCCTCAAGATGGGACACAGGAATAGGAGATGACAGGGCAAAAGGGAAAGTGTTTAGTCTGAGGGTCAGAAGTTATTCCAAAACAGACAGTCAGATACCTGATATTGGAGTGGTTTAGATGGGTATTATTCATGGCCAGCCTGGTGTTGATATTTGGATGTAGGCAAAAACCGGCTCCATCCGCAACACCACCGCCCCAGCTGTTCTGTAACTAGTTTACATAGTTAGTTAACTAGCAAAGAGGGCAACAACAAAGACAGCGAGAACACCGGGCCATGCATGTCGCCATTGGATGTCTTCAGTCGCTGCCCCGAAGTCGAGATAAAAAGTTGCTGCGTCTATTTATATTTATATATCTAAAGTACCAAGTCTGCCGTTTCCACCTTAATAAGCGTGTTGCGTGGCCCCTTCGCCCATCACTACTTATCTCACTGCTTGAGCTGCATAATTCCTTTTTCCAAACCTCCGGCGCACCTTTTTTTTTCCTCCCTTGCTCGATCGTGGTATATTAAAAGACAGCAAGACAAGTTCCTGACTTTGCCCCCTTTTACCCCGAGTACAGCCATCCAGAGGGTCGGAAAACAGTCTCATCTCGCTAATTGACCGTCTCCCTTCCGTGACAGATCCGTCCAAGGGACCGACCGCTATCCGATACTGCCCTGGCGTCCAACGCGTTCGGCCAGAGCAACCTGCTACGGTCACGGCCGTTCGACTTCCATCGCTTCGTCGCTTTACAGGCTCATTCATTATCCAGTGCCGTGCAGAAGATGGGCGAGCAAGAGAAGGCCAGGACCTCCGGCGAGATACAGCCTGGTGCTGCCGCTGGGCCGGCCATGGCCATGGAGATGGAGGACAGAAAGGACGATAGCCAGACACTGCCGACTGTCAACCCGGCGGCGACGAAGAGCGAACCGCCCAAGCCTTCGTTCCATCCGGCTTTCTACGTGATGTAAGTTTCCTCTGCTCTGCTTGCGACCCCGGGTTTATCTGTGGCGGAGTTGCGGTGGATGTGTGGTGCTGACGCCGAATCATGCAGTTCTTGGATTACGATGAGTTCGGCGGTTATTCTGTTTAACAAGGACCTGCTCGATAAGAAGCAGAACAAATTCCGTAAGTCATCTTCACACATTTTTTCTCCCTTTGTTTTTACCTGGTTTAACTAGACTGCTGACAAGTTTGTGATTATAGCATTCCGTACGTCTTTTGATTCTCCGCTGGTGAAATTGTTATCCTGACCCCCTTATCAATAGCCGTCATCCTTACAACATGGCATCTTGCGTTTGCGGCCTTCATGACCCAGGTACTAGCACGAACCACCAACCTCCTCGATGGACGGAAGAAGGTTAAGATGACTGGCCGTGTCTACCTCCGTGCCATAGTGCCAATTGGCTTCTTCTTCAGTCTGAGCTTGATCTGTGGAAACAAGACGTACCTCTATCTCAGCGTTGCCTTCATTCAGATGCTCAAGGTAGGTTACTACTATATATACTAAAATCGCAACAAGAGTATAATATGCTAATGTCAGTCGTTTATAGGCCACTACCCCTGTTGCCGTGTTGCTCGTTACCTGGGCCCTCAGCATCTCCCCACCTAACATGAAAGTGCTTCTGAATGTATCTTTCATCGTCATTGGCGTTATCATTGCCTCCTTTGGCGAGATCCACTTCGTCATGGTCGGATTTATCTTCCAAATTGCTGGTATCGTCTTCGAAGCTACTCGTCTCGTCATGGTGCAGCAGCTCCTTAGCGCTGCTGAGTACAAGATGGACCCCTTGGTCTCGTTGTACTACTTTGCCCCGGTCTGTGCCGTCATGAACGGCGTGGTTGCATTGTTCATGGAGGTGCCGGATTTGACTATGGACCATATTTACAAGGTCGGGGTTATCACCCTCTTGGCCAACGGCATGGTTGCCTTCCTTCTCAACGTCTCCGTCGTTTTCCTGGTACGTATCTACATGCGCTAGGTTAATTTTGATCTTAGCGTAATGCTAACTTGACTTACAGATCGGCAAAACTTCTTCTCTTGTTTTGACCCTCTGCGGTGTCCTCAAGGATATTCTTCTCGTCACTATTTCTGCTTTGTGGTGGAAGACTCCCGTCACTCCTCTCCAGCTCTTTGGCTACACCATTGCCCTGGGTGGTCTGATCTACTACAAGCTAGGCGTCGAGAAGATGAAAGAGTACACCAACCAAGGTCTCCGCCAATGGGCAGAGTACTCCTCCACTCACCCGGCTAGAAGTCGCCTCATTCTCATTGGAATGGGTGTCCTCGTCCTCATCATCCTCATGTTCCAGTTCGGAGGCTCCGTTGACCCCAAAGTTGTCAAGGGAATGCTTCCAGGCAAAGTCTCCGGGCAGTAAAAAAAAAAGCCTTGTCTTCTCTCCGCGTTTTAGACTAAAAAAGTGGAAAAGGGATCGATGGATACGTCGACTCCCTTTGTCTCAAAATCCATTTACGAACTAATTTCACTGCATCACAGGACACCGCTTGCTGTCTACTTTTCTTTTTCGCTGGTTTATTAATGGTACGATATGCACAAAAAGGACGGGAGGAAACTGAAGGCTTCTAGAAATTGAGAAGGGAAGATATGGGTTTTGTTTCAATCTTTCCCCCTCCCTTTTTACTTCCAAGCTCTTGCTTCATTCTTGCTTGTACAACTTTACAACAAATGCCTTGTAATCATGTCTCCTTTCACCCGGACAAGGCGACTGCTTTCACTACGCCTTTGCTTTTCTTCTTCTTTCTCACTTACTTCCCTTCACTGTTTCCACTCTTCTTATCCCATTCAAACACTAGACGTTGTTTCTTTCTGCCTTGCTTTTATATCTATCTCTTCCTTTCCCCCTTCTCGCCTCTTTGTACACAAGCAACAAACAATTGACAAACAAGCTCCTTCCATCAGCCACCGGAAGAGAAAGTATTTCCGCATGACAAAGAAGCTTACTAAGCGTTTAAACTTGCCCCAGATCGCCTTTGCTGACTAAGCCGATGATCCATCGCGCCTCTCCTTTAGGCCTAGCCACTCCCGGCTGCAACGTCTTGGCAACAAGAGTATGCACTTCTTATTGGCTGTGACTCCGTCCTTGGCACTGTATAAGCTCACGAGATTCACCTCCCATTGGCTGGCCAAGACAGCAGGGGGTGGTACCTGCCTCCTGCGGGTCTGATGCCGCGCATGGAAAGTACCACCGAGGTAGCTCCTTGCCGTATCCGGGGTGGTCCTTGCAAGGCTTGTGCTGACTAAGCCCGGCCCTTCTTCTTCGTTTCTTCCCAACTTTCAACTTCTTCTTCTTTTCTCTCTCTAACTTCTAACTACAACCTCAACCTCAACCTCAAAATACCAACAGCTACCAACCTGCACGCCTGCAACGCCTCAACGGCGGCTCACTTAACTATTCTTCCCCCGTGGAATTCCCTACCACGGTGTATCTCTTTCTCTATCCCCTGCTCCTCTTAACGTCACTGCTCTCCTCGGCATCCTCCATCCTAATACCTCGCCAGCCTCTTCTTCTTCTCTCTACATTGGGTCTATTAATCCGGCGGATACCACAAAGCAAGAAAAAGACAAAACAAAAATAACTTTCTTTTTTAATCTGACAGATTTACTTTGCAGCATTGTCTAACAGCTTTCCCTTTCCGACATTTATTCTTTTTAACAGTACGCTCCTCTTTTCTATTTAGATCAACCATGGGTCCATCTCTCTTCAACAACTACTTCAACGGACCAACCGTCGCCTTGCCTCCTCCATCTCAACTTCACCAGACCAATCAGCTTACACCTACCGACTCGATGAACCATTCGTTTGCCCATTCCGGCGGTTCCCGCGTTCCCCATCATGCTTCTGCTCATGCAGACGGTATACAGTCTGGGCCACCCAAGTCTTTCATAGGCCGTCAGACGCCTTTGAATGCTACTCAATGTACTGCTGCACCGTCACGCAAACGATCGAGAGACGAATTCAACCTAAGCAATAATGACAACCACAATAACTTTGCTGTTCAAAAGGCACTCACTCCACCAACCGTACCAGAAGAGGAGCCAATCTACGGCGAAGGAATGGTCCTCATCAACCCAAAAACTGGACTAGCCGTCTCAGCCTCCAGCCAGACAGGGACCTGGTATGAAGAGAAGGCAGAGGAGAAAGCAGTTAGTAATCAGATCTCCGTTCCTATCACCACAGACGTCAACCATGACCATATCAACCCTCTACCCAGCCGGAAGACACAACGGCTCGACGCTACCGCCTCTGCTTACGATGACATAACCGCCTTGTCAATCGCCAACAAACTCCAATCGAACACGGATGACGTTTGCGGATCCGGATCTTCTCCCAAGGGGCCCGAAATGCCACATGTTGATGATGCTACTCGACTACTAGGTATCAGCTGGCAACGCATGGCTAACGATGACAAAGATATGGTTGCTGCCATTCGTGGTTGGGAGAAATACATCAACAACCACTTCTCTACTCACCTACACGATGCCCAAATTATGCTTAAGCATCGCGGCCTGAATGTCTACCTTGTTTCAGCCCTTCCAAAAGGCCAGCATCAGAACGACAATGCCGCACAGCGACACTTCTACCTTTTCGACGATAACCTTACTGAAGGCCAGCTGGTCGGCAGGGACTGGCAATCTTCAATTCGTAACCTCCAGTCTTCACCAATTGCCTTCGAAGCTGGCTCAGCAGTACTAAAGGCAGCTGAAAAGACGCCTGAACGGCAAGTGGAAGACAAGGGAATCCCGATTGCTACCGGTGGCATGAACGGATGTATGATGGGAACGACAGGAACCTCAACCGGAACGGACATCCAGATGGAAATCGACTAGACTCCTACAACCACAACGCTACAGAGATGGACGCCATTCGAACGACTGACGATCGAACGATGTTGCGGATCAGCCAAAACGACTAACCCCGGATCGGCATACGGAACGTATTTAAGGTGATGAAGCTGGTTTCTTTTGTCACTTAATGTTCTTTCTTCTATCTATTTCCGCACATTTCGGTACTCTATCTATTCATCTACCGTATTCTATTTTTTCGCGAGTCTCACATGATTTCTATATTTCCTTTATTTCATACTGCTTAAGTGTTGTTGACCAGTTGATCACTGGGTCTCTCTCCACTGTTATTAATCCATACAGCTTATGAGACGAACAGCTGTAAAAACTACCAATGAAATACTGAGATAAAATAAATTATTCTCCTAGCATTCAGCTACTTGCCGTTATATATTTCGTGCTACTACTAGCGAAGTAAATGGGTTATAAGAAACATGAGTCTACGGCACAGGCGACGCTGATCAACAGCCAAACACATGCAATCAGCCGTACACCCCTGATGATGCGTCTATCCTTGACGACCGATTAAATACAGTTAGAAATAATCATCGTCATATCCTCCTTCACTCCCTTCGTCATAATAATTGCCGGCAAACGCAGCCTCGACACCATCGTCCTCCTCTTCCTCGTCCTCTTCCTCTTCATCCTCGTCATCTATATCCTCTGTCCCGGCGGGTAACTGATCCTCTTCGGCATCAGGCAAATAGCCTAGAATCTCTTCGTTGGGGTCCGTGGGCTGCTGCTGCGACTTCAACTGTCCCGGAGCTGGCGCCGGAGCCGTCACTTCTGCGACAGCTTTAGGTACCTTTTGAGACTCAGCTGAAGGCACGGCTGACGGCTGTGAGATTTCCTTGGATGTAGGTTCAACAGCCGGTTTGCTTGGACTGGTCGAAGCTGGCACCACTGCTGGAGCAGAAGATTTTTTCATGGTGGATTTCACGGGTGTTCGGATCGGTTTCAGTAATTTCGACCGATTGCCTGACGCCCGTCCGCCAAATATGCCTCCTCCTTCAGATGCGATGCTTGAGCCGCGAACACTTCGGCTGACGCTAACGCTGCGACTTCTGCTTCGGCGACTGGCGTCGCTTTCGCTATCTTTCCTCTTGACTGTAATGATGCTTCCGCCTTCTTCATTGGCTGCCTCGTCATTGTCACCATACATCTGCTCAAAAAGCTGGTAGTTTATCTTCTTGCTGAATCCACGTCTTTCAAGCATGAGCCTCGTTGCTTCTGCTGGGGTCGAGGCGCGTGATCCAGCCACAGACTCGCCGTCTGCATTCTTTGATTCCCCCGAAAGATATGTGACATCCCCTATACGGCCCTTGCGGCGTTTTCGTGGGCGATGGGCGCCAGATCTTGATGGATCTGAGCCAGCTTCAGCAAGAGCTTTTCGGAGCGCTTTTGCCTGCTGTGTACGAAGGTAGTCTTTGTTTTCATGGACCCAGATTCGCTCTTTGATTTCTACTTCAGCTGGAGATAGAAGGCAGAATTGCACTTCCGGGTCGTCCTCAAATTCTAAGGGGTTAATTTCGACATCTGATGATACCGGCTGTTGTGGTTTAGGTGGAGTGGTAGAGACGTCGGTATCTGCATCTGGCTCGGTATTTTGATGATCGGCATCTTTATCGCCATCATCAGTAGGTTTAGGTTGAGTTATTTCGGTGTTGGTAGTGTCCGTTACTGGCTTGGCAGTACTGGTGACAAGGTCGGAATTTGAAGACAAGAGGGCGGTCATCTCGTCTTCCAGAGCAGACTCCGAGGCCAGCTCGGATTCCGTAGGTTCAGGATAAGGGGCGCTTCTACTGCCCTTAGGCCTGGAACGTTTCCCGTCATTTTGAAGTCCATATTCGTTAACTGCACCGGAGCTTTCGGACGGCTCTTGTTGCTTATCGGAGGCTAGCAGAGCCGGATCAATGGGAATTTCGGGGATGGCAAACCCATCTGCGTCAACCCGAGGAGCTTTGGTCTGGACCACCCTGAGAGATGCTTGATCCCGCCCGGCATCAGCTCCGGCTTCCACTTCAGCAGCTTTCCTTTTCTTGCCCTGTAATGTAGCCTTCTTGTCCTTGGAGTGTGAAAAAGAAGGTGGGTCGTGGCAGGTTTCTAACTGTACAGACCGGAACTCATCAACGGTCAGACCACCACTTTCTGTAGCTTTAAACTCGTTTAGGCGTTGGTGAATGGTTAATTCCGTAACCTTGACGACATAAACTACCTCACGGACAGTACGGCGGAAGTTGTTCATCCGTGCAGCCAGGATAAGGGCAGCACCGCATATGCCTGCCGGTCGTCTACCAGTAATCATCCAGTCACGGTTCATTCTCTGAACGATTCGGACGGCCTCACTGGCAACCTGCATCATGGCAGGACCAAATTCTAGCTGTTTTGAGAATCGGTAGATCAAACTTTCTGGGTCGATTGGATTCATGATGAAATGGTTCCCCCCCAGCTTCAGCTCATCAAGTAGTGCTTTGTATGCTCTACCCAGTTTGAATACATTGATCTGCAGCAGTGTTAGCAATGGGAGAAATACCGGATGTGGGTATACTTCTGCTTACCATCAGTACATCTGCAAAGTCGATCAACATGACTGTGTTCCCATCTTGACGCCGACACGCAATATAAAGAGCTACCGCAGCTACGGTCTTTGTTCGACGTCCTTGGATAAAGTTAAGCCCTACCGCAAGCTTGAATACTTGCCCTCCGGCTTTTGAGGCACTTTCCGGGATGTTCAAAGCCCGGGAGAGCTGCGCAATATATCGATTTCCTATACCATGTTAGATCCCTCAAGCCATTCACACATACGCCTAGAGGAAGAGAGCTTACCGTTCTGCTCGGTTATCTCTCTACTTTCTATGCCACCACCACGCTGGAATCCAGGTCCAAAGCTGCGTCCATGACTCTGGTCTGCACCGACAAAGGTTCCTTGCACGATAGCAGCTCCTGACGAAGCTTCGCCAAATGTAACTTCTGAGACGATATTGGACTCGCTGATAACAGTACCACACCCGGCACAGACCTTTTGTCCATCGTCCTCTACTATGTTGGGATCAGGACAACTTGGGTTCGGACATTTTGATGTTTTAGGGGGTACGGTCGTATTTGGCTTTTGTGTCTGCTGTTGCGGGTGCTGGTGCTGATGGTTCTGGGGGACATGGATAGACTGTGGACGTCGGATAGGAGTAGGATTGGGCCTTTTCAAGCTTGCTAGACGCTCGACTGGCGGCCGTCGAATCCCGGCCTTCCCTGGCGGAGGGAGACGGGGAGTTGGCTTGACACCAACCATGAGGGCCTGGTGATGGATGAACACTATATTTGTACAAGCCTGCTTCTTCGTAGGAGTTCTATAGTTTGAATTTGGCTGTCCAGAGAATATATCAGTTCATGCTCTGACAGCGATGACAGCCAGGAACAAGAGGTATCCTTTTTGTGTTGGACTCACGGAGAGGAAGAATTCCCCACTGGCAGGTAACAGGGGAGTGAGGTCTCGCAGCAGGATCTCTAAATGCGCCGTAAATCCCAGGTCCCAGGATCGAAATCCCCCGTCCGGTGCCAACGGTCTATATCAAGCTGTCAACGTCGGTCTGTCAAGTCGATGTCGTCAGAAATGCGCAAGGCCGGCGCAGTGTCTCTCGCCTCGCCGCCGCCCGCCCGCCTCGCTCCTCGTGGTGCAGCCGCTTGAGCCAGTCAGTCACGTGATGCTCTTTTTTTGCGCCTTTTGGTGGCGGAGGAAAAGCAGCGGCGCTAAGCCTGATTGGGGAAGTCATGGCCACCCAAGTTCGATTCCGTGACAATTTTAGCCTTTTTTTTTTTATTTTTATTTTTATTTTTCCTCTTAGTTTGATCTCTCGAGACTGGCGGTGGTGATTGTTGGGATGCTCTCAGTCCAGCAGAGAGCGGCTTTATTTTTGGAGTTTTGGAGGATGGAAGGAGAATTACTAGGGGTGGCCTGGGGAGTTGGTGTTGCAGATATCATCTGCTCTGTACTCTGTACAACTGGGTCCTGAGGGAGAAGCTCAGCAGGGAAGTTCCAAAACCAGCATGTCACAAGGGTAGTCAGGTCGGATGATCCCAAGAACACAATTCCTGGATAGCGGTGGTGTTACCCGCCTCCTTTCCAGGGACGGCTATGCTGTCAGACCTGCAGAGAAAGGGATAACTAAGGGGTCCGGACTCGATGTTAGCAAGCCCACCTGGATGCAGGCAACCGGAAAACGACAAACTTATATTAAATGAAAGCTAGGAAGTCCGAAGCCATCCTGGTGCCAGGAAACACGACAGGGAAGGGACATCCATAAGATTTTGTCCGCTCCCTCGAAGGCATAAGATGCAATGGGACACATGTACGGGGTCCTGGAGACCAATTGGATGTGCTCAAGGGCAACAGAAACTACTGGCTGGCTTGCGGGATAACAGCAGTAGCGGTGCCGTGATGAACTCGTTCTTTCATATCCCGAGAGTGAAGAAGACACCGAATAGGCCAGAGAGAACAGGCAACGGGACCGGCCTTGAGTGGCAGAACCAAAGAGTAGGTCATTGACTGCCAGGATCGAGGTTGTCATCGCATAGAGAGAATGTATGATTTGTCCACTGAACCAAGCCGTCGATGCGGGTGATGATGATGCAGCAGCAACAGTCTACCCTGATTCCCCGGAAGTATGAATAATGGCATGGAAGTGTATCAAGCACACGAACAATGGGTAACAGTAGCTGGTCTCTACCCTGCTGGTGGACTGATATCACCGTATATACAGTCGTGAACCAACCACTTAGACCGGATTATGGAGATGGTCGACAATAGCTCAATTCCTATGCAGAAGGCCCCAATCCTTCGTCCTTGGTATGGCCGTGCTCAGTAGTTAACTAGCATCTCGGACGGCGCACTGGGTGCAGCTTGCAGGATAGAGGCCGTATGATGTGTTCTTCATCTGTAGACAAGCTCGTATCCCATCTCTGGCCTGACGTCAAAGGCACCACCCCTGCCAGCCAGCGTATATGCAAAAGGCCATATGAATAATTAGAATCGCGGCTGAAAAGTCCTTCCCTGGTATCATTCTGCGTAGTTCTCACGCCAAAAGGTACATCTGCGAGACCTGGCGTCTTGCTCCAACCGCTTGGATCGTTTCGATAATCATCAACACCGTTGTCTTCCTGGCACATATGCGAGTCAGAAGCGACATCCCGGTCCTGTAGTCCTCTCTCGCGTCTTCTAAATGGCTTCTCTGGGGCTCCATTGGGTCCACGATGGATGCCGTTTGCTGCGCCAAACCCTCAGCCCTTCACCCGCTCCATTCAACACCGCGCGATTTGTGCATCCGGCAAATATCTGCATCGTATCCCGTCGCCTCATGGCTTTCTCCGTAATTCTCGAGTGTGTCTCGTTTAGCTAGCTGACTGGCTAGCAGGAGATGATGAAATCACTATGACAAGAAGAATGTTGATTTCAAACCAGCTGTCGAAATGGGGTTAAATACTGCGAAAACCGCTCGATGTCAAGCTGGGAATTTTCCTGCTTCGAACATCTTCTCCTCCCTTCCACTCTGACTGACGCCGATTAGCTAGCTATATATCGGCTGGTGACACCACCATTTTGCCATACCAGGTTCAATCGAACGACAGAATACCTTGATATATCAGGAACTGTCACCCTGCTTGTCTTCACCCTTTGGTCTGATCGCAGCTGCCGCTACCACTGAGCCCAGCCCTCTATCACTATGGCAGACGCCAACAAGACTACATCCTCATGCTGCTGCTCTGGCTCTCCAAAGCTGCCTATTCCCAGGATAAATATACCCTCAGAGGACCTCAAGACCATCCTGCTTGTCAATAATATACACTGTGCCTCCTGCGTGGCCTACGCAAAGGAAGTCCTGCATGGTCTCCCTGACATCAAAGCCGTCGAGATCACCATTCTCGCGCACGAAGTTACAGTCCTTCATGGCTCCGAAACAAATACCTCGGATCTAGTCAAGGCTCTCTCGGATGCTGCGTTTGAAGTATACCATGCTGATACCTACAATGAGTCTGGTGTCAAAGTCGGGGATCTGGACACTTCCTCGTCAGTAGGCAGCACATGGTTGGAGTCTGGTATCCTCAACTCTCCTCAGTCCCGAAAGGTACTAGGGAGGCTACGGCCTGTTTCTCCCGATACTCGAAAGACGCATCATATCGAAAACTGCTTGGTCTGCAGAGAGGAATTTGGTGCCGGATCCAGTCAGAGTCATAAGGGAGACCAACTAGAAGTCCCCCCTCCGACCCAATCCGGCGCTGTTTCTGCGGTAGAGACACTGAGACGAATAAACCCGCAGTTATCGGGCCCTATACCTCGATCAGCAGTCACCCCGGCAGTCCTGCCATCCACAAAAGATGTGGCCAAACCCCCACCGAGCACTGGCGACGAGATATTCGAGGCTCAGCTGAGTATTGGTGGAATGTCGTGCGCTTCTTGTGCCAATGCGGTCACAAGCGAAATTAACTCTTCCAGCCACGTTGTTTCGGCTACCGTTAGCCTCCTTACAAATAGTGCTGAAGTAGCATTCCGCGGCCCAAAGGAAAATATTGAGAAAATCGCAACTCAGGTGAAAGATATCGGTTTCGAGGCCTCGGTAGAGAAGGTATATCTTAAGAGCCATCTAGAGGATGCTTATGTCGCAGATGTGAGCATCAAGGGTATGACCTGTAGCTCCTGTGTTGGGTCTGTTACCAGGGCACTGGACGCCTGCCCTTACATTACCAACGCTACTATACATCTCCTGGGAAACTCAGGGAAGATAGAATTCCAGGGGAAGGAGAACCTGGAGGATATCATCTCCAGAATTGATGAATTGGGGTTTGAGGCTGCCATTGTGGATTGCAAGCCCATAGGCAACAGCTCTTCCATTGCCAATGAGGAAGTGAAAAAGAGGACTGTCCAGATCAAAGTCGAGGGCATGTTTTGTCCCCATTGCCCTCAAAAGATTCTTGATGCCCTCATGGGAATTCCGGACGCAGCAGTGACCATTATCGAGGAACTCACCTTGGAAGAGCCAATTCTCACTCTTTCATATATCCCAAGCCCTCCAACACTTACCATACGAAATATCATTGCTACTATTGATGGCGCGAATGAAGTTTTTACAGCGAGTCTTTACCACCCACCTACCATCGAGGACCGCTCTCGAGCTATGCAAATGCATGAACAAAAACGGCTTCTCCTTCGTCTCCTGTTCACCTTCATTGTTGGTATTCCTGAATTCCTCATTGGTATATTATGGATGTCAATAGTTCCAAAGTCAAACAATATTCGAAGGTATCTCGAAGAACCTATGTGGATTGGCTCCGTTTCTCGCGCAGAATGGGCTCTTTTCATCCTCACCACTCCCGTCATGTTTTTCGGTACTGATGTCTTCCATGCTCGTGCTTTCAAAGAGATTCGCGCTTTATGGAGACCAGGGAGCCGTGTGCCTATACTCAGGCGATTCTACAGATTTGGTAGCATGAACATGCTCATTTCTGCTGGGGCAATGGTTGCATATTTCGCCTCCTTAGCTGTCCTTATTTTGAAATCCCGTATACCTGACAAGGGGCACGAGCCAGGGGAAATAGCAACCTACTTCGATACAGTCGTATTTCTAACTCTCTTTATTCTGATTGGTCGTGCTCTTGAGGCATACAGTAAAGCAAAGACCGGTGATGCAGTCGCCATGCTAGGCAAACTTCGACCTTCTGATGCCATTCTGGTTCTTGACCACGATTTTTCTGGCCAACCTGACCCGAACAACAGCTCAATTCAACGTGTTCCTGTTGATCTGCTAGACATTGGTGACATTGTTGTGATTCCACATGGAGGATCTCCTCCTGCTGATGGAAATATAACCGGGACCGACTCCTACAAGTTTGATGAAAGCTCTCTCACTGGAGAATCAATGCCGGCTACAAAATCCAAAGGAGACAAAGTTTTCTCCGGCTCAGTCAATGTTGGGCGACCAGTATCAATTGAGATTACTGATCTAGGAAGCACATCCATGCTTGACCAAATAGTGTCAGTGGTAAGGGAAGGTCAGGCAAAAAGGGCACCAGTGGAACGTATTGCTGATGCTATAACCGGATACTTCGTGCCTATGATTACTTTGATTGCTATATTAACATTCATAGTTTGGCTTAGTTTGGGACAATCCGGAGTTCTTCCCCCTGACTACCTAGATTCAGAACAAGGAGGCTGGCCTTTTTGGAGTTTGCAGTTTGCCATTGCTGTCTTTGTTGTTGCATGTCCATGCGGTCTTGCCCTTGCTGCTCCAACGGCCCTTTTCGTTGGCGGGGGATTGGCTGCAAAACGAGGTATCCTTGTAAGAGGCGGGGGAGAGGCATTCCAGGAAGCAAGCCGATTGGATTCCATCATTTTTGACAAGACCGGGACACTCACCGAGGGTGGTGCTCTTAAGGTGTCTGACCATGAAGTACTCATTACCGATGAGAATGATCGCCAAATTGCATGGGCACTAGGCAAGGCGCTAGAAGAAAGCAGTACTCATCCTATTGCTAGGGCCATAGTCGAATTTTGTTCTGACAAAACGGCTGTTATGGTTAAACAAACCTCCGTTGAAGAGATACCGGGTCATGGAATGAAAGGTTCCTTTACAGTCCGCCTAGATGGCAGTGATCAAGCACTTGAGTACGAAGCATCGATTGGCAATCAGCGTCTAGTCGACCTTCTATGTGGAGAAGATCCAGATTTATATTTCTTACCTAACATACTGTCTCGATATCATTCTGCCGGCAAATCATCTGCAGTTCTTTCTATACGCAAAGCAAGTGGAACAGCAAAGTTTACTCCAGCCATTATATTTGCAACCTCTGATCCCCTCCGCCAGGAAGCTGCACAGGTGGTGTCCCAGCTCCAGGCCAGGAATATCGATGTCCATATGTGCACAGGGGACAATGCTGTAACAGCCCACGCTGTAGCTTCAGTGCTTGGGATCCCTAGGTCAAATGTCATAGCAAATGTCCTCCCATCTCAAAAAGCGGAATATATTAAAAAGGTGCAGAACAATGAATTAGGAATCAGGGCCCAACTTTCTACAAATTCGAAGGCCAAAACCAGGCGAAACATCGTTGCTTTCGTTGGTGATGGTACCAACGATTCCCCTGCTCTCGCGGCTGCAGACGTTAGCATTGCCATGGCATCTGGCTCTGACGTTGCTGTGAACACTGCAGGATTCATTCTTCTCAACTCAGACCTAAACACTATTCTTGATCTCTGCAAGCTGAGTCGCCGTGTTTTTAACCGTGTAAGGTGGAATTTCCTCTGGGCAGCAATATATAATGTCTCCCTTATACCGGTTGCCGCTGGAGTCTTTTATCCCATTGTTAGTGGACATACAGTGCGTGATGGAATTGTTATAAACAACCATTGGAGACTAGATCCCGCTTGGGCTGCCCTTGCTATGGCTCTTAGCAGCGTGTCAGTTGTTTGTAGCAGCTTAGCTCTCAGAGTGGAAATTACAGCCGGAATAAGTCGATTGTTTAGGAGAATAAGGCGATAGAACATCCAATCGGTGCTGGGACGCAGCTGCAAGCTACTTGGAATATTGGAGGTTTTTGAGTTGTTCAATTAGTTCCATTTTTAACGTCTAATATAAAATGAAAAGTTAAGAGATGTGGACCCTGAGTCAACTACAATATACAATAGGAATATTGAAAGATTTACAATGAAGTGTCTTATCGGTAGAAATGGAACTAGGACTTGCAAATTTAGGCTGATTGAAGTTCGTAAGAATGAAGCCTCACTGAGACACACCTAGGGTACATAAATGCAAAAAGTCTAAAACATATTACCAATCTGACCTACAAAAAGGGGTATCAAATGCAACCATAATTGACAATAGAGATTCAGGGAGCCCAAATCTCTGCAATCTTCTTGCTTAATGTCTTACCAATTTTCTTTCGCCCGACCAGCCCACCTAAGGCAGAGGCGACTAGATCATCCTGGGCTTGGGAAGGTTTCCCATCCGACCCTCGGGGCCCAACCCGTTCAAAGGCTTTGACGAATTCACGGGGAGTACTCCATCGCCTCTGGATTTCGAGAGCTTTATCTCCTGTGACTCCTCGTGTACACATAAGCATCTTTAGGAAGATATCACGTAGAGTAAGCATATCGGATTTAGATGATAGAGCTGAGAATGTGTTATATGTCAAGGTATAGGTAGTTTCCAAGACGTTTGATGTCGGCGATGTGTCTAGTCTTTTCTGCTCTTCAGCGCGTAGTCGTTCGAGATGTAATAGATATTCGTTTTGTGACTCTATACAGGATGTTGGCGTAACTTCTATACGCCTCACTGGAGTGTTAGCGTCTGACCCAGTATACATTTCACGAAGCAGTTGCGTCATTTTGGCGAGATATCGAATCGACTCATCAACACTATTCGTTTGTTTGACGAAATAGCCGTTGACTACCTGTGTCGAGGCTATGGCAGATGCAATAGCAGACATATCACGATTTGCAGTTACTGGGTTTGCGCTCGTAAGGGTCATAATTTCCACTAGGTAGATGACATTCTTGATGCCAGAACGACGAAGCCGGAATTTTTGTTCGTAGAAGCGACCATCCTTTATACTGCTGAGTAAGTCAGATAGCCGCTTTCTTTCAACAATCCAGTCTAGAGCAACTTCATCGCCTGCTTCACCATATTGTGCAAGAAAGTTAGGATCTTTGCATTTTGCAATCCATTGAATGTCCCCAACTTCCAAGGGCCGGACTATGGGAGATACACCTCGCTTGACTAATTCGTTTGAGATATAGTCTCGATCTTGCCTGGAGCGTATTTCCCGGTAATCAAGCACCATCTCGATGGTAAAGCTGCCTCGGGGAAGAGTAAATCTAGACCCATGCACAATTCCTCGCGACAATGGTGGAACATCGATTGAAATTGGTTCATCTGTAGAATTCAGTGGTCGAGATGATTGTACGTTCCCGGAGTTTATGAAGTTATCCTGGAAAGTGTTAATTGTGACATTTATCTTATGAGGCTGGCGCAACTACTAACCATGGTAGTCCTGGTATCCGGAGGGACCTGTGAATTTAACCTAACCGTCTTCTGTATTTGCATCGCAATTTCCCACCCTTCGTCTGTAAGTAGGTATCTCTTCAGCGGTCTACCACGTTCATAGACAAGGTCCTTTTTAATGAGAGTCTTCATTGAATCCCAAGCAGTGTGAAACTTGTTGGGGTCCGGGGGTGCAGTAAAGGAAGCATCGGCATGCGGTTGTGCAACTTCTATAAGCTGGTCTTTGGTCAAGCCTACCGACGAACTCTTGTCCACGGTAGCAAGCCCCAAGAGGAGTGCATAAGGCCCTGAACGTAGGGTTGGCACATATGGCTTTGTTTTCTTGGGTCGTTTCGGCGCTTGGCCTTCCTCCTGCCGCAAAAGGTCTGCAGATGGCCGTTTCTTGACTGCATAGTATGTTGTTAGTGTTATTTGTGTATAATACAGTCAGAGTACCTAGCAACTCACCCTGTTGCCGTGGTTGTGGTCGTTCTGGCATGGGGAGCCCATGATTCTCACAGTATTCCTTGAGCTTTGCAGTCAAGCGCTCACACATTTTAGGTCCAACTCCACTCAGCTGCTGCGCCTCTGATGGGTGACTGAATTCTAACGGACACGCCTTCATGGAGTTATAGGCCTTTTTATACCTATTTCAAAGGGTATTAGATGCGGAAAGGCCATCAGTACGCAGGTTTATACAGCCATAACTACATACACTGCGGATGCTCCCTTCATGTTCTTGTCCAAGGCTTCGTCATACCACTGCTTGAGCCAGCCCAGCAGCAAGGGGTTCGCGCAGGCCCCGTCTGCCATCTCGTCGGCGTCAATATCCATCGTCCATTTCCCTCCTCAACGGCCATCTATTAGTTGTATCGTAGTAGATGTGAATATCAAGCGGTGCTAGTTCTCGCTGTGTTGTTTGTTCCCTACGCCGCCGGCCTTTTCGAACGCGAACAAAACGCGGGGTCACATGACCAATTTCCCGATTCGGCATGCAGGACGACGTCGCTCTGCTGAGCCTCTGCCAGCGCTCCGGGAGACAGACAAGACGCTCGTCCAGGACCAGCCAACGAGGCGCCGACCGTTGAGACGATGCTCTAGGGCTGTTTGAAGCATGAGAGACGAGATCGGGGCGGAAAAACTAGCTATGTAACTACAACGCTGCACGAGCTGTGGGGGTGGAGCAAGAGTTTGCCTCCCTGCTCGTTCTCCTGGCGCAAGGGAGCAGAAGTCGCTAAGGTATCTAAGCCAGCACCCGATGTGCCTAAAGGGACACAATACGCCGTTTCCAGCCTGACTGGCCCTCGCGATTACATGGATTTCATGCGACTCACGCCCTGGTGTCGCCCTCATTCTCGAGTCTTCCACAACCGACAGGGATGAAGCGGTCCCACGAGGCGGTTAGCCCTCCAAGGATCAACGGAGAAGAGTCGACTCACACAATTGTTGCGCCCAAGATATCAAAAGCTCGCGCATGTTAGTTTACCTGTGTTATGAACCCGTATCCTCGATATCTTCGATACTAAGTCTTCGTACAGGCGCAGAATGCAAGCGGCATAAGATTAAGTGCGAGGTGAAGCCTGGGGAAACCAGCTGCACCAAGTGCCTTAAAAGTGGTGCCAAATGCGTGGCCAATGACTTCTCTCAGAGATTCGTTGATGACGATGTTAAGTGGGTTGCAGCCAGTGTTATTCCTTTTATTATTGGGCTTTTCGCAAAGAAACTTGACTGACATGCGTCCCTTTCTCTCATTATAGCTGGAAGGCTAAAGCCACCAATAGAATGCAGCGCCTCGAGGCTGCTGTGTCCTATCTTCTCCGCGAGAACAAGTTCCCTTCGCTCTCAGCCTTTGACTTGACTCACTCTCCTGGAGCGCCTTCCGACCTAAGCTCTACTCCAAACCATGCGTCCAGCGAAGTTCGTGTTAAGGATATGAATGCTACCAAGTCACTGGACATGACTAGAGAGAATTCTCAGGAACCAATGCCGGAAGAGCCTGATCTGGTACCTGCTCCCATGGGAACTCTATATGAAGTCACAAAGCTCCGTAATTTAAGAAGTAACCAAGTTGGGAAACCGAAGTCGACATTGATGGAAGAGGATTTCATTTCGAGAGGCTGCATCTCACTCCACGAGGCGGAGGAACTCTTTGCTTACTTCCGCCGTACCTTGAATCAGCTTCTCTGGGGTGGAATAATCTTGTTACATTCAGACCTATCCTCTGTGAGGAGGTCCTCATCCCTCCTATCCGCGGCAATTTTAACGGTGTCTGCACTTCATATTCCCAACCGGACAGATACCCTTAACAAATGCTACAATGAGTTTGTCTCATTGATTGGAGCGGCCACCTTGTCACGCTATCACACACTGGATGACATTCGTGCCAGATGCATTGGTGCATTCTGGCTGCCAGACCTTAGTTGGAAGCTCTCCGGACAAGCCGTACGGATAGCAACTGAGATTAACTTACATCACAGTTTCTTGAAGATGACCAGGGGGCAGACTGATCAGTTTGAGCGTGCTAAGCTTTGGTACTTGATCTATGTTTGTGAACATCATTTCAGTATTGCTTACGGAAGGCCCCCTTCAATCCATGAAGATGCTGCTATCAAAAATTACGAAACTTTTCTACAATCACCATCTGCTGTTCCGGGAGACGTTCGACTTATTGCTCAAGTAGCATTGTTCGTCATTCTGACGGAAGCTTATCGGATATATGGGTCAGATACCGAGCAAGCATTGACCGAATCTGACTTTGGGCAACTGCGGTCTTTTAACAGGGCTATTGAGCAATGGAGAATGCTGTGGCAGCCCCGGTCTCGTACGTTCCAAACCATATCATATCTGCATTATCGCACCAAGGCCGTTAGACTTGAACTAATTATTTTATAGTTGATAACCCGTATGTCCGAACGTATCCTTCGAAGGGCGTTGTTCTGCACTATCATTTTGCTAGATTCCAGCTCAATTCCCTGGCACTTCGTGCCATTTCGCCAAATATGCAGTTTTCACCGGAGCGTAAGGAAGCCGCAAATGTAGCGATATCTTCGGCCATGGCTACCCTCAACCTTGTTCTGGAGGAGGTGGATTTACGTGACGCAGTCGTGGGTGTGCCAATTTTCACACACACCATGATTACGTTCTCGGCTGTCTTCTTGCTCAAAGTTGCTGTTATCTGGAATACAGGGTATCTGAATGTGGATGCTGGCCAGGTACAGCATTTGGTGGAAAGAATTATCGATTTAATTACACGCGCAAGTGCCGGAGAAAAGCACCTGACTCGCCATATTTCGAGAGGACTTGGCAAAATGCTTGAACGATTCAAGGCATGGAACCGGTCTGCAGCAAACACCTCTCCTGATAGTACTAACATGGCCAACCCGATTATGGACAGTGGGACGGAGAGTAGTACTAGCTTCACACCTTCGAATATGTTAATATCCGACATGGTGGGCGCATATGGGTTCAATCTCGACGAGCATTTCCTTGACCCATATATGCCTAACTATGGGTTTTATGCTACTTGATTGGCAATTCTGAGATGTTAAGCGTATAATTTACAAATTGACTCTAAAGATCTGCCTTGATATATCCATCTAACTACGTTGTTATTGGCGTTCTCTGAAGGCACAGGTCACTCCTTTTTAACGCAACCCGCTATGGGTTGAATATATGGTCTCTGAATTAAGGGTTCGAATATCTTCACCGTTTTCACTCACCACCCCCAATCATTCGATATAAATATTCCCCTTTTTGCCTTTACCAGTTTTTCTTTTCTTTTTTTTTTTTTTTTTAATCTTTCTGATAATTTTCTTTGCCGTATGGTTCTGAATGGCGGGATCTTTCTCTTGCGCGAGGCCACATGTATAGGTACCTAATTCGGTTTGTCGGCGTACGGGTTACTGACGGGCCTGTTATTTTTTAGATTCATCTATTAGCGGATACCTATAATGAATATTGACAAAATCTATAAGCGATCAATTCTGGCTGGTCATTAACATAGAAGTACACAATGAATAAGCACTCATTTCTACTCATTTGTACACCTCGGGTATTATCAATAGGTATATGGTACAACTGCAAGCACCGGGTTTCCACAGAACTCGCTATGTAGTGTTAGGTTTTATACTCTTTGCCAGAGCCCAAAAATTCTCCATCTTTGCCCTTGCTAGCTGATCCTTTGCTGCGCCATCAGTCTCACATACTCGAGCGCCGACCCATTTCCTAAACGCTCGGTTTTTTTCCTCCCCCTCCCAGATTAATGTACAGGTATTTAGACTCAAGTCTTTGAGTTCTCCCTTCTCATCCTCTGCAGCTAGCCAAGAAGTCAGCGCTTCACGGTTACCTTCTCGCACGGAGTTGGCACCTGAATTTTCAGTCCAGTCAATGCGATTTAACATCAGCTTTTTATAAGCGTTGATAGAGTGAGCGCCCCCTTCTACAATCACGATGTTGAGCTTGGGGTGCATGATGCAGATACCAGTAAGTGCATGCTGTTCTGCGTTCTTGTTAATCTTAAATCGGTGACGGCCATTTGCCAGACTGTCAATGCGGTAGACAGACACACACACTCCCTTGGCGGCATCCAATTCTTGTTTCGATGCCAATTTCTCATGCCGTTGCTCCTTTGTGAGTTTTCGAGCTTCGTTGGCGTCTTGGTGTTTTTGCGCGCGCTCAGCAATTTCACGGTTGACTCTGGCCTCAACAGCAGTAGGATCCTTAACTGCATCCTCACCCAGTACTCTCATAAGGTTTGACTTTTTGACTTTCGGAGCGGGTACAGGCTCCAATCCAAGACGGATCTTAGCTTGTTGTTCCTTAAGATCCGCCATACGCCGTTGTCGACGAATCTTTGCTTGTTCCTTGGGGGTCAGGTACATGGGTTTCGGAGCAGGTATATTCTTGTCTTGCGGGGGTTCGAGAAGGACTGGGTGTTGTATATATATCGTAATAACAGAATCTGGGGTATCAATCTTCAGGTTGCTGGGATCGTCGATTGCAGTATAATCTGTTCCATTCACCAGCCCTTCATCCCACCATTCAATTGCCGGAGGTGCAGCCACAAGGTAGGATTTTTCAACATCGAGGTCTTCATCTATACCGGCCTGTCGAGCTCGCTCTGCAATCCGTTTTTTCATAGCTTCGAGCTGAGCCTGCCTTCTCAGAGCCGCGGCTTGTTGAATATATTTCCCCTTTTGATTAAAGATAAGCTGGCGCGTGTGACGGGGCTGAGCAGCTACAGACCTGGAGCCGAAGCTGGGATCGAAATATGGGTTATTCCTAGTTTCTTCTATAGATGGGCCAGATAAATCAAGAGGCGTTTTCCCTCGACTAGGTGGAGTAAAGGACTCGGATCGAAAGTTCGCCATAGTTGTTGCAAATTTCGGCTGCATGGCTTGTTTCCCTTTTGTGGTTCGGTTATCTTGCCCGCTGTCTCCAAGGAGTGCAGGATGCAAACCGACATCCAGACCCCCTCTTGCCCTCATCATACTATCGTCATTAGACGGAGGAGGAGGAATGGGAGCAAAACTGGGTGCAGGTTGTGGTGGTTTAGTCGCAGAAATATTTATCTTCCCAGTAGCTGCCGCAACCCTTGCCTTCATTTGTTCAAGCCTAGACATAGCCGGCGATGCTCCTCCAGATTGTTGTGCCGAAGGACCCGCAGCAGGTATTGAGGCAGCTCCTCCCGTCCCCTGAGCGTTTAGTCTAGCACGAACAGCTTCTGCCTTTGCCTTGGCTTCTGCAATCGCCTTCGCCATATCGACTTTCGGGGGAGGTGTTGGGGGTGCTGGAGACCCATTGTTCGAGCGCGATCTCTTCTGAGACGTGCCATCATCGTCGAGCTGGTGAGGTCTCTTGAGAGACCCGCCACTAGAGGTGCCTGCCATGGAAATCGGTGTTGGTACGTAGTCTGTGTATTGAAGCTTGAAGGAGATTGATAGAGGCTGCCGACAAAACGTGCGGTAAGTTTGAACGGCTTATGTCAGCAATATAAAGCTATGCTTATGTAATAGATAACGACACTCTCAAGCTTTTTTTATCGAAGCATGAAAAGGACGAAGGGCATGATGCATGAGCGAGATCTCTAGCGTAGTGAACAGTCTATGACAGTTCTTATAAGGTGTGCATCGTTCCTTCCAACAAAATATTTAACTACTGCTGGGGTCTCTCGCTGAATCCATAGTTGAGCCTTACCTGAGCTGTTTACATAAGCTGATAGCACAAAGTCGGCGGCAGGCGGCAGAAAAAAAAAGTTTATTTGAGCTACACCCGAAAAGTGTAAAAAAAAAAAAAAAAGTTATCCAGAAAGCAATCAACCACCGCGGAAGCCGACTGCGCAGCTCTCCCTTCCACACAGACAGGCAGGCGGGAAGGAGTTTGCAGCCATGTCGAGTTTCGCTATTCCTGTCTCGTCGTCCATCGGCGGAATTGACTTTGGAGTAATGTCCGATGAAGAGATTAAGGCGGTTTCGGTCAAGCGAATCTACAACACGCCCAGTTTAGACTCGTTCAATAACCCGATACCAGGTGGTCTATATGATGCTGCTCTGGGCGCATGGGGTGATCATATGTATGTCCGGCGTTACAACTTTGCATTGATGCACTAGATTGCCAGAAACACTGACAGAATTACCCATTTAGATGTACCACTTGTCGCCAGAACTCCTGGTCCTGCGCTGGGCATTCTGGTCATATCGAATTACCAGTTCACGTCTACAATGTTACCTTCTTTGACCAGTTATACAGACTACTTAGATCTCAGTGCATATACTGCCATCGGTTTAGGATGTCCCGCGCCCAGGTTAATACCTACTCCTGCAAATTGCGGCTGCTACAATATGGTTTAATTGAAGAGGCGCATATCGTGGGCAACATGGAATTACGAAAAGGCGCTCGAGGGAAAGACGATTCGAGTGATGACGATAGCGATGATGAGGATGATGTTAGTTTGATACAGCGCAGGAATGCCTATGTCAAGCGTTGCATTGCAAACCTCCCTGTTCACAAGAGAAGTAGAAGCCATATGGAACTCGTCAAAGACCCCACTGCGGCGGAAATGCGGCGGAGTTTGGTACGGGATTTTCTGAGAGAGGCTTGTGCTGTCAAAAAATGCACTTCTTGTTCTGGGTTAGCAGTCCGCTAATGATCCTAATGATACTATATGTGACCCATATTGACTCTGTTTTAGAATTTCTCCAGCCTATCGTCGAGACAAGTACTCGAAAATTTTCCGAAAATCTCTCCCGCAAAAGGCCAAAATTGCCATGATGGAGGCTGGTTTCCAAATACCTAACCCTCTTGTTCTGATGGAGGAGGCAAGCCGGCTGTCCCAGAGACAAAAAGACGGGGACAAGACCGCAAAGCAGACAGAATCGCTTGACGATGACGATCAGCCCAATGCGGAGCAACAAATCTCAGTAGGCAATACTATGTTGATGGACGTCGAAGAAGATGCAATGACCCAAGTAGGCGATATTGAATCTCAGCAATATGTTCCTTCTTCGGAAATTTATGCTTCTCTTCACTTTCTATTCAACAAAGAACAGGAAATCCTCGATTTGATATATGACTCTCGGCCTTTTGTCAAGAAACGCTCGCATATTAGTGCCAACATGTTTTTCATCAAAAATATTCTCGTACCTCCGAACAAGTTTCGACCAGCAGCTCAGCAGGGCCCAAACGAGATCATGGAAGCCCAGCAAAACACTTCCTTTGGCAGGATAATCAAGCTATGCGATCAGATCAATCAAATCAGCAGGGAGAGACAGGGTGATACAACAGGCACTTCAAGAAGAATTCGTGATTATCGTGATCTGCTCCAGGCAATTGTTCAACTCCAAGATGCCGTAAACAGTCTTATAGATAGGGATAGGAATCCCTCTCAGGGGCTAGGTGCTCAAAATGAAGATGGTATAAAGCAGCGGCTGGAAAAGAAAGATGGTCTCTTCCGAAAGAACATGATGGGAAAACGAGTCAACTTTGCGGCTAGAAGTGTTATTTCCCCGGATCCAAATATTGAAACGAATGAAATTGGAATACCCCTTGTTTTTGCAAAGAAGTTGACATACCCCGAACCAGTAACGAACCATAACTACTGGGAGCTGAAACAGGCTGTTATCAATGGGCCAGACATATACCCCGGTGCAGCTGCAGTTGAAAACGAGCTTGGCCAAGTGGTCAGCTTGAAATTCAAGACTGTGGACGAAAGAGTAGCGATTGCCAACCTGCTTCTCTCACCGTCTAATTGGAAGCTTAAGAGGTCACGCAATAAGAGAGTGTATCGCCACCTTACGACAGGAGATGTTGTTTTAATGAACCGGCAGCCAACACTGCATAAACCCTCTATCATGGGCCACCGTGCAAGAGTCCTGACTGGCGAGAGAACAATTCGCATGCACTACGCCAACTGTAATACATACAATGCTGACTTCGATGGTGATGAAATGAACATGCATTTCCCACAAAATGAAATTGCCCGTGCAGAAGCCATGCAGCTTGCGGATACCGACCACCAATACTTCGTCGCTACATCTGGAAAGCCTCTCCGTGGTTTAATCCAGGACCATTTATCCATGGGAGTATGGCTCACTTGCCGAGATAGTTTCTTCGATGAGGATGACTACCACCAACTACTTTATAGCTGTCTACGGCCTGAAAATTCGCATACCGTATCTGACAAAATCTGGCTAATGCCACCTGCTATCTTCAAACCACAGCCCCTTTGGACTGGAAAGCAAATAATAAGCACGGTTTTGAAGAATATCACTCCGGATAACCGGGCTGGTCTCAACTTGGACAGCAAGTCATCTACCCCTGGGGACCGCTGGGGTGACAAAGCCGAGGGTGAAGTTACTGTAAGAGACGGAGAACTGATATCAGGAATTCTCGATAAAAGTCAACTCGGTCCTACTGTCGGTGGCCTCATCCATTCTATTCACGAAGTTTATGGTCACATTGTCGCTGGCAAACTGATCGGTATCCTGGGCCGCCTTTTGACCAAAGTCTTACACATGCGTGCATTTACCTGTGGGATGGATGATCTCCGCCTGACCGAAGAAGGAAATGCCAAACGAAAGGAGTTAATACAACAAGCGGATGACCTTGGTAAAGAAATATCACTAAAATATGTTACTTTAGATGAAAACAAAGTAGAAGACGAGGACACTGAACTGCAACGTCGTCTTGAGGAAGTGCTACGGGATGATGATAAGCATGCTGGGCTTGATGCTATGTATAAGTCGCGTGCGGGTGAACTTTCATCGGAAATCACCAAGGCTTGCCTACCTAGTGGGCTTGAAAAACCCTTTCCCTTCAATAACATGCAGACCATGACTGTATCGGGAGCCAAGGGTTCAATGGTTAACGCGAACCTGATTTCTTGCAACCTAGGTCAGCAAGTTTTAGAAGGTCGCCGAGTTCCCGTCATGATAAGCGGGAAGACTCTTCCATCATTCCAGCCATTCGAGACTAAAATTGGAGCTGGCGGATATGTTTTTGGTCGTTTCTTGACTGGAATTAAGCCGCATGAATATTATTTTCACGCCATGGCTGGCAGGGAAGGTCTAATTGATACCGCTGTCAAGACTTCACGATCAGGCTATCTCCAGCGCTGTTTAATCAAGGGGATGGAGGGTTTAAAGGCGGAATATGATACCTCTGTTCGAGACACTTCTGATGGGTCAATTGTACAGTTTTTGTACGGAGAAGACGGGCTTGATATCACAAAACAGAAGCACCTGGACAGTTTCTCTTTTTTGGCACAAAACTACATGTCGATAGTGTCGCAGGTTAATGGGGTGAACGACTCGAGTAAGATTCACAGCGACGAAGCAAGTAGTTGGTCCAAGGCTGCCCTGAAGAAGATAAAAAAGACAGGAAAGATCGAAGCTAAAGACCCTGCGTTGGCTCACTTCCCCCCAGGTGCCAACTATGGTAGCACCTCAGAGAAGTTTTCATCGGCACTCAAGAAGGTATGGCAATTATCTTATCAACGTCTACCTATACTAGAGCTAACACGATGTTTAGTATCTCAAATCCAATCCCGACAACCTACTCAAAGACAAAAGCACAGGCGAGGGTGAAATCACTAAAAAGGCCTTTACCACAATGATGAACATGAAGTATATGAAATCAGTCATTGACCCTGGTGAGGCCATTGGTATAGTCGCTGGTCAATCTGTTGGTGAGCCATCGACCCAGATGACTCTAAATACTTTCCATTTGGCTGGTCATGCGGCCAAAAACGTCACACTCGGTATTCCCAGACTTAGGGAAATCGTAATGACAGCTAGTAGCCATATCATGACACCAACGATGACCTTGAAACTAAACAAGCAGACAGACGAAAAGACTGCGAGATTGTTTGCTAAGACTATCACCAAGCTCACCCTCGCCGAGGTAGTTGATAAATTGAAAGTTCGAGAACGTGTAACATCCAAGGGAAGTGCAAAGGCCAAGATCTATGACATCCAAATTGACTTTTTCCCTCCTGAAGCATACTGCGCCGAGTACGCTATTAAAGTGAATGATGTTCTCCGGACGCTCGAAGAGAAATTTATACCCCGCCTTGTCAAGCTCACTGAAGCTGAATTAAAGAAGCGAACTTCTGAGAAGTCCTTGTCTAGCCCTTCTGCTGCCCAGCCCGAGATTGGAACCTCTGTTGGTGTTGTGGAAGAAGCTAGGCGTGAAGGAGGGGACAATAATGAAGACGATGATGAAGACTTGGATGATGCCAAACGTGCTAGCTCCTCACGCAACAATGCTGGTCAAGCCTCATATGAAGCTCCTGATGAGGGAGAGCAAGAGATCATTAGAAGGCAGGATACTCCTGATCTTGAATCTGACGATGAGGACACCGACGATAAACAAAAGCTTGCGCCACTGGATAACAGTGACAGTGACACCGAGATGGAAGATCCTGGCCCCTCCAAAGCTAGGAAATTGGCCAACAGCAGAGACCGGGCAGAGGCTCTCAGGGGGAAGTACCCTGCTCTCACACAGTTCAAATTCGACCCAGAGAATGGAAGTTTGTGTACCATTCAACTCCAATATGACATCTCTACACCAAAACTTTTGCTTCTACCCTTGGTCGAAAACGCAGCCCGTACTTCAGTCATACAGTTCATCCCTGGACTTGGAAGTTGCGCGTATATACCAGCTGACAAGGGCGAGCCTGAACATGTGGTAACGGAAGGTGTTAATTTGTTGGCAATGCGCGACTATCAGGACATTATTGACCCACACTCCATATATTCCAACTCTGTGTCTCACATGCTTGGCCTATATGGTGTTGAGGCGGCCAGGGCTACCATTGTCAGTGAAGTTGGAACTGTTTTCGAAGGCCATGGTATCAAGGTGGATAACCGACATCTCACCCTTATCGCTGATGTCATGACTCAAACTGGCGGTTACCGCGCATTCAACCGTATGGGCATTGTTAAGGATAGTACATCTCCATTGATGAAGATGAGTTTCGAAACAACAGTTCGCTTCCTTCGTGACGCTGTCCTAGAGAGGGACTGGGATAACCTCAACGGCCCTAGCAGCAGAATTGTTGTAGGTAGAGTTGGAACTGTTGGCACAGGTGCCTTCGATGTACTTGCGCCAGTTGGATAGATATTTAAAAAGGAAAAATAGTGAGGCGTTTATTTGTTTTCTACATGCATGTGAGGTTTTAGCCATACTGATAGTCCATGTTAATGTCAAACTTGAGTTCCAGTGTTAGAAATTGGCTCACAATAAGCCTTGGGTTCATTGGTGGCTAAAGAACGGGCTTAATAGACAGTTACCCTGAAGATAAAAAAGGCATCGATCAATAATTACACCGGGTGGTAGCAACGCCTTTATCCCGTACACGTCTTAATAACACCATGGCCAACTAGATATGTTCGTACCCTCCCCAAAATCTACCTGCGGGTATTTGAACCCGGCTTATGACTCGAGTTCTGCGAGAAGGTCCTCATTAAAATCGTCGTCATCAACCATGGCAGTATCGGCTATTCCCGTGTTGGTTGCATCCCACGCCATTTTATTCCCCTGTGTCTTTTCTATCTCTTGCTTCTGTTTTTCCAGATGACGCTTTAGGTCTTCCAAGCTCCATGTTGAAATACCTTCCTGGTCCTTTGCTTTAAAAGGCTGTGCCATTGACTTCAAGAAACTCTTCGCCGTTGCAACAGCCATATCAGTGCTTAAATTCGTTTCACTCTCAAGCATGGCCTGGCTTATCCATTTAGGCAATTGGTTTCGTTTTTTCTGGAATCTACGGTCAGCAAGGACCATGACTCCGTAATCATCCTTTCCACGAAGGACACGTCCAAGGCACTGCGCAGCATGTCGAAGTGCGTCGAAAGAGAGAAAATCGTTCTCGCGTATACGATAGTTTTCTCGTAAGAACTCGAGACGAGCTTTCAGGATTCGGGATTCTGTATATTGAAACGGAACACCAATACAAAGGACAGTTCGTCCATAATGATGGTCGAAATCAATTCCCTCAGAAACTTTTCCTCGGGCAACACACAGGAGTACAGCACCACGACCATTGCAACATGCAGTACGATAGGTTTCAAGAGCAAGCGACGACTCCTGAGAATCGGGTGTTTCCACGAGAATCAACTTATAGTTCCAGACAGAGTCTAGAATCCCCATCCCCTGCCACATACTGATTATAGACTCCATGTAGAGGTATGATGGGAAGAACACAACCACCCCATCGGGGGTAATACGGCAAAACTCAAGGAGCATGTTGCCATAATTTCTAACAACTCCTGGATCGTTGCGTATTTGGAACGATGATGATATTTGTGCTTGATCGGAGCCCCGAGTAACAATCATTGGTAAAAAAGAGCGGCGGGCAAGGGTCATACTGTAGGATTCCTGTAGGGCAGCATCAAATCCTAGCATCTTTGGATACATCTCCAAAGGAGAAAGTGTTCCAGAAGTTATAATGACTGAGCTAAACCTGTCGAACACAGGTTTTATGGCTATAGCTGCATCCAGGCAAGTAAAATGTAAAATCGGATTGGGAACGGTTGCCGTGTCCGATTCAAAGGGTTCAAGAATGAGTAGAAAGCCTTTTTCGTACGTTGCAGCAAGCGTAGCAAATGTTGCAACCTCTTGAAGAGGTTGGTAGTCTTCGATATTCACAAGCTCCAGTGTGCGGACCAAGGATGTAAGTCGTTCTGCGCAAAACCGCAGAGGTTTTCGTTCTATAAACGTTAGATCTTTGAGATGGGAAAGGAACGATAGCGGTGTTTCCGAGATTGTATGGGTAACTTTCATCCGAGTTTTTAGGTATTCAATAAAGCGTTTCAAAAAGGCCACAAAATGTTCAGCCCGACGGATATTTCCAGGTACAGACTCTTTCAGAAGATCATCTGGAAGAACAGGGTTTGCCATCAGCTGTTCCTCCTCTCTCGCCTCGTCTGCTTCCCGCAACCCTTCAACAAGCTTCTGGTATTCATTTTGCAGCTTGTCAGCATCCGAACTCTTCATATCGTCTATTTTACGTTCGAGGTTGTTGGCGCCACGGCTCGCTTTTCGCAATGAGTCCTCTGTGAGATCAATGCTCAAAGATTCGATACAAACGTTATCGATGTTATGTGCCTCGTCAAATACTATTATACTATCGCGAGATAACTCTTTGGATACTCTCTCGGCAATTTTCGGATCGAGAAGATAATGATAAGAGTATATTATGACGTTGCAATATGGCATCTAGTAGAATTTTTAGTGTTATATGGTCGAAAGGCAACTCGATTGAGGTTGCCATTAAGCTTACCATTCGCCGAGCAGAGAAATATGGGCATTGCTTGTGCTGTTCTCCGTATTTAAGGAGTCCATCAAGTGTGAAAACACCCGGTGGGACTAAGTTACTAGGTTCTAAAAGGTCTAAGTTCTGCAACAAGTCAGCTTTGGACCTTGAGATGGACTGCTGGAGCGGACCTCATGATATATGCAGAGCTCAACGTCCTCCCCTTTCTCTTTTTTTTCCTTGATAAAGCCTGCTGTAAGACTCCGACATCGAGCATCAACTACTGCTCCACTCTTTTCGCGCTTCACGGAAGGGTGCAAACACAAATTCTTTCTGCTGGTGAGGCCCAAGGCTCGAAAATCTTCCACAACTCCGAGCTTCTGGGAACGATATTTCATTAGCGCGCGTAGTTCGCTCAAGGCCTTTTCGATCTCAGACATGGTTCGGGAGCAGTAAATCAGCTTTCTATGCTCTGGGTAATGTTGTTGGTAGGCGACAATCAGGGCGAGTAGAGTAATTGTTTTCCCTGTCCCAGAGGGCATCTCTAAGACACAGTGGCCGCCCGCATCCAGGACCTTCTTGAGATCGCACATATATGCATATTGCTCAGGATATATCCGAGGGTAAGGAAAGAGAATTGGCAGGTCACTTTGTTGAATCAAGAATAGTTAGCTCTGAGAATTGCGGTTCGTGAAAAGGGCCAGACCTACTCTATAAGGAACTCCATCTTGTAAGCTTCACGGCTAGCTGTGGGAATCAGGAAAGGCGACGGCTACTTCACCTGGCCCAGGGCAAATTTCCCCAGTCAAAATACCAAGCAGTGACTGATATCAACGATAATGTCAACTTCTGAACTTCCATCTCGAACATCAAAAGAAACTCCGCAGAGCCTCATCAACTAGTTAAGCTCAACTAACTAGCTAGCTATTAGTCATCATGTCACGTGAACAATCGCTGGCCTTCCCCCGCCGCTGATAAATACGCAAGGCCGTCGGAGAGCTGTTTTCGGATAGCGAACGACAGCTGCTCCGCGCCGGCAAAGCTGGTTGTTTTTCGATCCAACGCCACGGAAGCGCAGAACAGTTGAACGATGACTGGATTTGGCTGAACTTAGCTCCAGACCTTCTATTCATTTGGTTTTATTTTCCGCACTTTTGCTTCCATCTTTCTCTAACTACATCTCAACTTTTACTTGCCCCGCCGGCCATGAGTGGAAAGAAGTTCAAATCCCAAGCTTCAAGCAGCAGAGCAGCTGCTGGGGGCTTCGGGGGAGGCTCATTCAGTCCATTTGGCGGCTTCTCTACTGCCGGACCTGCCCAGGAAACCCCGGCATCATCCCTATCCTATGTCTACGAGCCGCCAGACTTATCTCAAATATCCGACCCCCAGACTGTGGTCACGTTTAAGAATCTTTTAAAAAAAGACAGTACCACAAAGGCCAGAGCACTTGAAGATTTGCAGAGTCATATATCCAATGTGGTGTCAAGCAATTCCTCCCTCGATGATGGATTGCTAGAAGCATGGGTGCGTTCCCCTTACTTTCGCAGTAGACAGATTAATGGAATAGAAGTATTTACTTTTCTTTTTTTTTGAAAAAAAATTGTTTTGTTCAGTCTAAGGTTTACCCACGCACCTCGATAGATTCCTCTCGTCGAGTCCGGCAGCTTGCCCACAGTCTGCAAGGAGATATAGTTTCCACCGCTGGAAAACGCATTGCACGGTATATTAGTGGTACCATAGGTTCATGGCTGGCAGGCTTGTACGAAAATGATAAGCTCGTTAAGAAGTCTGCACAGGACTCACTCGCCAAATCATTTCCGACAGAAGAGAAGCAACAGGGGATATGGACCGTGTACCAGACTTCCATACTCGAATTCGTAGCGGACGCTACACTCCAACAAACGCCACAAACTCTGAGTGATGAAAGAACTGTACGGCCAGACGACGCAAATGCAAAACATGCGCGGGTGGTTGCAACAGCGTTACTGGAGTTTAGTAGGCTCTTAGGTATTAATGCACCGACCATTTTCCCCATTGAAGAAATATGCTAATCCAAATCAGCCACTACCCCGACAGAAAAGCTCTCCAAAGATGCGGATTCGGTAGAGAATATCCTTCAGAGTCGAGATTTATGGAAGTTTTCCTACCATGAGGATGCATTTGTCCGACGATCGTTGTATGAACTTCTGCAAACTTGTCTGTCCAAGAATATCGACTGCGTCAATTGGAAAACAATAAGTGCCTGTGTGCTATCAAAATCACTGGGTATATCACAGACTGGCTCATCCTCCACGTTTTCGGGACTCCTATTGGCACTTACCAAAAAATCTCCTCAACTCTGGACCACATATTACTCCGCTAAATCCCCGGCTAAAAAGCAATTGATGCGATATATCAAAGCTGGGTCAGAAGGGGCTGGCCCATCGTATTGGTCAGAGTTACAACTTATCTTGCAGTCACTCCCAATGGAGGTGCTGGAAATAGATAAGGGAGACGAAGCTGCCATACACTCCATAATATCTATTGCTGAGGCAATCCACTGCTCACTCAAAAAGAGGGAGGAAGCAAGGACAAACTTGTTAGCTGCCTGGACTACTTATATTAAAATGAGCATTTGGATGAGCAGTAAGATTCCTGTAGGTGAAAAGCACCTCAAATTCTTGGAAGACCATCTATTTCCAATCCTTGTGCAATTCATCGCTGCAGATCAAGCACAAGCCATATGGACAATAGATGATCCCAACGCCTCCAAGATTTGTGTTGAATTATTTATTGCTCTAAGCCAAATTCTAGAACACGACACCACCAGCGGCTTATGTACAAAATTGGCAACAATACTGAAAGATAACATTTTAATTTCGGAGCCAGAACAGTCCAAAACATACCGAGCTTCCCAGGATTCGGTTTGCTCTAAAGGAAGTCGGTTTTTCACCCTTTGTGGTGGAGTTGTTACAAAAGTTTCTGAAAGCAGTCAGCATGCCTTTGTTGTGGAATCTATAAAAAGTAGCTCGTTTTCATTGATAGAGACATCTCTTCAAACGCTTCAATCCCGAAATGGGAAACCATATGGCGCTGCAGCAGTGGTCGATGAGGCTCTTACCAAGATACCATCACTAATGGGCGAGATGGAAGCCTTAGATCCTTTTCTTACCAATACCCTCCCTCAGCTCATTTTGTCGCCTTCAGCAGAGCACTTGGTGTCCATTCTATTTGCCTGCCGGAGCAGGAAAGGATTTAATAACGCGCTCAGAAAAGCAATTAGTGCATACCACAATACTTTGATTTCCTCTTCTCAACTGCCATCAATGGGCAATTTATTTTCCTCAGTGACAGCTCTTGATGAAGAAAATAATCCAGACCTTAAGCTGTTGGTTTTAGGCGTGCTTCAGCAAGGTGTTCGTGGGGACCATCAGTCTTGGTTGGATATTGCAGCAGTTCTTCGGAACAAGAAACTAGGGCCGGAGATTTCTAATACCATCCTTGATTCTTTAATTGAAAGGCTGTCCAGTGAAGACTCAATGGTGGAGGTTCTCCGTGGATTATTGCTACTTTCTACAGAAAGTGCCACACCAATCCAATCATATGTCACAAGCTCAAATGGCTCGAAATTAATTTCCAAACTCTTATATCTTACCGAATCTTCCAACGATGAGGTAGCATTACTCGCAGCATCCTTAAAAGATCAAGTTACGAACATTGGAGGTGATAATAATTCTCTCAAACCAACCCTTGAAGTATTGGAAAGGAATTTCAAAACGGTGGACGATGAATCATTATCGTAAGTGGAATTTCTTTGGGGTATAGAAAACTCTACTAATTCATTCGATAGTGTCGAGTCATTAATAGCCATTGTCCAAGAAGTTCTCGATCAATCGTCTGTACATGATAGCCCTAAGCTATTACTCTCGCTACTACCTAGAGAGAGTTCATGGAAGGTCGCCCTAGATCCTTACATTGAAGTCCCCCCCAAGCGATCATGTTCAATAATGAGTCCGCTAGGGGGTGCTGTGCATATCATTGATGCGTCACGTAACCTGGACATTTTACGTGCCGTCCCAAGAGACCGGGATGGCTTCCCATTAGCATTCCGGCTTGCATACTATGTCACCAAGCTTCTAACAGCTGTCGGTATTGACGCCGTGCCTCTACCACCGCTCGAGAATATTTTCACATTTTTTCCATTAATTATCCAGCTAGTTGATGAAGAATTGAGTATTGACGAGTCTACGGCAATTCTATATCCCCTTACTTCTGACACCCGAGCAATTGCACTTGAAATTGTTTCTGAGGCTCGCATCCTGATGAATGGTTGGATTCAGAAGTCATGTACAGCAGATGCAGCCTATAAGGCTGGCGCCAGATCATTTGTATCCTTCTGGGAGAGAAGTGTATACAACTTCGAAGGCACCGGTTCTCGAGCATATCGGTTTGCAGAGTGCTTCGCACGTATCGTGACCGAAAGGGACGCAATAAAGCCGACACCGTCGGCTGATGGCAAATTAAAAGCAGCAATGGAAACCACAGGGCTTTCTAATCCCTTTGTTTTAATTGCAACTATTGTTGGATATAGGGACTCTATTATAGAGACGCAAACCGTTTCAAAGCTCTGTAACCACTTAGTTGCAGATATGACGGGTTTAAAGGATACCAACAATATTGGAGGTGAGCTTTTAATATTCTTGGGTCTCATTTTTACTCCTCTGGCTGACACCACGGTCACAGATTTACGAAAATTAGTAGTCCTCAATTCTCTGATGCATGGAGGAAACAATCCAGCAAAGAATATCCCCACGCAGAGACTGGTGTTCTTAGTGAAGCATCTAATTACGTGTTTGCAGTCTGGGGAACTCGGGGTTGGAATACTCTCAGAAATACTGAAAGTTTTGTCCGCAGTTTTGCCCTTGATGAAGGAAATATATGGATCACATTGGCCAGACTTGTTTGATGTACTGAAGACATTGTGGCAAAATGGAGAGCTATCTAGCGAATATCTCCCTGTTCTACATTCCTCATTGCGTTTGTTCAGTTGCTTGAGGAAGCTGGCGACTGAGGACAGCAATGAGGATCTGGAGGATGCATGGAAAGAAGCTCGAAAGTCGCACACAGAAACTATGGTCAACATGTTAAAGCAGTTCGGTAAAGCTTGACCCCATTCAATGGCATAAGGTATCAGTTTTCTGACACAGTAATAACAATAGGTCCTTCGTTTCACTCTGACCTACCCTGGGATATCACAACCGACCTCCTATCGCGAGAACTGTCTGCCATCAATGCTGATGCAATCTCTGATATTAGTGAATTATTTTCCAGCCTTTCCATCGAAAGCAAAGGTGTACAGCGTGCAACATATGGAATAATTCATCGAGCAATACCCAAAATCCAGGAGACCTTATCTTTCGATGTGGCGCTTTCCAAAACTGCAGTCCATCTACCAGATCAGCTCTTGGCTCTTCTCTCGCAAGTGCCACCCATAGCACCATTTAAAGAGGCAGATATAGACGAGAATTTTTGGCTGGGAGCTCGCTCGTATCTTCTTGGCTGGAAAGTGGTGTTCGATCATTTCGCGCCTTCGGTGAGATTACGTGCTGTCCGAACCAACCCCAGTGATAAAATAGCCTGTTCTAACTTATCTTCAGTCAATACCTGTCCAAGAGGGCTACAGCTCTGATATAAAGCAGAAAGATTGCCTGAGTTCCTTGTTAGATTTCGCGTTCGACTGCCTAGAGACGCCCCAGGGTCAGCTGATTGATGCTTCGAAGTTTGAGATTCGCTCGTTTGAACTAGATACTGCCGAGTCATCTAAAAGGGAGATGCAGTGGCTTCTAGTCCATATCTACTACCTAGCTTTGAGATACCTACCAAACATCACTCGGGCTTGGTGGGTTGACTGCAAAAAGCGGCTGAAGACACCTGTGGAAACCTGGACACAGAGATACGTGAGTAGTTTTATCTGGGGGAAGTATTTGGCCTGTATTGCTAACTACTATCAGGTTTCTCCTCTTATAATAGAGGACTCGTTACAGAGTGTAAGCGACTGGTACTCTGGCCAGGACTGGGACAGCGAGGATCATGCTCTCGAAGTCAAAGTATCCTCCAAAGCGGCGGAGATCATCGGCAGCATCGAAATAGATGAGGAATCACCACCGACATCTATTGCTATATCCCTTCCCCCAACCTACCCGTTGCATCAAGCCACTGTTAGCGGACGCTCCCGTGTAGCCGTTGACGAGAAGAAATGGAAGAGCTGGCTTTTGGTGATCCAGGGGGTGATCCTATTTTCCAACGGAAATCTCATGGACGGACTGATGGCATTCAGACGGAATGTACAGGGAGCTTTGAAGGGACAGGGCGAGTGTCCCATCTGCTGCTCCATCATTTCCGCTAACATGCAGACGCCGAACAAGAAATGCGGAACTTGCAAGAATACGTTCCATTCAGACTGCTTGTTCAGGTGGTTTAGGAGCAGCAACTCGAGCAGCTGCCCGCTGTGCCGGAACAGCTTTTTGTATTCTTGATCTCATGGACAGCCATGCGAGAGACTTATATAGACCTGTGTAGAATGTATCAATAGTCGTTCGACATTTCACTACCTACATCTCAAAATCTTCTGCGCTGTCTACAGCGTGGGCCTTGTCTTAATCAGAGTGGTGAGTCTGATGTCGATGTTGACAGCGAACACGAACGCCGTGGGGCAACTTAAATAGTTAACCTACTTACGACCGAAAGCTAAAGCTATCTATCCAACCTACGACTGACGACGACAACAACAATAGCAACAACAACAGCAACAACAACAGCAACAACAAACAGCCAACGTGGATATATTCTCTCCAATGGCGGCTGCTCACATTCCCAATCTCAATACACTGCGGCGGGGCGGTGGAAGAGGCCGCGGAAGAGGTAGGGCCGGTTATCCGGGCACCGCAGGCCGCGGGGAGGGCAGCTCTGGGGACAAGGTGGTGCAGCAAACAGACAACGATGCCAGCGTCTCGAGGCTCAGCGCCGTCGAGCTGGGCTATCTTCACGATCCATTTGCCTCTATCTTTGCACCAGAGACAGCTGAGATACGAAGGTATCCCATCATTAACAGAGGTACGTGTCGCTTGTCTCGTGCCTGGTATGCACTAACTGGAGACACCCAGGAACATTTGTGCGGACAACCTCGATTGACACGCTGGTTTCCCGGTTCCTCTGGGCAGACAAGAAGAAGAAGAAGCAGATAATTTCGCTCGGAGCTGGGTCGGATACTCGAGTATTCAGGCTGTTGTCAGAAAATCCAGAGCTGGATCTGACGTACCATGAACTCGACTTTGCAGAAAACACGACCTCGAAGATCGCGAAGATCCTCTCTTCTCCGCCGCTCCTGGACGCCCTCCGCATCACAGACCGAGAGGAGGTGATGACCTCTTCCAATGGTGATGCATTCCACTCGAAACACTACCACATTCACCCCATAGATCTACGAACGCTCACAGCGTCGTCCAACGGCCCGGACCGTCCACGGGTTCAAGATATAGATTCAAGCGCCCCGACCTTGTTGATCTCAGAGTGTTGTCTCGTATATCTTCCTCCTGCCGATGCCGTGAAGGTTATCTCTTATTTTACGGATAACGTATTCTGTCCAACCACACCCCTTGCACTGGTTATATATGAACCCATTAGACCGGATGATCCATTCGGAAGAACGATGGTGAATAATCTGGCAGCTCGCGGGATTCAGCTACAGACGCTTCATCGTTATGCGACACTACAAGCCCAGAGGGAGCGGTTGCAGAGTCACGGTTTCTCAGGCGGTCAGGGCGTCGCCGATATTGATTTCATCTGGGAGAAGTGGATCGGAGAGGACGAGAAGAGTCGAGTTGCAGGACTTGAAATGCTGGACGAGGTCGAGGAGTGGCAGTTGCTCGCAAGGCATTACTGTGTTGCTTGGGGATGGCGAGATGGCCCGCCATCACCCGGAGACCAAGAAATGCTTCCGACTGGCGAGGCCTTCCACGGCTGGCGAGAGTTTCCATCACAGTGAATAAACCCAAATAGACTGAGCCATTTACTTACACTGTCAAAGAATAAGGAGTATCTTCTTTTTGACAGGAGATCGTCCACTCTCCGAATATTCCTGGAGTTCTCCTGATTGATGGTCCCTTTTCCCGGACGACAACAGTCGCTTTTAAACTACTATGATGATCTGCGACCCAATATACTCCATACGACCACGCATCAAGTTGCCGTGGCAGTCTCCTGCCTCCCGAGTCCCCTTTTCCAACATGTCCAAGCACGCTGGTGATACATAATCACATCACGTGGAATATCTGAGGCTAAAGCTCAATCTCACCCGTGGCCAAAACTAGCGAATTTTGCCTTTGCAGGAATGCGAGCAGTCAACTTCGCAATTATTTTTGGCCGGCCATAGCGAGTAAAAATGCGACAGCCAAGTGCCGACTCGACAGGGTCAGGGAGCCACCTCGTCCGTGTGGTGGATCTTATTGGACTACACTGGCGATCTCAATTTAACCCCTGCACCAAACAGGTACCAAATCTTTTTCTGGATACGATTGTTGGTCGAGCCCACAGAGGCTCTCCGCGGCGCGAGTGATTCGGTTGTCCTGGAGAACCTGATACGATACGGATGGAGGAAGCCCAGGCTCGAAGAAGAATGGGCGGGACTATGCTGGAACAACCCTGTGTATATACTGACAAGGGCATACGAACTGTGATGAGTTATCTGGTTAGTTGATGATGGCGTACGGAGTACAGAAGCGCCCTTTTCTCAATCGAGGAATGCCCTGGATTGGATGGATACCAGCGTGATGCAAGGCACAAACCGCGTCCCTGGCCCAGCGCCGTGCCTGGCTGGCGAGGCTAGTAATAACCATGGTCGCCGATGCCACACTTCTTAGTTAGGAGATTGCATGACCCCTGGCAGCCATTAACTTGCCCCAGATGGCGTCCCACTAAATACGCCCGCATTCGCCAGTTAGTTCAAATCTCGCCGTCAACCTCCTTTTTGCGCTCGACTGCTTTTTAATCTTCAAAAAGTGTTTTTGCACCTCACTTCATACACTCTTTTGCGAAACCTGCCTGTCACTCCTTTAGTGCTACTGTCGAGACTGTTCCCCGCGTTCCATTCCTTTCTGTTGTGTCCTTTCCTACACGGTCGTTAGAATAACTGCTTGGATATTATCCTTCCCTTTGCCCGTTTGTCTTTTATCAGCCATTCTTTACTACCGTTCAAGAGATACCGAGAGAAAACGCTTACCGCAAGGGTTACTGGGAAAGAACAGAAAGGTCAGCATTGCGCATCAGCTGTGCGACAAATTCTGTTATTGAAAGTCGATATGTTGCGCATACCAATCTGGGCGTCAGCCGTCCTTTTCTTCCTTGCCGGCCCATCCCAAGCTGGACACGCCGATTTCCATAGTTATACTTCTGGGTTCAGCCGTCATCATGGAGGAGGCCACCAAAGATTCCATCGGTCCGTCCCTGCACTGGAAGCCCATGGGGTGTCCTATATTGAAAAGAGAGATGGCCAATGTCAGTTCCCCACGGATGCTGGACTGGTGGCTGTTACCCCAAAGGCGATGAATGCTGGATGGGCTATGAGTCCCGACCAGCCCTGCAAGCCTGATAGCTATTGTCCCTATGCTTGCCCCCCCGGCCAAGTTATGGCACAATGGGACCCAAAGGCGACTGCTTACACCTATCCCGCTTCAATGGTACGTCTAAATTATTACTAGGAAGGATAGCAAACTCGCCTAACTCTTTCTTAATAGAATGGTGGTCTTTACTGTGATAAAAGTGGAAAGATTAGCAAGCCGTTCCCCGAGAAGCCGTACTGCGTTGATGCCACGGGCCCTGTTAAAGTCAAGAACAGCTGTGGAGGAGTGGTTTCTTTCTGCCAAACTGTCCTTCCAGGAAATGAGGCTATGTTAATCCCTACCAGCGTGCAGGATACCGCAGATCTCGCAGTTCCCGATCCGTCCTACTGGTGCTCAACTGCTGCTCAGTATGTATTAAAGAAAGAAGATAGTCATTTTACCCCTTGTTTCCCTTTGCTAACTTTCGCTCGTCTAGCTACTATATCAACCCTCCAGGTACTGACACTGATACTGCCTGTGTATGGGGAACTAATGCCAACCCATGGGGTAACTGGTCTCCGTATGTCAGTGGTGCAAACACCGATCATAGTGGGCAGACCTTCCTGAAGCTGGGCTGGAACCCCATCTATCTGGAAACGACAACTCCCTTCAGGGATGAGAGCCCAAAGTTCGGTGTCAAGGTTGAATGCGAGGGATGCAATGGGCTCCCTTGTGAAATCGACCCAGCCAAGAACAAGGTCAATGAAATCACTGGCAGTGGTACTGATGGTGCAGGTGGTGCTGCCTTCTGCGTCGTTACTGTTCCCAAGGGTACCCAGGCCACTATTGTCGTCTTCGAAGGGGGTAACAGTGGTGGCTCCGGTGATTACGGACATGGTGATAAAGATGAGAAGCCAAAGGATGACGACAAGAAAGAACCCAAGCCATCTTCAAGCTCTTCCTCGCCCGCGCCGTCGTCCACTCCTTCAAGCTCGTCCTCTACGCAATCGCCGACCCCTACCTCTACATCCGCCTCGTCCAGCTCCGAAAGCACTCCGACGCCAACGAGCTCTTATCCGAGTAAGTCTAGCTCTACCACGTCATCGTCTGCGACTGCGGCTTACTCCACCACCTCGAAATCTCCAGACGCCTACATCCCATCGCCTCACGTATTTATTGAGAGCCCTAGCTCTTCCGTTCACCATCCCACCAATGGCTCCTCAATCAACATGCCAACGCCTACCAACTCCGAAAAAGCGCCTGCTCCAACTCATAATAACGCTGCTTCGGCTGCCGCAATCTCCATTATGAGTCTCACGCTTAGCTTCCTGATCGTCACGATATTCGTGAACTTTTAAACAATACAAAAAAAAACAAAAAGGAAAAGCGGAAAGCATGGAGTAATTGACTGGGATTGGAAGCGCGTTACTTTTTTTAATTTTCTACTTTTTAACTTCACATTTTACCTGATCGTCACCCCTTTATATATTCTTTGCTACTTTATTGCAAGAATATAGGCCTATATACCCCCTTATATTTGCCGCCCATCTTTTACACCTTTATTTCTTAATTCACCCTTCACGATGAGATTTACGCGTAGGCCGGGGCTTTTTTTATGACACTTGTGGAACCCCCTATGATTTTTCTAACATTTATACCCTTCTGATATCCCCCTTTATATCTTATTATCTTCTTGTATATTAATTTTATTGATAATCATGGCTTCAAAACATGTCCCTTGCAGGTATACATGTTTACTATTCTTCTTGCTTTATGCCCACCCTCCGCCCCCTATTTAGAGCATCCACATCCCCAAATCCAGCAGGCAGCCGTCCTTTGCTCCATGCAGTTGCGTATATTTTAATCATCGCCTAGATCGCCTCCGTAACCTGAAGCTTGGTATTAGTCAGCGAGAAGAGTATCATCTAATGCGTGGGCACGTTATTTAAAAATTCAATCATCCAATCACCTTTTTGAAATCAAAAATAGAATCCAATCAAAAAACAACACCGAGCTTAAACTGTCGAGTAGACTACATCGAGCTAACAAAAACATCCTAGAGACCTCGAACTATCTATCTACAAATCGCACGAACAATAAACTGGGCAAAACCAGCAGCCACAAGGATATTTATCGCTATGGTACGCCGTACTCGAGACGCGCCCCAGCTTGTTAACTGCAAATGGTGGAAGCGAGGCCACTGCCAGAGGGGAGACCTATGCTACTTCCGCCATGATCCCTGCCTACAGGGCGTTGACCAGAAGGCTGATGCGCCCACGGATTCGAGCGATGCGAACGCTACCACTCGAGATTCCAGTAAGTGCCTCAGTAAAGATACTATTGATTCTGCTTTGTATTGGTTCCTGGCGTAAGAACATGTTAAAACATCGGAGAGTCTCGGAATATAATCAACAGTTATCTAACAGCAGGCTTTTTCACAGATAAACCGTTGCGGCCTCGCCAACCACACGGCTCGTCCAAGGCACCTGAGCATTGCTCTATCTGCTTAGAAGTTCCGAAAATATACGGCTTATTGACTAAATGCGATCATGTATTTTGCCTAGGTTTGACATCTCCAATCGCTGCGCATGTTGGAGCTTCCACTAACGAACTTGATGGCTAGAATGTATTCGACGTTGGAGAAATCCCAAGAAAGATCCAAGTAGTGGCGACAGCGACAGCTCTTATTCTGGTGAATCATCTGCGATATGGGGCTCGAAATCAAAAAAATCTTGTCCCTTATGCCGTAAGCCCAGCAGATACGTTATACCCTCCGCAATATTTCCTGCTCCACCAGCAGGTACAGGAGACTCCTCCAAAGGTACAGTTGAAAACGAGGCATCATCCTCCAATCAATCTGAAACCAATGGAAAATCCCATACCACACCTAATCCCTTGAAGATGTCAATCATCAAAGAATATAACCGGAGTATGAAGAGGATACCCTGCCGGTACTTCCAGACTGCTGTAAAAAACTGGAAACAAGAGGTAGACGAAGCAACAGGAAAAAAGAGAGAAGCGCCTCCATTTCGACCAGGATGCTATTTTGGAAACAAATGCCATTACGCCCATATTGACCCTCAGACCGGCCAGCCATATATATTCGATGCCGCTCTCATCAAAGAGATTGACAGAAAGCGATCACGGCGGAAAACCCAACGCCGAGGATGGAGTGATATGTATGATTATCCTGCTTTCTTTGGTGGTCTAGAGCCAGATCTTGAGTATGCTTTTCTATCTTCCTTTCTAGAAACAGGCAATGATTGGGATATACTTGATGACAGCGATTAAGACTGGCATATAGGAATTACACATCCTAATGACCCTTCCAATGATGAATCAGTATAGTCATATATTATTGGCATGTTTGTAAAACATGCTAGGGTATCTTCAAGTAGCTTTTTACGTTGTCATAGCGACCTCTATATTGGATTGTAACAGTATACTGGATTTTCTTTTAGCATTAATCTTAATCTAACAGTTTTGTACCTCCAAGCAGGTATAACAAGTGTTCATCCATGCATTTAAGGAGGTGTTGTTCTCGAGCTAATTCCATGTGTCCTGCATTGATTATGGGCGGCGAGCGAGTACATTTCGTAGGCTAGTATTTCGTTTGGGAATTTCTTTGATGACCTGCTTCCTCTCCTAAAGTAATCGTAACTTGCCATTGTTACATAAATGGCTTGTTTTCAGAGCATATTGGATATAGATGCCGCGTTGCACTGTTCATCGGTGGCGGCCTGTACCCTGATATGTGCCGTTTCCTACCAGGTCAGCGCAAATCTCACAGGGCTTGGACATCTGCATTAGGCGGACCATGACTATGGAATCCCTTAGACAAGGATCAACCTCGCTCACGGGCGGCGCGAAGGACTGTTTGGTATTGATATCTTGTCCCTGTGCCGTCAGTCTCAAGCCTGGTCCGCTTATCCAATTTCTATGGCTGATCGTCCGGCAGCTTTCTGCTTCTATCCCGCCTGCAACTATCATGTTCAATTATCATAACCGACCCTCCAAGATCTGCTGCAGGGCCTAGTATTTCCTAGCATGGATCATCTACCAGCTAAGCTGAAGCAGGTAGAATCATCCATGATCCCTCAGATCAGTAGGGCGCGAGAATGTGCCTTGTTCCGCGGCAGAGGGGGGGATTGAGAAGCAGAAAATGTCTGCACCAGTTCTGAATGTATGCTATGCATGTATAGTTAAACGAGTAGACCTCTAGGCTCCGTGAAGTCCTAAGGCGTAGCTGTTGGGCGCAAAGCTACGGCGCGAAGTTGTTGAAGTCGAGGTGCAAAGAGCCGAAGATGCTCCCAAGCAAAAAGCGTTTCCCGCGGTCAAGTTGACGTCGACGTCAACGCCAACTACAAGCATTTCTTCCTTGACCGCACATACAACAGCAACGCCATAGATACGGCATTTAATTTTATTGTATTTTACGAGATGATTTACTCTTGCTAGCCGAGATGCCGTTACCCAAGCAAACTGTAGGTTGTCTGTTCTTCTGCCTCTGCATATGGCCGGCACCAAAGTCGTCCGATGACGTCGTTGTATTTACAACCAGCACCACCACACATCGCCGGAATGCATCATTTACTCGGATTTCTATATTTCTCTGCATTTATGAATACGGGCTAATGTTTTGTTCTCCATATCCAACAGCAAGACTTAATATTCGCACTTCAGGCACTCGTCTTTCGACTCCGTCAACTCAAGAAAGAACGGCAAGGCTATTCCAAGGCAAAGCATCGAGAGCTTGCAAAGCTGTTAAAAGAAGGCCGGGAGGACTTTGCTCGTATAAAGACGGAAGATGTTATTTCGAACGATAACCTGATAGCGGCCCTTGAGGTGCTTGAGCTGCACTGCGAGCAGCTGCAAGTTCGGGCCAATATTCTGGACCATCTCGCTTTTGGGCAGAAGAAGAATAAAACGCCAGTGAGGCACAGAGGCAAGGCACAACGGGATGCGAGATTGAAAAACTCTGCTGGCGGAGCTAAAGCTGGTTCGCATCCTGCTGGTGAGGGAACCAAACCTACCTCTGGGGGTGGTTGGGGGATATGGAACCTCTTCGGTTTCTCTTCGACGCCTACTTCTTCATCACAACAGCTCGCAGAGAGCCTGCCAGGTCGTTCACCAGATGAACCGGTAGTTCAAACTGAGGGAAATGATGGAGATGTTACAGAACAGCAATATGAGGTTTATATAGACCCTGAACTTGATCGCTCCGCAGCGGTGGTTTTCTATTGCTACGCCCGAATACCTCGTGATGTCCCGGGCCTATTAGAAGTGAAGAATAAACTATCTCTACGTTGGGGAAGTGATTTTGTCAGCAGAGCACAAGATGACGACGATCTGCCGGTAGAGCTACCGGAGATTCTGCTGGATAGACTACGAGTTCGAAAAGCCCCGGAGTCACTCGTGGAGAGCTACTTGACTGAAATTGCAAGGAGCCATGGGATACCATACGGTGATATCATCATAGACGAGGAACAGGAAGCAGGAATATCAATAAACGATGCTCACCCAGCAGAAACAAAAAACGGCGAAGCACGGTCAACACAAGGGGCCTCTGGGGGCTCCGAAGCTCGTTCAGAGGCGAGCAATACAGCTGCCGCAAAGGACACTGCGAGTAAACTTGGAGGCATACCCGAAGTAGATGAGCTTGCCCGGAGGTTTGCTGCTTTAAAGAAATAAAATGAGCTGCCTTCACATCTTTGCATATATCAACCTACATTCAATGTGTGTGTTGTGACATTCTATATCTTCGGGCCATTAGTTATATGATCCGATTCTACGTGAATAGTTGACATAGTTACCACTAATTATGCAGCATCGCCTAACCATGATATTTGACAAACATAAACTACAGTCCTCAATCATTAAAGGGGGAGACAAGTCCGCCTTTTGGTATCACAAGGGTATTTCATCGTCTACTGGAAATCAGCCAAACATCATGATAAAAAAGCAGGTTGTTAAATATCCTCCAGTTGAAACCTGATAATGGCGCTAATACTGCCTTCAATACCTGGAGACCCCAGGAAATGGCTGGGACTTGGTTGGGTACCGGTACGGGACAATGCAAAATCGCTAGGTTGATCTCCACCCTTGTATTCTCACATTTCAAATGGAGGGAGATAGTGGTTGCAAGGAACAGCCAGTGTAGCAAGTCCAATTTTTTAAATCAAGGGTATTGACAAGGTCATAACCACCTAGGCAGTGGCTCCTTATCCCATGTCCACTTCCTGCTCTCCCGCCTCCAACTTATCCAACTGGGAGAAAAAGGAGGTGCTAGGTATAGCTAGTTGTAGGTGGTATTCCGCGATGTCGAAACTGTCTCTACAATCCATTGTAGATTCGCTAGTCCTCGAAACCCATATTTGAGGAGTTCCTGGCTCCCTAGACGAGGTTTCTGGAGACTGGAGCTGCGAGGGTAGTTGGTCTGCTGGGCGGGTACAGCGGCGGACAAGATGTTGACTTTCTTTCCACAAGGCATAGTAGAATGCTGCGTTGGCTGTGACAGCCGAACATACAATTTCAATTGAAGCCCACTAGTTATACAAGCCAAGTCAGCCACCTTTATGGCGATTAGAAAGGGATGTATAGGTTTAAAGATGGCATACCAAAGTTCGGGACTCCTGGGAGACGGAATGACTAAGAATTAGGGGTATTCTAGTGACGGTAATTGCGACTACCAGTGTACCAACAAGGAAAAGGAGGGTTAATTGGACCTTACTATGTATGCTATTGTTAGAAGTGACTTAATGTAATATAAAATAATTGAAGACTTACGTCTGAAATTTGAGAGCACTCATCCTCCAGAGGAGTGGTATGGGAAATAAAATGAGAGCGAGGTCGGTTATTATGTTCAAAGATGCCATGCAGAGGAGATTCACGGTTCCCTTTCGACACAGATCTATATATATCCAATAATTAGCTTCACATACTCTTTTATGCTGCCAATAATGCTGCCAATATGTGTATTTTGGACTCACGATGGTTATACTCTGGTCTCCAGGCACTATATAAGGGAAGTTGCCTGTTAGTATTCGCATAACTAGCGCTTGGTTTAACATCCTGTAGATAGGAGAAAGCTTACACGTATATGGGCCGGCATTCAAGTAAGGTCGCAAGGACGATGATGATGAATGTCAAAAAAATGAATGAACGGAGAATCTGAATAGCTCTGTGAACTCGAATTGACCCCGTTTCCAGTCGGGTGTAGAACTGGAGAAGGCATAACTTCATGCACCAGAGACTAGTTGATAGGGTCAGCTGCTGGTTCACGTTTCTCCAACATGGGAAACACACTTACAACATTGCATAAGTTAAACGAGCCGCCATGACAAGCTTTTGAAACAGCTCCTCATCTTTCTGTGAGAGCGGCTTCTCTAGGGAAAAGTTCCAGCACATGCAGACGGTCCGGAGTAGCAAGGGGAAGAGAGAGGCAGCCATCCAGCTATCATCGGCATGCCACCTCTGCTGCTGCATAGTAGGGAACCATTTCAACGTCCCCCCAATACGCACAAACGAGCGGATGAGAACCTGAAGAGTACAGATCGCGGCCGCAACCACGATCTGCGTTTCTTCTGAGGTCCATACCATTGGGTATTGAAAGGACCGGCAACATGATCATGAAGACGTTTGCGAGGAGAAGGTCGCGTCTCTTAGCATCCGTATGAGAGAGAGGAAGAGGCCGATTTTGGTATTAAGAAGCAGCTTTTCTGAAGGGAAGGGATATCGTTTTCAGCCTTGTGCTTGCTTGTTCCATGAGAGGAAGATGAAAATTCGGGGCCAGGAAAGGGAGAAAGGCTGCCAGCTGTTGATCCCCATGTGGGCGCTGTATTTCTTATATCCAAACAGCATGATGACAGAGTAGGGGCTCTGGGCTATGCTCTGTTCCCGGGGCCCCGTCCGACCCTCATGCCATCAGCTCGTGGAGGTGAGCCAGGTAGCCCAAGCAAGTCTGACTGGCGCACGAAGGTACGAAAGGTACCCACGACATGACTATACAGCGAAGCAGCTCGTACAACCTCGCATATGTAAAAAGAAAAGAGCCAGGTAGCATGTATCCCTCGGTACCGTCCTATAACTAACGGCTGTAACTCTGGGTCTAAATAAAGAGCACGCTGAGAATTCGTACAGCCAGAGATACCGTGAGAGTTGGCCTCTTTGGCAGCCATAAATGTCCATGCCCAGTAGATTAACGTAGGGCCCGTTGAGAAGACAGCGGGAAGTAGGTATGGATTCATGCAGTCAGATAGGACAGTTAGTTACCCTCTGCCAGCCTTGTTTGAAAGATCTCTCGAGCAGAGTCCATACTGGGTCTCCTGCGCAACTTCAGCCGAAGGGCTCTGGCAGCGTCCGCACATTGGCTGCTTTCTTCAGATTCGGGCTACATGCTGACAGTCTGCGTGTAACCAGCCGTCTTCTTCGCTATTAATAGCCATAATTAGCCGGGGTTGCGGTATCTGCAGTCATCGAGGCTCACTGAAGTGTTTTTTATCTGCTTGTTCACTTCGAGCGTTGCTGGCTCCGGTCCCCCTTTTTTACGGTTGGCATTCACGATTCATGGCCCGCTGTCTAATCTTTCTGTCGTCTCGGTGACCCGTTGATGAGTTCGTGCATGTCTTCTCGTCCCTGATGGTGGGCGCCTGGAGCCTGGAAGGCATCTTGGTGTGAATGTGATACAGGCAGTCTCCAGGCTTGTGTCAGGGGCTGCCGGCCGTTGAAGAAATCAGGAGAATCCTGGCTCGTGGAGGAGCGAAACTGGTCAACCACGGACGAAATATTCAACTAAAAATATAAAAAATAAAAATAAACAAGGATAGCTCATCCTTCGTCGGGACGTACAGGTGTATTTGATGCGATTTCATCGTACCGTTTACAGGCTTGATTGCTTGTTAAACCGACGAGCTAGTTAACTAACTGATAACTATCACCAATATCTACGGCACAAGTAGAGCTTCAGATATACAGATCCCACATTGAAAACCACCTGTGCAATGCATGGCTATATCAGTCACCACTATCGCAGCCTCAGGAGCTTCAGAGTCAACGGTCTCGGAGATCAGGGTAACTTGTATCTACAGCCATGTCCATGCAAGGTTGGTCTTCTCTGTCGAATCCAGGGCAGCCAGCTCAATACACTCTTCTCTGCCGGCAGTTCACAGTGTATACTCTGTACTAGACCGCGTTTCATCCTGTCTATTGTCACACGCGGACATATGCAAGAAGAGTTGGTGCCGAAAAGCGCATGGCATACAGGCCTCTGGACGCCATATACCCAATCACTGCCCGTTCAGCCCGAAATTTGCCTCAACATTCCTTCATGAGGGACAAGAAAGACGTGTTAGCCGCTCTTGTGATATGAGAAGGATTCGGCCTGCTTGCCTGTGAGTGCTGAGATGCTGTGAAACCCATGGCATGGCGATCACACCACAGGCATTGATCCCTTCGTTTCTCTCCCTTCCTTTTCCTCGGAGGGTATCCCAGGGACTGGCCATATTTTTCAGTCGTTGATGAGTCGGAGAAGCCTGGATATCTTCATGTGTGCGGTTTTTGCTGCATCTGTGAAGCAGCATAGGACGTGCTGGTGGTCTTTGTACGGGTCGGGCGAACCAGCAAGGATAAACCATCCTTCACCTTCATGCACGTAACTACAACGCAGAATGTGCGGCGTCTGCCGTGAAAGGACCATCGAGTGAGCTGAACTTACTCCATAGTACGCGGGGTTGTTGGATGGTGGATGACTGGATAGGTGGAAGGGCCTTCCTGCGGTCTCCCCTATTATATCTAGTTATTTGGCCGCGAATCTCACAAAGCCGCACACACGTGGCATATTCTCTCATAGAGAAGGCGATAATGCATTGTGATATTACATACGGCTGGTTTTCTAGTCCTTTGGCTTTCGTCAGTTGTGCTGGTTGCCGTCGGGTTGATCCATTCTCATTTGTAGGTGGCTCAAAGCTAACTAGTTAAGGGGGACATAGTTACGAGCAAGGGATGCACAGGCTGTAAGTTCATGACTCGCGGGTAAACGGCAGTTATATTTAGAACTACCCAGGTGCGAAGAATTACTGTGATATTGCTGTATTCCGCTGCGATAAGGTTGAACTGTATTGCATATTGAATTGGGGTTTGGAGTCTGCATTCCCTAGAATTGGTATGTGGCGATGGCTTCCGGGATCCAGGATTATTAGCAGCTTCTATGATACCGCCCTGAATTCTGCTTTGACTTACTTTGTCTTTTTGTCTCGATAGTGCCATCTTGCCTTTGTTTGGTAGATTAAATTGGTGCTACCATTGATTCTCCTGCTATGCTTGCATTGAGATATTGGTTGGCATTTGGCTCATGAGCCTCTGAAGCTAATAATCCTTGTTAGGGAGAGGTGTCTCGCAGGCTGCTTGGAGAAGAGGCAAGTATATAGATATATTTATATATATATGATATGCTAGAGTGGATTTATATACAGTTTCTAATCCGTTAGGATAACTCATCCAGACATTAATCATTTTTCATTTTTTGATATCATACCGTTCATTTAATGCTTCTTGAAGCAAGGAAGCCATTCCTCCAAGGCTGAGTGGAAGAGATTCCTGGAAACCTCGCCGGGCTTGAAGTAGGTGCGGAAATCATAGACGTGCTGAGCGTTGGGGATCAGGTAGCCAAAGATCTTCCTGGGGCCGGTGGAAACGTTGCACTTGGGGATCTCCTGAGAGACCTTGACGCGAGGAGCAAAGGGCTCGGTAGACAGGGGAGAAAGGGTGTTCCAGGGGTCGTACTGGCCACCGCTCCAGTAGACGTTGGATGGGCGCATATTCCAGCCCTTGGTGGCACGGTTAGTCTTCTCCGTCTGGGGTTTGACGGGCAGGTATCCGCTCTTGACGCCGGTAGGGAACTGGCGGTAGCAGAAGTCCTGGTTGTACTTGATGGTCTGATACTTGGAGAGGATTGGGTGCTGGGGGTAGTTGACGGTCTGATAGTAGCCCCATTCACTGCAGTACTGCCAGATCCAGCTGATGAAGTCTGGGTCCTCGCTGGGCTTGTCGAGCTTGCACTCCAGGGGCTTCGACTTGTCGGTCTGCTTGCAGTTGGTCATGGCATTGGCGTTGACCATCTCGGCGAGCGTAGGCCAGGCAGCGAAACGTTCGGCCATAGCCTTGTCTCCGAGCGTGGGGGCCCATCCCTCAGCAGGGGCGGTCTTGTTGGTCTTGGGGTCGACCTCGAGCCAGTTGCAGAACTTGCCGACCTGGCCGTCGGCGCCGGAGGACTGCCAGCCAGCGTAGGCAACGATGAGCGCGGCAGTGAAGTCTCCATTGCTGGCTTGCTCGGCTCCCTCGCCCAAGAAGAGCTTCTTGATGGCAGCCGCGGTGTCATTGCGGGAGAGCTGGCGGTCGATGTACCTGTAGGCAGCGCGGATGTCCTTGGTGCAGTTGCCCCAGCCGTAGGCAACAAGGCCCCTGTAGACCTGCTCGTAGTAGACGGCCATGTCGATCTGGGCCTGCACTGGGGCTGAAGAGGCCCAGGAGGCGTATATGGTCTCTGGGTATCTGTCACGGGTGAAAGCAGATCGCATGCCAGGGTACGAGCCACCGACCATGACCCAGGGAGTGGCATTGGGCCTCAGGTCATCGTTAGGGAATGACTTCCGCTTGAAGTCCTTTGCGAAGTAGGGCAAATCAGCGAGAGCCTGGTCGTTGTTGAGATACTGGAAGTGCTCTGGGGGGGTCTCGACAGTGACCGGGAAGGGGGTGGATTCCCCATAGTATCTTCAGCCTGTCAGTTTTACGTCCAACACCATGTATGATATATATATATAAACAGAGCAGACAAGACGTACCGGTGCTCAAAGATGATTCCAATGCCGTGGAACTTCTTGGTTAGCTGCCTGAAGAAGTTGGTCTCGTTGAAGAGATATCTGTCTGCATATCTCTGGCCAGCGGCCTCACCACAGTCGAACACAAAGACGGGCCCGCCTGGCTTGTAGTCCTGCTCGTTGATCCAGAACCGATGCTTGTAAGTGCCCGTCTTGTTGCTCTTGTGGTCAATTGGCATCTAACCCGGCCGTCAGTCTGGTATCCATATATACATCCACAGCAAAAAGGGGGCTCCCTACGTCAACGGTCTCTGCCTGGGGGCTGCCAAACTTGGGGCTGTCCATCACAGCCTTGAAATGGCCTGGATCCAAGGCCAGATCCGAGCTGTAGCCCATCATGACAGCGTCGTGCATGTCTTTGCCCAGCTTGGAGCCGGCGAAGCCAAAGGTCGAGCCCGTGCCCGCGAGGAGGGCGAGGGCAGCGCCCTGGATGAAGCAGCTGGAGAACTTCATGCTGCTGGTCGAGCGATATCAATCAACGAGTAACTGGGCCTCTGGAGAGGAAGCAGAGTCAGAGCCCTCTCCCACGGGCCCGGGAGGCAGCAGGCCATCGGCTTTTTATATCTTTGCTTCTCGCCCTTGCCGGCCGTTGTTCTCGTGTCCCTTCCCCGTGTCCCTGTGGGGGAAGAAGGGCTGATCCATCCATCCATCCTCGCTGCCAGTGTCCAGTGGGCCATGCGGTTTGGCTGGTATCAACAGCACAGATAACTCGCAATTAACTATAATACGAACGAGTTAAGGCTTATCCCCGTCCGACCCTCACCCTCCGGGGGCGAGGAGGATATCGAATTGCAGCTGGACCTGGCCGGAAGAGGAGAACGAGAACGGCTGGCTGCCGATGCCAGGGCTGCTCGATATTACGTTTATCATCATAATTATCATTAGCTGCCCCCCAAGGTTATTGAGTATCTCCTTTGCTACCCGCCCCTGGGATGATTATTGCATTGCACTGCTGAAGCGAATGAGAATGATCCCAGCCACGGCATGGTCAAGGTCAAGGGCCAGACACGAAGAGGGGACCATTCCTCCGCCTCGTATGGGGGGGGGAGGCGAACCTGATCTCAGATTGCAGAAGCTGGAGTATCACGCACCAGGGGAGGTCATTTATCATAACGAACACATCATGGGCGAGAAAGGTCGCACGAGCTGGCTCTGCTCCGGCTCGCTGCAAGAAAATGATCTGCCCTTTGGCGCCTTGTTTGCTTTTCACAAGCCAGGCCTGGGGTTGGGCATCCGGCCGTCATCGAGCCAAGTCAGTTGCGAGCCATCCGCCATCCAATCTCCGCCTGTCGACAGGCAAAACCAAGCTTTTAGCGTGACAGCTTGGATTGCAAGGGGACGAAAGTCAGAAAAGATAGCAATTTCTCCATTTATAAGAGGCCGGAGACGGCGATCTTCCCTGTGATGGAGCAAGACTCAGCCCACTTCCCCCGGCCAGATAATAAAAAAAAAAAAAAAAAAAAAAAAAAAAAAACAAGCTAACAGTATTGCAAAGCAGATAACTCGTTAATGTGTGGACACACCCTGGGAAGGTAACGACTGAGTCTGGGTGAATTATATGGCCGGGGATTCATTCAGACGACGAGAACGTCCCGAGAGCTGAGATGGTGGCCGCCGGGTGATGAGGACTCCAAGAAATGCTGGACTGACTTGCCTCTGCTCAAGCCTGCATGTTTCCCCCGCGGGGAATAAGATCCCCATCGCTGCCGGTCATCCATGGCTGTTGTTGTTCTGCTCGCTTCAGGCAGCCCCGGACACGCATGTTTGGTCCGCGGTTGGCTTACCCCTGACCCCTGTCGATGGGCCGCTGGCTCGGGCGAGATAATAGGCGAGAGCTGATATCGCCAGGGATGCCGAATAGCCAGACGAGAAACTTTCAGCTCGACCTTCCAGAACCATCATTAGATCGGGATGGATAATGGGATCCAGTTTACCGCTCTTTAGCTCCTTGTGGAGGGATGGGGGATGGCTAAGTTATGCAAGAGTCCTGTACGGAGTAGTTATAGGAAAGCCAGCATCATTTTCTTGCTATTAGTTACCACTATCTTGCACTACGAAGCTCTAATGAAGCAAACATAGCAGTGTATCAAGCGATGATGGTGGGTTATATTGTGCAGTTAATGAGATACTATGACAAATGTTTGATCTGTAGGATAACGACTGCAGCGCTGTCTGCCGAGATGGAGGCGAACGCAGGCATAGGGTAACCTACGGAGTTTTTTCCACAGGGCTCACACTTGCTGCAAATCATGAGTCTGGTCCGACCTGTTCCCCTGAAGGTAGAAATGGCATTTCTTGGCCAGTGAAAAAGCTGTTACGGAGTAAAGGAAAGGTTAATTACTTGGCCAACTAGTTATTGAGCTCTCTGCAAAAGCATCAAGCGACTATATAAAATGACCCTCAACAGGCGCCCACTTCTCCTGCAAGTAAACATAACAAGTATCGACACCAAAGCATCTATCCGAAGTTAATTATAAACCCTATCCGGACTTCATGGTCTGGCCGTTCACTTTGCCAGCGTGCTGTCATGCCTCATGCTTTATGTTTCTCTTCGGTTGGGGAGAGCGAGATGCTTTTGGGGTATCGCTAAGGAGCGTGGAGGGAACCATTAATAAAGCATAGTCCTTGATGGAATGAACCTATCCTCTATAGGATTGGAAGTGTCTACCACTTTTCCGCGAGGCAATACATGCATCGGGGAATAAATATGCTGTAAGAAAGGTAGATAGCAGATAAGATCTCGCTATAACAACCCAAATATAGCTTCTAAGGCTATATCTTACAGCGCTGACTGAAGAACACAGTATGTATAAGCACATACACATGGCATCGAGGGATGCCTTTTGCCTCCTCCATGTTCCTTTCAGCAAATTGATTGTACCTCGAACGCAAGGAAATACTCCCGTTCCAGTGTTGTCAGGATCAGATCCAAATACCCGGCTATTTTTCGAATGGTATCAGTATATATTGTGCACGCAAACTATCCAGTTCCTTCCGATAGTATGGCTGCAGCAAAAATAGGGGCTCATTAGACCTGTTCCATAGCTCTGTCCGATTGCCATGAGGGATGAGTTGTTGCGCTGCACGGGCTTGAATGCTGCTTTCTTTGTGGCAGACACATTCTAGATCATCCCTAAGACTCTCGAGAGGACATATTAGCAAGGCTATGCAGGTCGACAGATAACCACCGTGCCAGATAATCTCCGAATCGACCATTTTGCTGAATAACGGCCTCAGTGAGGCCCGTTTTGGGTATATAAGGTGTCCAATGTGAACGTCATTCCAGGGTTATTGTTACCCATCGAGCAAACATAACAAGTATCAGTCAACAGCTAAATCAGATATCAAGACGTTAGACATCGATATCGTTTATCAACTACCTTGCTTGCAGCTCACCATGATTGCATCAACCCAGAAGTCAACCATTATGTTTGACAATACCGCAGCAAAAGAGAAAGCCACGGTCCATTTGTCCAAGTCTAACGATTCTTGGAGCCCAACTTCATGGACTACCAAGAAAACCATCATCCAAGAAGTCCAGTACAAGGACCCCAAGGTTCTGCAGGATGTTTGCAATACAATCGCAAATCTACCGCCTCTGATCACTCCCGAGGAAATTGAAGCTGCCCGAAGCCAATTCGCAGAAGCAGCTCTCGGAAAGGCATTCGTTTTACAGGGAGGTGATTGTGCCGAGAGCTTCCATGATGTTCGTCCTCACATCGTCAACCAGAAGGTCAGACTTCTCGAAGAGCAATCCCATATCTTGTCCCAGGGGCTCAATCGACCCGTGGCTACCGTTGGGAGAATCGCTGGTCAGTATGCTAAACCTCGATCTTCTCTGTGGGAAACCCTGCCTGATGGGACCGAGGTACCAACATTCCGAGGCCACAATGTCAATGGACCAGAGCTTTCTGAGCGCCAGCCTGATCCTCACAGACTGTTGCTCGGATACTTCCATTCTCAAGCTACCCTGAATCTCATACGCGGACCAGATGCGCTCTCCACACCGCCCATGGGCTCTTTTCCATCCACTCCCGCTGATGGCGAGGAGGGAGCGACTAAGAGAGCCAACGGTGGAACAATTTATACATCACATGAGGCCCTTCATCTACCTCTCGAAAGCGCCTCAACTGACGGCCGTTACAACACCTCTGCCTCATTCATTTGGATCGGCGAGAGAACTCGACAGCTTGATGGAGGCCATGTCGAATATGTGCGTGGACTGCGAAACCCCATCGGAATCAAAGTTGGGCCTACCATGACTGGAGAAACATTGGTAGAACTGCTGAATTGCATCTGCCCCAATGCTCAAGACCAGGATCATATTGGCCGCATTACTATTATCACTCGGTTTGGAGCGGACAAGGTTGAAACCGTTCTCCCACCCCTAATCCAGGCCGTTCACAAGTCTGGCCACAGACCGCTTTGGATGTGTGATCCATGCCACGGCAATACTTGCACTGCCAGCTCGGGACATAAGACACGCCATATCAGTTCTATCCTCCGGGAGGCAACGACATGCTACCGGGTTCATCGGGAGAACGGCTCTACCCTTGGAGGGCTCCATCTCGAACAAACCGGAGAGTTCGTTACCGAATGCGTTGACGGCTCGGACATGGGATCAGAAGAGAAACTCGGCACGAATTATCGAAGTCTCTGTGATCCGCGACTGTCATACCTGCAGGGTTTGACTGTTGTTCGTGGGTTCGTTGATTTCGCACAGCACATTGATGCAAAGTACCAGACGGCTGCAGGAAATGGTGTCTAACCGTGCGTTAGCCTTGGATCCTTTTTTCCATATGTTTTTACTGCGAGAGGAGGGAATAATATCTTACCGTAATTTCTGTGAATAACCTTCGAGTTGCTGCTTTTGTTTATATTCTTACGCTATTTGAACCACACAGATAAACATGCAATCGAAATCATTTCATATAGACTATGTTGACAGTTCTCCGCACCCTAAGCGCATAAAGAGTAGTGACATTGCCAGGCAGAATGAGACTAACGGCCAACCCCTGTACCCAGAGAGACGGCATGCGTGATGGCTAGTGTCGACGTAGAATCTGGATATATATCGGACAGAGAAAAAAGTAAAACCTCCTTTTAAGGTCCTCGGACCGAAGCTGGATCCATTTTTAATCCTCCGTCGAAGTGGAAGTTCTTCAGTCGTTTATATTATTCTCGAACATGAATAGAGCAAACCCATAAAATTCCCACGTTCATTTTCGCTGCACTACCGTAGAGTTGTAGTCTCATTTCCGACACTGCCGTGCCGCAGGGATAGGTAATGCAACTGTAGCTGGGACGTATATTATTGCATCTTGCGTTGTGCGTCAAGCCATGTACTCCATACATCATATTGATGACGACATAGACACGTTTTGTCTCATTGTATTGATATACGACGGGCCCATGGATATGGCTCCGTGGTTCTCTCCGTGCATATACGAGAAAACTTTTGATATAGCCAAGCAAGAGCCAAATCTATCCCAGCCTCTATCGACGCGACATGCGAGTAAGACAGCCCTAACACTCCAGTTAGTGGGAGCGTGAAGGACGGGTGGCGGGATAGACAGGCATTCACCACCCGGAATAGGCCAGCACAAAAAAAAAGATGTGCATATGTAAAAAGGAATATAGCACTCCTCCAGTGGTCTTTATGCGAATGAACTGCATCCCAGATCCCGATGATCGTGAGCATCATCTATCCATTCTGACGTGGTGTTTAGGAATAGCAGGAAGGGAGGCTCGGACATCCAGCCGAGCTTACCAACAGTTATCACCTTTGCTCTCATAGGACGAAGGAGTCGCAGGTCCTCATAGATACATCGATCCTCGAGTCAAGGCTTGATTTACGCAAGTCAGGTGCACCAGAGTGGTTGAGAATAAAGGTAACCCGAGATATTGAAAGAGTCGGAAAGCCAAAGCTAGTAGCTATCCTAGACAAGATAGCTGGGCTCTATGGACAAGAGTTGAACCATCGTTGTATTTGGCATCCAGGCTGACCCCGTTGGTTTTCTCCCCACTTGGAACACAGGCTGTCTCAGAGACATGGACACTGTTGCTGCTGCTGTTGTAGCAGATGGAGATTTCAGGTGCCATCAATGCAACAAGTCCTACCGCCGGCGTAAACAAGCCTTTCCCTTTCCCAATTCCCCCCAACTGTCGGGGTCCAGAGTGCTAACTCCACCATCTAGGCGATCTTCGAGACCGGCACCGACGCCGTTGTCTTAAGTCTGCTAATCACGAGCGAGTCTCAAAGAGAAAGTCTTGCGAAACTTGCGCACAGAAAAAGTTGCGATGTTGCTTGACTCGTCCAGCATGTAGTCGCTGTGTTCAATCACAGACAGCATGTCACTACCCACCCACTGCACGGGTGCACCAGGTATGTTACTCTGCTCGCCCTTTAAATTTGTGTAGGCAGCAAGAGAAAACCTTGTGGGTTGAATCAGCCGTTAATCGAGGTTCATTGTGGTGTCTCTGTGGGCTAGGACGATACCGCAGTGACAGCAAGGGACTCAACATCGATCGGTGAAGCTCACGATATAATTATCCCTGCTCCAAGTATGCCCTACAATGATGGCAGTATTGCCACCTCTTCTGGTTCTCAGGACAGTAGTAGCACTGTAGCCACCTTTCCGTGGAGTCCAGAGGTCGGTAATGCGGATCTCATGCTTCAGAATATCAATGATCAAGCATTTCCCGCCCTCGAAATGTCAGCATCAATGGGATGGAACGAAAGCTTTCTCCCCGAAAATTATCCTTCTGAATATCACAGTGAGCTGCTCTCATACTTTTCTCAAACACCGGAGCAACATCATATATCGAAACTGCCTGGTCCCGGTGAGCCGCTATCACTTCCTCAAGTTCCACCACTGCTTTCTTCATCTGGTGCTTCATCGTCCATAGGGCTAGGGCTGTCTCCAAATGGCGACTTTAGTTGCGACGAGGACTTCTTTTCAAACAACTTTCTCCCAGGACACAGTACGGTCTCTAGTAATACCGGAGAACTCTTCGAGGAACTGTCTCGGAGGGTGCGCGATTATCCCAAAAAGATTCTTCAACGTGATTTTTGGTCACCGTTTATCCACCATAGCCTGTATCGCTGTGCACAGGGAGGTATGGCTGAGCCGTTGGGTATAGCACTGGCTTGTGCCTCTGCGTACGACAGTAGTGTCGAATCAAGCTCGAGCTTTATCGATACCATGATAAATACTCAGCGGGAGAAGCTGATCCGAGAGTTCCACCTGTATGTGGATCAGCCGGAAACATGTCTGGCTGCGCTCCATGCTGTTAGTGTTTATCAAATCCTCAGCTCCTTGGATGATCGGAGCACAACAACAGGCCCCGTTGAAGTTGATAGGCCGCAAACGGGATCGGGACTGGCAGCCGAGTTTCATATTTCATTTTTATTAAAGGTACATCCCGCATGCTTCCATTCTTCGCAATTCGAGGAATTTTTTTTTTATTTTGTGGTGGCAGCTAAGGGGGCTCACAAAGTTTTGATAGATGACTCGTCGATTGTGTAGTTTATATAAAGAAGCCGTCACCTCAGACACAGAGACCGACTGGAATCGCTGGAAATTCGCAGAGTCACTGCGACGATGTGTATTTTTTGTCAACTTGATCAATGTTCTAGCAGCAAGATGTCGCAGATTCCACTTCGATTATTTTGAGCCTTTGGACGACGCCCTCATCCTCCAAATGCCTCTCCCCACCACAGAGGAGACATGGAGGGCGGGAAATGAGACCCAGTGGCAGGTATGCCGGGAAGATACCCAGTTCATACGTCCAGCCCCCACGCTGCAGAAGCTTATGGAGATAGATGACGCAGGCCAGCTGGATCGTGCTACACTTACACCACTGACCAGAATTATCCTTGCCTGTGCAAGGGTGAATCTAGAGGCCGACTGGAGAGACGGATAGTTCTACCCGGGGTATTAGTTTCCCTATATCTTTGGTTAATTTCTTCCAACTTATATACCATTAGGCCACCTATTATTTGAACTGACATTCAGCTTGCAATTTTTTTTATGAGAACCAAATGAAACCAAACACCCTGAAATGACTGCCATATTAGCATCGACAGCGTTTCAGAAATGCCCTTGACAAAAAGCTCATGTATGTAAACAGTTAGTTATTGAATCAATTGATAACGAGGATTAGTTACTCACATTGATCTGAGGTCTGGTCTCGCATTAAAACATTACACACCAAGAGAGGCCCAGGCTCTCAAACTAGATCTAGTCGGTGACACATCATCCCACCTGGGGCTATGCAATTGACAGAGTTCTGATCTCAGGACCGCAGAGCCGAACTGGCGGAGGATGGGGTGATGTGTGGTCGAACAGCTTGAGGTAACTAGTTAGTTAACCAAGAAAAAAAAAGCGACACGGCGAGACCGGCTTAAAAAGGGGGCTTCGGGCCGGGCCTGGTTTATCCGGCAACTTATCGATGCAGCCCGGTGGACTTGTGGATAACTAGGTGGAAACTGAGCTGGCTCCGTCGCAGGAAGAAGCATTCAAGCTCTGGTTGTTTGTTTATTTTCCTCTTTTCTTCTATTTCCTAGCATCTTTTGATCGTTTAAGTTGCTTGATGCAATTGAAGCGCCTCCCTATACCCCCTATCTAGGCCCCTTTGCCCCTCAAAGACACCCTCTTTTGCCCCTGAGCCACGGCCCGGCTTCTGCTGCTATTCTCTATGTCTGTGAGCTTCCACTGGTTATCACATGGTCAATGGGACCACCGGCTGAGTAGGCAGCCCATGGCCAGTTTATCTCGGACTATACGGTGTTGGCCGTCCTTTTCATTCGTCTGAGGGTATCCAAGCCTGGGTTGGTTAGAAGCCGAAAGCAGAGGGATAATGTCGAGCTGCTCTCAGAGTGCTGTATTTGCCATTGTGACCTCTTGCGGTGTTCGATATACTCCGTGGCAGTCGATTGCATCACTAGTGCTCATCAAGCATGGACCTAGGTCCTCCGCTGTTATCTCGGCTGGGGAGGGCTGGGCCGGCCATCTGGTGTGCCATTGTAGTTACTGGCCACACACCCCTGTGGTTGGTGAAAGATGGGGATGAATTCTACGCGGGGGCTATGGAAAGGAGAAAGCCCTTGATTATGACAGCCGCAGCAGCAATGATAGGGGCGAGGACAACTAAGGCCTCCTGTTTGCAAATATATGAAACAGTGGACGGGAGAAAACAAGAGAGCAAGGTATAACTACTTGAGACTCAATTTAGTGCTTTGACAGCTAGAATGCTACCGCAATACTACAACGTCAATTCGGCCTGCGGCACTGACTTAACTATGCTGCCAATTTGTGAGATATTTTCTCTTGTTGGAGTAAAACTACCCACTTTCCACCGTTGTTATTGCGATAGAAGCCTAATACAATGCTATTGTGTGGGTATGTTGGAGTTTTTGGGGCCACATCAGGACTCCTAGGCATACCATCCAAGAGTTAGATTATTCTTCTTAATATCAGTAAAAATGTTGTGCCTCAGTCAATTCGATAGTGTCGATACCCCATAACTACTACAATCAGCGGAAATCCACCTATACCCATACAGATTTATTGTATCAGTTAGCTAACACAATTACTTGCCTACTTTCCTACAACGAAACTGATTGTCCTCCGGAAGCATTTCAAGGCAAGGGCCGCGGGTGATTCGAGCAAAACTAATACTAAGGTGTTGTTTGGTGATACCGAAACTTCCTGTTTTCCTTACCCATAGTATTTTCGCTTTAGGCTTAATAGATGGAAAAATGACCTGTTTAGTCTACTTCTACTTGGTTGTGCTATTATGACGATTCAATCAAATGTTACCTTTGCAGATTTGATAGACTATAAGAGAGTGCCCGGCAATCCAGAATATAAGATGCAAGGTAGTTATAATATAATTTATAGATCTAGGCATTCTTCATCTTGTTTTGTTTCCTTTCGATCATATTTGCTTGAAAAATGCTATCTGGTATTATCAGTTATAAATCACAATGTGGAAATCCATACGGTTTGTTTCCTAAGAATAAACTGTCTAGACCTCTAAGTTGCAAGACGCTGATGGGTCTGCAGCTATCGGTACCTCAATGCAGATGAAGGGGACAACCTATAAATTTTTGGCGTGTTCGGGGTATAACTTGCAGTAACTTTAGGCAAAGGATAAGTAGCACTGATTGAATATCCATCAAAATAAAATATATCTGAAAGGGAGAGATGGTACGGTGAAAAACTAAAGGAGTAAGACGCTTCGGAACCATTTGGACAACGGTCACTGGTTGAGACACGATATAATAAAACGGCATCGGATCAGGAAGGTCTCGTAGACTCCGAATTATTGATATATTATTCATATACCAGCATACAATATCTTGGGTGATTCTTCCAGGAATCTCAACGTATGTTCAAGATCCTTCGTCTATTTATTCAAGGTAAATAATCTCTGTAGGTCGCTTTGCAGGCGCAAATCCCGTAGGCACATCCAGATTCTGCCCACGAAATGCTTCAAATCCTCCCACCATCTATTCTCAACATTGAGGCTAGATTACACCATTTTGTTCCATACGCACCGTTGACCCTAGGAAACCGTAAACAGAAGATCCAGTATGCAGCAGCTTGCATGATTCGCGGTAAGTTGATGAGCGCTTAATACAAAAATACCACATTTAATAAACCGAATCCTTCGTTGTTATCAGATATTCCTTGAGAAACTATGTCTCCGACATTTCATCCCTTCGTCCATCTTGGACTATATCGTATTTAGGAGTGAGGAACATTCGACTGTTAACACCGACCCGGAAGTGGATGCTTTGAATGAAGTTCGGATGTAATTTGGCTTTATGGCCTTTGAATTCATTTTCATCATCAGGTAGGATTAAAGTCATGGACAAGTAGCAACCATTCAGACAGATGAACACAATATAAATATCTGTCATGACCAGCAACAGTCCCTATCTTACCATCAGCAATCATAGCACTACCAAAGAATTAAAACCAAAGATCAGATAATTTGAAGATAACTTATCACGCATTCACGTTCTTGATTCTTTCAAATTTTACTGTCGCATATTCCAAGGCAACCAAGTACTGCCAGCAACGATGATCTTCGAGTCCAGGCTTGAGCTCCCTCCAGTCCCTAATTCTGACATATTCAATTACGTCTTCCATCATGGGCGCAGGGAATATCCATCTAACCGTGTACTGTACCGTGTTGATGGAAAAGAAGACACCCTGACGCTCGGAGATCTGGAAAGGAAAAGCAAGCAATTTGCGCACGCTCTCCGTACGGAATATGATATCAGGCCAGGTGATGTTGTGGGCATCCTGGCAAAGGACCGGGTATGGTTTCCTGGGAACTGAATTCGCAGTAAAGCCTCTAACATGGAATGCGCAACTTGTAGATCGAGTATCCTATAGCTTATTATGGAGCTATAGCTAGCGGTGCAACGATTGCGTTGATTCCAATTCAGAAAGAAATGTCCGAAACCGATGTCGCAGCCAGACTTGAGCAGGCGAGAGCCAAACTTCTGATTACAGACTCAGAGGTTCTATTCCTGGCCGAGGTAGCGTCGGTATTGGCCGGGGTTGTTCCATTAATGACGATGGACGCAAATAAGGAAGGATGGACATGCATGGAGGATCTGATCAACGTCGGAGATCAAAATGCAAATGTCTTTGAGATAACTACCGAGAAGGAGGCAGATGAACACGAAGCATTCATCAACAGAACTAGTGGCTCCACTGGAACTATGAAGTCAGTTATTACAAGTGATGCTCACTTCATTGCCACAATGGAGGCCACAAAGAGGACAATTCCAGACAACACAGATCCCGATAATGATGTCTGGCTGTCTCCTCTGTCCCTTGGGTTCTTCATTAATGCTAAGTTGATGATGGGGTTGAACATCATATTGGGTATCCCAGTGGTTCTCGCAGATGGCACCCTTGATGAATCTAATATTGGAGTCATTGAACGTCATCGTATCACCTTCCTCTTCATCACTCCCCCACTCGCTGCTAGGCTAGCTCGATGTGATGTTAGCAGCGTCGATGTGAGCAGTGTAAAGTGGATGCTGACTGCAGGAGCACCAATACATGAAAACCTAAGACGTACAGTCTCAGATAACTTTGGAGGAGTTCACTTGACCCTAGAATGGGCAACATCGGAGACCATGCTTCTTGCTATCCAGTTGGATGAGTCGACCAAAAAGCCCGGGTCAAGTGGTACCTTGGCAAATGGAATCCAGGCCAAGGTTATCAATACGGAGACTGGGGCAGAATGTGGAATAGGGGAAGAGGGAGAAATTCTCGTCCGTAACAAGCTTGCAAGGTACAGAGGTTACAAGGACAACGAGGCCGCAAACCAGGACTTTGATAGTGAGGGTTGGTTCCACACCAAAGATTACGGCTATCTCGACGAGAATTGCAACGTCTACATCATAGACCGTATCAAGGAACTCCTGAAGGTTGGTGAAGGCTATGGATCTCACGTTTCCGCCAGTGAACTCGAGTCAGTGATATTTGAACATCCAGCTGTTGCCAGTGTGGTGGTCGTTGGTACTCGGAACTATGACACACAGATGGACGAGCCATCTGCTTTCGTTATTTTAAAGCCCGAATATGCCAACAACAGCAAGGTAGCAAAGATGAGGGTTGAGCAGTTTGCGGCAGAGAAACTGACCGGTCTGAGACGTCTCACAGGAGGAATCCACTGGCTTTCGAGCTACCCAACGACTGGCTTCAAGGTTGACCGCAAGAAGCTGAAAGCCATGGTTCCAGGGAAACAAAAACCCATGGCAACTGGCCTTTTTGTTCCCCCTGTTTTGGCAAACTAGGCCGGCGGGAGATTTTGATTGCCGCCATGTATTCCCAGTTGCATGACCTTTATTGGGATGCAATAAGGATACGGTTTTCACCTTATTCCTTTATCGTTTCGATTTATTCTTCACAAGTACAGTCATTTATCGGGGTTCAGTACTCCAGCAGTAGTTAATAGTAGCGCTCATTGATCTCAATTGATTCGGTTCTAGTATCTGTCAATCGTGTTGTTTCCTGGAAGTCGAAATAGAGACGCTTATGTAATACGCACGGATTGGAAGCCCCCAAACTAAACTTCTTATCAAAAAGCTAAACCTGCCTTGCTTTTAAACGGAGGTACAAACACATTTATCTATATCAATATAGGTAGCTAGATAGAATACAGGTCAGGAGGGGCGGTATTAACCAAGCTAAAATACCGAAGGTACCTCCATGGCGTTGTGGTAAAGAAGAAAAAGGTATCATCTGCAGAATCGGCAGCGTTCCCAACACCCAACTATGTGCGCTAGGTCATCTCTTTCTGTCGAACATTTCTCTCGTCTAGTACCCGTATAGATTGTTGAAAAATGTTTCACCCACCCATCTTTTGGCATAAAAGATTATTATTCTGTATAAAGTGTGGATGCTTCATTTGGTCATGAAACTCAGTGCAAATGCAAAAGGTTTAATGCACAATGCCCAGCCAATCTAAGGCGGCGAGTACGAAAAACAGCATGTAGGGTATCCTTGTCATTTCAGATGCTTATTCAAGTTTGTCCAGGTGCTCCAACCTTGTGAGCACAACTTGCTTGCTGGTCTCTTGAATTTCACCGGCAAGAAACACCTCATCGAGAATTGCGTAAACCTATTGGATGCATGAGGGTGTCAGCCAATTTTTCGTGCCTCAGTTTTCTTCTCAGCTTCACATAACATACCTTGTAAAAATTAAAAACCAAGTCTAACTCACAGACGTTGCCGAAAAACTGGTCCAGGACTTCCACAAAAAAGTGTATGGCTTCCAGGTATGCTAGTTCGTTATCATTTGCATCGACGCAGACACAGAAGAACAAGCCCGCATATCGCCTATATACGATCTTGGTGCTCCGCTTAAACTCGACGAAGTTTGATTGATATTTCTGGTCCCGGGGGGCAACAAGGCGATGAACCTGGGAGTGGCCGGCCCAATGTTAGAGTCATTCATGAGTAGTGAAAGGGCATGTACGATCGACTGGCGACAACTAGGGATGGGCCGAAGAAAACATGGGGATATGTAGGAGCTCGCACCTCGCCCTTTAATCTCACTTTCTCGTCATCCTACGAGAAGTTAGTCTCTGTGCCAATAAGTATTCCGAAAGGACACGCTCACGTTATACGGCGCATACCACTTTGCGAGGCGAGTTTTGCCCCTTAAGGTGCCTGTTAGAATGATCTCCCTGAGCAGATAAGGGATAGATGGCCGACAATACTTACTGCCGGTTCTGGACGATGATGAATGAGAGAACCATGCCTTCACTGACTAGCAGATATAGTATTTAGACACTATCACATCCCGGATGGACTGATCGCCCGTCGAAGTCCTGGCGATGTGCTGCTCTGCCTCTGCGCCCTGGGATGCTCGCCCGAACGTCCCTAGCTTGATGAAGTCAGAGCCAAGACACTTTATCTCCTGATTATGTAATCATCAAATTTAAGTATAAACAAGCGCTAAAACGCGGAAGGATCTTGCTTCGTTCACGCTTGTGACTACGTTTTACTGGCCTGGAAACTGGCAGGTTGTCAGACGTTACTGTGCAAATATAATAATTGCGAGGCGGCTACACTCTCTTTGGATAGCATACACTGGAATCAACTGTCGGAGCATCAAACGCGCTCCACGGAAAGCTCGTTAAGTTTGTCCTCAGCGAACTACTTTTTGGGCCTCGCCGGAAGGTTAAACCTCGGTTTTGGGGGAACAGCCGGAGGTTTGACAGATCTAGTGGGCTAACAGGATTATCAGCAACTGTGTGGGTGAAAGCAATAATAATGGACTTTATCGGTACACATACAGGTGGGCCGCTTCTGTGACCAGCTTCTTCTGGCTCGCCATCCCCCTCAGTAGTATCTGAGTCCGACCCTGTCTTGTCTGAAGAAAATCTCTCGGGGTTCCCGTTATATACTATCCACCAACCAATCTTCTCGCCAGGAGCTAGGACCTCTCTCAGGTTCGTAAATGTGGCCAATTCTGCTGCAGATAAGCCTGGACCTTTACTTATGAAATCTTCCAGATCAAGGCTTAAGAAGAAATTGAACTGTGGTTCCGAGCCATCTCCGATTGGGACCACCTTCGAGCAAACAAAAGCGTATGGTTGACTGAGAGCAGATATCCTGGTGTCTTCGGGGTCATATTGCTCTATTAAAGCCAGATTTGGGAGATGCGATGGGATGTTGGCGTCAATTCGTTCAAACGATTGTATTACCTCTTTAGCGGTTCGTGGCTCTTGGATATAGTCGGAGGCAGCGTCTAGAAGGTCATTTATCACGATATGTGGACGAATCCCTGGTGCAGTGAGGGTGCCAACTCTTGACCACCGGAACCCGTAAACGATATATACTACCATGCCTGAAAGAAATTATCGAGGAAGCTCTAGAGCTCTCTGAGAACAGGCATATTGAAGAGGCAAAATCAGATATTGGAAGTGTTCGGTTGCAATAGATCAAGGGCTTAAATATTTCCCTTAGAGCCACCAGCTTTCAGCTCCTATCCATGCAGGAGGAGGAAACGGGCAACGAAACCCGATGGGCTGATATTCATTGTAATTTGCAACACATGTCATTGGAGAAGCTGGAGTGCGGCTTGTTTACCACCTTGCGATTGTCACGTGGGCGGCTGTTTTTACGGTGGAGGAGGCATTCAGGGGAAGTTGATAGCTCATTATTTGCCTTTTTCTTCCTGGAGCCTAACGTCTACAGTTTGGGCGGTGTTTGTTGAGGGATCGACCTGAGATTATGATTTAGCTTCATAGTGTTTCTTCCAGATGTGGTCGAATGTAGCTGTGTCAACAGCAAACCGGCGGATATAGTCCCGCTCTAGTTCGTGGGTTTTTGTGCCTAAAAGAACCAATGAATGCAATGGTTTTCCTAAATCAACCTTGGTCAACTCTTTGAGAGTTCCAACAACAAGCTGCTGGTCTACGGCGCCAACTCGAGCAGCACCTATCGCTAAGCTCTCAGGGCCACAGATGCCTTCCTTTCTCTCAGCCTCAGTCTCAAGCATTTGCTCGGCACATTGTGCGACCGTCATGTATCTTGGAGGTTCGTATATTTTTCTCCCTCTCGCCATATTCTCTAGCGATTGCTCCTTCACTTTGATATCCAAGAGCACAAGGGTGTGCAAGCCATGCTCAGCATTCTGTTTGATCCGATCGTAGTAAGAAGATGGCTTCCAGGTTTCGGTAAAAAATACCATGCTAACAGTCTGGCCAAAACTATAAAGCTGAAGGCCCGTGCAGCCGATAGCGGACATTATCGAGGCATTCGGAATATTTCTCATTTCAATCCCCAGCTCGCGAGCACGGAGGACAAGGTCGGTATGGGTGGTAGCCCTATAAAAAGAAATCATTATGTCGTTAGTTGAGAATCCAGAGCGAACGCGTAAGGTAAGGGTGGTGTGGTGTGATGTGGTCACGCACCCAAAGGGATCACCAACAACGAGGAAGGCAACGTCTACTCTGTCTGCATTATGTAGGATTTCATCACTGCTTGATTCGACCATTTCACGGTCGGCTACTATCACCGGTCTTCCATAGAATTCTTCCTTCAAGCCCAACAAGTTAGCTAACTAGACATCTCCAACTCACAGGGTGGGGGTCCAGTTTGGATGTGCATACCAACTTAGCTGTGTCAACGAGTAGAATGCTTGTGTACGCTTCAAGATACACTCTCTCGGCTTTCTTAACGATTTCCAGACCCTTAACAGTGATGTCAGTCTCATCAGCGAGACCCAGCCCCACGAGGTAAAGCATCTTTATGTATAGTTAGAGTATTGCAGCTGTGTGACATTTTTTTTCCTGTCAAATCTTCCTTTCTACGCCCTCGTTTTTTCTTATCGAGATTAGCGGCGGGATGTTTCAAGTCTTGGCATTGTTTATCTGCGCCAAGCATTTGCTTACCGTCCCTTATTTTATCGACTGAAATCAAGATTTGAGGCTGGCGGATGCTATAGGGCCAGTTCAACATTCCCAAGCTATGTATCTAATGTTTGAGGTATCTATGTGTCAGTTTTGACCCTGATACAACCCGCGGGGCAAGGGCAAGGCGGCTGCAAAAACCGATGGTCACGTGATTATTTCAAAACTACGTTGACTTTCAATTCTGAGATAGAAAATTCGCTTGAAAAGAGCGAGAAATAACGATACTTGGTAGGGGAAATGGTCATCAAGTCATTTCCAGCTCCCTCATCACTAGTGTTTCTCCTGGGGCGAACTACTTATAGTCTTTGCGCTTTGGATGTAGAAAAGAATGCTGACTAAGCCGCGGTTATTTTTGAACTTTCGCCTTTTTTCGATCTTCAACTTCGTCTCCATCTTGATATCATATGTTTTATGCGTCTTCCACCATCCATCCAGCTTATTTTAATTTTTAATAATCAGAATCTGCTATATTTGATACCAAACACCCAAACACTCTTCTAAGTGGGATATCCAGCCAGGATGGAGCGAACACCAAAATATCGGCAGGAAATCCAGCAGGTAGGTCATCCGATTTCCGTGTCTCTTGGGGCTACAAGGAAGTTTTATGCTCGCGAGTTATGACGTCCGATATATCAACAAGACATGATATATGCATGGGATGTTTCAGGGATCTCCACGACCTGCTCCCTTGCGTAGGAGCACTGCTTGGCTGATATATGCCGTTGTATTCACGTTGATACCTTGGGAAATACATTTTATGCAGGACTGAGCATTTCAAATAGGATGAACTCGTGCTAAAAAAAAATATGTATAGATGATGTTCGTGTCAGGGGAATCTGCGGAAGCATCTGTGGAAACCACTACACTTATTGAAGAGATAGTACGGCAACAAGTTATTGAAATGGTAAGCTAGCTTTACATCCAACATGCGACGCAGTTATGCATTACTGATAAACTTCTAGCTATCACGGAGCACCACGCTAGCTGCCAGACGAGGTGTTAGATCAATATCTACAGACGATCTATTTTTCTTGATACGGCATGATAAGGCCAAAGTTTCTCGCCTGAAGACTTTTCTTTCCTGGAAGGATGTTCGAAAGAACGTTAAAGACTCTGATGATAAAGGTGGTGCGGATACCGCCGATTTTGGAGCTGGAGACGATGCCCTCGTAGGAGCTGGTGTTGCCGGTCCTCAGGAAATCGCAGCCAAACCTAAGAATAAAAGGGCCAAAATCGGCCTTCCTTGGGACCTGAACAGTTTATATTCCATCCAGGTACCCGAAAGAGAAGACGAGGAGGATGAGGAAGAAGAGGAGCAGAATTACGCCACACTCCAACGCCTCGCTACTGCGGATGAACGTACGAAGAATATGACCCGTGAAGAATATGTCTTCTGGTCAGACTGCCGGCAAGCATCGTTCACTTTCAGGAAAGCCAAAAGATTCAGGGAATGGGCTGGGTTTGGTATTGTGACAGATTTCAAGCCAAATGACGATATCGTCGATATCCTTGGCTTCCTTACCTTTGAGATTGTCCAGACATTAACTGAGGAAGCTTTGAAAGTCAAAGAGCAGGAAGACCGTGGCAAAAAGGGACTTGGAGCCTCAGAGGATGGATCGGGGGAGAAGAAGAAGAGGAAAAGGGAGACCGGGCTCTTTGATCCTCCAGAAGAAGGACGAACCCCTATCGAGGCAAGGCATGTCCATGAAGCGTATCGAAAACTTCAGGCTACGCCAAGCAAGGCAGTTGCGATGTTCCTTCACGGCGGTCGTGCTCCTCTAAGGACTCCTTTACGTCTTGTGAGTTATCTTCAAAACAGATACGATGAGTGGGGGCATTGCTAACGAGTTAATAGATATAAAAGCTTTGGAGGTGTATTCAGTGTTGTCAACCGGTGTTGGGCTTGGTCAATCATGTGAGCGGTAATATTCCACTGGGTGTCATTTGAACCTTTTTCTTCGGCAGGTCTGTTAGGGGCGGTTATCCTGGTCAGGCGCGTATATACTCATAAGGCGCTGGCGAAGCATTCGTTCATGTTCAAATAGCACTATTCAAACGGTAATAGATATTGTTTAAAAGTTAAACATTCTCTTGCTAATATCTTAAGATTAAACTTCTTTTCTTCCAAGCATGTCCGCCAAAACGATTCTCAGGTCTGATAGGAATCTTGTAACCTCAGCTTCTGTTCCTACTGTAATTCTGAGACAGCCTTCACAGCCGTGCTCTTTACCCCTAAAACGAACGACTACTCCCTTATTTTCAGCCAGCGTCTGATATACAGATTGGGCAATCTTGTTGCAAGGTTTCCCACCATCACTCGACGGCTTGTCTAGCATCTCTACCAAGAGGAAGTTGGAGTGAGTGCCGCCCAGAAATCGACCAACTCCAGGAATCTTGGGAAGCTCCTCCAGTAGCCTCGTGCGCTGAGAAAGTAGCTTCTCCCTATTCTTGCGCATCAGAGCAAGGTTCTCAGGGGAAAGGCCAGCAATGGCAAGAGACTTGGTAGGGGTAGATATGCTGTAGGGAGCCTTCATGCTATTCAGCAAGAGTGCAATCTCTGGGCTGGTGAATGTGGCTCCTAGTCGAATACCCGCCAGGCCAAAGGCTTTACTCAGAGTCTGCATAACAGCGAGGTTCGGCCACTCGGTGACCCATTCCGCCAGGCTGCTCCCTTCAGGTGCAAAATCGATATAGGCTTCATCAACGATGACTATTCCATTCCAAGTTTCGTGCTCCAGGACCTTTTGGATGTCCTCCTTTTTGATGAGGTTCCCAGTCGGGTTCCCTGGTGAACAAATATATACGATCTTAATAGAGGGATCAGCGGAGAGAGCCTCGGTTATGGCGGCTGGACGAAGCTGGAACCCTTGTGTAACATCCAGTGGCACTTTGACGACCTCAACGTCATTGACCTGGGCAGACACAGCATACATGCCATATGTGGGGGGACATGTCAAAATCTTGTCCTTTCCAGGCACGCAGAAGCATCGAATTAAGGCATCGATTGACTCATCCGAGCCCACGCCAACAAAGAGATTCTCTGGCTTCAACTCCTTTTGTGTATGGATCCGAGTATTGCGCAGGTTGCAGAATAGCTGCTTCAGCTCTACTTGATGTCTATATCCATATCGTATTCACCCGTTAGAAGGAACAGCTGCCTCGTCTGCAACTTAATGAGGTGGAGACAGAACTGCTTACGGGTCAGGGTATCTGTGCAAACCCAGGAAATCAATATCGCCCGGGCTTGAGCCATCTTGAGCACCTGCAGACTTCTCGATGGTCTCTAGAGTGAGGCTGGGACCGTATGCGTTCTCATTGGCATCGAGAAGGACGTTTGTGCCGTCGTCCTTGTAGTCGCTGACTCGGTTAGCAGCGATGCTCAACTAACTACATTGTACCCGACAAGGGCGATAGACCTACTCTCTTGCACATCGATATGGCTGCAGCTGAAGGATGTTAGGTCTTGCGCACTTGGACAGGTCAAAGGGAGATGCTCTCGCCATGTCGACGTCGCTGTCGTCTGCTGGCGGCTGTGGGATGAGGTGGTGGTGGGTGGTGAGAAGTCTGGCTGGCTGGCTGACTTCTCCAACTCGTAGCGTTTTTAAGCTTTGCTGGCCAATAATTGGGAGATATTCATATATTATGCTTTTCTTAACCGGGACTCTTCTTCAGCGCGAAAGAATCTCTTCAGCCCACGCTGTACGGAGTACTGTGGTAGAGAAAAAGCCTGTGATATCCTGCGTATGAGCTGGTTAATCGACCTGAGTCATAGCTAGTTAGTTAACTGGTTCACTAGATGGAGCTGTGGATTCTCAAAACCCACAAGCCGCGCGGGTAACTGGAGATAGGCATAGCTGTATAGCTGTATAGCCTCTCCCATTTTAATTATATCACGACATGTATCGATCATTGCTACGCAGTCTCAGCGCATCACACAGTGACATTTCAGTAGTGAGTTGCTTGCTGGAGAATCCAAGATCTGCTGAGAGACCCGCAACTTAGACACACTACTGACTAGCTATTGCTTTTTCCCTATTTTAAGGAACGATGGGAGAGTCAAGAAATCGCCCGCAGCAGAGGCCAAGGTCCAGACGCCATCAAGCCTCTCTCGCCTCTCGTTTAACATCAGCTGCCTATAGGTAGTTCCTGTCAGAGGCGTGAAGACGAGGAAGCTGAAGAAGTACTTTGCTGGCCTAAATGTAAGACATCAGGCCTAGTGCAAGATGTAGACTGTTCGTATTGGTAGTCCAGAGGTGAACGGAAGAGGATATATAAAGGAAGCCCCCGGGATGTTTTTTTATTGCTGATTCCCATCTCCGTGCCATTCTTGCACTTTCTCATAGATACCCTTGCATTTGCGGTGAATAACACCACCATTCATAATGAAGCTCCTTGCTATCATCTCTGCCTCCCTCGCCCTTGCTGGCTTCACCACTGCCACTCCGCCGCCTCAGACCTTCAGCATCAAAGCCAAAGGCAATCCCAAGGTCCCCTCCGCTCGATTCGATGCGTCCAGAAGTAATATTTTCCTTAATTACGGGGACTCGGGCGCTGTCTGTGAAGTCAAGCCTGGCTGCCCAAAGCCCAAGGATGCCGTCTTCTATCTTAAGGATTCCATCTTGTATCTCTATACTGGCTCTTCCAACCCCGTACAAAAGGTCTTCCTGGACCGCTCTGGATTTGGTATGTTTCCTTTTTTTCTATTAGTATTCCTACTGAACCGGGTGCTAAACTTGCCAACGCAGGTCAAGGCAAGATCGGATATTTGACTGGTGATGGCCAGCTTCCTTCGCGGTGGGAAGTCCAGGGCTGGACTATTGACGGAGCTGGAAACCTGAAATTCAAGGGCAAGGGACTCATCGCCTGTCCTACCTCTGACCCAAAGATCAAGTCCTGGACAGTCTGGGCAGACCTTGGTATCGCTACTCCAGGTGGAAACAAGGGCTGTCTCCCTTTCACTGCTCACACTATGAAGACGAAGCCGGTTGCTTGCAAGTATACCTGATGAGGCGAAAAGATAATTAACTCTTTATGACGTGGAATGATGTTTGACGATGCACTATCTATCAGTGCAACATTTAAGTGCAACCGATATTTAGTCCTTAATAATAATATACGTATCAAAGTGGAAATTTACCAATGGGCAAATGGTTTTATCTTCTTGGTATAAATAGCAATATCCTCCCGGATAGATACCCATGAGGGTGCCTTTGATGTCAATGTACACTCAAAAACGCCAGTGGTGATCTCACACACGCACCTCTAGAACAGGGAGTCAAAAAAGAAATAGAAGTCTCCAAAAGGGGCAGATGTAGGGTAACATCGATATACTAAACGCCAAACCACCAAATGCTTGATTCTCACGAAAGACAAGAGGGTAAACTCCTGTACCGCCACCTCGGAGAATTTATATAAATATACATGCCCTCAATCACTCTTGGTCTTGTTCTCAGAACTGGTTTCGGGTGATTCGGAGCTGGATCGCCTCGATGCGTTGTACTTCTGGCGCTTCTCCTGAAGGTAGCGCATCGACTTAGAAATCCCGGCTGTAAGGACACCTTTCATCGACTGGCTGGTACTAGGCCAGGATATGGTATTTTTTATGGATAATGTCACTTCATCCTTCAGGTTACCTTCAGCGGCGATCCGTCGGTCAAAGTCACTCCCTTCCCGGCGATGGAAACGCTCTGGGTCTTCATCCGCAGTCTTCTCCATCATTAGCTCAAATTCTCCTCGTGGAATTTTAAACCGGCTTTGATACTGGAAATAGAGCTTTTCACGGAATGATTTAGGGAGTCGTCGAACCATATTACCACGTTTGATAGGGTCCATATCTTGCTCTAGGGAGACGTTTATGTCTGGATTGTCCAGCCAGTCGGGATTATTGCACTGGGAATCATTAAATGATACGTTGGGTAAGGTCTCAATTAAAGGAGCGTACAATCGACGGAAGTTTGTGATCTGGGCAGAGACAATGTTATGGATCTTCTTAGGGTCCTCTGAGCCAAAGGACATACGGGGGTCGCCTTGGTAGCTTATACCAGCAATCTTTCGGTATAGCTCCTGTTCGGTGAACTTCGGCGGCAATAGGAGAAGCGCAACGCGAACAGCTGACAGTAAATTAACCTGGTTGGCCAGCCGGACACTTGGGTGGTCCCGTAAGATCTTGACTGGCTTATGGAGTCGTCCGGCAAGGTATAGCGAGTCCCATTGGCTAAGGTCTTTGCAAAGGGCATCGATATTGACAACGCCGTATTTAATCAAAGTTCCATTCACGGTTATGTATGGGTTGAAGTAGACTCCGGCTCCCATTCTCTCCTGTACCTGCGAGACAACATATGACCCCATTGAGCCAAGGGCAGAGTAGTGATTGCGGTGCTGATTCAAGTTTAGAGAATGCCAGTGCTGGCTGTGTGAAACTCCAAAAATAAAATCGATCATCTTCCCGCCGCCTTGTTGAACTGCTTGGATTGCCTGTGGAGGCGACGGGTGACAACTCTCTCCGGACGTCCCACTCTGCGGGAAAACGCCAGACCCGTAGGCAAATGCATATCTAATCGGCGCCTTGAACTGCCAAAGAATCTGTCTAAGAGCCTCTTTAAACTCTTCATTGATTATCATATGCTGGTTGACTCCAAAATTTTTTGAAGGGAGCTCGGAAAAGTTCTTGATCAAGAAATTAGGATTATCCTCCCAATCAAACTCCGTTCGTGGTGTAGATGACCCGCTAGGCTTCCCTAAATCAGAGGACGAAGATGTAGATGATGGAGATGAGCTTGAGGGCAATGGCGTGTGTCTATGATCGTTGATATCGAATCCCGGTGGAGGGCCAGCATTGGAGCCTAGCTGCGTGGATGTCTGCTCCGTAGACAGAAGTCGTACGTAGGAGGAATTGGAAGTGAGAGCAAGCGAAGTCAAGGTAATAGCTTGAGGCCGGCCACAAGTGAAGGCCAGCTTGGGCCTCAGGACCTGTTCGGTACCAAAGGTCAGCCATCTGATTGCGGACCAGACAAACTTGGATCTCTCTAGGGGGAGAGAGGGAGGAGAGGGAGGAGAGAGGAGAGAGTGTACACACATGGAGCTGGCGCATGACTGGTAGAAAATAGGCGATATCTAAGGTACACAGCTACAGCTGCGACAGTGTATATAGCTCGCTAGCATGGGCACACTGTGTCTGGCCGTGGGTTGCGTATGTTTGACGTTCAATGTTGTTGCAACTTGCGGCTTTCGCTTTCACAAGGATTAAGTACCGCCCCGGCAGAATTCCAGCTGCTGATGTAATCCATCACGAAGGCGGTGGGGACGGAGGCTTGGCATATATAAAACAAGCTTATTAATAATAATTGACATAAGCAAATAATAAATCACCTGACCTTGGATTTGTCTGACCAAGTTAGGAAATGGGTAAACATACAAGCAAAAAGCCGGACGTCGCTTTCAACTCCACCTATAAATATCAATCAAAAACACACACAGCCATCGATGAATTACGACCCGGTCGAGGGTGGAATTGACTGAATGAACACCTGTGTCTCGGAATACTACAGCCATGCCTGTTTCTAACGACTTACAGACTGTTGCCGGTCGCAGGGCAACTTTCGATGTCGCGCATAAGTCCAGTTCCGGCGAAGAGTTGACTTGGTCATACGCTTCTCCCTCGCCAGATGAGGTATGTTAGCGCTTTCTACAAGTTCAAGTTACCCCAATCTGACTTGGAATTACTAGCTTGCCCATGCCGGATTTCACTACACTCCAACAGCGCTTAGCCCTGATAACACCACCTGTTTTCTTTGCGAACGATCTCTCGATGGCTGGGAAGAAGGAGATGACCCCTTTACAGAACACCTACACTTCTCGCCCGAATGCGGATGGGCTATTATGATGGCTATTACCCGGAAGACCTCTGATCCTGCGCAGATTGAGGACCCTACCAGCTCAAAAATTGCTGATGCTCGAAGGGCTACATTTTTCTCTTGGCCACACGACGGGAAACGAGGATGGCTTTGCAAGACAGAGAAGGTGTGAATTCCTGATATCCTGCGGTGCTGTGATCTTATGTCTAACTGAATGGGAAGATGGTTGAAGCAGGATGGTATTTCTGCCCTAACGAAGAGAGTGATGATTTGGTCAGCTGTCCGTACTGCAAGCTCTCTTTGGATGGATGGGAGCCAAAAGACCACCCCTTGTATGCCCTACCCTGCCATCCACTTTTGATAATTCGTATACTAAACCTCTAAAATAGTGATGAACATTATCGTCGCTCTTCCGACTGCTCGTTCTTCGAATTCTCAAAGCATCCTAAGAAGTCTAGCAAATCGACGCGTGCCAAGGCAGTGCGTGGTTCAAAGGCTTCGCGACTCTCTACACAATCAAATGCTACAGCTGTTTCCGAAGCACCGTCTGTCGACTTCGACGATACCATGGAGCAAAGTATTATATCCCAAGGCGGAAGCCGTGCTTCCAAGGCTCCAAAGAAAACAACCAAATCAAAGTCTAGAACTGCAAAGACGAAGAAAGAAGAGGACGCAGATGTTCACAATGAGAGGGCGATCACTGAACAGCATGATAAAGAAACATCATCTTTACTTGAAAGCCCTTCACGTGGCACAAAAAGGAAGAGCGCGGCAATCAGTGGAATGGAAGGGAATAACCTAGACAATAACCAACCAGAGCCAGAGCCAAAGCCAAAGAAGAAACGTGTCACATCAACACGGACAAAGAAGGCCAGGAGTACAGCAAATTCTGTGGTTGATTATGCTGAACCTACAGATGACGAATTAGTTCTGGAGGCCGCTTCAAAGCCAAAGCGAGGCCGTAAGAAAGGGAGCACCAACAAGATAAGAAAATCATCTATTGCATCCAATACTCCAGCTACCTCATCAAATTCTCAGATACCCAATGATGATGAGATCGATGCGCAGTTGGAAGCTGACCTTGACAAAGATCTCCCCGTGGAGGATATGGCTAGCAGCACAGCTGAAAAGGCCCATAGCCAACGGCGCAAGAAATCTAGCATGAAAGATGAACATTTGGATGAGCCGCCAAAGAAAGCTTCAACAAAATCTACAAGGAAGAAGCAAACATCTACTGCTTCCGTGGCCAAGCTAGAACAGCCTCCACAGCTGCATTCGGAAGTGGACGTGGATACGGACGAGCCGGTCATCTCAATACCAACTCAGTCCCAAGAAGATACTTCGCCCCCTAAAAGAGTCAAACAAACAAAGGCGAAAACTACAACGAACACTGCCAAATCTCGAAAGAAGAGGACAGACAGTAGTAACGTCAATGACATCAATCTACCTGAGGCTACTGAACCAAGTGAGGATGTGGAATCGAACAAAGACGAGCCAACAAAGCCTCGATTGTCTAAGGGCAGGAGTAGTAAGAAAGATAGTGAGGTAGATGCCGCCAAAACGACAAGGAGCAGAGGCCCCAGCAGCCAACGTCCAGTGACAGAGTCGTTGCCTCGAAAAGAGGCTGGCTCAGCAAAAGAGGAACCTGACAGTCAGCCTATTGGTCGTCGGTCCTCTGAACAAGTACAGCAGGCCCAAGAAACTCCCTCTAGAATGAGGCCATCTGCACAACAAACCCCCCGTGAAAATGGCCCATCATCGTCTCCTCAAGCTTCTGATGCAGAAAACCGACCACCTTCAAGTAAGCCATCGACAATGTCCAAAACACAGCCCCATGCGGTTTCACAATCTATCGAGGAACCTTTGGTCACGAAGACACCTGTTCTATCTCCTCCAAAGGGAGAATCGAGCTCGAGACAACTGACCACAGCTGATCCTTGGGAACCCATTGATCCAGATGAAGCCCTCCTCCCTGACCCAACAGAAAAGGAGGGCGTGTCTCTAGCAGAGGTTTTGCACGCCGCAAAGGATGGGATTACCAGTCCTGAGAAGCGAATGAGTATCGAAGAGTGGATATTCTGGAACGCAGAAAAAGGCGAAGAGAAATTGCGCAACGAATGCGAGAGAGTCGTTGGTATTTTTGAAAGGGAAGGCGGACGTGCAATGCAGGCACTGAACGGAATCGAGTGCATAGATTAACCAGGCTCTTCAATGTCTGATCCATGATAATGTATATAATGCGGTAAAGGGCGTTGGGTCCGGGTAACTTTAGGGGGATTTCAGCACATAAACTGGCAAAGCATAATACCTTGATACGTGTGATCCTGTGCATGCTCACATCCCTTGTAGGTCGAGGTCGATGCTTATATTTTTTTTCCTGGAGTGCCTTACAGGGAAGGCCCGCTGCTAGTGGTACTGTAGTAGCCCGTAGGTGAAAAAGGGCTGGCTCAAGATATAATACCGAGTCGACCCTCCCAAGCATCTTCTTGCTTAACACCGTCTTTGCCAGACTTTCTCCGCTTTTCATTCCTCTTCCTCCTCTTCTCCTCCCGCTCCTTAGCCTCTTCTTCTTCCCTTGTCTTAATTCTCAGGTCAAGATCCAACTGTCCCGCCTTCCGGTCCTCCTCCTCCTGCACCCGCTTCTTATGTGCCAACCACCTTAAGCGGTTTCTAACCTCCACAACTCCAGCCCTCACAACTTCTCCACTTTGTCCTGTCGCATATAAATGCTGCTTGCTATTCAGATGTTCGACAAGTTGGATATTGTCCTTAAATGTCAAGTCGCAGTCTGAACAATAAAATCCTGCACCACGGCCTCGTTTCCCTACTGCCGCGCCAGCGGGAACCAGTGTTGTCTTTCCCACCAAGCTCGCAACATCAAGCCGGCTCGCGCGGGAAGTAGTAGCTTCAAGAGAGCTGAAATCAACGGGAGCATGGTACTTTTTGCCTTGTAGTTTGGCCTCATAGCGCGCTTTGGCTTCTTCCTTTGATTTGGCTTCGTCTGCAGCGGCCTTTTCGGTATAGGCTTCGCGGTCCCAGGTCTTGCGGAATGAGGTGTCTGACACGGGTTTGTTGTAAAACGACTTCTTGTCACTCATGGTGGCGGCTAGTAGACAGAAACCCGTACATATAATACGGTAGAAAGGCCTCTATATGAATGCTGCTTGTTTGAAGGTAAAATATCATGAAGCTTGCTTGAAGTCGCCGCAGCTTTCGAAGCTTATCGTTCGGCTGGAGCCGCAGCTGCTGAGTAATCACGTAACTACTTTTTGTCACGTGAAAAATACTAAATGGAACCTATCGAATGCCTCAAGCAGGAAGAAACACATCAAGCAAACAACAGGTAGATAGTAGGTCCTTTTTAGCAAAAGAATCATTTTATATCTATCTTTTGTCTCCGACTGAACACCTCCATGCTGTTATGAAGGTGTTTACTCTATACAGCTACTCGGAAATTGGGCTAGGTGTATGGTGTATCTCTGGTTTTGCGTCTGCCTTGTGGTGGCTGTGGCTCGGCTGTGGTTTACGAGACACAGCAGGCAACAGAGATACTTGAAGCCAATTCGGCAGACTATATATTCAGGCTGCTTCTACAGAGTGCTCCCATGATTAATGCGGATATTTTTTGAGATAACCTATATTTTAATACCCTTATACTTGTTTTCTGTTGGCTCCAAAATGGGACAAAATCAGCCGATAGCGCCTCTTGTTGTTGGTCCGCCCTCGTCGATGTCCAACATCAAGCCAGCCATCGCAATACCAAATAAGCAGTCGTTCATCCGCTTACCTACAGAGATACACATGCATATTGCATCTTTCCTATCATACCCGGATGCGTTGGCTTTAAAACATACCAACAGCTACCTCTACTCGCTAGTTCGAACGAACCTACCATTACGGGTCGACTGGATCATCGAGCGCCATGAAAAAGGGCTTACAGTCCCTAGAAAGAACTGTGTGCTTCGTACAGACGAATTGTTCTGCAACAGCGAGGTAAACCAGATCATGGAGAGGAGGCGATGGCACCTGGAGTGCAAACGAGGGCATGCTGGTTGCCAGGTGATCGAAGGGTCAAGTTGTGGCGGTATATCTGCCCAGCAGCTATTAAAGGGGAAGCGGCTGATGTTAATACTCAGCCGAGGGGGCATATATGTTGAGAATCGAGGTCAGCCCCTGAAGAGCGCCCTGATCCAGCTGCCTGAGTCCTTGCTGACATACCAAACATACCTAGTTCTCCTTGTTGGAGTTTTACTTGGCATAATCGCTCTTATTTGGAGATTTTTTACCACCCATGGAGTGTAATTCTTGATTTGAAAGGCTCCCTTTTTTTTTCGCTGCACATTTGTCGCCTATTGATTATATAGGATATATGCTTGTGGATATTATCCAAGGCATCTAATAATGGCTATGAGGATAGTGAAATGCCCACCATTAATCATAAAATAATATCTACCCAAGTAATTCCAGCTCCGGTTTGGTCCAAGATAGTTTTTACTGTACGTAGACGAGATATGTTGGTGAGCTGGCGTCTCGTTTTAGCTAGGATCAAGGGGCCGAGGTTAACTTAGCCGGCGCCGACGATCAACTGCACTCTTGTATGAGATCTGGAGTAAACCGATTTTTGGCATCTTTTACGTCTTGCTTGCCCTCTCACCCTTGGTCTAATAGCAAAACATCCTTATCCATACCCTGCCTGCCTGCAAACATAGGAATTGTGGGTTCCGGGAAATCTCCTGTCCAAAAAATGTCGTCGGTCTCACAGACACCACTTTGGGTATCCCCAAATGCCGGAAACCACCCAATTGATAAGTATCGGCAACGAGTGAACAAGATATTCAATCTCAACCTTCAAAATTCACACCAGCTTCAGCAATGGAGCGTGAAGAAGCCCCATGATTTCTGGATTGATTTGTATAAATATATTGGGATTGTCCCCGAACTTCCTCCTAATACCACTAGGGCTTACGATGACACTGTTCCACTCAACTCAATACCACCATTCTTCAAGGACATAGAGCTTAATTACACGGAGAATATCCTGCGAGGGAAGAACCCCGAGGCAGTCGCCCTCATCGGCCTACGGGAATCTGACCCTCTGAACGGGGAGTTTGTGACCTGGAGTCAGCTCAATGAAAAGATACGGGTTGTACGTAGTGCCTTGCTGCAACATGGGATCAAGCAAGGTGATAGAATAGGTGCTATAGTATCAACATCTATCTGGAGCGTGGTTCTTCTCCTGGCTTCCGCTTCAGTTGGTGCTATCTTCTCATCGATATCACCGGACATGGGAATCGAGGTAAGTGAAGATTACCCATGTAGTTAGGAGATAATACCGGCGCATTGTCACTGGTAGTAACATTCAAATAGGGCTGTGTATCTCGGTTCCAGCAGATAGAGCCTTCCATTATATTTGCCGACAGCGATATGTCCTACAAGGGGAACAGAACGTCGCTTGACGAAAAGATCAAGGCCGTCATGCAAAGGCTATCCAAGTCACTCGTCTTTGTGAACCCAATCGGTCATACGAGCAAGTCTTCATTTCCACTGATTGGAACATTTTTATCAAGGGCTCGAGATACAGATGCCCTTGAATTCACGCGGGTGCCGTTCTCATACCCGCTTTACATTCTCTATTCAAGTGGAACAACTGGACCACCAAAATGTCTCGTTCATCAACACGGTGTAGTTCTGCAATTGCTCAAAGTATCCCTCCTTCATAATTCCCTTGGACCAAATGATGTTGTTTTTCAATACACAAGCACTTCATGGGTACTGTTCAACATTATGAACGGACATCTTGGTGCAGGGGCAACGCTGATATGTTATGATGGCTCGCCACTCTGGCCAGATACGACCACAATGTTGAAGATATTGGAAAGATTCAAGTATGTATGCATAATGTATCTGCATTCAGGGTATCTGACTGTCTCTTTAGGGTAACATACTGGGGAACTTCTCCGAGGTACTGTCTTGAGCTTGAGGCATCCGGAGTCGTCCCCCGCGAGAAGTTCGACCTGAGTGCTCTCAGGATGGTAACAACCACAGGGTCAACACTGACGGCAGACCAGTTTCGGTGGTTTTATAAGGTATTCCCCTATGTCCATTTGAGTAGTGTGGCAGGGGGGACAGATATAGCTACATCCTGTAAGTCAATAACTTGCTTCCCTCTATTCCTGCCTCTCGAAAATAATAATAATAACGCGGCTGGGATGTAGGGATTGCGAGCGACCCTTCTAGCCCGGTGTATGCAGGGGAGATGCAAATGTTCGCACTAGGAATGAACGTTGAGGTTGGGGATAGCGATACAGGGGAATCAATTACACATGTAAGAGCCTATATTCGGTAGTAAATATTTGGGCGAGGCTCTGTTGGTTACGGATCTAACATTTTGAATAGACTGGCCAATCTGGGGAATTGATTTGCAGGACACCCTTCCCATCAATGCCAGTGTTTCTCTGGGGGGATAAGGATAACAAAAAGTATAACTCATCGTACTTTGAACGATACGAACATATCTGTGTTTGGGCCCAGCATGACTGGATCAGTGTGAACCCAGTGACGAAGGGTATATCAATGCATGGAAGAAGGTATGTCATGATTTCCCAAAGCAGGAAGATATTGGTAACATCACTAACAAGCTGTACACAGTGATGGTGTGTTGAATCCATCAGGAATCCGCTTTGGCAGTGCTGAGATCTATGCGATATCCGAGGGACCGCAATTCAGCACCGAGATTGAGGATACCCTCTGTGTTGGAAGACGCCGTGTAAAGGACAAAGACGAGGAAGTCTTCCTTTTCGTCAAGATGAGAAATCAAGCTCAGAACAGACTGACCCCTGAACTGGAGCTGCGATTGAGACTAGCAATACGGACCAGTCTATCGGCACGCCATGTACCAAAGTTCATTGTGCAGGTTCCGGAGATACCTATGACTATCAATGGGAAGAAAGTCGAGATTGCGGTTAAGAAGATTATTAGCGGGAACAAGGTGCAAGTCAGCGCGACGGTGGTGAACCCGAAGGCACTGGAGTTCTATGAACAATTTCATGAACTTGAGGCCCAACCGAAGGCTAAACTGTGAGAATGGGATGCCGGTTCATGCATGGTGAGTAACCAGGTTAACAACCAGGTTCGAATGAGGCTACGGACTAGGAGATGCCTGACCATAGACTATATGCAGTGATAGAAGTGACACTGGAATTCCATCAAAGTCATCAAGGCAGCTAGACATAGAGCTTTGATGAGAATCATCGTGTCACAGACTCTTCTCTCTTATGTGTAGAATCCTTCCAGAAGACATTTCCAGGGGTATCTTCTTCGAGTTTGTGAGCCATCCGACTTTACCATGGAGACTCTCGGAAACATGGATAACAATGCAAGGTGCAAAAGCCTAACCGGTGCGACAGTTTCTCACATCACACCAGTTCGAAAAGAAAAAAAAAAAAAAAAAAAAAAAGAAAGAAAGAAAGAACTGGAGGTAGTTAAGCTTGCATCCCGTTGGCTTTGACGCTATAAGAGAAAAAGCAGGATATCGGACGGACAACCCCCCCCGAAATGCGCTCATGCCCTCGCTTTGAGTACCCCAGACATGCAGGCAGCGCGAGGACACCATGGCACGAAGAGGGACCCTGCCAACAGGCGTTCATGCAATTACCAAAGTCAGTCTAGCAGGCTTGCTGGGGACTTTCTTAGTCGAGCATGATATGCATCCAACGGACCAGGGAGGGCATGGGAGCAAGGGGATGATGGATCGAGCGATGAACCATGGTGGGCGGGCGTCTTCTCCCCGATCTCTGAGCGGGAATCGCGGGACCCCCTTTTTGCATATGCAACGAACGCACATACCAGAAGACATGGGAGGAGACAAACTCGTTAGCTAACTTGTTTCTAGTTAGTTACTCCGCCAGACGGGTTGATCGGGCGTAAAAAAACATGTGGAAGACGTTGAGATCGTACTCCGTAGTCGGGTATCATTCATGAGCCGGCTGGCTGCTCGTATTGATATTGACCGCACAGCACAGTTTGATAACTATCCGCCGAGATTTGCTTGATGTAGAGCCCCTGACTCCAGATAATACAAGTATGAATGGCTATCAACCTCGGACGGCCTATAAGCGAAATGAATACCCCCAGACGAGGGCTCCAGGCGTTGGCTGAATCGTCAAGTCCGCCGCCTCGACCAGTCGATCTCATCGCTCAGGCCGTCCATCCACCGCTGCGCTGCTTTCTCAGCCGCCATGCTCTTTCACACGCGGAAGCCCTCCCAGCCATCTCCGCCGAGGTCGTATCGTATCAATTTAGTAAGTAGTTGTAACAGAGGAGAGTAAGTTAGTTACTTGCCTATGTAAGTATTAATAGAAACCCTCGTGTGCGTGTGGAGTTGGGCGGGATCAGAGCCAGCCACCAAAGTCAACGCCGGAACTTTCTGAGCCAAGTTGTTGATCAGAGCGAGCAGAGGGATTGATCTTCCCGGGGAGGCTGGAGGTTGCTGATGTTTGCTCTCTTCCTGATGATTAAGGAACAGGGCGGAGGAGACCTGGAGGGCGGTGCTTTCTTTTTGATATACGAGGCCCAGCTGGGAACTGGTTGACAACTCGAGAAGCCGGAGTAGAGGTACAAGAGTATACAGAGTACGGAGTACGGGGCAGATAATAGTTGCCTGCATTATTGCTCGCAGTGATCCAAAAAAAAGGTACAACCCCTGAAGTACGGAGTACGTTGCGCGGAGTTGTTGCCTATTGAGCCTCTCCAGCCGTCAACTAGACTCGTTTCTCTGTAGTTGCCACTCCCTGAATACCATCTTAAACTCTTAGTTGAGTGAGGCCGTACTGCCAGTAAATATAAGGTAAGGAGTACAATAGTTGCGGCGCTTCATGATTGTCCCTAGCTATGCATGAGGAAGTTAAAGTATGAAGTATTCATATTCACCAAGGAGAAGGCAAATTTTCATATATATGCCATTATCACCTGAGTAGAGTTAATCTAGAACTCCACGCCATCAAAGTCGAGGGTTATAAGCTAGTTAGTGTGTTTTAGCAAGATAATGGGAGGGGGAAAAATCTATTCAAGCAGTCTAGTCCATCCATTAGTTACTTAGGTGTCAGGCGCGCCCTGTAATCTTGCATGAAGTAGGTTGCTGACCCAAGATTCGAAGCTGTGGACGATGATGTTAACTATTGACCTCCATTTCCTAGCCGCTGTTTGGTGCCATCATCTCCTTCGCTTCCGAGATAGGCCACCTCGCTGTCAACGTCGAAAGCAATACTGTCAATATATTCTAAATGGAATGAATGCATCTGAAACAACGAGACCGCCGATAGTACGCTCTCCTATTTATGTATGAGTATGGCTATGTTTGGCTGCGTAGCGGTCTAAGGGGGTTATTGGTACTTACAACGTACTCGACACTAGCCCCTAGATAAGTTGCAAGAAGGGCATCTTAGATCTCAATCTTCGTTCCTAATGCAAGCGACGGACTGTCATATGCATCGCACTACTTGTAGCGTCGGCGCACAAAATAAATGGACTGTTCTATCACGCTAGACCAGGCCGTAAGATGGGTCCAATTCTTCGATAACTACCGTTATCTGATAACTATCAGCCCGAGTAGTTATTCGTGCAGAGTAGACTCTGGCTCCTCAGTAGACACCATAAGTCGGTGACTGGAGGGGCCCCTTTTGAATCTTCCAGCCATTGATATCTGTTGACTGCAGTGACTTCTGGCTCCGTATAACTCAGCAGTACTCATTCGCTCCTGGTTGGACGGTGCCCCGTTTCGCGATGGGGACAGACGGCTGGAGAATCCCTGGCAGAGCTAACTCGGTGACTCGCCAGGCGTCACAGGCATCACACGAGCAGCGAGCAGCAGAGACGTGGCTCGCTCGGTTACTCCATTGGATCCATGGGCGGGCAGGCTGCCTCTAACCGACCTGGCTGGGCGGCTAGCAGCAAGTTGTATACTCTGGCTGCGGTGGTGACAGCTGGACTGGATTGGTAGGCGAAGGAGGTCGCCATCCCGGCAGGCCAACCAGCACCAGACCGAGCTGTTTTAATCTTATTAGCAGCAATTAAGGGACGAGGATGGCTCGCTCGGCTCCAGGCGAGCACCCCCTGGAGCTTGCTCGCGCATGCATGGCCTGTCTTGTCTTGTCTTGCGTCTTGAACCTCCTCCTCCTCCCCTCCACCTCGCTCTCGCTCCTCGGGTTCCGCCTCGCCTGGGTTGCTCTCACGATGATCGCCTCTGGCCCTTGGGCCTTGTTCTATACTTGGATCTGGCGCCTGCCTCTGCGTATTCTTATTCTTATTCCACGGTTTTATTATTATATCCTTAGCGGTCGACTGGCGCCGTTTGGAGCAGCAACCGCAATAGGAGTAAAGCCAGCAGCGAAAAAGCAACGACGCCGACGAAGAAGCAAAGAAGAAAAGGAAAAGAAAAGAAACTCAGAGCCAGCCATGCACAGAAGACACAGCGACAGGTGGGCCCTCTTGGGAGGCGCGACGATCCAATCATGCCCGAACGGCCGCCAGTGATCTCGTGAAGCTGGGATTTCGCTTGACGTAAGATTTGGTCGGAGGTCACAGGCGTCCCGCCGACCAGATATCGGGCTTCTGGCGCGACAAGTCGACTGAGAAATGCGTGAGCATAAGAGCCAGAGACAGCAGCAGGGATGGTCCTCGCTGCAGTGGTGGTGCAGTGGTGGTGCTGGTCTCAGGGGGGTGTCGACGGCAGATTGTCAGATATCAAAATGGCCCCCCTGAGAATGCCACCACCACCACCATCATCATCATCATAATCCTCGCCAGCAGCAGCAGAAACATTACTCTGTCCCAAGCACTGGATGCAATCAGACAGCCCGCACGCAGCCTGCAAGAGACATTGGTTTCTCCAAAGCCTGGCTCGTATCCAATGGCCACACCGTGCTCTTACGTCCGCTTCTCCACAGACCGGTCCCTCTGCTTAAAACCCTGGTCCCTGGCCCGCTTGACCTCTCTGGCTGCTCTGCTTCCTTTAAACCCGGGGCGATCGTTCCCGTCTGTCCCTTCGTCCCTCTGCTGGCCTTGTCCCTCGCTTTGCCGAAGCTGTCTTGTTCCCTGCTGTGCCCTGTCGAGGCGCTGTTGTCTCCTCTCCTCTGCTCTGCTCTCCTCGCCTGCTGCCTCCTCCTCTTCTATATCTCCTCCGCCTTCTCCTTCATCTCCCTCCTGGCTCGTATTACTACTGCGAGCATCCTTATTATTATGCCCTGTATCGCCAATACGTCAGATTCCACGTGTGGTTTTGCGCAGAAAAAGAAACGACCCGAAGCCAACGGCGCAAAAAGGGCACGGAGCAGCCCATATCCAGGAGTTGCTCCTGTTAACTATAACTGCCCGGCTGCTGCTGTGCATAAAACTACGTACATCTGACATTCTGTTGCCTCTATCGCAGCTTTCCCCGGACTCTGCTCTGCTGCAATTCAGGACTGGGTGTCTATGAGCGTTGGCCCGGGAGAAGACGCTTCCTGGCGTGTGTTGATGGACTCCGCAGTCAGGCTATATCGTCCTGATATACATATACACACACATATATACTCTGGATATACTACAACGACGACAGCTGATACTGAACATCCTGTCACTCTCTGCGATGGTACTGGCTCATAGCCTGCCGCTCGGAGCCTAGGACGTCTGCTTTCTCTCTCCTTTCACGATGGACATGGACTCCGGCTTCTCCTCCAAGCTGTACTCTCGGCCCCCCGGGGCCCAGACGAGGATGCAGGTCAACCCGACGCTGCTGGTGAGCTGGTGGGCGACGGGCTTCTCGCTCGCCATCATCCTCGTGCGTGTCTGCGGCCGCTACATTCGGACGGAGAGGCTCTTCACTGAGGACTGGGTGATGGCGCTCAGCACCATCCCGCTGCTCATCCGCATGGGCTTCACCCATGTAGTCCTGCTGTTCGGCACCAACAACGCCTCGCAGTACCACCACCGCTTTACGCCAGACGAGATCCATAAGCGCGAGATAGGGAGTCGCATGGTACTTGGTGCGAGGATCTTTTACGCCATTTTGTAAGTCTTTCTATTTATATATATATACATATATATATATATAGATTTTGTCTTGAGATTTTTACGTCATAAACAAGGTGTATTACTACCTCCTTTTTTGTACAACATTCTAACGTTGGATATACAGTATATGGACGGCCAAGTTCACCATTGCCGAGTTCCTGGGACGCATCACAGCGCAGATCTGGAGGCGTTCGTTCCAGTATGTCCTCCAGATCATCCGCTTCTTCCTCGCAGTCACCTTCGTCGCCGTGGTCATCACCACCCTGACCGAGTGCCAGCCCTTCGACCACTACTGGCAGGTCTCCCCTGACCCGGGGCCGCAGTGTCGCCAGGGCTATGCGCAGCTCATCACCATGGGGACTTGCAACGTCGTCACTGACTTGCTCCTGGTCATGTTCCCCATCCCCATCATCCAGCTTTCCGCCATGCCTACGGGCCGCAAGATCTCCTTGACGCTGCTCTTCACTCTCCCGCTCGTTCTGGTGGCCATTACCTGCTACCGGATACCATCCGTTATCTCTCACCAAGGATCTCAACAGTACCGTTCCTTGCTGGCCTCCCTCGAGATTCTCGCTGCCGCTGCCGTATCGAACGCCATCGTCATTGGATCCTTCGTCCGGGACCGTGGCCTGAAGAAGCAAAAGTTCAAAGCTGCCTCGTTCAGCGAGAGCCTGGAACAGACAACCTCCCGCCGGGCCACCATCACTCACCACCATTGGGGTTCTGATGCAGATCTTGTCAGCGACCTAGGCATCAGGCTCGATCCCAGTCTGCGACCGTTGAGCTACCAGAAGATCCGGCCTGCTCCAGTAGCCGTTCCTCACGCTGTGTTGTCCAAACGGGGCTCCGTGGATCGCAACTGGCAATTCCCATCCGCACAGCAGCTTGCAGATGACGACCGTACGTCCACCTCTGATAGCCTAAGCGGTCTGAAAGTCCATCCTTACGAGTATATAGAAACAAACTCCCGTCCTCCAGCCCGCAGGTCCAACAGCGCCACCCCGTCCAAATACATCTCCCTTTCCAAGGTATCCCTCAACGACGTCGGCGGACTGCTCGATCCCCCCAAGCCCAAGGAAGAGCCCATCCCTCCGCCTCCTGCGGCACACATTTCTCCCCCCAACGCCCTCCCTGAAGCCCCTGGACCCTCACGTAGCCGGACACACCTCTTCCGCACCGTAGCTGGATTCCTCTCCCCCTCAAGTAGCGGAAGCTCACCCGGCCAATCCTCCCCATCGCCAGGCAGTTCTCCACGGGTGTTACCCAACTTCTCGCGTCCTACACTCAACAACACATACCTGGCTACTGGAGCCCGGCCAGCGCCAAACCATGACAGAAGACCGCCTTCTCCCGGTATATCGCCTGACGAGGTTCATCCTCGAGATGACTCGCCGAGTGCCCCGGGAGTGCCCGAATTACAGGATCTCGGTGGTCTATTGAACCGCGATATCGAGAGTAATATGCGCTACTCAAAAGAACCCTGATCTACGAGCACCTGCTGCTTCACTCACGAATACCTTGCTAATGACCCTTTCATGCCATTTAACGGATTTCCTTCAGTTGCTTCTCCTTCGATTCTTTTCACGTCCTCCACATATATACGCTTTACTTTTTGATTTATTCAGCTTAGCGGATGTGGTTTTGCTCGCTTGTTTTATCACTTTGATTACCATTTAATGCCCATGGGAAAGGAGTTTGAAGGTTACCTGTATAACTATCTTGCTTGCTTCCCCCTTTTTTTATACCCCTTGCCAGCGTGCTGTAATTCCACCCCGCCCTCTTGTAAGTATACCCATCTTCCGCTTCCAGCACATAGCCATATACCCCCATACCCAAATACCCAAACAACACTCCTATACCACCGCGGTCCTCTGCTGTCCATCTACTCCGTACCTTTGAACCTCTGCCAATATCCCCGTCCGCATCTTCCTCCCCACTACATTCCCGCCATCCCTGCTACCCGCTGCTTCCCGTGATTTATCAGCGTTCGATGTCCTGCTCGCCCATTTTACGACGGAGCCTCGCTGCATCTTCTGCTCGTTCATGACAAATCGTTTCTTGGACACTGACAGGGATCATGCATCATCCTGGCAATATAATATGCAACACGCTATTACATATGCCTGTATACCAAGAAGGCAAGACAAGGCTCTGGAAAATGCTGATAATATGTATGAACTTCGTGCTTATGCACCTCGTTCGTCTTCTTGATTTTCCCCCCTCTTATCGACCCGATGGAAGGGTACTATTGGCCGAGACAGGCAGGTCGTCTCTCCGTCTTCATCCTGCTTACCTGCATGTATATGTGTGTATCTTACCTACATATTCTACATACTTACTCTAAGAGAAAAAAAAAATTAATAATAAAAAAGCAAAATAAAATATGAAATCACATACTTCCAATACGTCATTTATCCTATTTTTTTTTTTAAAGATGTGTCTCCTCCGGGTAGTCAATCTGCAGGTGCGGGAATGATTCACTCCGGCGTTTTGTCGTTTGATATTAGTATTATTGAGAAGGCCTTGATGGAAACACCCAGCCGTCCCTTTTTTTGCCCTTTCACGGAAAGTCTTGGATTACTCAGACGAACTACCGATGAACAGAGCCTGATCCGCAGCCAAGTATTATTTAGATAGCAAGCCGATTTCGAGAACCAAGCTGGAGTTTCATCTTTCTGAGCAATGAATGCAGATTTGAAACGGGGAGTTTGGTGGGTTCGTTCGGTTTCAGAAGATCGAACTGAAATGTCACAGTTCGTATGGGCTGCGTTTGGTGTCAGGATGTTGACCCCGAGACGACCCGTCTTGATTGGCAATTTGAGAAGATGGCGCAAGGTACTGATCGATCGTACAAGCGCATTAGATTCCTAATCCAAACTGCATGTAAGATGATGCTACCCAGGTGGTGGTTGGTAACAGCGGTCTCCTGCGTTATCCGCCAAATGGGCAACGATTGACCCAGTCCCAAGCACGAGAACACTGCTTCAATTATTTTTGCTTTTGAATACTATATCAAAGAATACTGATTCAGTTGTCCGTGTCAAGGTGAAGGAGATGCCAGCAACATACCCATAAATCATATATGTTTCTGTTCAGATCCGGCAGAGAGAAAGGAGAACAAGAAAAGAAAAGATGAATACGAACAATAGAACAAAATCCACCGTTACACCTGGCACCATATGGAAATAAAGCACATAAAAAAAGGAAGACACCCTGGAAACCGAACCCTGGATAACAGCCCGACTAAGTGACCCATCTGTAGCTGGCATATCTTCCAGCCGTCTCACTCTTTCTGATAATCTTGACGACCTGCCCTCTTCTGAGACCCAAGTACTTCGCAACAGGGTCACCACTCTGGATTCTGGGAAGCTGTGACTCCTTCAGCCGGTATCGCTGCAGCAGCTTCTTCTTCTCCTCCGCGCTGAGCAGTATATGTTTTGGGACAAGCTCGTGGTGAGTGATGTTGACAAGAAGCTCTTGTTCAAGGAAATGTTCACAGAACCGTCCTGGAATCGCGGTCAACAGCCTGATAGCCGACGGCGAGATAGGTGACTGGGTGATGAATATGCCGGCGTGGTAGTTTTGCTGATCGATGAACTGATTGAAGGCCCGAATATGCTTGGTGCCTACGCTCTGGGTCTCGCTGCAGAATTCAACGTGGATTGTACCGCATTCGGGGACCGTGTTGGGTTTTGATGGAGTAGGCAAGGGAGTGTATCGCTCCATCATCGCCTGAGATGGACGAGCACTGATGCGCATCTTGTTTCGGCTGATATCGTTAGACTTGCCAGAGCATGCGAAGGCGACAGGGCCAAACTTACTCTGGGAATCCGAGAGCGTCAGAGTACCTCTGCTTGAAATCGCTTAGAGAGATCTTGACTTCTTCTTCTGTGACTTCGTAGCCCTGTATTATCCTGTCAGTAAACGCTCGTCTGTCACAATGTACACAGCTGCAAAAAAAAGGCAGCTCTTCAACACAGAATCAAGCCGTACCCGGTCCAGCAGCAGCTCGAACACCGTCCTCCATGTCCGCCAGAGCCTCGTCATCTCACGATCCGCCTCATCGGAGGCCCTGGAGTAGTCTTCGTCTGCCATGCTGCCCGTCCTTGCGCCGTCTGCGCGCCCTCGAGCTCCAAAGTCCTCCTTCCCACGTCTGCTCTCGCGCTGTGCAGTGGCTGCCCTCAACCGTCTCTCTGTCTGCCTGTCGCTCTCCTAGTCCCTGGCTCTGCCTCTGCCTGTGTCCCTGTCGACTATCGTCTTCTTCTTCTTCTTCTTCTTCTTCGACGTCCAAAAAAACTCGTTGAAAAGAAGAAAAGATAAAAAAAAAAAAGAACCAAAAAAGGGACGCACAGACCAACTTGTAGAAAGTCAGCGAAGGAAAAAAATGTTTCTTTTTCGGGCAATTTTGACGACTTCGACTTTTCTTCTTCGATTCTGCTTCGTCTTCGTCCGTTGCTGAGAGTCGTTTTGGCCGTCTGCTCGCTGGTCTAAAACATCCTCTGACGCTGTCTCGACGCTGCTTGCTCCAAAGCCAGGCGTCCTTTCGAGTCTCTCCTATTTTACCCTTTTTTTTTTTTTTTGGTTTCGCTGTTCGCTCGCTTAACTATTTGAATTACACGCGGCCGCGATCTATCTGAACAACTATGGCTACGACAGCGAAGCAGGCTGCTCCAGCCCAGCCTGGAGAGCACAAGGTGAAGCCTGAGAAGCCAGATGAGAATGCCTACAAGATCTCTCTGGCCAATGCGGAGAAGGAACTGGCGACTGCTCAGAAGAAACTGGTAGGAATTCAACCGGGGCCTTCAATGATTTTAACGTGATTGTGCGCCGGGCTCACACAGTGGAATTCTGCAGGAAGCAATCAAGGCGAAGATAGAATCCGCTACTCCCAACAACCAGAATTCGCCTGTCGCTAAGAGGCAGCAGGAACTGCGCAGCCAGCTCGCAGCAATCCGCCAGCAGCAGCAGGGCTTCAAGGCTTCCCGTACAGCCCTCCAGGAGAAAATCAACGTTCTCGATGCCAGCATCAAGGCTCGGTTCGCCGAGCAGAAGAGCCAACGCGACAGGCTGCCGTTCAAGAGCGTCGAGGATATCGATAAGGAAATTATGCGTTTGGAGAGGGAGGTCGACTCAGGCACCATGAGACTGGTCGACGAGAAAAAGAACCTGGCCGATATTTCCAACCTGCGAAAGCAGCGCAAGAACTTCTCCTCCATGGACGACAGCAAGAAGACCATTGACGAAATGAAGGCCCAATTGGCTACGCTCAAGAAGGGACTTGACAACCCAGAGGCCAAGGCTCTGAGCGAGCAGTACACTGCCCTCCAGAAAGAGCTCGACGATATCAAGAGTGAGCAGGACTCCGTCTTCAAGAACATCAAGTCTCTCCGTGACGAACGAACCAAGATCCACAATGAACAGCAGCGGGCATGGAACAACGTCAAGGAAATCAAGGACAATTACCACAGGGCCCGACGAGCAAACAGGGAATATGAACAGGAGGCCTACCGTATCCGCATGGAGCGCCAAAAGGCCGAGCGAGAGATCTACGAGCGTGAGAAGAAGAAGAAGATCGCCGACAAGAAGCTTGAGGAGGCCTCTCTGCCCGCTTACACCGACGAACTTCTCACTGCCGAGGGTCTCATCCGACACTTCGACCCAACCTTTGACCTTGCCTCTATCGGTCTCGGGAAGTCCCAGTTGCCGTCCTCCGCTGCCTACCGTGCTCAAGTTGGCCGAACTGTCGATGACTCTGACATCAAGGGCGTCAAGGTCATAAAGAAGGACGACCGTGATGAAAACTACTTCATGGGCGGCACTGGTGGAAAGAAGGGCAAGAAGGGGAAGAAGGGAGCTGCTGCTGCTCAGCCAGAGCCCAGCAAGTTCAACCTCAGCTTCGGTGTCCTCGAAGACCTGTCCAGAGTCAAGGTTGAACCTCCAATGAACCAGTCTGATGTCCCTGCTTTGATAGAGACCCTCGTCCAGAAGGTCAAGGAATGGAAGAGAAACCAGGCCAGCAAGACTGCTGAAGTGAGTCTAGCCCATATACACATCATAAACGATATTGTGTTGTCTGTATATTAAAACTAACAACGTCCATCATAGAACATCAAGAAGGCCCAAGAAGAAATTGACCGCCTGGAGGAAGAAAGCAAGACCGCTGAGACTAAGGCTAGCGGCACCGGCACTCCCCAGGTTGCTGCTGAAACTAACACTGAAGCAAAGACCGTCGACGCTGCAGAGACTTCTGCTGAGACTCAATAGATGATTTTTTTAAGGACTTTCTCTGGACTTCACATTACCTATATTCATGCTGAATGCATGCTAAATACACTCTCCCAAAGCCATCACCACCACAACCACATTTGTCTTTGAGCGTTCTCTCTACCTGTGATCTAAGATAGCTTCAAGTTCAGGAAGAACTAGCCAAAAAAAATATAAGTGGATATTTAATTTATCTAGCCTCTATATTGTACTTCATATGACAGACAAGTCCTTTGTTACAACTATTTATGGAACAATTTGTATCATATAAAGATGCAGGAACCCATAGGCCTGTGTAAAATGCAGTTTTGTAGCAAACCGAGCAATATCAATGTCATTCTTCCCCATACTTGGCCGGCTGTCGAACTTCAGTGATAATTGCATCTTTTATGTGTAAATATAGGCAGGGAAAAGACGAATCGAGTAAACGGTCACACGAGTGGTTAGAAATATCCATCCAGGCACCTCCAAGGAATATATCTATATGAAATGATACAATGTGAAATCAGCAGTAAGAAATAAGTACTGAAGGAGAGATATTACAATGGTATTTTTCTTTCTGGATACCGCCGTAAAACACACAACTACCAGCAAACGTATAAAACGGTAATGGGGTTATGTTAAGAAGAAGAAAGGGTAGTAAGAAGGAAACAAAACCCGTTGCCTCTAATTAAGTAGAAGTGAAAGAAATGAAGAGAAAAGAACAGAAAGAGCAAAGCAGGAGGTTCCAGTAGACATGTTCATCAATGAGTTTAAAGGAAAAGGGAGCCAGACATGAGGAAAAAGGAAAAATGTGCCAGGTTGAAGGAGCGTAAAGTAAGGACAGCAGCAGCCGAACTTGCGCAGGAGGCCCGTATCTATCATAAGTTGCAGTAAAGATAGCTGGCAGCCAGTGTCATGAGCACGGCCTAGGAGAGGAGACCTATCGGCCCAGTCGGTATTAAATAGATATCACCTCCACCTAGGGACTCTCGCTGCTGCGGGTATTCCTCATTGCATGTATGGGTTTGGCGTGTGAAGTTGACAAGGTAGTGAAGTGGCCCTCTAGAAGAGGATATCAAGACAGCAGCAGCAGGCCATACCAGCCATGAGACCGGCACAGAGACCGCCGCCGCCGCTGCCACGGTTGTCCGCTGGCGGTTGTTGCTGCTGGTAGTACATGGGCTGTTGAGGAGGGCCTCCCTGGGGAGGATAGTACTGCTGCTGGGGCTGGCCGTATGGCTGGCCGTACTGCTGGGGAGGAGGGCCTTGCTGATAATAATCGTTGGCATGACCCTGGGTGGGCTGCGGGTAGGATGGAGGCTGGTTCTAAAGCCAGGACATCATCATGGTCAGTTTCACGTCTACTATCAGGCATCAAGCAACCTGCTCTGCGCGATTCGAGCTATTTCTTCAACGCATCGATCGACTCCAGCCCACAGCCTGTGCCGTGTGCCAAGATAAGACTGGCAAGGAGGCAAAGCAGAGCAGCAGGAGCGACAAGGCTGCAAGGGAGAGGGACTCACGTATTTATCGGCCATGGTGAAGGCGCAGGACTCTTCTCTTCTGTTTTATTATTCTGGTTCTCTTATTCTCTGGGATGTGTCTGCGTTGGAAGCGGTGGAGTGTGTAGCTTTTATAAAAGAGCGCTGGGTGTTCGTGGCTGATACGAGCTTTTTGTATGCCCTAAAAGAAGGTAGGAATGGAAAAGAGCGAAAGACGGAACGCAAGAACCTCCAGCCACAACGCACGCTTCTTATGCAGTGACTCAGCACCGGTTGAACTCCTGAGACTCGGACTTGGTGAGCCGGCGGCCTCTTGGGTTTCCTAACTGTGGCTTATCGAGTGGACTCGTCAGTGTCCGGTTATTGGTAGATTCGCAGAGCAGTGGAGCTCTCAATTAAGTACTCCGTACGGGGGCTAAGCATGCCTAGCAGTTGTCGCGGTGATTTGCAAGACGATGGCTCCGCTCCGTCCATCAGGCTGGCTGCTTGCGCGCGGAGCTCCGTCCTCTGTGTATAATATTAAGCATCGGCATGGGGTTGTCTGGCTAAGCGCCCCGTCCATGCATGACGGTGGTGGACACGTATTTTTTGATGGCTCAGCTGGCAGCTGGCAGCTGGTGGGAGGGGCCATGAAAAGATATATATAAAGTCGACAAGTCGTTAATTCTATTCGGTACAAAGAAGCCGAGCGGTTTGCGGCAGTTCTCGGGCGCCAGCAGTGCCGGGCCTCGTCGGCATAATGTATAGTTTTGTCCAAGAAGCATTAAAGAACGAGCAGGAAGAGTCCAAGTAACATCAAAAAAGGCCCCCCAAAAGTAACAGATTTCCTCGCCAACTCCAAAATCAGTCATTAAATTATGTTCATCCTCATCCCATTCCTATCTTCTTCCCCGGCCCCGTCCTCCTCGGCCACTCGGGCGTGGATCGTAATACGACTCCGCCATCTCCTGCGAGTATTTCGATCTCGGCGCTTGATAGTGAGACTCAGATGTCTCTTCGGTGTATCCCAGCGATTCGGTCTCTCCATACCCTGAGTGTGCACGCCCATGTCGATGGTCGTTGGGGTCCTGAACATCAACAAAGTATGGCTCCGGCTCATCTTCGTCCACAATAATAGGCTTCTTTCGGCCTGCTGCCTTTGTGGGCTTTCGGCGGGCCGCTGCCTTGCGCCTGGGCCGGGGGAAGTCTTCTGATACGATATCTGAGGAGGCAGACATGATGTCTTTGGGTTTGTTAAACAAAATATAAACCAAGTAGGCAACCAGCACAAAGCCAACGACTGTTCCGAGCACGATGGCCACGACGATGGGTGGTGAGGTATGCGGGCCGCTGTATATGGCTGGTATGTTTATCATCTGCGTTCTCTTGGTGATGTCATGCAGCTGGCGTGGGGCAAGAGCTGCGTCTCTTGCAATGCGAGTGAAGCTCGAGCTAGCTGATGAGAGGAGCTGGCCATTGTTGTTGCTGTTGCCGGCGCCTCTGGGATATAGAACTTGTAGTCGAGGCGCCATCGTGTCAAGGAAAACGGCCAGGCAGCTGTCCCGCAGTGCGCAGTGCTGTATTCCGCCGCAGTAGGTATGATGAACGGAAAAGTGTCCCTTTACTCAAATAACAAACTTGCTTCAAGTAAAAGGAGTTGTAGAGCCAGATAATTCCAATTGCTGGTAGGGCTGGCAGGTTGAAGCCGTTACCACGACAACGGCGAGCGGGTGGAAGGACCTGCTGTCTTCTAGCTTAGCAGCAGAACAACTGTATCATGCGGTATCGTAGCACGCTGTACAGTCTACCTGTCCATAAACCAGGCTTGCAGCAGCGTCAAAAGGCCCCAGAGATGCCCTTGTTGTATCTGCGTCGTCTTCGGCTTCTTCAGCTTCAACTTCGCGATGCAGAAAATAAAAATGGCAGGGATTATGTAAGCGTAAATAAAAGTGGCTGGAAAGTCACATGATATAAAGATCGGCATTATATAATAACTTTAAATTCACTAGCTTGTGATTGGCTGATCTCCAGCCTGCCCAAAGGGGAAATGGATATAATATAGATGGGTAGGTATGCAGGTATATACTCTGTATTGTATGCCAGATTCCTCTAGATGCTAGGGCATCACCATTTTTGTCCTTTTTGTTTTCTATTGCATGTCGTTTGGGTGAGCTCGCTGGCTATACTACTTGCTGGACAGCTACTGGAGCCTCCGCTTCAGCCTCAGGATCAGCGTCCATCTCTTCAGCCTCTGCCTCGTCATGCTCCTTGCCATTGACCTCTGGCTCAGATTCATATTCGGCGATGTTAATCTCTTCCTTGGCCTTGGCCTTGGCTGCCTCTTGTTTCTGCGTCGAGTTGACTAACGGTGTATCGTCGTCGAAGAGACGGAGTAGTACGGCACGGCGCTCCTCCTTCGGCAGCATGAGGTTTACCGAAAAGGCGCTTCGCCATAGTGGGAAGACCATGCGTTCTCTGTAGTGACATGTTAACATAAGTATTCTCTCCGCTTGAGCTCCTAGGGAAACTGCACAAAAACTCACCGGAATCCATCCTCCCTGTCACTTGCCTCTAGTCGCAGGATATAGCATCCCATTTCCATATCTCTGACCCTCTCTCCAATCTCGCCCAGCTCTTTCCACCCCCCATCATTTACCTTAGGAAACATCTCTACCAAGAGCTTCCTGAGTGTGGGTTTCGTGTACATCTTCACCACCCGGTCCATGCCCACCCAGGACTCTATCACTGGCAACCCTTCCATCTGTATTCTCCAGGGACAGACATCAGGCTTCTGAACATCCTGTTTAACAAACATCTTGACACCACAGTGCACAAACTTCATTCCCGAGCTTTCATTCTCTGTCAAGATGTCTCTTGCTAGCACTGTGGTGTAATATATGGTCTTTGCAGGCCGGCCCTCAGCGTTGCGGACCATAAATCGATCACGGGGGAATTGCGGGGAGAGTCTGAAGTATTTGAAAATCTCATCGAGATCTTCACGGTTAGGATCGAGATATTTGAATGGTTCTTCGAAAGAGGTTTGTTGCTTGCGCTTTGGCTTGGCCGGTGCCACAGTCGAACTTGGGGTCATCTCTGTTTTCTCTGACTGTACTGGTTTGACGTCTGATACCTTGTCTGCTTCCTCCTGAGTAGACTCGGTAACTTTTGGCCGTTTAGCTTGAGGTTCTTCCAGGCCATCAGAATTTCTCTTAAGTGAAGTTTCTGTTGTGTCTTGTTTCGCTTCAACAGCAGAGCTATTTTCAGGGTCTAACGGCTCGTCTTCAACATCTTTCTCCACGGCAGCTGAGTCTGAAGCTGCTGCTGCAGGAGTACCAGCTTGGGGAGTTCCAGTAAACGTAGACGTAGCTGCTTTAGTGGCATCAGGTTTCACCTTGATCTCCCGCTTCTTTTCAAGAACAGTAATGAAAAAGCCACCGGTATCCTGCATATGGGGGTATACACGCATGCACCGCGTGAGGTCACCAACGTCGGCATCTCCTGAAGGGGGAAACATACCTTCCACGAGCCGGCTGGCTGCTGAATTGAGTTTTCGTACTTCCTCCTCTGCCTCTGCCCAGTTCTCATATATGCGTCCAGTCTTATCCATGATTTTCCAAGTCGTCAGACCCGGCCGTCTCTTTAGTTCGGGGAGCTGGTCTTCACAGTCAACGATCTCAACTTTGCTAGACCCACCGCACCGATCGATAACATGGGAAATAATAGCTTCGTTCTCGATGGGGTTCATGCTGCAGGTAGAGTAAACTACACGACCTCCAACCTTGAGCATCTGTAAGGCCCGGAACAAGATGCGTGCTTGGGTGGCAAATAGTCCAATTCCATTTGCAGGGTTCCAATCATTCCATAGATTGAAGTTCTTCCTTGTTGTTCCATCTCCTGAGCAAGGTACGTCTGCTAGGATTCGGTCAAATTTCAAATATCTGTTCTTTGCAGGCTGGCCATCAGCAGACACCGCCGGTAGTTTTATGGAAGGGTATACAGTAGCATCATGGTTCGTGACAAGCAAGTTCGGCGAGTTTAACCGCTTCATTTGATGGATCAACAGGTGAGCTCGCTTATAGTCACTATCGTTCGCAATGAGTAGACCAGTGGATCTCCCATCGTCTTCTGCCGTCTCTAATTCCGCTGCTTCAGGCTCCCCGTCCAAGAGATCAGTTACCTTCACACCGTTCTGTCTTGTAGTTTCGTCTGTAGTTTCTAGCTTTTGCGAAATCTTTGCCATCCGCTCTTCCTCGCCTGCATGAATCATCTCCATCAGCTGGGCAGACTTGCTCCCTGGCGCAGCGCACATATCCAGCACCACCATGCCAGGTCGTACATCCAGCAAGAGCGGCGGAATCATGCTCACAACTTCCTGCCGACTAATATTACCGACCTCCGTTTCTGAAACGAGGAATTTCTGGAACGATGAGAAGGGCGCGAAGCGACGGACGACGCTCTTCGGCGTGGTCATCGACCAAGCTAGCTGTTCTGGGTACCATGGTACTGGCTTTGGAGGCTCAACTAATTCGCCCTCGTATCGAATTGACGTTATATTTGGGATATAGAAGTCTTTTAATCGCTTCTGTAAAGCAAGAGCATGGCTGCACAATTATCATTAGCCAGAGCGCAGTCCAGGCGGCGTTTGCTTTACCGTATCCATACCTTCTAGACCCAGTGAAGCGAAAGCTGTTAGGTAAATCACGCCGTAAAGCATCCCAGAAGGCTTGCCTCTCTTCTTCTGGAACTATCTGAAGCGAATTGTAATATTTCTCGTAGTTTTCATTCTCCCGAACCAAGGTCGACGAATAGTTAGCTGGTCGAGTACCGCGGGAACCTCCTTTGGAGCCCTGTTAGTTGAAGAAAGATTACACCGGTTAGCAAGAAATACTAGACATGGAACCGTTAATTCGAGTTTACCTTCTTAGAATTCCGCTTCTTCCCCATGTTGATTCGGTGAACCCGGAAATTTTTACAGAAATTGAAAATGCGCTCGAAGGAAAATTGATAAGTGATGACTTTATTGATTAAGCTTTCGAGCTGCAAGGGCGGGACCGGAGTTTCTCGGGCCGCCTGCACTTAAATTTAGACTGGAGGTAACCCTACCATTTGGTTTCCATGTTTTCTATACACCCGCAGATTGATAGAGAGTTACTGGGATTGGACATATATCGAGGGTATCGGGGATGATATTAGATCCAGTATACATAGGTAACTAAGTGGAAAAGTGATTAAAGGATTGAGCGGCGATTTATTCTCATCTCGGTGATTTACGCATGGCTTTGGTAGACCTCCTTCAAGAAATCAAATGCAAACGCGAACGCTTTCTTCTTGTCTGTATTTCCAATGGCAGCTTCTGGTACTGAAAAAGGCAGTTAGTATATTTGAAAAACTGTCACAGAAGGAATGGTCAATGTATACTTTCAAGCCATCCATGAAATCCTTCGGAGAACTCGAGATGCCTAATTTGGTGGGCATCTTTTTTAGTTGGTGTATTATGAGTTTGCTGCGCTAAGGTGGATTCTGAGTCTGCTCCAGTAGAAACTGTTCTGGCAGTTGTATTCAGCTGCTCAGTTTCTGTCTTTAATCTCTCAATCATTGACATCTGTTCCTCATATAAGATATCTATCTTTGGCACAACAAAGGCCATCTTCGGCGGCAGCGTACTAATATCTGCCAGAATTGGATTCATAAGCGGATTTTCCATATTTGTCGTACGAACAGGGCCAGAGTACGCATCAAATAATGGTTTCAAGACCTCCAGTGGGTCTGGCTTGTCGATGGGTGCTGGTTTCTCTGTTGGTGGTTTCCGGAGATCGACCTGGTTTGAATATAAGAACATATTGACCTTTAAATTTTACCCGGACAGATTATCGGGATAACGGAATATAGCTTACTGGAGCGTAGAAAGTGACAGAGCCTTTGACGCTATAATCGGTACCAGCCAGCCCCTGGGCAACACCAAGGGCAAGGTTTCCACCCGCTGAAAACCCGCTGACAGTGAGGACTCGTGGATCAGCCTTCCATAGGTGTTCTGCGTTTTCAGTGAGGAAAGTAGCAACATCTTGGGCATCTTCATTAGCTACTGGGAAGGTATATCGCGGGGCGAAATGATATGTCGCTGACACGACAACGGCACCCAGTTCATCTGACAGCGCACTGCAAAATTCCGCATCATGCTCTGGGTTTCCACCAATAAATCCTCCGCCGTGGAAGTCAAGGTGGAGTGGCCGAAGTGCTCTGGATGTTTCTAGTGTCGATTTCGACCCTTCTGGAGGCAAAAACACAATGGCGCGCACTGATTGACCTGGCCTACGGCGTAATGGTATATGGATAGAAGAGTATCTGCGCGAGAATATCCAAGGCACCCATTTTATTGCACATGTCAAGACGGATATTGGCTGAAGCAGAAGAAGCCGCCACCGGTAAGTAAAAGGGATGTCAAAGCCAAATAATGCATCGAAAAGGGGATGGAACCACCGAATGGGTTCAAACATTCTATAACTTATGGGAGTATGTGGGGTGTAGCTTGGTTAGGAGGTTATGATAGTTGGAGAATGCTAGACATTCTTTCAAATTACGGGGATGTCGTCTTCAAAGAGTTGGCACTTCAGACAGGGTTAAATGAACCAGCAGGCCTGGATACGAGCTCTCAGCTTCTGCGAGGCTAAAAACAAAATAGATAAAGCTATAAATACCACCTGCTATTCTTGCATCGACACCACAGTTTTATAGATATAGATTTTGTATACCTATACTCCATACTCCATCCAAAAAAAGTATTCATTTTTCGGATTGTTGTTTTTTTATCCAGTTTCATGTCTATCCTTAGTTTCTAAAAATAAAACCACAATCACGTGATAATTAACCAACCTTATAGCCAACCTGATTACATAAGCTCATGCGGCTCCTTTTCCTTTTTTTTTTCACCTGCAACAAAAGACTTCCAGTGTTGACGCAGTAACAGGAAAGAAGATGCAGACGAAATGAGGACGGAGTAGTTTAAGCTGGGCCGCATGTCGTACTCTGCCTTTGCAGCGTTGATCTTGAGCCTCGTAAGCTCGGAGATCAATCCTTTTGAATACGGCCAGTCTGTTATATCACCCTTGTGAGGTTTCTTCGTTCATGAAGCTGGGGAAAGGACGCAAAACAGTCCCACCGCCGAGGAACAGGAATAGAAACAGATCCGATTTTTTGCTCCATTGATTGGTGCTTGGTTGTCTGTTTTGGGCAGTTGGTAACAGCTCTCCCGCCCTTCTGCCTGTTCTGTGGAGCCGTGACAGCGGGACAGGCAGAAGACGAAGAGCCGCAGGCTAGGCAAGCCCCTGACAAGCGGATCAGCGGCGTTAGCAGGTCCCTACCTCAGAATGCACGAATCTTTCTAAGACGGGGCAGACAAGTTCTTAGTCAGAAAGGTAGCAGACCATCAGCATGTCATGCCATTGACAGAGAATCGACCATTGTACTCTGTATTCTCTGGAGATACTTGGTGTTGGCCAGCAGCGTACGGAGTACACAACAAAATTCTATACTCTTACCAGGACAAAACTCCTGGAACTAGGTTGGCCACCCGTCCTCCGCTTTTCAGTGAGACCAAGTTTTACCTTGTCATCTCAGCCTCATGCTGCAAGGGGCAGAAGCGGAACTGTCACTGGGCTGGCTTTTATGCCACTCCAAGAATACGATAAGAGGCTGAATATCACGGCCTGTGGTTGGAGGAAACCAACTTCGCACATGGAGATCGCTCGCTTTCTCAAAGGAGGCTGTCCAATTAAGACACCAACATCTGGCATCCATAGGACTTGTTTCTCTGGCAGCAGAGAAAATATGTAGTGGAGGCTGCGTTGGCGTCTCCACAATAACTAGTTACCACGTCGAGCTAACAGCATGTTGGACGGCTGACGGGAATACGCCCATTAGTTATTTAACTGGCCCTCTGGCCGCATTTTTTTTCCCTCATTCCCTCCTCAAGCTCTTTGACATTTTCTCCCATTAACCAAATAATAGTCCATTCTTTCTCGAGCTCACCGTCATTCTTTACTCTTTCCCAAGTTTACCATCCAGTCTTTTGGTGTTTACAGTTTTAATAATTATTGCACGATACCCCTGATAATTCTTCTTTATCTATCTGAATCGCTTTAATACTCAAAATGGATCCCAACTCTCAGCACAACACCGATCCAAACATGAAGTCTGGATTCGCGGTGGACTCGTCTTCCGGCATGCCAACGAACAAATGGGGCTCTCCCTTCTATGAGTTCTGGGATCCTGTTGATACTAGTAAGATGAAAATGAAACCAGCCGATAAGTGACAACAGATTTGCTGATATGAACCTGACAGTGCTCTGCTCCTGGTGCTGCCCATGCTTTATGTTTGGCCGTAACCAGCACCGACGACGCGACCCAGCTATGTCTGGTTTCAGCTACTTCAACGGCGACGTAAGCTATCCAGTCCTGCTCTTCTTAATAAGTTGTACTGACTGGGTGTCTCTAGTGCTGTCTTTGGCTTTGCCTTGCATACTGTGGATGCTTTGGTATTTTCCAGGGCCTCAAGCGTATTGAAACCCGAAAGCAATACGGAATCGAAGGCAATGAAGTTCTCGACTTTGCTGGATCCTGCTGTCTTCCATGTTGCATGCTCGTCCAGGAAGATAAGGAGATCACCCGCCGTACCGAGGCAGCTGGCTACCAACGAACCTCCCCAATGTCCTACCCTTAATAGGACAGTAGAATCTCATGGAGCTCTATTCCTCTTCATGAAAATACCTATTCAAAACATTATTGGGCCCGGCTTTCGTAATATTGTCGACTTGCTCTATATCTTGAGTCGTATGACTTTTCTAAAAATGCACCTAACTAGTCTAATCCAATGTTTCATTGTTCATGCTCTACAGTACAATTTTTATCTATAAGGAGCCATATTTTCCACTTTCTTCTCACTACTTAATATATGAAGTATAGACCACAGCCAGACAAAGCCGCGAAAACCGTAGGACCTTGAACTGGAGAATAGCATGTGCCACGTAATAATAGTCCTATATCACCATCTATTATGTATCATACATGCACTGCATTTTCACTTAAGATTGTCTTGCACATGCGTGGACGGCATAATTGGCTGTCAGTTGATAGGCTAATACCCCTCAACATCGAAACCCGGCACTCGGCAGCTACTTAACTATCTGCCTCGTACTTACATCTACAGCTTGACAACTCCTTCGACTTCTTGCTAAAGATACAGGTCGTATAAGAAGAGACTAGCATTTATCATGGCACCCCCGACTATGACTGCAACTTCAGTCCCATCTACGGGCGATGCTACCATGTCGTTACGCAGCCCTCCAATCGACGGTGCGGCGAAGGATGAAGCTCCAGAGATGACCAAACTCCGTTCTACATTTCCCAAACCACCTGTATTTGAAGACAGGGTCAAGGAACAAGAGTATCTCAAGGGAAGACTTGCACTCGCATTCCGCATCTTTGCAAAATACGGCTACGAAGAGGGTGTAGCAGGACACATCACGCTGCGGGATCCGGTCGATCCTACAACATTCTGGGTCAATCCTTTTGGCGTGCCATTTGCCCATATCCGGGCCTCGGATCTCATCCAGGTCGATCATGAAGGTACTGTCATCGCGGGAGGGGAAATCCGCCGCCTGAATACTGCTGCGTACATGATTCACGCTGCCGTCCATGCCGCCAGACCAGATGTGCAGTGTGCAGCTCACAGTCACAGTATCTACGGCCGCACATTTTCCACCCTCGGAATCGAATTGGACATTACGACTCAGGACTCTTGCGCCTTCTACAAGGTATGCAGCATGAGAAGACGTTTCATAACTAGTAACTAGTTTACCTATCCTGTCTCTTTGCATCAGGTACTGATACGCTATCAATAGGACCACGCCCTGTATGCACAGTTCAAAGGCATTGTTCTAGGCAAAGAGGAGGGGCTAAATATTGCTAAAGCCCTTGGAAGCAAGAAGGCAGCTATTCTGCAAAACCACGGTCTCTTGACTGTGGGTAAAACTATCGAGGAGACCGTATTCTGGTTTTATGCGTTGGAGAAATGTTGCTATAGCCAGCTCCTGGCCGATGCAGCCGCCAAGGGACGAGGCATCGAGACTGTAAAGATCCCCGATGAAGATGCCCAATACACCTACAAGCTGATCGGAACGCCATTCGCCGGGTATTTTAACGGACTCCAGCTGTACGAAGTCGTTGAGCGAGAGATGAACGGGGCTCACTTGCAGTAACTAGTTAACTAGTTTTACCTTAGCAGTGAAAACTAGTTAGCAGGCCTGCCAGCATCCTCTTGCATAACTACCAATCTCCATCAATCTCCAAGCTCGATCTCTTTAGCAGCGTCCTTCATGGTAACCAATCCTTCACTGCTTCACTGCCGATATCCTTCATCCTTCTCCCTTCCGGCTTATCTGGCTTATCGGGCTTATCGCGGCCTTATCGTTCTTATCGTACTTATCACGTGACTAACTCCAGAAAATTTCAATAAAATAAAATAAAAAAGCGACTTCACGATCAAAATTTCTTTCGCTATCAAAACTAACGCCAATAAAAATAATTTCATTCCTTCTTCTCTAGTTCAAGTCGATAGGAATATATTGCATTGTATATCTTCTTGCTCTACGTTCTGTTTTACTATTCTAATACCGAATCCTCCAATTCCTCAAGCTATCCAGCAGTATGTCTGTCCGGTTCGGACAACTGCTCTCGCGCAATCTGCAGCGATGCGCGATACGGCTGCCAGTTACTTCGACTCTGGCGAAGCATTCTATTAGGAGGCTTCCAATTGCACCTCTGTTGACCTCGAGAGGCTTCCATGCCTCACCTCAGTTTCGCGTTCCAGCTGGTACTGCGAACGCCGGCGTTGCAGTTGAAGATGCCGGAGAGGCAGAATTGATAACGGAATTTGCAGAGTTGGGAGAGAAAGGTGTGGTAGACCAGAGATTGATCAATGCTATTACCAAGGGAATGGGTTTGAAGACCATGACCGACGTTCAAGCGCAGACTATCAATGAGAGCATTCAGGGAATCGACATGTATGCCCCTTTCAAACCCAGATTTCCTACTCGCAGTCGTTTTTAAGAAATAGAACACTGAACTGACTCTTTTGTCCAGGATCGCGCAGGCAAAGACTGGAACAGGTAAAACTGTTGCTTTTCTTCTCCCAGTTATCCACAGAATTCTTCAAGACCCTACCCTTGGCAACCTGCGGAGAAATTTTGCATCAGCACAGGATATTCGGGCAGTGGTAATCTCTCCTACTCGTGAATTGGCAGAACAGATCGCTGTTGAAGCGCAAAAGATCACCCGTGGCTCTGGTCTTAAAGTACAAACTGCAGTAGGAGGAACAAGGAAACGAGAAGGATTGATGAGGCTCCAAAGGGAAGGCTGTCATATCTTGGTTGGAACTCCTGGACGCCTGATGGATCTCTTCTCTGATCCTACTAGCGGAGTCGCTGCTCCAAAGCTGCAGGCCTTCGTCCTCGACGAAGCAGACAGACTTCTTGACATTGGTTTCGCTCCTGACATCGAACGTATTCAGTCTTTCTTCCCAAGTCGTTCTCAGGTTGACCGACAAACCCTGATGTTTTCTGCCACCATTCCAAAGTCAGTCAAAGGTCTGGCTAGGAGCATGCTAAAGCCTGACTTCACATTCGTTAACACTGTTGGAGACGAGACTCCAACGCACCTCAGGGTTCCTCAGAGAGCTGTCTTCCTCAGAGGCTTCGAGAACCAGCTTCCTGCTCTCTTCGAGATTGCTAAACGAGCTGTCCAGGCGCATGCTGCCAACCCTGATACCGCGATGCCTTTCAAAGCCGTAGTATACTACGGATCTACTGCCGAAGTCAGCGTTGCTCGTCGTGCCTTTACTGCCTTGTGCAGGGACTTGGAGAGCTTGTACACTGGTCGAGCTCCCCGTATTCAGACTATTGAAATGCACTCTCGTCTAACTCAGGCACAGAGAACATTCAATTCTGATTCTTTCCGCCGCGCTACCACTGGGATTCTCTTCTCGTCGGATGTCACAGCTCGTGGCATGGATTTCCCAAATGTCTCCCATGTCATTCAAATGGGTGTCCCTAATGATACAGATACATACATTCATCGTCTTGGACGTACTGCTCGGGCTGATAAAACCGGAGAAGGCTGGATTCTATTCCCCGATATTGAATTCGACGCCTTCGGAGAAAAACTCAGAAGTCTTCCTATCAAGGAGGATACCTCCATAGAGTCCGCAAGCGTAGACTTGACAAACCCAGCACAATTTAGCGAGTCAATCGCTTCTGTATACGACACCCTTTCGAAACAGTTTAGCCGAATATTCGACGATGACAAGTTAAAGGCGTACCGCGCCATGAATAACCAGATGTCCAAATACGACAAACGGGAATCTCGCCGCCTCCTTCACCAACTTGCTACTTCTATTTGGGGCTACCCTGAACCACCATACCTACCGGAGCCTTCACCCTCCCGTGCTGGAGGCCGGTATAACCGTAGCCAGAGAGGTGGCAGCGGCGGTTATGGCGGATACTCCGACCGAAGGGGCGGATCGTCCTATGGTGGCCGTGGAGGGTCCAGAGGGGGTTCATATGGCTCTGGCCGAGATTACGGTCGCGATAGAGGATTTGACAGAGGATTTGACAGAGGATTCGACCGCCGTGGATCACAGGGGGACAGGCGCCGTACGAGTCTCTGGGAGTAATTAGTCTCCATTACCTACACCAGGCCATAGGTTACCCCTATGCCTAAAATTTCCACGCCCACAGCCTTTGTTGTCTTCCGGAAGGCTGTTGCCATCGAAATCCACCTTTCAACCATGAATTGCAACGTTTCAGCATTTCCCCGACGCCTGGGCATATATATGGATAAGATAAGTTATAGGCGTTGAGGTTGGATGTCTGTTTCTCTGCTGTTTTACTACCACAAAACGGTGTTCCACGGTGTCTCTTGCAATGACGGAGTTGGCGCTCATTTTCAACCACGAAAGAAGAGGCACAGTTTTCTCTCCTCTTCATTTCCATTTCGTTTCAATGTATTTCTAGAACCCCTTCTGATATATACCTGTTAATATTTTTGTGTTTGTCTCCCTGGTTGAGGCTACGATTGTTCGAGCTGGGCTGATGTTTCATCCTACCTTGTTTTTTCTGCACTTCTTATTTTTGATTACCTGCATGGCTTTATGTACAATAGACAGGATGAAGGCTCAGACGAAATATTCCACTCAGCGAGATATCTCAGATTAATAATTTGAACAAAATCACAGAAACTTATCATCAATTTGGTCTATGATTGCTTAAAAAACAGGGCCCAAATATGCGATAAACTCAGAAACAAATGGCTAATAACAAAAAGAAATAAAACTCATTACAGGTGGGCAATCAAGTCGTAAAATAAAAAGGCCGAAGAACAGTGATTGAATCAATCAAGTTCCGAACCTGTATAGGTTAATTGTCGCTGAGGCTCTGGCGTTGGCAAACCAGACTCATCAACCCCTGAGGCAGATGGAGACGCCACCATGAAGGCCTTTCGATCAGCCAGTATCCGTTCCTGACGTGAAAGCAAGTCTGAGTCCCTATGATACTGTCTTTCATTGGCAGCCTCCAGCTCTTTGATCCTCCTTGACTCGACGGCCATCTTAGCCTCTAGGAGGTTATGTTGGGTATTGGCCATGATCTTATCATTTTCAATCTTTAG